GATTTAATAACACGTGCAAGTTTTACATCCCTCTTTATATCTTCTGATAATTTTATTGTCTAATAGGAGAAAAGAAAGGGAAAATTTTATAATAACATATTTCATAATTTCGAAATTCATTTTTTGTGTAAACTTATTTTTTTTTTTTTTTTTTTTTACTTCTAAATATTTTTGCTGCATTTGCTCGTATTCTAATCTTCTTTCGTTGGGTCTCTTTTCAGGCAGGGGAAGAAAACGGGAAAAAAAAAAAAAAAAAAAAAAAAAAAAAAAAAAAAAAAAAAAAAAAGAGAAAAAACAGAAGAAAAAAAAATGGGAAAAAAAAAATTATACAGAAAACATTGTTTAATAATAAAAGAATTTTTCCCTATATTCCCAAATTTAAGGAAAAGTAAAATTTTTGTTGTAAATTTACATGTGTTTTAGTCCAAAAGGTTATTTTATTTTATTTTATTATTTTTTTTTTTTTTTTTTTCAAATATATGTATACATTAATATATACATGCATAAGTACAGTAGCACAGCAATTATGCGAGCACTTGCTATATAATTTATACAGTATAAATATATATATATGAATGTACATATAAATACCTACAATAAATAATTGCATCTCGTGCTGATTGATCTGACTTCAAATACTTTTATGCCATCCGCAACGCTAAAAAATAATGTACATAATATATATATATATATATACCTATGCTATGAACCATCGTACATGTAAGGTTATTTATATGCATATACTACTATTCATAGAATTCTTAAATGCTTACATATAACATACGTGTATGAATATATAAATATTTATACATGCAGTTACACGTATATTTTCACATAAAATTTATACATGTACTTTCATATACATATATTTTTATGTATATATATTTTTATGTACATATATTTTTATGTACATATATTTTTATATACATACATTTATACATATATATATATATATATATATATATATATATGAAATTTATACGTATTTATGCACAGCTTTCCCCAGCCAGGCATTTATTTACGTACTAATTTCTGCGCAACAATTTAGTTATTTTTAAAGCTCCCAAACATATGTATAGAAATAAAAATACCACAATTGGCGATTGTAAATAAATATTGTTATATTTTCCATGTGGAAATATTAGTGAGGGATTTTTATTTTTTTTTATTGTTATTTTATTTTTTTTTTTTGACCTAAGGGGGGCGTCCAACACGTTTTGAGCAAGTGAAAAAAAAAGGCTAAAAAGACTAGTGTCAGAAAAGTGGTGTCAAAAAATTAAATTAATATTTAGGAGCATACTTGCACAGGTAGCGGGTGACATGTTAGTAAAGAAACGAAAAGAGGACGTTCTTTTAAGCCGCACATTTACATATAATTTGAACATGATAACGAACTCCATCTAGTGTAGATGTATATATATAAATATATATATATATATATATATATATATGTAAACATGTACATACGTGTGTATGGCTGCGTTCACACAGTTAAAACAGAAAAGACTGACAGTATATGCGAACGTTTAATACACGTACGTAGCAGATTCTTTCCCCATGTGCCCCTTCCACCACCACGCACGCACAAACACAGACACTGAAATAATCTATTTTTTAACGTTGCATTTTTTGGCATATACATATGTACGCGTATAATATGTATATATATTATTAGTTTTCCTATGCACAAGTAATATTTCGTGTGTAAATAAGTGCAAGCGGATATTTCTTTCACCATCTCCTTTGTATTATCCCTTGCTTCTTGCGCCACATGTTTGTTGCCATACATATTTACCGCTTCTCACGTACTAGCTGATGACGATACCTAGTTGATGCGTTCATTGAACTCGAATTAGAACTCGATCTAGATCTAGAACTCATTAAGAGATCTTGTGGATTGAAGGGCATTGTAATTGTCGCCCTCCAATATTCTAAATTCAATAACTTAAACTTTTAATAAAATTGTCACGCCTAATAAGACCAATATTATGATATTTTCCAAAAGGAAAAGCGTGTAGAACGAGCCAATAGACGCAAAGAAGGGTAGAAAAAAAAAAAAAAAAAAAAAAAAAAGCACGCACATCACGTGACAGAACTTTTTTTTAAGATACCAAAGTAATATTAATTAAAAAGAAAATACAACACACGTGTAAAGAAACATACACATTATATATAGGGTCGTAACGGACATTTGTTAAATCCTAATCCAATCGCACGATATGAATCGGGAGAAAGAAGAAAGCTGGAGAGGCAGCTTTCAGAGCAACGGAAATCATGCTTATCAAACGCAATTTTCAAATTCAAATAAATACATAAATAGTCATACATACAAACAAAGTAAAGATGTTTTAAGACATAAAGGTAATAGCAATGGATTCATAGCGAGTGATCCAAATGCAAGCAATGAATTCTTTCCATCGTCAATTAGTAATTTACCTATAAGTGAAGAAGATAGATATTTCCATCAGAACGAATGCAAGAGAATGAGTCAACAACGCGAATCAAAGGACCATGGGAATTCTATGGGAAATAACATCCTTGGCGAGAGTATCCCTATGAATTTGAATGGAGCTGCTAGTATGAATGGAGCTGTTAGTATGAATGGAGCTGCTAGTATTAATGGAGCTGCTAGTATGAATGGAGCTGCTAGTATGAATGGAGCTGCTAGTATGAATGGACCTGCTAGTATGAATGGACCTGCTAGTATGAATGGACCTGATAGTATGAATGGAGCTGTTAGTATGAATGGACCTGCTAGTATGAATGGACCTGCTAGTATGAATGGACCTTCTAGTATGAATGGACCTGATAGTATGAATGGAGCTGTTAGTATGAATGGACCTGCTAGTATGAATGGACCTGCTAGTATGAATGGACCTTCTAGTATGAATGGAAACGTGAGTGCGAATTTTGTCAGCAGTTCTAATGGTCATGACATGAATGTCACACAATACAATTACCCAGATAATCTCCATAGACTTGCAGAAGTGCATTCCAGTCATCATGAAAAGAATCGAAACGAGATAAATCACAACGTTTGTGAAAACAGAACTAATGATAATGAAAAAAGCGTTTCTGTTATGAACAATATAGACGACGCTGTTCAAGTTAAAGTAAATTATGATCAATTTTATAACACTATAGAAGGATATTCAGATCCCCTTTTAAAAGGAGGAGGAAATGATAAGCCTGTGATGGCAAATGTAGATATGAATCCATTCAATTTGATGAAAAATTCACTGACACCATCGTTTATAGATGATAAAACCATTGGTGATCAAAGAGGTGTTACAAATGAAGAATATAACTACCAATCAAATAAGGGAATACATATAAATGTAAACAGGCAAAACATCTCGGTGCAAAATAGTTACACTGAAAATAATATTTTCCCCGATGAGAATAACAATACTGTTCAGTTGAAGAAGAAGAAAAAGAAAAAAAAAAATGTCACTTTTACAAACGAGAATGACGTATTTAATATACCACGGGGAAATAATGCAGACGGCTCATTTGATTATTATCAAAAGAGTATAAGGATGAACAGATCCAATGTTAGAGGTAGTCTGAGTAATGATATGAACGGCATGAATGATGAAAATATTAGAATTAACAATATGAACGGGATAAGGGACATTGTAATGAGTAATTATGTACCAGTAAGGGAAAAGGAGCAATATCCAAATGGAGATGCAAAAATAAAGGAGCCATTTATAAATCCATATAATGCAAATGGAAAGGATGAAAATAGTGGCGTGTGTAATTTCATTACACTAAAGCAAAATAATCACACATATCATCCAAATAATGTAAATAATAATTATATAGAATATGACATAAATAATAATGATCCTTTTTTTCCCGCAATTTCATCTAGTATGAAAAATGGTTCCACAAAAAGCAAGAACTTAGATGTTAATGATGCATGTAGAACTGCTGGAGTAAGTGTAAATGATTCTTTTAATGCCGGAGATATTTCTGTACAGGGGCATAAGACTATTCAGAACATTGCATATAACTCATGTGGAAGTCCACATGAATTGATGTATAATCACACTAATCCAAATGAAGTGAAGGATTGTGCAGAGTTAGGAATTCCGCAGAACGTGGATTCTAATGGCTTATACGCCCCTCAGCTTCTGATGAATGAGGTGCATGCAGGTAATTTGGGCAGCGATAATTTGGTTAATGGCAATCTGGTTAATGGCAATCAGGTTAATGACAATCTGGTTAGTGGCAATTTGGTTAGTGTCAATTTGATTAGTGGCAATCTGGTTAGTGGAAACCAAATCAGAGATAACCCAATAATGGACAGCCATCAGAGCAACAGTCAGGTGAACAGTGAAAAAATAAATATGGGTGTGGAGACCAGCTATTACAACACGATAATGTCCAACATTAACAGTGCAAATGTAAATGTAAATTCGAACACAAATGTGAACACAAGAGTTAACACAAATGCGAACATAAATACAAACGGTATGCATGGCAATGGTGCTTATAATTCAAATACACTAAACTGGAATAACACCGCTCAATTGAGTTGTGGAACGACGAATACAAATTCTAGCCGAAGTATGGACGGAGGTAATGTTATAAATAGAAATGATAAAAACACAATTGGAAATGGAAAGATAAAAGAGTCATCGGATCATCACAAGGGAAATGCTGCAACAAAAAGTGTAAGTTTTAGTAAGAAATTGGTACATAGTAAGAGAAAAGAAAAGGGGAAAACATCAAGTAATCAATCAATCACAATAAACAAAGTGAATAGGAATCAGCAACATAAGGTTAGTGATACCCAGGCACATAGCCCAAGTTCTAATCAACCACATTGTGCCATTCAGATGAAAGATGGAGTTTACTGCAATGACACCGATAATGGTAATAACAATGTTCAAGATATTAAAAAGCAATTTGTATTGAGATATTTGCAGGATGTAGAAAATATATATGAAATAAGAAAGAGAATAAAGCATCATGAAAATAAGGTAATTAAAAGGAGATCGAATTTAAGAAGCAGAAGAAGTAGTAATTCAAGAAACCTTTTAAATTATTTTAACATATTAGAATTATTATATAAATCTAGTAGAAAAAAAAAAAATATAAATGATAAAAGGATTAGGACACTTTTGTACGTATTTAAATATATTAAAAATATTGAAAGAAAAAAAAAAAAAAAAAAAAAAATTTTCCTTTTCGACACAGTCACGTTAAGACGTTTGAACAATCAGGTAGATTTATACATTGAATTTGTAGAAAAGCGAGAATATAAAAAAGATTTAGATACACATTTATATAGAAAAGAAAAAGAAAACAACGAAAGAAAAAATATCGGAAGGAAGTTAAGTGAACAACAAAACGTAACTTACATACAATCCAAGTTTATTCAAAACTTATTAAGGAAGAAATCAAATTTACATTTCAGTTTATCCAGAAGGGTAGAAGAAACTCAATATGAACATTTTTATTTTCATCATGCTTTGAAACAGGTAAATTATTTGTGTAATTTACTTGTGTACATGCATTTCATACTGTTGAAATATATTTCGATTTTTTCTCTTCCCGAATGGAACATGTTGTTATTTCGTGACATTGATTTTTTTAATTGCAATATGTTTGTTCCAAACGCAATGAATCCATGTGTAGTGCAAAAGGACAGCATTCCAACTTGTGCAAATGATGAAATTCCTTCTGTTGATTCTGAACAATGTGACGTAAATTTAGAGTCCAAGTTGGGCGACGTCATCAGTGTACATACCCATGAAAATGAAAACAGCACAAGTAGAAATGATTTTGGAAAGAATGACACATTCGCAGACATAGACGACGAAGTAGGGGATGGTTCAGAAAAAAGAAAAAACCCTGATGAACAACTTAGCGAACTTCCTACTGAACAACTGCATAACGAATCACCAACCGAGGTGCCTACTGAAACGCCTGTAGAATCGTCAGTAGAATCTCCAGCAGAATCACCAGCAGAGGCGTTAGCAGTACCCACAGCAAAACCGCTAGAAGTAACCACAGCAAAACCGCTAGAAGTAAGCACAACAGAACCGCTAGAAGTAAGCACAACAGAACCGCTAGCAGTACCCATAACAGAAGCGCTAGCAGAACTCACAACAGAACCGCTAGAAGTACCCACAACAGAACCACTAGAAGTACCCACAACAGAACCGCTAGCAGTACCCATAACAGAACCGCTAGCAGAACTCACAACAGAACCGCTAGAAGTACCCACAACAGAACCGCTAGAAGTACCCACAACAGAGCCGCTAGCAGTACCCACAACAGAATTTCATATCCAGGAACAGAATCCGGATGAGGGTATCACACTTCGAAACGATGTGCTTCTAAATGTAGAAACTGTTGAAAAACTGAACCCCTTATTTATGAATAGCGAAAACACAATTGATATAAATTACTACGAATATGCCATTGAGCCATTCGATTTTTATTTCTATGATAATGTGTATAACGAAATATTTAGTTATATGCAGATGCTTAGAAGTAGTAATGGAATCTGTGGGAATGGTGAGATTGAAAGAGGTATTGGTGGAAGGTTTGAGGATAGTGCACATCTTTTAAAGAATTTACCCTATCAGTACTATGAATATATAGAAATATTAAACAAAGAAATTATGAATGTGAGAGATTTAATATACAGAAATAAGTATATCAGATATATCTTCTATTATATTTATAGAAATAATGAGAGTAATATACTGCACAGTATGAATAAAATTTTAAATTTAGAAAAAAAAAAACTTCATCTTTACAAAATACAAATGAAATTGAGGTATAATATATTCTTGTCTCGATTTTTTGAAAATAGCGGTGTTATTGTTACCGCGACTGATGAAGAAAAAACAGATGCAAAACATGGATTAAATTTCATTGAAGTTAAAGAGAAATTATTCACGTCTTTGTTTAAACAGTATAGCGAACACTATTCTGTGCACCAGCAGCGAACTTCTGAGTTCCGTGATATCAAACGTCGCCTCTTTAACATCCCAGAGAATAAGTTTCCTCATATGCAGAAGAAAATTACTTTTTATTCTGACCACTTTGAGTATTTGAAGCATCGATTTTCTAGCAAGGAAGGAACGGGAGCAGTACGAGAGACGGTAGAAGTGGGAGAATCGGTAGATGTGAGAGAAGTGGGAGAATCGGTAGATGTGAGAGAAGTGGGAGAGTCGGTAGAAGCGAGAGAAGCGGGAGAGTCGGTAGAAGCGAGAGAAGCGGGAGAGTCGGTAGAAGCAGCAGAAGAGGTGACAGATGCAGCAGTGGCAGAAACGTACGAGAGACAGAAACTCAAATTTGACGAAGCGTATGACTATGTGGAGTACATGTACAAAAAAAACTACGCGCTAATCATAAATGGAGAAAAGAACAACTCGAGGAAGTTCAAAGCAGCTTACATAGTGAAGAAGAGTCTGAAGGAGAAAGAAAATCTTGTGATTATAACGTCCGTTCTGAATGTCATTAAGTGGAAGAGTCTTTTTGATAATTTTGAGCACACAACAGTGTATCACAGCGAGGAAAGTATTTTAGAAAACAAGGTGAAGAATGAAAACAGTAATCTTATCATATGTGTTGATTTTTTACCAAAAATTTTGCACATACGATGTGAAGTAATCATATTAGATATGTCTCACTTTAACTTGTTAAATAAGATAAGTATAGTGAATGATTTACGTTATCTGAATTTCTCAAAAAAGATAATAATTCTAAATAATGGGCTAACAGATGATTGGAATTTGTTATCGTCTCTTTTTTTATTGAATATTTCTCATGTTGACAATTCCATCGTTTCGGAGATTCAGATGTATCATAGTGATGAAGACAAAAAAATACTTAGTGATATTATGAGAAATTTCCTTGCTCATTTTTGTGTAATCAATAAGAAATGCAATGAAATTAGCGGAAGAATAAATTGTGAATTGAATGAAAGATCTGTAGAAGCATCTAACAAAATATGCTTTATCATAACATATATGAGTGGCATACAGAAATTTATTTATGACAATGTGAATGAAGAAGACAAATGGCATACATCAGTGCACCCACTTTTACTTCTAGATGAAGATTCATTTTTTTTAAAAGATTTTAATATTTCGGAAAAATTTGATTTGTTAAAAAATATAATAAAAAAATTTCTCATTTTGAAGAAACGCATGATTATATGTTATTCTGGAAAAGAAAAATTAGAAAAATTGATAAAGATATTGCTCAATGTACATTTACTTAATGATATATCCAATATTTCCTTTTTCGACATACGAACAAATAATAATTTTATTAATATACAACAGTATGATGTAGCAATCGTTGTGAATAACCACACACAATACTTAAACTATTTTGAAAATCATCGAATTCCATGCTATCTACTTGTTTCAGCTTTTACAAAAGAGGAAGAAGAAATATTCAATACATGTAAAGACAAAAAAGAAGTTCATTTTTATAAAAAAAAAAAAAAACAATTAATGAATTTACATAAATCATCTAGGGATAGAATCTATAGATACTACATAAATAACATGATTTCAGAGAATGATGATCAATTCTTGTTGTTTAATATTGTAGATCAAAAAGAAAAGGTCTACTGTAACACGTCCTATGATGAGATCGTGCTACCAACTTGCTTCGTTTCAACGCTTTCACATTGTGAAGCAGCACTTGGTTATTCTGGTAGGTCCCTTCAAATCGAAATGCCTATGAGTTATGTCTACGTGTGTTCGACACAGTTGTAGTTCTAGCTGCAGCTTTTGCATATCAAATCTGTTTTTTTTTACGAGTATGATTTACATTCATACATGTCTTGCTCCTCCCTTTGCTCCCCTCCCATGCATTATTTGTTACCTAACATTATTAAATCGCACATCTAACACCATACATCTAACGTCGCACATCTAACGTCGCACATCTAACGTCGCAAATCTAATGTTGCACATCTTACATTTAACTTCGAACATCTCACTTTGAACCTACAGAACATTGGCAAGAAATAAAAAATGCCCACAGCTTCTGGAACTTCAACAATTTCAACAGGGATAAGGTTATTTTCTATCTAGACCGAAAAAATACTGTATACGACAAGTACCAAAACTTGATATATCCAGTATCAGAGGATTACATATCCCCACCGCAGGTTAGTTAAGTTGTGATAATGTAAACAGATTTATCTTTTACCCAATCTGTTTTTTTTTTTTTTTTTTTTTTTTTTTTCATTCCACGTATAATTTTCGCAAAAAAAGAAAAACAAAATGTTGGAACCTCTTCACACGTAAAATCTACACACTAGACATATACCATCTCTTTAATTTTTTTTTTTTTCTTATATGCAAATATCAGATTTACTACTATTTGACAAACCCGATAAACGAAAAGAACACATTTAACAACTGCATCTCAATGGCATTAGATGAAATTATTCAAGAAATGAACAGAAAAAAAGATCTAGATGAGTTTGATGAAATGAAAAAGATTACGTTATTAAATATTAAGGAAAAAACGTGCAAAAAATATTTTTCCTCCATACGGAAGATAGAAAAAATTTTGTCTGAATTTTTAAAGGAAAATAAGAATAAATCCTTTGAGCGCTTTTTAAAGGTATATTTGAGAGGAAAATGTTTCATTTTGTATTTGACGTTTATTGTGTATACGTTTTTGTATTAACACCTGTTGCCATGTGGTGCTCTGCTATGCCTTGTTATGTTGTGTTTTTTTCTTTTATGAAGTAATGCACCATTTGATGGCCACCATTGCAGTGTGAACATTATTGGTTTTCTTCTGCATATTGCTTATGGTACACGTCCATATGGAACACATCGAGTTTTCTCTACATTTTTTTTTTTTTTTTTTTTTTTCTTTTTCCCTCGTAGGGGTGTGAGAGCTATGGGCAAGTCATCACAAAATGTAAAGAAAAGTTGTTCATGGCATTTAACAGAACGTACAATTTACATTTTAAACAATTTGAGGATTTCTGGCTTGATGAAGAAAAGAAAAGAAAGGAAAAATGGAAAATTTTATGGAGTTTACACGAAATGAGAGAGAACGGAGAGGAAAAGAATACAAATGATAACACTGAAAATGTAGGGGGCAGTGATATTACAGTTAGTAATGCAGTTAGTAATGCAGTTGGTAATGCAGTTAGTAATGCAGTTAGTAATGCAGTTGGTAATGCAGTTGGTAATGCAGTTGGTAATGCAGTTGGTAATGCAGTTGGTAATGCAGTTGGTAATACTGTCACAAGCTGTAATAATTATAATGCTAATCTTTCCCAGATTAATTGTCTATTTAACAGAACAGTTAGCGATAAAAGTGAGTTGAATTATAAGTGCCATGAAAATAATAGCTTTTCAAACAGTGATAGTAACAGTTTAAGTAATAGCCTTAACAACATTGATAAAATGAAGAACGAATTTAATTTACTGGAGAAGAAAAACTTCCGCATTCGACTTTCATCTCAACTATTTGACGAAAAAGAATTAGATCATTTATTTCCGGAAAGGAAAAAAATATGTTTATCAAATGGGGATAATCAAGAGGTGGAGAAGCAGCAGCAGACGGGGCTAGAGGATAAGAAAACCTGCTTATATATCGAACGGAAAGATACTCAGGAGGATGCAGAAGCCGAAAGGGAGCAGGGACCATGTCAAGTTCAGACTCTCTCTCCTAAGTGAACTCTAATGTATTCAATTATTGAAATATTTGTTGAAAAAAAAAAAAAAAAAAAAAAAAAAAAAATACACAAGCGTGTATTTACATATATCAATTTTCCGAATTATTGAAACATTTTTTCAAATACAAAAAAAGAAAAAAAAGGCTATTCTATTTTGTTGCTATTGCATACTGTGCGAGAACTTATGTATTTACACACCTTTGGGTGCGTGTGGGGATATAAAGTATATTTGAAAAAATATGTACAAGCATATGAAAAGAATACACGTTTTAAATAAACGTATTTTTTAAAAAAAAAAAAAAAAAATAAATAAAAAAAAGGTTATTCTATTTTTGTTGCTATTGCATACTGTGTGAGAAAACTTATGTATTTACACACATTTGCGTATGTTATGGGGAAAGGAAAGAGGATCCAGTTAAGATAGAAATAGAGCCAAAAATGAAGATATAATTAAAAAAGAATTGTGAGGTTTATAAGAAGGTAGAAATATTATATAGTTACATTGGGAAGCATGTAAGAAAAAACTATAACAGCTTTAAATTTTAACATTTTTGTCATTTCCTTTGTGTTGTTTTATTTTATGCATTTTCTTTTTTTTTTTTTAGCTTTTTTGCAATTCGCATTTTTGGAATTTGCTTTTTTTTTGATTTTTAACTTTTTCGTTTTTTCTGCTTTTCGCCTTTTTGCTTTTTCGCCTTTTTGCTTTTTCGCCTTTTTGCTTTTTCGCCTTTTTGCTTTTTCGCCTTCTCGTTTTTTCGTGTTTTCTTCTCCCCTCTTTTTTTTTTTTTTTTTGTTTTATTTTTTTTTTCCAAATGGATATTGAAGAAAAGTTGTATGAAATAAAAAAGTTGCTAGAATTGCAAACGTTTAAAAAAGGAGAAACAAGAGAAAGCCTTATAAAGTTGATGAGAGAAATATATTTAACTTTTATGTTTTACAAAGGAGAAGATACGAATAAAACTTTCAAAGTATGGTAAACGAGTGAAAAGAGAGAGGGAGAGACAAAAAGAGGGGAAAGAAAAGGTGACAAAAAAAAAAAAAAAAAAAAAAACCAAGAGCGAAAAAACATGAATGTGTAACACAGAACTGTAATGCTGCATATTGTTTCTTTTTATTTATTTATTTTTTTTTTTTTTTTTTTTTTTTTTTTTTTTTTTACATCTATATTAAATTATTTTGTAAACCTTTTTCTGTCTCTCTGGTCTGTCTTTCTGTATGTATGTCTTTCTTTTCTTTTTTTTTTTTTTTTTTTTTCTTTTTCCCCTTTTTAATATGTGAGGGAAAAGAAGGCAAGAACGCTTCTACAGCTGAACCATGTAAATAATATACACATATGTGTCTCCATCCCCAATTCTACACACCATTACCATTTAATTTTGAATCAAAAGGAACCTATTTAAATTTTGTGAAAATTTAAGAATAAAATATTTTATAAGTAATTTCTTTTATTCATTTTTTACTTGAACATTTTGTCATATTTTATTTAACTTTTTTTAAAGGCTATATTCATATTTTGTTATGCGGGCCGTTTTTTCTTCTTTTATAGGCCATATATATTTTGATATGCGGGGGTTGTTTTTTTTTTTTTTTTTTTTTTTGTTTCTTTTAATATGTTTATTTAAAATGTTATTATTTTTTAAGACTATACTAATTGTTCTTCTACCCGTTCACTCAACACACTTCCCTCCTTCATTTCTGTACAAATGAGGTTGCCAGTGTTTTTTTTTTTTTTTTTTTTTTTTCCTTCTAATTGTGTAAGTTTACTGCATTATAAGTACATTTGTAAGTCTACAGGACATCAAACATTTTAGCTTAGTTTGAAATGTCCACTTAATGCTAATGTAAAACGTGGACGAATTAAGGAAAAAAAATTAGAAAAATCAAAGAGTGAAAAGTAAATTGTTCTCGTTAACGAGATGTAATAAAAGTCAGCTTCCATGCACTCACGATACACCTTTTTTCCAAACCTACAACAGAAACGAGAACAAAGAAAATCCATTTTGCGTCTCCTACTTGTCCATGTGGACAGCGAAAACCACACGAGCAATGGTGAAAAGATTTTGATGATTAATTTAATAAAATTAATTGAAAAGAAAACTTGTGAACTTTTTTCGTCTTATCCAAATATATGGAAAGGAAACAACTCGGCTTTTTTTTTTTATATATTAAATGCACAACATGAAGACAAAAATTTAATCAGGAATATTTTCCCCATTCTTAAAAATTCAGAAAACGCTTATAAAAACATTTACATATCTTTACTCCAATTTAGATCCAACGATTTTTCAGCAAAAATGAAAACATTAAAATATATTTTTTATGAGTATGTACTATGTAACGATACATGCAAAAAAGAAATCCAAAGGGATGAAATTCAAGAGTTAGATGTGACTAGAGTAGAAAACAAGACCATCTTCAATGATGCAACAAAATTTTCCACCTTCTTAGTAGAAGAGAACGAATCTATAAATGTTGATCAAGAAATGAGTTGCTTCTTCTTTTCTGTCATACCTCATTTGATTATGAACGACTACCTTGCGTTCCTCAAGGAGAGGTATGAAATAAAAAAAAAAAAAAAAAGGAGCACCCAAAAGAGAGTGCAAAATGGGAAAACATTTCTCTCCATGCAAAAGGGTGTTCATATGTATGTAAATTGGATCGGAACACTGCAAACATCTCCTGCTGCCATCTTGAATCTAAACTACACACTTGTTTAATTTGAGAAACTCAAAAAGGCTAACGCTATAACGGTGCATTTGATTCACCAATATAATATACACGCTACTGCATCAGAGTGTACTTTTCACTTTGTGAAATTACGTAAATTGGTGAAACGTGGATGGAGAAAAAAAAAAAAAAAAAAAAAAAAAAAAAAAAAAAAAACACCAAGTTAAATGTGTAGATAAAAAAAAAAAAAAAAAACTACTTGACTCTTCCTCTCTGTGTCAGAAAAAAGGAGAAAAATGAAACTAGATTGAGATTTCTAGTGAAAGGAGGTGGGAAGAAAAAATCAAAAACAAAGAAAGGATACATTAAGGACTTAATTAGATACACAGCAAGTAAAAACATCTTGCACGAGTGTTTCCAGAATATCGAAGATAATACACATAATGAGAATGTAAAAGGAAATAATGAACAAAACATGACCAGGATGAATAATATTCTAGAAGAACGAAAAAGAGTATTGGGAAATGGTGGCTATAAAATCTCTGACATAAACAACTTTACAAATGGGAGAACAAATAGTTATGCAATACATTCTGAGAATAATAAAGAATTTACTGCTACTCTTAAAAAGGGAGAACTAGATCAGGACATAGAAAGGAATGAACATGTATGTTGTATTATTGAGAAGCATTACAGCGAAAATTTTCTTATGGGTATTTTTTTTTACATAAAAAATATGATAGGATATTATGAAAAATTAGTAAATGAAAAAAAAAAAAAAAAAAAAAACTCATTTAAGACAGGCAAAGATTACATTTCCTGCTTTATAATGCATAGTATATGTATTTTATTTTACATATGTTGTATGAACCAAAATTTTATATCTATTTGTTATGACTTGATAAAAAATATAAAAAATAAATTAACCATTTATATGAATACCTCAATTATCATTTCCATGTCAGAATTTATTTTATTTTTTTCTTCTCATGAAAAATTTGTCAATGTGTCTAATTATTTATTTATGAATTTTATACGAGAATATAAAGACTGCCTAACAGCTGTCTCCTTTTTTGATTTCATCATGAAAAATCTTTATATACTTGAGGATAGAAATTTTTTTTTCAAAAAATATTGTTCTATAATATTGAAGGCTTACTTTTACCATTACAGAATTTTTAAAAATGACTTGATTTACCTACTGCCCTCCTTAATTTATGAGAAAAACTACAAGGATGTTTTCTGCTTCTTGCTCTACGTGCCACTTTTAGTGGACATGGAAAATGTGGTATCAAGAGGGAGAAGTGACCAGAGAGGGATAGAAGTGACTAGAGAGGGATAGAAGTGACCAGAGAGGGATAGAAGTGACTAGAGAGGGATAGAAGTGACCAGAGAGGTGATAAGAATGAAGTGACTAGAGAGGGATAGAAGTGACCAGAGAGGGATGAAGTGACTAGAGAGGTGAAGTGACTAGAGAGGGATAGAAGTGACTAGAGAGGGATAGAAGTGACTAGAGAGGGATAGAAGTGACCAGAGAGGGATAGAAGTGACTAGAGAGGGATAGAAGTGACTAGAGAGGGATAGAAGTGACCAGAGAGGGATTGAAGTGACTAGAGAGGGATAGAAGTGACTAGAGAGGGATAGAAGTGACTAGAGAGGGATAGAAGTGACATGTGTCAAGAGTAGAAGGAAAAGGATCGTGCGCTTACGAAAAATGTGCGAACGTGTGTAAATCATTCTGCGCTTCCAATTCTTTCCTCTTCATAAGTATTTCAACTATCTGTGAATTAATTCTTCCTTTCACATGGATAGAATAGCAAACACATATAGAGACACATTCTGTCGCACATCCCCCATCCTCTCCCTCATCAGGAAAGCATAAGAGATTTTAACTCACGGAAGGGACAAAACCCATCCCCTCAAGCAGATATGGATTTTAAGAGAACTAAAGAATATGTGGAAAAAGGTTGGTTCCATTTGACTTGAAAACAGTTTGTATAAATTATATACCTGAGAAAAGGCATAACCGAAATGATTATTTCTGTTTTTCTTACAAGATTTGGAGGTTTTCTCCTTGCTATTTTTTTTTTTTTTTTTTTTTTTTTTTTTTTTGTATACCCACATGACATCATATATGGTTGTTCTATATCTATTTTCACACCCATTTTTCAGGAAAAACAACTTTGTTGGTTCAAGAATTAGAAGGAATTAAAACACGAGTGTAAGTGCTTTTTTACTTGTGTGTGACTAGACTTGGGATCATAATACTCCACGTGGACTAAGCTCTGTTTGGGCACAGTCTCAAATTCCTCACCATTTCTCCTCATACGTACATGTGTACATATATAAGTACATATCTAATGACATATATAAGTACATATATAATTACATATATATGTACATATATATATTATATACATGTGCATATGTCCGGCTCTTCCCTCACTACACACCCATACCGACACAGAGAAGAGAAGAACAAACGTAAGGTAATGGACATTCGAGACAACATACCAGTATATTTGAAGGCCTACTTTGAATCTATCATCCGGCTAGAGGATAAGAAAAAAGTGAGACGTTCGTGGGTGGAGGAAATAACAAAAATAATTTTGCATAAATTGACATGTTCAGACATACTTGAAATTTTAAATAAGGAGAGTATAAAAGAAATATTGAAAAATGTAAATTATATAGTTCGTAATAATTCGAAAATATTATTACATTTTAAAGGGGAATTTATAAATTTATTAAAAAATGAATCACGGTACTACTATTTCATAAATAGAAAATTGCTACAAATTTTAGCAGAAAATATAAAACATATGAAAATAACATATGATGATATTGAAGACTACTATATAACATTATATTCTTTTTTTTCTAACGAAAATTATATCGAATTAAAATTTTGGATTTCTTTAATTCATGCATTTACAAATATAGCTATATACTGTCATGACCTTTCAACAAATGTATTAACTGCATACACAAAATTTATTTCTCAAAGTCAAGTAACATTAACATTGAAGCAAATTGTTATTCAACATATTTCTCTCATAAAGAATGTATCCTATGTGAAGACAATTTCTTTTTAACTCAAACTAAACTTTAATCCAACTTTTTCAAAACACATTTGATTGTGTTTTTCTGATATATATGCCACCCCCGTTTCTCTTTTAGCCTTTTTCTATGACATTTTTGAAAACGAAAAAAAAAAAAAAAACAAGCAAACACACACACAAAGAAAATCAAGTACCATTCGCCCTTTCGTTTCTAAGAATAAAATATACACAAGAGAGATCACACTTGGAACGAACAAGTATTTGTTTGTATGGAGAAGCACTGGGCAGAATTGGGAAGATGTTGGAAATATTTTGTTAATTCAAATTGTTGATAGTTGTTTATGATTGAGATGTGTCAACACAAACGTGCGTTTTTTTTCATCTCTGTAAAGCACACTACGTGTGATTCTGCAAAAGGTTCTTTTCTTTTTCTTTCACACATTTTTTTATGCGTTTGTATTTACCTTCACACGCATATTTTTTTGATATGTTAGCCCATTCAATCGAGACGAATTAAAAAAAAAAAAAAAAAAAAAAAAAAAGTAATATAATGTGATATGATATGATGTGAAAACAGCATCTATTGCACTTCAGGCAGTCGCTCCCCCTACGCCCTACGGATTGGCATCACGTGAAGTAGCGGAATGTGCATTTTCATTCGTGTTTGCATTCCCACTTGTGCTTGTAGCATTTGCATTGGTATTCATTGCATTCATTTGTAATTCACGCTTAATCTGAATATAATTTTTACATAAATCTATTTCATTTTTTTTTTCTATTATCGTCACTTTTAAACGTTTTATTTGTTCATTTAACTTTTTTATTTTGTTGTTAAAATAATCGATAGTTTGCTTAGCATTTCTCTGCACATAGTAGTTAGTCCCCATGCGTACAAGGAAATTTTCTGTATTCACAATTTTGCCTGATGGGGGAAAAAACGAGAAGATGAAAGTGGTCTATACTGAGTGAAGTGGCTACTCAAATTGGCTACTCAAAATGGCTACTCAAATTGGCCACTCAAAATGGCTACTCAAAATGGCTACTCAAATTGGGTGATCAAACGTTCTAAACCACTTTGCATCTTTTACCAGGGATGTAAACCAAAGATGTCAGAGGTATGTGGACATCCAAGGACTTCGCCTGATCCTCTTGTTCTTCCTTCTTCGTTATCTCTATTTTGTGAATTAGATTGTCCAATTGTTCTACGCTATTATCCTTTGGTTTGTATTCTTCATTATCTCGAGGTACAACCCCACCCTCTGCTGTCTGCTCCCTGTTGCAAAGTTTTATTAATTCGGATCGTTCTAATTCATTCATAAATGCATTAAAGTTTTTGGCTTCGAATTTTGTAGGATTCAGTTGCTCAACTGAGTTTTTACACTTGTCGTATGTCAACACGGCTCCTTCCAAAATTGCGTAATTCTTTTTTATTAACTTCCATTCCTGAAAGAGGGGACAAGAAGAGGAAGAAATCGAGAAGCAAACGTGAAGCAAACGTGAAGCAAAAGTGAAGAAAACGCATAGACGTGTGCATATTTAATTGCATTCCTTCATGGCAACAGGGAATGAAGTGAGCAAAAAACTACATACACAATGAAACATATAATCGAATATACACATTGTTTATGGAAAAAAAGAATAGATACGTGTTAATAATCGGTGAAATGAGGAGAATTAAATTGTTTTTCTACTTTTCTTCCCCGCTTTTCCCCACTACCCCAAAAAAAAAAAAAAAAAAAAAAAAAAAAAAAAAAAAAAAAACTCAATTGTGACATCATACCTCTTCCAATTTCAAAGTTAAGGATATGAGTTCATCAAGTCCCAAAGAATTTAACTGAATGACAACATTCGGTTTCTCACGTTCCTTCTCCTCAATCTTTTCCAAATCGCACGCCATTGTAACACGTAAAAAATAGACCAATGCAAAAATAAATGCAGAAAAGCAGACAAAAGAATTTCATTAAGTTTTGCCTACAGATCCTTCATTCAACTACTTCGTCTAATTTTTATGCCTGGGTACCTGAAAAAAAAAAAAAACAGGAAACAGAAGATATATGTGCATCTGCCAGCGTGCAAGTCCTTGTGTTATTTTGTGTTATGTTATGTTATGTTTTGTTATGCTATTCTATGTTGTATTATACTATTCTACGTTGTATATTATGCTATGTTATGTTGTGTTTTTTTTTTTTTTTTTTTTTTTTTATAAATTGTGAAAGGCCTAACCTTTTCTTTCAAAAACGCTGTAAGAAAACTTTGCGTCTGAGTGGGTTAAAAAAAAAAAAAAAAAAAAAAGATCAGTCTTCTTTCTCCTTCAATATCTTCTCTATGAATCTCACTATTTCCAAAAAGCTTGTTCACAAAAATGTTCCAAGTGTTTGAAAATATGTCAAGTTTATATGACAACTTAAACACGTTGGAAATGTGACAACTTGTGTGTAGTGCTTGTCATGCTTGGCAAGATAGAAATGTTTTTGCCGTGTGCGGGAGGGGCTTAAATCATTTACCAATTTCTTAATTCTCAAGAAAATATACTTTCTGGAGTTATTACTTAGCAAGGTTTTTTAAAAAAAAAAAATAAAAATAAAATTCACAATTTCCAGAATTATACATGCGACACTCAAAAAGGGAAAAAAAAAATAATAAAAAAACTGAAAACTCCTTAAAACGGGAGAATGGTGCCAAAACGAGAAACTAGAAATTAAGCAGAGTTGCGAGACGAAAATGAAGTATTCCACACTCCCCACGTGTTTATGATTGGGGAAAAAAGAAGTAGTGTTCACATATTATTCACTTCTGCATAAATAAATGGAGGATACTGTGTAACTATGTTTAAGTACCCAACTGGCCACTGCTCACGTTGTTACAGTGCAAAAGAAAAAAAAAAAAAAAAAAAAAAAAAAAAAACTGAAAACGCAGCGAAAAAGTGTAACAAAAAACCGTACAGAAAAAATATGAGAAAAGAAGATACACTTAAAGTGAATAAAAAGAACAAATAAATAATCAAGCGAAACCAAGCGAAAGAAAAACGATCATTCCATTTTTAAAATTATTTTCCAGTGTTGTGAAAAAGGATCACTAATGCCAATATACATTGCTGCTCCGTACTGGTAAGCGCGCTGAATTACATCATAGATGAATTACATCACAGATGAGTTACATCACAGATGAATTATATTAGAGATGAATTCGTTGCTTCTTTTTTTCAAGCCATTCCTGCCTTTTAATCAAGTTTTCACAACTTATATAAATGAAAACACCCTGTGCTGATTTTTTCACACATATAAAAAGAACGTAATAAAAACGTGATGATAAGGTGATGATAACATGATGAAAACATGATAAAATCACAATAAGAACAAAATATAATTCAAACCAACCGGTAAAATAAATGTATACGCACAAACAAAGCACATTTACACAAATTGCAACCTGCAAACATAATTTCTCACCTTGTTTTTATAAAGTTATATAAAACCTTCCATACCCCATGCGTTGTGAGTTTTGAATTTTTCCATCACGAACTTAGGCAACACATAAGTTTTTTATATATCAAGATTGACTAATCAAAAGGGTATAGGATAAATGCATTCTCTAGATTAAAAATAAAAAAAAAAGGAAACAGATAATTTACCATATAAAGAAGACATATCCAAACTTTTGTTGTGACATGGATCACCAAGACCTTAAGCCAGTTATCTGGCACAAAAATGAGAAGAAACCAAAACCAAAAAATATTCAGGAAGCGCGAAAGTTGGGGATAGATGTAGAAGTAGAAAAGAAATTTTTAGGTGGTAAAAACAAATCATGTAAAGGGAATTTAATAATAGAAAATAAAGCGAAAATTGAACAAGAAACTGAAAACTTCAAAATTGATAGAGTCACTCCTGTTTTTTCAAGAGCATTACAGCAAGCAAGAATTAATAAAAAATTAACACAAGCACAGCTAGCTAGATTAGTTAATGAAAGTGAATCTGTAATTAAGGAATATGAAAACGGAAAAGCTATCCCAAATAATGTCATAATTCAAAAACTCAATCGGGTATTAGGAATTAATTTACCATCCCCCAAGAAAAAGTAAAGATTCAAGATCGATTAACTATGTATCCTCCTTTACATGATTGGTCATACATCATAATGTACATTATAAATGGAAGAATATTATGTGAGGCTCACAAATAGATGCATGCAGAAAAATCATTTCCTTCATTCAGCCTTTTTCCCCACCCTATGTGTTGTATCAGACAGGCGATACATGAGAAAACGTGACGATACACATGAGATCGTGTCGATTCATGTGATCCCATGACGACATGGGTCATGTGTTTCTCTAAGCGCAGTGTTAGTGTTATTCTTATTTTCTTATGAGCAGTTAGGTGAACCAGACGTGGGGAAAATAAAAATATTCCCCTGTACAAAATAACATGCATGTACAAAAGGGGCAAGAAAAAAAAAAAAAAAAAAAAAAAGGAACTAGGTTTTACAGTATCGTGTGAAGAATGCATGTTTCACGGTTCACGAGTATAATGGCAATCGTTCTGTGTAACCGTTTGCTATGTTTAGTAAGTTTTTTCATTTTTTTTCCTTTTTTATCACCCCGTTTTATGACACTCTTTTATCATTTTATATATATATATATATTTTTTTTTTTTTTTTCTTTTTTGAGCGTTTCATTTTTTCCATGTGATTTAAAATTTTTTTTTTTTTTTTTTCGACTCTTTTATGCATCTTTCGAAGAATGAAAAACCAGTCCAAAAGGTGAACTCTCATTTTTATGTGACACCATTCGCTTCTATTTCCCTTGAGGATCTTTCATTCCAAAAGGTAAAAATGCAAAAAAAATAAAAAAATAAAAAAATAAAATAATATCCATTCTCTTTGGAAGACCTTTTTATTTGTGTATCATCCATTAGAAGATGTGTGAAAAACATACAGGACTGTCTGAGTTAACTTCATGTTGATATGGTCCGACAAAAATGTAACAATCGTTGTAAGCCCACTGTAAAGAGAGAGGTGGTGGGGTGTGATGGAATAAATGAATGGGTGATATATGCTTAAGTAGCGGAAATTGATTGTGTCATTTTGGGGTTATTTCCATTTCTCCATGTATAGCGATGTGTGGAAATTTTGCAAGGATGTGCGACGACACGTGGAAGTATATATAACACAAGGTGCGTTAATTTTTTTCTATTCATTCCTCTTTTGGTTTCTTTCTCTCCCTTCCTAAATACCGTATCTGCATTATGTTTGATGGTGGCCATTTGACTCGACTTCACTGAAACGGCTTCCGGGGCGACATAAGGGTACTATGCATATATATACACACATATACATATATATGTTAAGGAAAAGGATAAAAATGTAAACGTGTTATAATTTTGTTTGCGGAATGGGCATCAGGAAAATCAATTGATGCACGACAGAGTGCGTGCACTTTTTTATTTTTTTTCTCTCAGTGTTTTTTTCTTATTACCCCGTCGTAGGTCCACATATCATTCCGATTGAGAAAATAACAACCTGGGTAGAGAGAACTACTCCAATTTTGTTTATTCAAGTTTAAATGTCTTATAGATGTGACATAATTCACCAGATCATTTTCAATAGCTATACCAGCTAGTAGGCCGTGAGAAAATGCTAATGAATTATCAAAGTGTGTTGGAAAACAGCAATTTATTTCCATATCCATATTTTTAATAACACTTTTAAAATGCTGTATATAATTGATATTACTATAGACTTTCGTATCTTTTAGTATCAGGTTACTTTTCACAGTTTTCATATGTTCTTTGAAGGCATACACTTCTTTTTTTTCCTTAGCTTTTGACATAACTTCTTTTATGTATTTTTTTATTTCTTCTACAAGCATGAATTCAAAGTTTGCATCTACATCTTCATCTTGTCTTTTTTTTGTGTCTAGAAGTTTTTCCTTCACTGTTTTAGTACAAATTCTCAACAATTCCACACTTTCTTTGGTTAACTTTTTTACAATCCTGGAAATGAATAAAAAATTTTGTTAAGAGAAGTGATTTATGTATCGGTTAATCGATGGCATAGTATGTTCTTTTTTTTTTTTTTTTTTTTTCTGCACATCTATCATGATGTTTTTTTTTGTCTCAGAACAACTCAGATGTGGTAGAAGAATTACACAATGCTTACTTATCATCAAGGATAGATTCATTGATAATTTGATTTAACTCATCTTGATTATTTATATTTTGGTTCACATCAGAGAGTAAATGGTGAAAATCAGTGATTCTAAAGATTAAATTTGAACTTAGTAATATAATTCCATAAAATTTTTTCCGATTTATTCTTTCAATGATAATTGTTGAAATTTGTTTAATAAGTTCATGGAGAGTAATCATTTGATAATCTATGCATTCTCCAATTAAGCAAATATTACAATGTGTTTGTAATTGTATAGACAAAAGTGACGAAGAGGAAATATTCGTGGGTATTTTAACAAAGTAGTAAAATGTATTCATATTGATTGTATAGGTCTGTAAATTTCCAATTATATCACTCATAGTATGAACCATTGAATGATAACCTATGCTACATTCAATTAAATTTTTATAAAAACTATTGTATAAAGAAATTGGAACTGTTACAATTTTTATGTCTACTTTTTTTTTTATAAATTTATCATTAAGTATATTCATAAGAGATATTACTTTTTCATCTCCAATGAAAACTAAATTTGTAATCCTATTTTTTCTACAATTTTTTATTATTTCTTCCATATATTTTTCTTTCATCAAATCGTGAATACCAACTATTTCACTGTTCCCACATTCGTTACCATCCCTTTTATTCCATTCTAATTGCACACCTAGCAATGCAGCTCCCCCCAAATTTACATAATTCCTCACATAACTATCTTTAATTATGCACACATCATTATTTAATAATCCTCTTATCCCTTTCAAAAAACCGATTAATTTTATGTTATTCATTGAAAGTCTTTCATGCAAACCTGCTATTATGTTATTTACTCCTGGCACACTATGAGAAAGGATTACAAGGCCTACATTTTTTGTTTTTACAAATGTGCATTTATCATTACATCTAGATCTTTTATTCATATTCACGGGCTTTTCTCGGATTACATAAATCTCTTTTATCTTGTCTATGTATTCAAAGGATTCCAAATTTAAACTGGATTCGAAGTGGCTATCTACGTACACAATTTCACTGTTGTGTCGAATTAGATTCGTGTTGAATTTTATGGTAGTCATCGATAGTATCTGTTCAATTTCGGAGGGGGGCCAGACCTGTGCAGAGCTTACATTACAGTTTGGGTTGTTCTTGAAGTTGCAATTGGGGTTGTTCTTGAAGTTGCAATTGGGGCTGCACTTGAAGTTGCAATTGGGGCTGCACTTGATGCTGGAGTTGGAGTTCCCTGCTGAATGTTCATTTTCCTCCTTTCTGCACTCAGACACATGTTCGTAGCCCTGAGGAGTTGCATCCTCGGACGTTCCCGGCTTTATTCGCTCACTCTCCTGAAGAATCTCGTGGATGTCCACCTTCTCTACTTCATTTTTCAAATAGTCTACCTCAGTATGTATTCCCCCAAAGCATCTTTCTCCACACAAGTACTTCCCACTGAACCCAGAAAGAGTGAAGTTTATTCTATTGAATATCTCAGACCATTTAGAGCAATATTTAGAAGAAGGGCTTGAAAAGATTTTGTTCAACTTGTTAGGGGAAATCAAGGCACATTCATCATTGTCTTCAATCATGTTACTCTCGAACTGGATCCCACAATGGGTTCTATACATATCGGCATAAAGCAACATGCATCTATATTTTTTGTATTTTAAGAAATATGTGTTGCTTAAGTTTATTTTTTTTTTTTTCACAAAGATTGCGTTGTCATTCAGATTCGGCTTTGCTTCGTCGTCATTCAGATTCGACATTGCTTCGTGGTCATTCTGATTTGACTTTGCTTCGTGGTCATTCTGATTTGATTTTGCTTCGTGGTCATTCAGATTCGACATTGCTTCGTGGCCAAGGTGATCATGATTGTCCCAAGAGCCCTCCCTTTTGACATCTCCTTTTTTTCCCTCATGTATCTCAACCTTCTTAACCCTCATTAAGCGAGAGAGAGGTACACCCAGCAATTCCACCTTCTGTGGGGCGTGCAGCAGATTTTTTAAGTTTCTGATGATACATAAATAACCGTTGTAATTATTTTCCACAATTTCAACACAGCCCAATCCTAGTATGTAACTGTAAGCACAATCGAAGTTTGATGGAAGAGAACAAGTAATATCATTTTCATACGAATGGGAAACAAACTTAATGTCTTTTATTTTTTTTTCTTCTATTTGCTTTTTCACGCAGGTCAAAAGGAGCTCTTCCGTTTTAAGGCGCGAGTACTGAAAAAAAAAAAAAAAATAAATAAATAAAATAAAGTAAAATAAAATAAAGTAAAATAAAATAAAGTAAAATAAAATAAAGTAAAATAAAATAAAGGGACACATAAGGGAAGAAAGAATGGACATGTGTACGGAGTAGTAATTACAAAGAATGATGAGAAAAGTGAATGTAAGCGTGAGAAATGAATTAGAACAGCAGTGCTGACACCGTGTAATAGCACTCGCGTATGTATATGCATATTCTGGGGAAGAAGAAAAGACAAGGAGGTACACACAGGGTAATGGTAGTGGTGGTAGTAACTATAGTAGTAGTGACGGAGGAGAGGAACATTTTGCGCATTACCTGAAATTTCTCAGATTTGATTTCGTCCAAGAGGTTCTTCTGAAAGAAGAGAGGGAGAGAATGAAAAAGCTCCATACTATCGGCATCTAAGTGTTTTTCCATCTTTTTTTTTATCTCTTGTTCATCGAATGTGAAGTTTTCAAATTGCTTCTTAGCGCATATGAGTGCTTTAACCATTTTTTTGAATTCCACAATTTTACCCAATAATCCCTCAGGTGTTATGATGATGCCATATTTTTTCTTAAGCATTTGATACCTGGTTTGAACAACATGAGCAATAAAATTTATTATATCTTTTAGTTTTTTTTTTTTTTTTTTAATTTCTTCACTGACTAGAACGATGTTAACCTTGGTTTGTAAGAAACATTCGAGAGCCACATGACTTGAAGAATTCCCAATAACCTTAACAAAATGATACCCACTCTGATATGTTTTTACATGTGAAATTAAATAACTTATATATTGACAGTATGAAAAAATAGTGGTATCGAATCCTAGGGAACATTCAATTAATTTACTTTTCATTTCATTGTACACTGTTTTGGGTGCACATACAATTGAGGTTTGTCTATTTCTGTTTTTTCTTTTTCTTGGATATTTTGCTTTTATTTCCTCATCACTAAGATCACTTACAATTTCATAAGTTCTATCATCCTCGAAGTGTTCTATGTCTACTTGGTTTGCTTCATCTTCTGTTCTATCACATTTACTTCCTACAATCGATGCTTTATGTCTCCGCTGCTTAGCAGTAGTATTAACTTTTTCGAAATATTCAGCCAAGTGGGTGATCTGCTTACTGCTTTCTACATCTCCAACAATAATAAGTCCTGCCAAATTAAGGTGTCTACATATTTTGAAACATTTTTTTTTTTCGATTTCTTTTAAAGAATCGAATGAGCTAGTTTTTATCATATCAAAACCACCACTATTTCTAAACATACTAATATATTCATTCTTCAGTTCCATGAAGCAATATTTTTTTACCCCTTCAAATCCGTTTAAGAAACCATATAATATATTTTTTTTATTTTTTTTCTTTAGACTATCTAATATACCACATATTATGTTATGTCCACCAGGTGCTGTCAAACCCGTGAATAGAACCCCTAAATTTAATGTTTCATCATCTATACTCATATCAATCATTTCTCTCAGTATAGAATTCTCTGTACAATTTCCTACAGATATATCATCAAATAATTTAGTTGAACCTGTCTCATTGAATGACTTTTTCTTTTTTAAGTTATCTACCATTTCATTCTCAGCACATAAGTGAATTATGGGTTTACTAATAATGTAAGGGAAATGCTTTTCTAAAACTTCACATTTACCATTTTCTCTAACTACATCATTCGACTCTTCCTTAATAACTGTTTTGCTTCTAAAAATATGTGGTAGAGTGATTTTTTTTTTCCTTCGTTCTTTTTGTAATTCGCTAAGATGTTTCTTGGCATTTTCGATATCCATAGTTTTGCTGACAGGACTATATTGTGTATGATTAATTTCACTGCTTTTTTTTCTCTTATGAGATTTTTTTTTTTTTTTTTTTTTTTTGGAAAAATTCACACGAGTGGTTTTCAGCTCTTGCCTATGAGTTGGTCTTGTCGCAACTTGTCCTAACTTCTTCTCCTTCTTCGAACTATTTCAAGTAGTGGAAGTGGTGGAAGTATTATTCTATTTTCTCATTTACACATGTGCAAAGTGAGTGGCTGTAAACTATCTCAAGTTTCATTACACTCATGAAGAGAGGGACTCCTGGTGCTACAATTAATCACATCACCACTTTGCTAATGGAAAATCTAAATGGGTTCACCCAACTGTGTTTCCAAATCTGCATGTCTTACTATGACTCTAGTTTGTATAGTTTATATTGAGGAGTTATCTTAATTTTTGGGATTTTCTTGGAGTTTTCTTAATTTTTGGGATTTTCTTGGAGTTTTCTTAATTTTGGTATTTTCTTGGATTTTTTGGTATTTTCTTACTTCTTTTATTTTCACGTCTTTTATGGATGACCGTGCGAAATCGGAGTATGATGTGTTGCCTTCACAAATTGGGAATCGAAAATAAAAAAAAAATGGTGCAACATCATCTCAGTTCAAATCGAAGCGCTCGAAATGAACAAGGGCATGAGGAAAAAAAAATATTATGAGTGTATATACATACTATCCCATCACTTTATTAAATAACCAGCAAATCAGAAAATCAGAAAAATGAGAAAAGAAACCCATGTATATGAAATGGAAATTTCTAGTAAATAGTCCTAAAGTAAATGTATGAAAAATACCTGAACTTTTTCTGCTTTTGCGATGTTTACAACTTTCATTATAATGTTTATACTTTCTTGGGTGAGATAAAAATTTTTTTTCTCATCAGAGGAAATGGGAAGAATTACTCTCTTTGGGGTTATCCCTCCCCCCCTTCATGTGTCTAGGTCTCCACTATATGTAGCAATTTAGGTTATTTTATTTTAGGTTATTTTAGGTTATTTTATTTTTAAATTTAATATGCAAAGTGTAGGGCTATATTTTTAAAAATGAAAAAATGAAAAAAAAAAAATTAATGTGCACACATATATGCATATCTACATGTGTTTACATATGTGTATATAGACCAAACAGCTTTTTTTGCTCTTCTGTTTCTTATTTGTTCATTTGTTTATTTTATTTTATTATTTCATTTTATTATTTCATTTTATTATTATTTTTTTTTATTTGTTTTATTTATTTTTTTTCTTATGGAATGCCATAATTCACTTGTTCACAACACACCAACATTGTCTGGGTGAGAAAAATATTCCACGAATTGTTAAATGTGCATAAATAGGTAGCTGCAAAAAATGAACTGAACTATTTTCTAACCATTTTGTAAATTATAATAAAAAAAATTATGCTTCGAGTATGAATAGACGAGAGAGGGCTACCATGAGAATTATTTGGAGCCTTACTAACGTCTATATTTAAGAAAAAAAGGGGGAAATATAAAAAAAAAAAAAAAAAAAAAAAAAAAAATGAAAGACATTGGAAGAAACATATATAATGAGATACAATCCCAACATGCAGTATATATGACATATCCTATGTCGTATAATATCAAATTATATTGTATCATAACTGGGCGAGTTCATGAGGACATCCCACTCAGAATGTTTATGCACATGAGCAAAAGCATAGGTTTACAAAAAATATGTGGAATATATACATTTTGTAAATATAATTTCCTGTACATACATTAAATTATCCTATTTTCTTTTCTTTTTTTTTTTTTTTTTTTCTTTATTCTTATTTATTTTCCCCTCCTCCCCTTGTATAGACCTATTTGGATGGTGCAGATTTATTAGGGTTATGTGATATCTCATTATCAGTGCATTACACACCGGTGAATAAAATTTCCATTAGATATTTCAGTACGTATTCTATGCCTGCATGTGGATGGAAGAAAAAAAAAAAAAAAAAAAAAAATATATATATATATACATATATACATACATATATATATATATATATAATTAAAAGTGCCTATATATGTGATGTGTAAAACGTGCGTAAAGTTAACGAGACAGAATAAAATTAAAGGATCAAATGTTCAACTGTGCAGAACACAAAAATAAAAAGTTAATGAATTGATATTCTCGTGGTGTTCCGCAGGGTGGTAACCTTCATGCTGCAACTCGCTTATGGCACTGGAATGGGGGATTTGGGGGGGGGGGCAAAAAAAATAAAAAAAATTAAAATAAAATAAAAAAAAAAATAAATGTACATGTGAAATCGTACGGATAGGAAGCACAAAAAGGAAGGAATTCACTCAAAGATACACACATACGTGACCATGTATATGTGTATATACATGAACGTTTAACGCCAGCAGGTACTTTTGATACTTGCCCCCAAATCACTAGTAACAATAAATTATGATCCAAACAAACACTCCTATTTTTTCCCCTTTTTTTTTTTTTTTTTACAGAGTTACCTTAATATTTTTTCCTTCTGCACTTGTTCATATTCCTCATAATGTTTCTTGATGTTGTATTGCTCATAAATACTATCGATCATTTTTACACATGCTAAATTATTTTTTCCATAATTTTTTATTATTTTTATTTTATCCGATTCTGAACATAGTTCAAAGGTCTGCAAAGATAACAAAAAAAAAAAAAATGAAGTAGAAAAATGAAGTAAAAAAAGAGGGGTAATGGGAAACGGGCTTAAGTTCATCTGGGTAATGTGTGATGCAAATGTGTATAATTTCTTTTTTTTTTTTTTTTTTCTCATTTTTGCGAAATCTAACTTTTATCAACGGCCATGTTAATTTGTTATTTTGAATATCTGATCCAACTTTCCCAGTCTTTGTAGAATCTCCAAAAATGTCCAGGTAATCGTCATGGATCTAAGATGAAATGTGAGGAACGGTTATTTTCGTTTTTACTTTTTCATTATTTTTTTTCATTTTTTCATTATTTTTTTTTTATTTTTTCATTATTTTTTTTCATTTTTTCATTATTTTTTTTTTATTTTTTCATTATTTTTTTTCATTTTTTCATAATTTTTTTTCATTTTTTCATAATTTTTTTTCATTTTTTCATAATTTTTTTTCATTTTTTCATAATTTTTATTTTAAAAAAATTTTTTTTTGGCCCCTTTTGTACATATGGTTCACAATTTGCAACAACGCCAATTGACGCTACAATGTATTTGTCTCATTCCCAATGTGTTCACATCCCACTACTCTCTATTTCTTTATCGATTAATATGTGTCTCCCTGTAGTTGTACTTTTCTACGTACTTGAAAATACTCCCCCATAAGTGTGGAGATATCTTCAATTTTTTTGTATATCAAATTGTCTACTGCAATTCCAGATATTAGCATACCTACGAATCAATCATTGAGGTGGGGTTAAAAACAAATGTGCTACACGAGTTCCAAACGATGGAATGAGCATCATGTCCCATTCCCTATATGGAAAAAAAAAAAAAAAAAAAAAAAAAAAAACACATACAAGGAGACATGAAACACATGCATGTACACCCCTTGGTCTAAATGTGTACTGTCTGAATGTGAACTGGTTAAATGCTATCTTTATTAATGAACACTAACCACATACAATGGGGAGAAAGAAAGAGTAATAAGCAGTTTTGTGAATAACTATGTTTTGATATACTTTAAAATTAATCATATTTATATTAACTACGGGTTGCTCTGGAACATTTATATTATTGACGTCAATTTCTTGGTGTACATCTGAATATTTATGTGAAAAAATATTTGTATCCAGATGTTGTCCAATTATCGTTTTTAATGTTGCATCTCTAAATGTTGCTATGATATCAACGTAACAGCTTTCATTTCGAAGATATATTTCTATGAGTCTGAGTTAAGTGAAAGAGACAAAGGATATGTTCATGTTAAAGTATATTATATATTATTACACATTTATGAATATACCACGTCATATGAAATGTCCTCCAAGTTGTGCACTTGGGAAGGGGAGGGAAAAAAAAAAAAAAAAAAAATCGTCCTATAAAATTTCGTAATTATGACTTTCAAATTATATTACTTATAAATGGAATTATACAAAAGTAGAACATCGTTGACAGCGTTCTTCGTTTCCACATCTTTTAAGAGGTACCTGTTTAAAATAGTAAAAAAACAGTAAAACAAAAATAAAAAAAAAAAAAAAAAAGGGGAAGGGGTAGTGGAAAGGAAGGAAGGGCTATTCTAATGTGAAACCCAATTTGAAAAAAGGGATATGTTTCAAGTAACTTATAGACAAGACATGGTGTGAAAAGTCTCATTACCAACAATGTTTATTTCTCCTAGTTTCTCCTTTGTCCATAATATCATCCGCTACTAAGAAAGAAGCTTGTAGGATTTCTATGCACCAAGCTGATGAGGTAAAAGAAGAAGAAGAAGAAACAAATGGGTATATGATATGCCCATTTTGATGAAATAAAAAAAAGGGAAAAGCACGGCTGAGAATATTTGCACTTTCTCCTCAAAAAAATATAAAAATTAAAATAAAAAAAATAATACAAAACAATACAAAATAATACAAAACAATACAAAATAATACAAAATAATACAAAATAATACAAAATAATACAAAACAATACAAAATAATACAAAACAATACAAAACAATACAATATAATGTAATATAAAACAATGTAATAAAAAAAAAACTGTGCAGAGAAGAGATATAGTTACCCAAACAGGCCGCCTTCTCCCATTCGTTGCTGTTGATGTCTCTATTCTTCACATATTCATAAATAAGAATGACTAGAATTCCTCTATTGTTTTTGCCCCCTGTTAAAAAAAAAAAAAAAAAAAATAGTAAACTGATGAGTTGACTTGCTTATGGGCGAAGCGAGTCCAAATGGACAACATCAGAGAGCAATTCCTTGCAAAGAATGCATGCACCTCCACAATGTTTCTCTCCTAGCATAAGTGATGTGCAGATATATAGAGATTTCTTTCCATTTTGTTGCATCAAATTTTTTGGAAAAATTTGATGCCAATCCGTCCGACATAAAATAATATCCATGTGTCTTACCCAAGCAGTTGTAATCAAATAAAAGTTTATAATATTTCGAGATATGCTCTTTGATTTCATCTTCCAAGGTATACTCCTTGAGGTGTTTTAGAAATGCGTCCCTATACTTATCGTACATCTGCGGATGAGGGAGGAAGTTATACAAAGTGTTGAAAGCAAAATTGTGCTGCCAGGATGTGTGTTGATCAAACGGGGCTTGTACACTTTAGTCAGATTACAATTTCCTACCCACCCCCCAAGGTTAACATAAACACACACATACTGCATGCCTAAGTTATACCACTCTTATTTACTTACATTTCTGAAAAAAGCCAATCCGCTATCTGCATCTTCCACATTTGTTTCCGTCATGTTTCCACTTCCCATTCCCTTAAGCTTTTCTCCACTTGTTAATGAAAGTATGTAAAATTACAATACTCTCTTTTAGTTATTACACAGGATAAGGTATAAACAAATTTATGTATTTTTTTTTTTTTTTTTTTTTTTTTTTTTTTGTTAACATGCAGTGGGGGATGATAATACTGGTGGAAATATAAAAAGAGAGATCTCATTCTTAAATTATTCTATGTCCCACTCAGGGTCATGGTAACTTGTGGTTACCATAAATGGTTACATTAAACAAGTGATACTTATAAAAAAAAAAAAAAAAAAAAAATACAGCGGCAGGTCGAAGAGAGAGAGGAGGGAGGAATAAAAAAAGGAAAGTATTTTTAAAAATTCTACCACCTTCACACCTTATCATATCAACCCTTTGCACTTCAAATTTTTTTTTAATGTGTTTAGTGTTTTTTTTTTTTTTTTTTTTTTTTTTTTTTTTTTTTTTTTTTTTTTTTTTTTTGTGTATGTGCGTGATTCCCAAGGAAACTTTGATGAGCTTATGTAAAAAATGTGAGGGGGTGCAAAAAATTTTTACTTCATAGGGGGTAGTAGACTGTGTCTGTGTGTGTTTTTTGAGATGAATTGGAGGAAAACCCCGCAACGCTGGCAGTGTTGCAGTGTTGGCAATGCTTTCAATTTTCGTGATATTTGCAAAGCTTGTGCTTGCTGTGCGAAATTTTAAGCTTTACCTCTTTTATACTATCTAAACCCTACATGCAAATTTTTCTGCATATTATTCACTAGAGAGAAATTTTTTCATGCATTTGAAAGTAACGTTGCAACAGAATATATTTTTTCTCCTTTTCGGCTCTTCTTTCGTGTAGAGATTTAAAAAAAAAAAAAAAAAAAAAAAGAAGTACAGGTAAGATTTCCCTTGCAAGAACTCTCACTTCACCCACAAAAAAAAAAGAAAAAAAATTTAGAAGCATGCATTATATATATATATATATATATATATATATATATATAAATACATAAATATATGACAACAAATTGCACTTAGTAGTAACACATTTTGTTTTTTTTTTGGGGGGGGGGAGTTGAATACAAAAGTTTTTTTTGAGTTTCAAAAAAAGAAAAACATTTCATCAAGCTGTAACCATCATGTAGTGCTCGTACTCATACATATATACTACAAATGTGTATAGTAGAATATTACCCTCTAAAATTAGTATAGAACAAGAAGGAAAGGAAAAAAAAAGGAAATTAAAACATCCCAAGGTGCATATGGATCAAGCAGTGAATATATGTACATACCCATTTAGTGGAGTAGATATACAAATTTGAGATGGACTAGGAGAGTCATACCCAGTTACAATTCAAAAAAAAAATAAAAATGCAAAGTCAAAATTATTAGAAATATGTCCCAACGGTGATTTTATTTGACCTATATATATATATATATATATATATAACGAAATAGTACAAATGTCCCGCTTTTTTCCACGACCCCCAGGGAAGTAAAAGTAGAGACATATTTTTGCAGCAGGCTTCTTCATACATCTATATCTTTTCCTGTGTTCATTGCTTTCATTGTGTGTATGGGTGTTCGCGTGTTTGTGAAGGAGTGGAGGGATGGAGGAAGAAGCAATAACCGGGGATAATGTCTCTAACCCCCACCCAGAGTGAACACCATACAGAATCATCACCATGGACAGTGATTTCATTGATGAAGAATTCGTGTTTGGAAAAGATGTGGAAAAGATAAAAAAGAAGAAAGAAATAATTTTAGATTGCTTAAAAAGTGTGATAGATCCAGATTTAAAAAAAAACATTGTTGAACTAAATTTTGTACGAAATTTAAAAATTAATGAAAAAGAAAATGGGAAGTATGTAGTTGAGTTTGACCTGAACTTGACAACTCCTGCTTGTCCTGTTAAGGACGAATTGTTAGCAGAGTGTAAACAAAAGCTCACCATGTATGAATGGATCCAAGACACATATATTAACACAACATTTATATATTTAAATCAAAATGATGTTTTTGATGAGGAGGAAAAAAAGGCAAAAAAAAAAAAAAAAAAAATTGAGAATATTATACTAGTTTATAGTTGCAAGGGTGGAGTTGGAAAATCATTCTTTTCTGTTAATTTCTCTTTCTATTTAAAAAAAAAAGGAGCATCCGTTGGACTTTTAGATGCAGATATTAATGGACCAAGTTTACCCACTCTACTCCCATTTGAACGTACATATGCAAAATTTAAAAGTGTCAAAAGAAAAACCAATAAAATATTTTATGAGTCAGAAAGGAGAAATTCAAAACATGAACAAGCTCATCTCTTTAAGAGGGAAGAAAATCACGACAAGTATGACAATCACGACAATCGCGACAAGTATGACAATCACGACAATCAGACGCTGCATCACATTCATGAACCCAAACAACAGGATCAGGGATATAAAGAAAGTGTTAAATTACAGAGGAAACAAGGAACGCACCCCTCAGACTTCACTGTGTCGAATGATCGGACTGACACAAATGCCATCTTTGAGTTAGATAATACCTTCACAGGTTCACACATTTATTCCCAGAAAAACTATGCCCATAGTAATTACAGGGGGGAGGAGGGGCGCAGCCCCTCACCTCGGGGTAAGAAGGAGAAGCAAAATTTGGCAAATGTGTCAGTGCAAAATGGGATGCGAGTTGGAGAGGCTGTAGATGCTGGAGAAGTGAGCGAAGTTGGAAAAGTGAACGAAGCGAACGAAGCGAGGGACGCAGAAATGCATGACGACTGCGAGGAGAGACCTCTTCTAATCGAACCGCTACTCTATAAGGATGTCAAGCTGATGTCGTACTCATATATAAAGAACAAGAAGAATTTAGGATTTTCCTCCTTCAGAGGGCCAGTACTGAATGAATTGATAAAGGAATTTATAAATAATGTGGACTGGGGAATATTGGACTACCTAATAATTGATATGCCTCCAGGAACAAATGATATACACCTGAATTTATTCGAGTCTGAACATATCGATGGAGTAATTATGATAACAACTCCAAATGATTTATCAATTAATGATGTAAAGAAAGGAATAAATATGTGTACATATTTTAATATCCCAATTATAGGTTTAATTATAAATATGAATTCATTTATATGTGACAGTTGTGAAAAAAGACATCAACTTTTTAACAATTGTGATTTAACAGAATTAAAAGGAACAATTAATAATGTTTACGAAATTCCTTTTCATTCTCTATTTTCTAAAAATGTATATTACAATAATGAAACAGAAGAGAAAACATTTCCTTTCATATTATCTTTTGAAAAACATTATTTAATTGACACACTGGAATGTATTTTTCAAGCCATAACTAGGGAAATTTCAATGCAAAAATTTCATCACACATTAAATTTGCCATCTATTGAGATTTACAAGAAATATTACATTCAGTTATCCTTCGATTCGATTGAAAATAAATTTGTTTTTTCAGATGATGTTTTTATATGTCATGTTAAGGACGTTAGATTAAAATGTACTTGTGATATTTGCAAAACAAGTGAAAAAAAAAAAAAAAAAAAAAAAATAATACAAAATTCAAATTTGCATGTCAAAGAAATAGTCAAGTTAGGAATATACAATGTGAAAATTGTATGGTCTGACATGCACATTTCTGTTTATTCATATGCTTACTTGAAACATATTTTTCAAAAGAAACGCTTATCCTCCCATACTTCTTATTGTCACACTGCTCGTAATGCCACCTTGGAGTGGTAGCTTTTTTTATCTCTCCAACCTGTGAATACTTTTTTTCACACGAGTGTATGAACTTGTTTCCAGGAAAAATGTAGCACCATCTTCCGCCAATACATATGTACATATGTATATAACCATTTTGGTTGTCCCAATTTGTTCTATTTTTTAAACACATTTTCTACCCATATGTCAAAAAAAGGTTTCCTTGTCTGTCTCGTTGTCTGTCCCTTTGTCTGTCTCGTTGTCTGTCCCTTTTTCTGTCCCTTTGTCTGTCCCTTTGTCTGTCCTTTTGTCTGTCCCTTTGTCTGTCCCTTTGTCTGTCTCGTTGTCTGCCTCTTTGCCTGTCTCTTTGCCTGTCTCTTTGCCTGTCTCTTTGCCTGTCTCTTTGCCTGTCTCTTTGCCTGTCTCTTTGCCTGTCTCTTTGCCTGTCTCTTATTTTATTTTTTTTTTTTTTTCCGAAGAATTCATTTCTGCTGGTGAGCAATAAACAGAATTTGGATTACTAGCAAAAAGGAAAAAAGAACCACGAAATAGGAAAAAATAAATGGGTCATTTGAATACATTCATGAAGAAACTAATTCATCTTTTGAGCACACACAAAAAAAAAAAAAAAAAAAGAAAGTGGAATAATGAAAATATCCTTTTCTAAACGAAAGGAAAGATACAATATTAATTTTAGTAAGAATATGTGTTGTATGGACGTGGAATGAAGAAAAGTTGTTGTGCAAAAATATATGGAAATTTTTCTGCTTCCAAAGATTTGCACTTGCGTATGTTACTAATAGTACGATACAAAATTTTTTTAAAATAAAAAAAAAAAAAAAAAACTAAAAATAAGGTACAAAAAAAAGGGAAATGTGATGTGTATAATCATAAATATGGAGAAGCTCTTAGTGATAACACTGCTTATGATATTGTCCTCTCAATTATTGCTCTTCTCTCCATTGCTGCCCTTCTCTCCATTATTGCCCTTCTCTCCATTACTGCCCTTCTCTCCATTATTGCTCTTCTCTCCATTGCTGCCCTTCTCTCCATTATTGCCCTTCTCTCCATTACTGCCCTTCTCTCCATTGTCGCCCTCCTTGTTTAACGAAATAAAAATCGGTATCTGGGATAATTACGCCGATGAGCCATCTTCTTCTACCCCACCGGCCACATTGCATTGGCTCAATTGAGACTAACTGGAGAAAGGTTCCTCGAAATTGTTCCACAGCATTTTTAAGAAAATTATCTATTTCTGAGATAATATTTGGAGAAGTTGGTAATATCGTCCAGTTCAAAGTATGGTGGTTACCCGTTTTTTTTTTTTTTTTTTTTTTTTTTTTTTTTTTTGCACAGTCACAATTAAAAGCCTCGATTAATCCCTCCCTGTGGTGAAGAACTGTTGTCAGGGTTCGCATTTTTACAATGAAGGGGGGTAGTAGAATATTTATAACTAGATTGGAGTTTTATTATTCGTTCTATACATTTTGTTACATCTTCTATATTCATCATATCTTTGATAGTTAAGAAATCTTCATAAGTTTTTTTAGACCATGTTATGGGATCAAAGTAAATCCAAGAAGAACAATTTTCTAAACTATTATGATTGAAAAAATTACGTGGAATAAACCATTTTTTATAATTCATATGATAAGTCCATTTTCTTAAGTACAATTCAGAGGCAGCATATGCTTGTAATATGTCTCGAGGCAAATTATAAAATATATAGAATAATGTTTCTGTTTGTAATTTCAGAAGTAATGATAACCTAATTTGAAACCGAGTATTTAAATAAGAATTGGGCTTTAAAAAATAGTCTTCTTTATATGTAGGATCGTCACATATTGGTGATGTAAGTGATGTGAACAAAAAATCTGGAGAATTTAGATTCAATCCTAAAGTAGTTAAATCTGTTCCTAATGCTAAGATGTTTAATTCAGGGTCCTTCTTTCTTATCACTTTTAATATACCCATCAGTCCATAGTTTGTTCTATTATACCTTTTTGCTCTTTCTGTTGTTTCGTATAACAGTTCGTCAAGTGGAATTTTTTCTTCATCACTTGAACAAGGCTTCTTCTTGTCTACAGGTGTGCGTGAATTCTCATCATCATCATTTTCCCTATCATTGTTCGTATCATCATCATCAGCTGCGAGGGCTCTCTCTCTGTAGTCGCTCAGGTAAGGATCCGGTTGGCCACCCCCACGTGGATTATCCTCATGATCATATGATTTATACCCCTTTGATATACCTATACTGTTAACACAGGGGGAGTTATTTACTTTCTTCTTCTGTCTCGAGTCTTTAATCATTTCTCTTTGTTTCTCCTGATTATTATTTTCATTTTCTTGTTGATTTTCCCATCTATTATGACAAAAACTGGTGATGTAGTCTTTGCTAGTGATATCTCCCCTAGTAGAGGTGGTGCAGCTCTTCGCTTCTTCCTCCGAACATTTGTTACATTCATCTGTAGTGCTACCTTTGCTACCATTGCTACTTTCAGGTGTGAATACATTTTGAAACATATTATTGGTACCAGTATATAATTGTTTTTCTTTCTCTGCATGGTCTACTGTCGTGTTAAACTCAATACTGTTACATCCTTTCTTAAAATTTAATTTAGTCATATGTTCATTCATTTTTACGTTTTTCTTACTCTTCTTCTCTATAGCATTATCTGCATTTGTTTCAGTGTAATCAGATTCCCCTTTAATTTTTTCACAATCTTGCTGTTTGGTGTCTTCTATTGAGTTTTTTTTTTTTTTTTTTTTCAGTTCCAATTTCCCCTTTTGAGTTTCTTCTTCATCAATGTCTTTATTCTCTTCTTTGTCTTTTCTACTGGGATGAAGATTCTCATCATTGTTGGAAATGTTTAAGAATTCTTTTCTACAGTTGACGTTGATACATGATACTTGAAGAGCATCTTTTTTTATTTTATTTTCTCCATCGCAACATTCATTTTTTTTGGAGGCATCATCATTATGTGAATCAGTACTTGATCCTTCCTTTCTTCCAATTTTCTCCTTTTTGCTAAGATAATATTTTTTACCTCTCTCATTAGAGTTCTCTCTATTTTTTTCATTCTTTGGATTCATTAAATTAGCTTGGTGTGCTTGGTTTAGACTCAGATAATCGGAAACGCTGTTATCATTTTGTGTTACAGACAAAATATTAGTTGAGTGTTCAGCATATTCTACTTCCCCCTCATTTATTTTTGATACTGCATAATCGTTTGAGATGTTTTCTCTGGTTCCATCATGTGGTTTATTTTGGCTTGCACCGTTAGTAACAGCGATGTTATCATTATTTGTAAAGGTAGTAACAATGGAGGGCATGGTGCCCTCCCCTTCACTAGGTTCATTATTCTCATCTAATAAATCCATTGTTTGTTCATTGATTTCACTATTTACAATATCGTTATCTTCACCTTTGTTACTTCCTCCAAAATTTTTTTTTTTTTTTTTTTTCGACAACTTAATGGGATTCTTACTTTTTTCCTTATTTCCCCTACCCATGTTGTTTGCGTGCTATGTGTATATGCAGGTTGTGTTGGAACACGCCAAAAAAAAAAAAAAAAAATGAGAAAAAAAGACCAAAAATGGAAAAAAAAAATAACAGAAAAAAAAATGGAATAACAGAAAAAAAAATGGAATAACAGAAAAAAAAATGGAATAAGAGAAAAAAAATGGAATAAGAGAAAAAAAATGGAATAAGAGAAAAAAAATGGAATAACAGAAAAAAAATGGAATAACAGAAAAATATATATGCACAGAATGTATCTGTGTGATAGCGTCAAAAGTTTTGTCTGCATGTGTAGAGTGAGACGTATAGTTTTTCTGTGAAAAATGCAAGCATGGGATTTTATATAAACATGTAATACATGATGGGATATCTGTGGAGAAAAAAAAAAAAAAAAAAAAAAAGATTGTTATTCATTTTGTTCTTAGCCTATCATTTGGTACATTTCAACTCTGCATATTTTTTACTCGCATGTCTTGTCTCAATGTATTAGAAGTATTTTTTTTTTATTTTAATTCCCTTTTTTTTTTTTTTTTTTTTTTTTTATTTTAATCCCCCTTTTTTTTTTTTTTTTTTTCTTACAACTGGTATGTTACATGTACGTACATACAAAAATGTGTTGCGTGTATATGCATAATTAATTGCTGTTCGTGTAGTAGTCCATAAGGGATTCTTTTTATTTGTTAAGAAGGGGAGTTATGCAGGGAATGAAGAGAAATTTACTCATTTGAGTGTTCATTTTATTATACTTTTTTTCATTTTTTTCTTTTTTTTTAATTTGCCTATACTTGCATATTACTCCTTACTTAGAAAGGACGCGCATACATATAGTGCACGTGAAATTTGGAGAAAGCTGGTACTGCAAAATTTTTAACAAGACTAGTCCAAAAGAGTGGCATAAAAATAAAATAATGAAATGAAATAATGAAATAAAACACATTCTGTAATTGCTTAAAGAGGTAAACACCTGATTTAATGCCACAATATTTTAAATTCCAGTGTGTAATTTTGGATGTCCAATCTTGATGTTACCTAGGTGCAACATGAATTGCTTTTACAAATCCATATTTTACATATGCCTTTTGCAGGCCTACATTCTTAGTGGGGAATTGTGAAAAATTGAAAGGAGGAATAAACAATAACGTGAGTAATTAACGAATTCCTACTAGTCTCTACACAAATCAACATTTCAGTATTTTCACAAAATTGTGCATAAAAAAAGTAAAAACAGTTTTGTAAATGTACCTAGAGCGGGTGGGGGGGGAAAAAATAAAAAAAAAAAAAAAAAATTCACGTGGGTAATTCTCTAAAGTAAGGACAATTTTTTCCAACATGCCACAACATGGGTACTTTAGAAACCCTAATATCTTGTAATACTTTTTTTTTTTTTTTTCTTCTCCCATATTTAATTGTAAGAAACTTGTAATTTTTCTCACTACCTCAAAATAAAAGCAAATATAGGCTAGCATTAACATTAGCACACATTGTGGAAGCACATGAACTCATATTTTACAAAGAATTATATAGCTCACGTTTCCCCCAATCGTATAATACTCTTCATTACACAAAAATACAAGTGGAAGAGTGATAACTAGTGCCATTTTATGCAAAATTTTGTTAAGTAACAAATTTTCTGTTATTCAGAAATTAATTACACTTATATATTTTTCCGCGCAAAATGATAAATTTTACTGCATATTTTTAAGTTCCATCTTTGTGCTATTTATTCTTATTTGTGTGTTTTTGCTTTTTTTTTTTTTTTTTTTTTTTTTTCCCGATGTTATAAATTCGATTATTCTCAAGTTGAAGGGGAGGCCGCTTTTGTGAATGTGTAAGGAAGCAACTAATCAAGTGATGACTAAACTAAATGAATATATGAACCCTCACCCTACTCCCCCCCGTCCCCAATACGCACGACCAACAAGAATTACAGAAAAACGTTAAGACGAAACCTGTTCCTCACCTACACCCCTGGACCCAATTCCAATCTCTAAGCTGAACACATTAAAGATAGAAATGAAGCTCAAAAAGGTACTTTTTTTGTGCATATTGGTTGCAATTAAATATGTAACTGCATCCTCAGTATACTTCGCTGGTTTGGACTTAAAAAACATGAAAGAGAAATACAAAGAAATAGAAGGAAGATATGCTAAGGAAATTGTGAATGATTTATTTTTGAATGAATTAAAAAAGTCGAATTATCATATAAACAGTAATGTTATAGCATTGAGCACATCGCGACATTATTTTAACTATAGACATACGAGTAACTTACTTACTGCTTATAAATATCTGAAAAATATTGGTGATAATATAGACAGAAATATATTACTTATGGTTCCATTTGATCAAGCTTGTAATTGTAGGAATATTATAGAAGGAACCATTTTTAATGAGTTTGAGAAACTTCCAAATGAAGATTTAAAAAAAAAAAAAATGAAAGAAAATTTATACAATAATTTAAGCATTGACTATAAAAATGACAACATTAGAGATGAACAAATAAGGAGAGTAATTCGACATAGATATGATGCATTAACCCCAATTAAAAATAGATTATATACAAATGGAAATAAAGAAAAAAATTTATTTATATACATGACAGGTCATGGTGGAGTGTCATTTTTTAAAATTCAAGATTTCAACATTGTAAGTTCATCAGAATTTAACTTATATATACAAGAGTTACTTATAAAAAATTTCTATAAATACATTTTTGTAATCATTGACACTTGCCAAGGATACAGCTTTTATGATGACACGCTAAGTTTCTTAAAAAAAAATAAAATCAATAATGTCTTTTTAATGTCTTCATCAGATAGGAATGAAAATAGTTACAGTTTATACTCTAGTAAATTTTTAAGTGTCTCCACAGTTGATCGATTTACATATCACTTTTTTAACTATTTGGAAAATATTAACAAAATATACAAAGATGAGCCATATAAAAACGTCAAAGCATTTTCTTTACATACCATCTTAAATTATTTAAAAGCACAACATTTAATATCAAACCCGATCATTAATAATGCGAAATTTAATTCATCCATATTTTTACATGGTAGAAATATTATTTTTTATAACTCCAGTTTATTTCACGTAAGTAAAGATAGGGTGGATCATCAAGGAAAAGATAAATACAATTACACAGTCAACCAAAAGACAGACAAAATCAAAAGTGGAAATGCATGTCTTGGTGATTTAAGTGTATGTGGTCATATGAAAAATGCAATATACACACACTTGGGAAATCTCTACACCAGAAGCAGTTATTACAATGACATCCAGGTTTACTTCAAGGAGGAGTCCTATTTCACAGACTATTATTTCACCTACAAACGTTTTGATGGGGGATATTTAATAGTGGCTTTCACGTTTTTAATTATTATTATGTTTTTCCTTCTGTTTTTTCAGTTCACATAGTTTTACCACCTTTTTTTGTGACATCATTCGTTTCGTGATTTTTTTGTGCCATCGTTCGTTTCGCAGTTTTTTTGTGCCATCGTTCGTTTTGCAGTTTTTTTGTGACATTGTACATTTCTCAATTTTTTTGTACGTTTTTTTTTTTTTTTTTTCATACGTGCTTATGTAATTGTTACCATTTTTCTGCACGTTCAGGCAAATGTAGATTTTTCTTTCCTTTTTAATACATGTTTAAGTAGTTTGCTATACAATTTTCTACGCGTTCAGGCAACTGTAGTTGTTTTTTTTTTTTTTTTTTTTTTTTTTTTTTTTTCCTTTTTTTTTTGTTTTTTTTTTTTTTTTTTTTTTTTTTTTTTTTTTTTTTTTTTTTTTTTTTTTTTTTTTTTTTTTTTTTTTTTTTTTTTTTTTTTTTTTTTTTTTTTTTTTTTTTTTTTTTTTTTTTTTTTTTTTTTTTTTTTTTTTTTTTTTTTTTTTTTTTCACCTCTTGTGTGTCGTTATTTTAATTACCCTAAGCATGATATCAGGAAGACGGATTTTATTTAGCTAGATTTGTAAAAACTTATTCGCAAGTCAGAGAAAAAAAAAAAAAAAAAAAAAAAAAAAAAAAGGAATTTATTTTAACAAACCCAAAAGTTTATAATACTTATTTTATTATATTATTTTTAATGGCGATGAATGGTGACATGAGACTTTTTTCAAACGTACATTATTTTGGGCTTTCCAATTTTGCTGAGGTGCTTAATGGGGCATTAAGAAATTGTGAAAATGTTTGAGAAGCAAAATGCGAATAAATACTTAGTTTACTGTGTACAACTTTGTGGGGAATACAGTATGCCGTAGGTTGTATGCATGAATGCATACACAAACACACACACACACACCTTTGAAAATTAATTGTTACACAAAACAGGCGATAAAAAAATACTACATCGCACTGTTTTAAAAAATATATAAGTGGAAAAACATGTATGTGCATACCTTTGCACATGCTTGCGTTCATATATAATAATGTATGTAAATGTTGTATACACATTTGGCGTGTATTGGGTGGGGGTGGAGGGGGGAGAGATTGCGAACACAGGAAATATAAGAAAAGTATAAAAATCAGAGCTACCAAAGTTGTGTAGTAGAAGGAGGTGTGCACCATTTTGACTTACAAAAATATCGATCATGTAAAATTTTTTTGTTTTTTTATAAAAAATTTATTTGTTTAAGATGCTTTCTTCAGTCTAATGATGTTTTTATCAACGCGAATTTTTTTTTTGATTGCATCCATCATGCTTTTATCCCCTGCGCATGGATGTACATATATGCACATTCATCCATAAGTTCATTCGACCACTCATGCATGCGTATGTCGTATGTGGGTATGTATGTATGTACGTATGTACGTATGTGTGTGTTTTTTTTTTTTCCTTCCCTCCCCCCCCCCCCTCCCTTTTTTACACAAATTGTGAGGATTAAAGGGTATTACTCAACTAGTTTGGGTAATTATTCGTTAAAGGCATTTATCTAACGCACGCTAAAGAGGTAAATTTATAACTGTATCTTATGTTTTCATATTTGGGTTTCACTTTTAGCTCTGCACATTGTATGCATTTTTGCTTGTCGTAATGTTGTGCAAAATTAAAGAAAAAAAAAAAAAAAAATTACATATATATATACTTATATTTATCGGTCGTCAAAATTATTAGACAAAGGAAAAGTACCCCAATGCACGAAGGCATCGCATGTCGCAAGCGTGTATATCCCATAATAAACAATTTGAGACTTTTCCGATTCTTCCTATGTTTCTGTATTTCTTCGATTTGTCGCGTTGCTATATAAGCTGCTTTTGATTTTCGCCATTTTGTTTCACTCTCCTCCACTCAGTTTCCATATTTCAATTAGGCATGTTGCAGTGTGAAGCAGAGTGAAAGTGAAAGGTTCCTAATATTATTCAGGACAACTTTCTATTTTTAACTTGCAACCGTTTCGTGAATTTTTTTTATATTTTTTATTTTATTTTATTCTTTTTTTTTTTTTTGATTATATGCATATGCAAATATGTGTGTATAGACATATGTATTTTCCCTTGTATGTGTTTTATCACTTCAACTCCATGCTATACAACCTTATTCACGTACCAAAGCATAAACAGTGAATTTAACGATTTTTGTTTATCTCTCTTTTTTTTTTTTTTTTTGTAGTCTATTTCATTACAGAATACAGTTCTTCATTTCACTACATCTTGTAGGTATGGGGTGTTACTTGTTTCCACATCAGAGTTGTACACCGTCTTGTATTTGTCTACAGCTACATGTCCGTTTTTTCCCCACTCAACCGTAACCAATCCCATTATAACTAAATTTTAATTAAATTTTAATTAAATTTAACTTTGCTCCGGATTTCTTTCTTTTCCCTTATCACATGCCTTTTGAAAACTTCGTGTGAATTCTTTCTCCCTCTTTCGACGCACTTATCACTTAACAGGAAAAAGCGGAAAGGGAAGGGAACCAAAAGGAGAGTAGACAGAAAAAAAAAAAAAAAGAAAAAAAAAAAGGAATTTATTAGTATCTCTCGAGGAGGAAAAGTCGAATCTCACATACGAAGTTGCAAAAAGGAACCACAATAGCTTAAATTGGGGTCTACAAAATAAATCCACTTGGAAAAAAAAGAATAACTTGTAAAAATTACAAAGGAACAAAACAATGGATGTGAGGCACGTTGAAGGTTGCGAGTATTATGAAAGAGAAAGCGACAAGGGATGCAAGGAGGAAATTCAAAAAGTGATGGATAAGTTAATATATGAACGGAAGAAAAATTTCCAAGGACAAGATAAGTATTGTCAAAATTCATCGGTTAGCATTTGTCCAAATGTGTATTGCAACATTTACACAGATTTATACAACTGGTTTGGTTTTAAAAATTGTAAAAAAATAGATACAGAATCATTGAACACTTGTTTTACTGATATAACGAATGGAGGAGTGGGGTATTATGAAAAACTTATTGTTTTAGGAGGGAGGATATTAGAATTATATAGTGAATTACATTTTTATAATAAATACAATTATGAAAAGGATGAAGAAATTGTCCAAGATTTAAAAAATCTGAAATCAATTAAGGAAGTTGTATTTCATTATTTATATGTTCAAAAGAGAAAAAATCGTGTAATATATAAAAATAGTGTATACTTATTTGGTTACTCGTATTTATATACTCCTTTATTTTTTAATAATAAAAATGCTATAATAAAATATGTCAAGGCTTGTATAGCATATGCAGTTAAATTTAGTGGTTCCAATATTTTTGCTTGGATGCCAACCCTAATTGAGCATATATATCACTCTCAAAAGTTAAAGGTCTCAGACACAGAACAGGAGAATGAGCTCATACAAGATTTGCAGGAGTATTTGGGTTATGAGTTTGATTATATCTTACCTAGAATAGCAGAATGTTTCGGTTACCACAATTTGTACATAACAACTTCTCAACTTACCGGGGTTCAGATAATTCGAATTTTTGCAAATGAGTACTTTTCCCTCATGGCAGATGTAAGCAAGTGCATTTTTTTATGGGCACATGTGCTGCCAGTTTGGCAAGTGTAAAATATGTACATATTTACATACACACTTATGCATACGTATATGTAATATATGAGTCTCCTACACATGGGCATTTAAAACGGTGCCCTTTTGACACACGTGTAGATTTAAAACGGTGCCCTTTTGACACACGTGTAGATTTAAAACGGTGCACTTTTGACACACGCGGTGATTTTCTCATTCCCGTTTTTTTTTTTTTTCCACATAGGATGTGAACATAGGGGGGAAGGAAAAAGCCACTTGGGTAAGAGAAGAAACAGAGGCCTTTTTAAAATCAAATTGTTTAGAGATATTTAGCGGATGTATGTTATCACTGAGCAAATATTTGAATGAGAAAAATGTAAAGATAGGTAAAATAAGAAATATATTTGAAATGATATTATCATCTTGTTGGGTATTAGGAAAGGAGAAAAAAAATAAAGTGTGGGTATGCGCATTAATACAAAGATTAAGACAAATTCAATTACTAACTCAAATTACTACCATTGAAAAATGGTCTCATAATATAAAAAAATATAATGATATGAACATTCATAATTTTGTAAAAGACATATACAATTTTAATGACATAAATGGTAGTATCCTATCACCATTTCAGTTACAAAATGTAAATATATATCTCCCTCCAAAAGAAACGCCTTTGCAGAAAATTCCTTATTATACCACATTAGCAGATAAATATAAAGATAGGTTCCCCCATTGTGAAAATGTGAAAAATGACTCAAGAACACCTTGGGCAGAAAAAAAAATAAAAAATAAATATAGCTCTCCAATTTACGATGTTTTAAACAACATCACAAGTACTATATATAAGGGATTTAGACCTAGACGTCCAATGAATAAGGGATCCTCTGCCTCCAATCGCTTAGTCTACATGAACAGAGATGATTCCCTTGCAGGTACAGAACCGTTAGCCAAGCGTTGGTGAACCTGCATCTGCGCCTGCTTAAGTACACACATATATATATATATATATATATATATATATATATATATAAATCCGTGCAAATTTATCGATTGACTTTTCACCCCCTTTCTACCTCTTAGAAATGAACTACCACAACCTTAAGGCCAGCGTTTCATCAGATGAATCCACGAGATATGACACCACCCATGATCTGGACGTTGCAGATGAAGATGAAGAAGATGAAGAAGCGGGTGTGGATGAAAATGAAGGGGTCTTTGAGGAAGACGACGAGGAGATGATGATGATGAGGATGAAGAAGAAGTTTAGAACTCATAAAAGAGATCAAGTAAGAACTGAAAAAAACGGGAAGAGTGGAATTCCCGTAAAAATAAAATACATTAAAGATACAACAGATGATCAAAACTCAAAATATGTCATAGAAATACCTAAACGGGACTTGGCCAGAGGAGGAGATAAAAATCATATAAGAGCTGGTAAGATATTTGACCCGCGAGAGCACCCTGACCATGGGACGTTGCGCGTAACGACACCTACGAAAGGGAACTTCAAAAATGAGAGAAAATGCGAGAAAAATGCGAGAAAAATGCGAGAAAAATGAGAGAAAAATGAGAGAAAAATGAGAGGAAAATGCGAGAAAAGTGTGAGAAAAGTGCGAGAAAGAATGGCAGAAAAATGGGCATAGTTCGCCTGCACATGTAAAAAAATTTAGAACAGAATAGGTGTTTACTAATTTCTTGAGAAAATTCCACGAGAACATGACAAGTTCACACGTATAACCACTGTTTTGTTTATATATTCTCAGACATAACAGTTTATTGTGCATTCCAAACTGATGTACCTAATATTCCTCCCGTTTTTTTTTTTTTTTTCAGTTCTCTGGGGAAACAGTAAAAAGGGTCTAGAAATAAAACTTCCATCCGAGAGTGACATAATGCCTCAAATGAAAATTAAATGAGATGAAATCTTCTTAATCTGGACACATAATCACATGGGAAAAATCGTTTAAGAAATTTCTACAGCCGTAGCAAGGAATGTCCTGTGTGTTTTTTTATTCTCCCAATATGTCAAAAGTGAACCGAAAAAAAAAAAAAAAAAAAAAAGGAATATAATAAAATAAAACAAAAACAATGTGCATAAAATGGGTTTATTTAATGTTGTAGCTGGTTTTGTGTCTGTCCTTAGAAAAGCTGTTGCTTTAACCATTTTACGTTTCTCCACACAAATGTCTTGTTTTCTGGTGTACATGTGTGTATGTGTTGTATGCATGTGTATGTGTTACATGCATGTGTATGTGTTGTATGCATGTGTATGTGTTGTATGCATGTGTATGTGTTGTATGCATGTGTATGTGCTGTATGCATGTGTATGTGCTGTATGCATGTGTATGTGTTACATGCATGTGCATGTATTGTATTTACTGTTACTGCTATGTTTTTTTATTGTGTAAAACACACAGATTCCCCTGTCGGGTGTAAAAGAATATATAAGGTTGTTTTTATTCAGATAAAAAAAATATTTCACGTCAGATCCCCCTCCCCCTTTCGACGCCTTTCTCTCTGTTGTAGTAAACTTTTATTATTTTATTTTATTTATTTTTTCTTCCATTTTGTGTAAAGGAGCAATAGACTATTTAATAAAAAAAAAAAAATGATTTTCTTATTATTACATCGATAGAGGTGTTTAGAAGAATGAAAAGAAAGGTCAAACCTAAAGATAAGGCGAAACAATGCCGACGTGAAGGTTGAAAAACAGAAAAGAGAAAATGAAAAATAAAAAATAAAATTAAAATAAAGCAAAATAAGATAAGATAGGGTAAGATGAGATGAGATAAGGTAAAAATAAAATATAACTAAAATAAAGCTTAAATACGGCTAAAATACGGCTAAAATACGGCTAAAATACGGCTAAAATACGGCTAAAATACGGCTAAAATAGGGCTAAAATAGGGCTAAAATATGGCTAATTATAGCTAAAATTTTTGTTCATGTATTAATATACAATCAAAGGGGTGAAAAAAAAAAAAGAGACATTAAAATGTAGAACATACGAAACTCATGCTTGGATATTTTGTAATTTACACGCATCTAAAGTATGTTAGTGCACATTTATGAAAAAGGCACAGTTTAAAAAGAGAAGATGAAAGAAAACAAAAAATTCGTGCGAATGGTTTTCAAATACATATCAAGTAAAAAATCACAAAAAAATTAAAACAAGTGCTAAGCTCACGAAACCCCCAAGTACCATAAAACTCCTGATTTCTCCTGCATTGTTTCGAAGCTTTCAAGCATGTGTATATGTATATGTGTAAATGTACATGTATAAGTGTACATGTATATATATATATTTACAAGGAAAGGATAAAATAATAAGAAAGATAAAATCTTAGAATTCTATAGAAATGCCAGGTTATAAATTATCTACATTTGTAATGCACATGCAAGAAGGGTCAATTAAAAGCTTGGGCAAGATGATGAGTCTATAAATGCACAGGTAAGTAAAGAAATTCCATATAATTATTATAACCCTTTTTGCATAAGGACTGCAAAAATAAAATGGGAGTAAATCAGTTAATAAAAGTTAACCCGAAGGTATTATACACTATACTATGCAAAATATAGCGCACGAGAATTAAAGGGCAAAAAAAAAAAAGAGTCGAAAGAAAGGAGTTTCTGCGTACTCTTATATGTATTTGCGTACATAACACAATATTGTACCAAAAAAAAAAAAAAAAAAAAAAAAAAGAATGAAAAGAGCAAAGCTATGCAGTATACATACATGAACACTTGTATATGCTTATATTTGTATCCTTATACTTGTATACATATTTGTATACATATCTGTATGTATATTATGTAGGAATAAGCACATATTGCATAGCCCACGCTTTTGTAAAACAGATTAGTGATAACATCATTGGCGATAGAATATACAAAATATTCACGCATGAAGAAAAATTCGAAAAAAAAAAAATTCACAAGAACGTGAGAATTCCATTAGATCAAACGCATGTATAAATGTTCAGGAACACAAAATACATGTCATAAGTGTATATTCATTAGGAAGAATAAGGTGGAAACAAAGAAAATAAAAAAAATATATAGATCCTTTAGAACGCCAACACAAAATATGAGAGTACTACTTAGCACAAAAGCAGAAGTAAAAAAGATAAAGTGAAAAATATAGCAAAAAAAAGGAAGAAAAAGGGGAAAAAAAAAATTAGAAAAAAAAATAAAAAAGATAAAACAAAACAAGCTGCAAAGAAGAAGCTACAAAGAAGAAGCTGCAAAGAAGAAAGTGCAAAAAAGAAGTTACAAAAAAGAAGTTACAAAAAAGAAGTTACAAAAAAGAAGTTACAAAAAAGAAGTTACAAAAAAGAAGCTACAAAAAAGAAGCTACCAAACTAGGCACAAAACCTGCCATAGAAACTAGGAACACAAAGCTAGATACAAATATAAGCACAACACAAAACAGAACAAAGCAATTTAAAAAAAAAATAAAATAAAAGTGAAAATCGAAAGTCAGAAAAAAGAGAAATGGATAAATTAATGAACAACAATAAGGTCAAACTAACCGTCGTTCTGTTGGGAAGTATATGCTCCTTTGCATTGTATCATATGAAAAAGAAAATAAATATTCCCCAATTTTTATTTTCAAAAAAATGGTTTAGTGAATTTTCATTGATGTGGCCTGGACAAGCCTTCAGTCTGGAAATAAAAAAAATTATTCACCAAGCCAAATCCAAATATCAAGTAATGAATTTTTTTTTTTTTTTTTTTTTTGAGATCATATCATCCAGGGTGATTTTGTTTCAGGGTTATTCTTTGGGTATGACACGGGGTTTTGTGTACCTCCTGAAATTTCGTTTGGTTCGTCCATTTTGGAAAATTATTCAATCGAATGTCACATGTGATAAGTGTTCCATGATTCTCTATGCATGTTCATATTTTCCTCATTGTGTCGAGAAGCTAGCCCAAGGAATTAACCCTGTTTTCATTTGAACCCCAAAAAAAAGCAGCTCGTAAAAACAGCCAATCGGTTGAATAAACGACCCAACCGATCGAATAAACCACCCAACCGATCGAATAAACCACCCAACCGATCGAATAAACCACCCAACCGATCGAATAAACCACCCAACCGATCGAATAAACCACCCAACCGATCGAATAAACCACCTAAACCTTTTTTTCACTTCATCTTCCCATTTTTTCCGAAATATGCAGAGTATCCTAGTCTTTGAAAGCACAACCTTTGGTAAAGTACTAGTCCTAGATGGAGTTATTCAATTAACAGAAAAAGATGAATTTGCATATCATGAAATGATGACACATATACCTATGACAGTTGCGAAAGAACCGAAAAATGTTTTGATTGTAGGTGGAGGGGATGGAGGAGTAATACGAGAGCTTTGTAAATATAAAACTATTGAAAATATAGATATATGTGAAATTGATGAAATGGTTATTGACGTTTCGAAAACCTTTTTTAAAAATATTAGCTTAGGATTTGATGATAAAAGAGTAAATGTCTTTATTGAAGATGCCAGCAAATTTCTAGAAAATGTCACAAATACCTACGACATAATTATTGTCGATAGTTCTGATCCCATAGGACCTGCAGAATCCTTGTTTAATCAAAATTTTTATGAAAAAGTGTATAATGCATTGAAACCCAATGGTTACTGCGTCGCTCAGGTAATAATATCAGAGCCACGTCTTTATTCCTATATGTACCGTTTTGTACGCGTTCGTCTCAACAGATGAGATTATCCATCTCTCCATCTATCCATCCATCTCTCTATATATATAACTGCTTTCATTTTCTCATAACCGTATACAAATCTGGTACGTTTCTCCTTTTTCCTTTTATTACTATGCAGTGCGAATCTATTTGGATACACGTTGGGACAATAAAGAGTATGATGGGATACGCTAGAAAATTATTCAAAAAGGTTGAATATGCAAATATTAGCATTCCAACTTACCCCTGTGGATGTATAGGTACTTTTTAAGTCTCACATAAACTCAGACTTTTCTTACATACGTGCACGCATCTGTATACGGACCCATATGAGCGACGACTGTTCAAACTTTCCCAGTCTACTTTTCCATTTTGCCAATCCCCATTTTTCCATCTCTCATTTCAGGCATACTCTGCTGCTCCAAAATGGACACTGGAATGTCCAAGCCAAACAGAAGATTAGAAACGAAAGAATTTTCGGATTTAAAATATTATAGCTATGAAAACCATTCAGCAGCTTTTAAGCTGCCAACTTTTGTTTTAAAAGATATTGAATCAGTGTAGGCCTTTTTTTTTTTTTTTTTCTTTATTCCTTTTCTTTCCTTTTTTTATATTTTTAATTTACCTCTCCCCCATTGTGTACATGCTTGGTACATATGTATGTAGTTGTTCCTCTGGTGGATGTACCACAATTATCACGATCAGGTTGATGTTTGCGTTATGTTGCATGAGCATAATATATATATATATATATATGTGCCTCTGACCAACTCCACACAAACATGTATATATACATATATATAGACGTGGGCTACGAATTTCGACTTGCATACATGTGCAGCGATACTTAACAAATAGAAACAAATGTCTGTTATTGTTCATTTCTTCATACCTTCACATGCATCATTCTTTTATATATATATATATATATATATATATATATATATATATATATATATATATATATATATTTATGTACGAAAATAGGCTGGGGCATTTTTTGCAAAAAAGAAAAACTTGTATTAAATTTTTTTTTTTTCTTTTTTCTCTCACGCAGTATTCATTTTTTATCCATCATGTGCTTTATTAACACTGTCATATATATGTTGTTAGGCTGTTATATTGTTACACTTTCATACGTTACATTCTCATGTGTTACATTTTCATATGTCACATTTTCGTATGATACATTTTCCTTTTGCTATGGTTTCACACATGTACGGTACAAACACAAAAAGCAAACTACATGCTGGAGTAGTTGCTTTCTCTCGTGTATGCATGAAATCGGTCTCTTGAACATACATGTTGCACGCATGTTGTGTGCAAATATTTTGAAAAAAAAAAGAAAAAGAAAAGCCACCACGGTTACCCACCACGCATACTCTTTCCTTATTTTGAAGTTGTTGCAAAAACTTTTACATATTTATTTAATTTTAAATGAAATACCAATTTTAAAAAAATTACAAATTTTGCTCTGCTAAGCATGAAGGAAGAAAAATGACAAGGTTCCAAAACGAAGGCAAATTTTCATTCCCAATTTATTTATTTGTTCATGCAGTTCACACGTGGGCAAAGATGTTTTTACACAAATGTATAAACTAGTTTTTTCTGCTTCTTGTGTAGAGGAGGAGAATATATATAAAAATAAAATGTGACATGTCGGTGTAATAATATGACCAAGTTTCATAACTTTATTTTGAAAAAAAGGGGGAAAAAGCTTGTGACCAGAGAATTGAAAAAAGAGAAATATTTCTCTGAACCAACGTTAAGGTATATATAAACATATGTGGATACACAAAAATACTTATTTCTGGGACTCACCTGTTTTTTTCGAACATGCACAAAGTCAGCAAGGCTCGGTGCTTGCGGGCTACAATCGAATAAGGTGCCCAATTTGCAAAAAAAAAAAAAATAATAATAATAATAGTATCAAATAAATAAACGGGTAAATAAATAAAAATGCATGCGAATAAAAATGTATGCGAATAAAAATGTATGCGAATAAAAATGTGTGCGAATAAAAATGTATGCGAATAAAAATGTATGCGAATAAAAATGTGTGCGAATAAAAATGTATGCGAATAAAAATGTATGCGAATAAAAATGTGTGCGAATAAAAATGTATGCGAATAAAAATGTAAACCTTCACATTTCGCTCAATTCAGTCGCAAATGTTTCGTTAAGCGCGAGTGGATGTAATCGCACCAACGCCATGGGTTGATATTAACTACCATTCCTGCATTTGCATGTGTAGGTATGTATACATCTATACACGTGTATACATAAGCATACGTGTATATATATAATATGTACGTGTTATGTATGCATGCTCGTTCGTCTCCATATGAACGAATGCACATGTGAATGCTGCGTGCAGGTGTTTGTGTACAATTCAAACATGAACTGTATGACCAAAAAAAATTTACCCCACGATAGTATGTATACCTCATTCAATTTTTTTTTTTTTTTTTTTGACAAAATGTGATATTTTTTAATGCACTACCATGTCATATGCTGTGGCACATACCGTCGCAAACACTGTCGTAAAAAACAGAGAATTTAGATTTTTTTTTGGCAAAAAAGGTGTTTATATATACATGTATACATTTTTTTTTTATCTCTTAATGTAAGAGGGTTAGAAAAGATCACCAGTACATGGACACGAACGATTTTATTATTTTCGTTTTTCTTTTTTTTTTTTTTTGTCGTTTCTATGGGGGAAGAAAATGAACAGCTGTGAAATCTACATTTTTCGCAAAAAAAAAAAAGAAAATGAAAAAAAACAAAGCTTTAATGCCATACTCCCCAGTGCATTTATAAATAAGCGATGTGTCAGGAGAGGTGAGCACTCACCCATATATGATATACATTCTATGGTAGCATGTATCGCATATGTACATATGGTTTTAAACATATAATATATATATATATAATATATACATATTAAATGTTAATATGCACAAACCTCATGATCAAACAAGTGGGAGTGCAGATGTGGTCATATTTTTTATTTTTTATTTTTTTTTAACGACATGCATAGAAAAAAGCGTGTGCTTTTTTTTCGTATCAAGAAGGGTCATTTGTTTTTTGTGCTGCATTATAACTCCTCTTATACTGGACCTTCAAGGGTCGATGTTAAAAAAAAAAAAAAAAAATAGAAAGAAAGGGGAAGATTCAATGTCGGTCGGATTACTTAACCCGTTTTGTTCTCTTTAAAAAAATAAATAAATAAATAAAACAAGTATTAAGTAATAAATACCCCCCAAAAAAACAACAAACAAGTAAAAAATAAATAAGCAAATTAATATATATAAATAAGCATGCATAAATAAACATGCATAAATAAACATGCATAAATAAATACGCATAAATAAATATATAAATAAATATATAAATAAATATATAAATAAATGAAAGCAAAAAAAAAAAAAAAAAAAAAAAAAAAAAAAAAAAAAAAACGTTAAGCTAAGCAAAAAAGGAATAGAAGCCCTTCAACTGAAAGAGGAAGGAGATTTTTTTTTTTTTTTTTATGCATATATATATATATATATATCTATTTACGCAAACTTTAACTGCTACGTTTTGATTTAACGTAAAAAGTTTAAACTGAAATAACTGTTCATTTCCATTACAGCAGTATTAAAACCATATCTACATTAATAAATACCCTTTCCGCACATATATAATACATATTATATATATACATATATATATATATATTTGTAACTCGTACGGCCATATTTCTCCGTGTGGTGCATATACCTACATAATATACTAGCACACCAACCCGAAAGAGTATATTTTGAAGTACCCTTTGTACTAAACTTGTGCACACACACACACGCCCACGCCCACCATATTTGTACAACTTTTGAAAAGAGAAAGAAAAAGGAATTGATTAGTTCCATTTACCACTTTTTGTTTTGCAAAAATGATGAAAAAAGCGGCCTTATCAGTATTACTTATTCTTCTGTCGACATATGTGAAGTGTGAAGAGAATGAGAAAAAATTACCACCAGAAATAGAATTCATCACAGGAAAATTAGAAACCCCTAATAGTGATCATGATAAGTTTTTGCAATTGATCAATGGTGTATTTACAAAAAAAGATGAAAATTACAAATTTTCATTTTCGAATAATGGATTCAAATGTGCACTTAACAAGTTTGATATTACTTTTAACAACAAAACAAAAGCTATGAACACTTTATTTACATCTGAAAATGAACAGTCGATAAAAGAAGCTGCAGAAGAATACAAAGTTCGATTGATGTTAGAATTAGATAATATTCGAACTTCAAGAGGAAATTTGAAAAATTTCAAAAAAGATTTTCAAGGAATTTGTATGAATTTTTTCCATGAATTAAGAAGAAAATTTTTCCACATATACAGAAGCGATGAGGGATCCACGGATGGTGATCATCTTAACGGTAAAGGTGATATTATGACTAGCGAACAATTAGCTGAAAGATTTGAATCGAATTACGATTCTTCACAATCTGGTGATAGTGAGGCAGCAGGAACCCATGGAAAAGATGGAAATCAAGATTTATCAGAATTGATAGAAGATGATGTTGAAGACAATCCAGATGCACCAAATAGCCACCAAAGTAGTTATGCATTCTCAACACACACATCTAAAAAAATTATATTTGATGGAAATAATGTTATAGAAGAAAATGAAAGTATTACGAATGATGGAGATGACCAAAATGATGATAAGCTTTTACAAGGACCCATGACAAAAGAAAAAGTTTTAACTATTATGTTAAAATACTCCTCTTTTAATATTGAAGGAAATTGCACAGAAGAAGATCAAACTAAAGAAAAGCCATTTACTGTCTTTTTCACTAGTCAAATGAGTAGAAACAATTTCAGTACTGTATGCAATACGAATGGTACAAATTATTTAAGAAAAGCTCAAGGTGGAAATTTTCCATTTCCAATGGACCCCATTAAACCAGAGGATTTAAACAGAATGATGGCAGACATGTTAAAATTCTTTGAAAATCAAACTGAAGGAAATGCAATGTTATTACCATTTCTAAGCAAAATGAATTTTATGGATGCCCTTGGAAGTTTAGGATTACCACAAGGTCTTGACTTTGATAAAATGTTCAATGGATATCTACAAGGAAATGTTACAACCACACCATCACCATGTTGTAGAGGTTCTCGCCCAAACATTAAGAGACCATCAACAGATGGTGGTGACTCCACTCTCCCACCCACTATAGATGATTCAAATGATCAAAACTAAGGAAAGAAGAAATCAGGGGAAAAAATGAGGAAAAAGAGAGAAAATAAGAGAGGAAACAAGAGAGGAAAAAGAGAGAAAATAAGAGAGGAAACAAGAGAGGAAACAAGAGAGGAAACAAGAGAGGAAACAAGAGAGGAAACAAGAGAGGAAACAAGAATGACAACAAGAGACACACGCATGCACATCCTGTATGTATAAATATATTGTTTCATTTTTAGTAAAAAAAAAAAAAAATAATAATAATAAAATTTAAAAAATAATAAAATTTAAAAAATAATAAAATTTAAAATATAATAAAATTTAAAAAATAAAAAAATTAAAAAAAAAAAAAATTCAGCACATAAAACGCTCATGCAATGTATGGTATATATATATGGTATGCATATGTGTTACGTACTCATGTCGCGTGTGTATTTATTTTCTTTATTAATTACATTTTCACCTTTGAAGGGTATGTGCATGTGTGGTATTATGATATTATACACAAAGTGGAGAAATGTAATATTTTGCAGAATTATTACACTGTACCATCCAAACACACATTATGCTGTGTGTTCGTTTGTATGACCAAAGAGAAAAAAAAAAAAAAAAAATACCCCCTCCTCCCCCACAAAAAAACACCCTCTCAGTGTGTATTTTTATTCATGTTACGTATTTATATCCTTATGATTTATATGCAATCTGTGTATATAACTGCTTTGAAAAGAAGAATAAAAATAAAATTATCGTTGTATAAATATGCATACATATATATGTACAAATTATATATTGCTGTATCATATATATATATATATATCCGCTCACCATTGTGTGATTTTTTTTTTTTTTTTTTAAATTGATAAAAATTTATAAATTTTGTAAAAATAAAAAAAAATTGCACACGCACACACCTGTAGTATATGCGTACATATCAGTACCAAATTGAAGCACGAGAGAAAGCTAAGGGGGTGAAACGCACACATCTGTGGATATGTATATATATACATATATATATATATATATTATCTGAACGATGCATATATTTCCTACACACTCAGGTGAGGTATGGAGCATATATATATAAAACCATCACCCGTTGGCCCTTTTTTCAATCGTCGCATGTATGGGAAGAACACTTAGTTTATCCCCACCTTTTTTTTCTGCTTAAATAAGGAAAAAAAAAAATAAAATGTGAAACTTATTTCTTTTTTGTAGACATTGCAAAGTTACACACGAAAGTGTGATCCGTACGTATATATCTCCCTGGTCTACTTCGATCCATATTGTTCTGCAGTTCCATATTCTTTAGCTCTATATGTGATTGTCCTTCCTAGGATGTTTTGTAACACAAAAGGAATGACATGACTAGCATACTTGTTGTTTAGCGGTTATTATAAAGGCAGTAAGGTAGTGAGGCAAAAAGTGGTAATATAAAAAAAAAAAAAAAAAAAAAAATGTAATACAAAAGGGGGGAAATACAATATCACCATATCGTGTTAAACATTTTAATTGCTCGATCTAGGGTAAATATAAATACATTTTCGCAAAATGAAAAAAAAAAAAAAAAAAAAAGGTGGCGTATGAGCATGATATTTTAAAGCTGAATTGGGGAAAATTCTGCTTATTAGGGTTTTCCCACTCCTTCGTCTTCATCTTCTTCATCTTCTTCATCTTCTTCATCTTCTTCATCTTCTTCATCTTCTTCATCTTCTTATCTTCTTCATCTTCTTCATCTTCTTCATCTTCTTCATCTTCTTCATCTTCTTCATCTTCTTTATCTTCTTTATCTTCTTCTCCTTTACCCCTTTTTTTTTTTTTTTTTTTTGTTTTTTTTTCCAATTTAAAATTTGCTTAAATGTGAAACGTAAAATTTTGTAGTGTAAAATACACAAAATTGAGTTAACTCTCCAGGAAAAAAAGCTCGGTTACCCGAATGGTCACCCATTTTTTAGACTTTTGACAAGGATTGCATAACGGTCCCTTTCATACGCGTGAAAATTATCACTTTGAAATTAAAAAAAAAAAAAAAAAAATTAAAAAGTGAGAAAAGGTTAGCCACTCTGGCAACATTTCCCACTTTAACTGCATTATCTCATTTGAACCCTGAACCAATTAAGAGATAACACAAAAGTGTATGTGCAATCCATCTCCCCCCTAGCCATTATACATATGTTAAGCATGCTCTTTTAACATGCACAAGTTTCTCCGCCCTACCCTCTTTTAAGGAATAGAAAAGAATCACCAATTTTCAAATAACAAAAAAAAAAAAAAAAAAAAAAAAAATTGAGGAAAAAAAGAAAAAAAATTGAGGAAAAAAAGGAAAAAAAATTGAGGAAAAAAAGGAAAAAAAATTGAGGAAAAAAAGGAAAAAAAAAATAAAGGGGCACACAACGAAATGGAAGAGAACAAAGAAGATATTTGCGAGCTGAACAAAAACAGCTATCCCAATTTTTATCTAGCAGACCTATTTTACATTTTACAGTTGTCACATATATCACAGGAGGAGAAAAATGAAACGTTTCAAAAACTCCTAGATGAAATAAAAAAAAATAATATGTACGCATATTATACTTATGTATGTGAAGAATTAAAGATACCCATAGATCAAGAACTTTACAATTCTTTAAAAGAAAAAGCAGATGAAGAAATTAACGAAATAGAAAAAAAAATTCAAGAGGCTTCCGAAAATTTTGATTCAGTTGAAACCAAAAATGACATTCTATTAAAGGCAAATTTCTTTTGCAAAATAGGAGACAAGGTTAGCATTAGCAGACAAATTCAATAACGACAATCTCTCCACACGGATACATTCATGTGTGTGTGTATGTGTGTGGGGGGAGATTCTCTGGCCGAAAGAACTTGTACATACTCACGCAGCACATATTTGAATGAGTTCTTCTGTGTTTCAAGACATGCATATTGTCAGCCCCTCCACCTTCGAGAATACACAGCAACTGTAGCTATAACTTCAGCTGCAAATGTAACTGATATGTATGCATGCAAGAACACACGTACACACATAGACTCTGTAGTTGTGTTTCATTTTTGCATTCTACTGTGGACCCATTTTAAATGACTCATCCTTTTATGTATCTCATCAAGGAACAATGCACATGTTGTTCTTCCCCTTCTCTTCCTTCTTTGGTCTATTCACATCACCTGGGAAAGGACGCCCCATAACATCTACATTTTAAATGTAATAATAACACACACACACACACCCTTTTCCATCCTACTTCTGAACACATTGCAGGAAAATGCTCTGAAGGAATATGAAGAAGTGTACAAAAAGGGAATAGGAAATGGAGTTAAGTTAGATATTCTTCTGACGATAATAAGAATAAGTATATTTTTTAATGATTTGAAGAATACTAAAAAATATTTAGAGAAAGCAAAAATGCAAATGGAAAAAGGAGGAGATTGGGAAAGAAAAAACAAATTAAAAATATATGAAGCTTTAAATTATATTATGATTAGAAATTTTCCTGAGGCTTCCAAAATTTTAATAGATGCCGCTTCTACATTTACAGCAACAGAGATTATTTCTTATGATGAAATTATATTTTATGTTGTCATTCTTGGAATAGTATAAATTAAAAATTAAATAAAACACTGATTCGTTCGTTCGTTCGTTCATTTATTTATTTTTTTGTGCAGGGAAAATTTACCGCACGCGCTATAAACAAATTATATATACACTTCTTTACATATACTAATTTCTTACATTTTGTTTTCTTCACCTCCCCGAACAGATGACAGAAGAAAGAACCGTTTTGGACAAAAAAGTTTTAAATAGTTCAGTTATTTTACAAGTAACAAGTAGTGATGAAGATTTGCATAGCTACATTTCCTCCTTCTACCATTGTGATTATCGAACATTTATGGAAAAGACAATAAAGATTGCTATGAGAGTAAAGAGGGATAAATACTTTGGAAGACATTACAGATATTTCATTCGAAATACAAGAGTTAGAGCTTATAAACAATTTTTAGAACCTTTCAAAAGTGTTACACTTAAAAACATGGCTTACGCTTTTGGTGTAAGTGATGAATTTATTGAAGATGAAATTTCCTCCTTTATTGCAAATGGAAAATTGAATTGTAAAATTGACAAAGTGAATGGTTCTATCGAAAGTAATCAACCAAATGAACGAAACACCTTATACTTAAACACGATTAAAAAGGTACAGCTTCATGTTTTTCCTACTGGAGATATCGCATCACATGTTGTGTTTTGTGGACCATGCGCTCGAGAGAAAAATGTGTGACTTGTGTTTTTTTATCAGCCTTTCTGTTATTGGGGCTAACGATGGGGAACACACATTTTCTCTCATATGTACATTTGTACGCACGTGTACATTTTAGTACTAATTTTCGCGCGTACTTATTTTTTCTTTACAACTTTACCAGGGGGATATTCTTCTAAATAGGATACAGAAACTGTCTAGAGTAATTGACATGTAACATAAAACACCATCAGTTTTTTTTTTTTATTCTTTCTAGAGAGGATTATAAAGCAGTGTACGCAGAATTTTTATTTTTTCTAGAGAGGATTATAAAGCAGCGTACGCAGAATTTTTATTTTTTCTAGAGAGGATTACGTAACATGTTTACCTTTTTTCAATTTTTTTTTTTTTTTTTTTTTTTTTTTTTTTTTTTTTTTTGAAATACTTCCTTTTTACCTGCACAGTTCAGAATTTTATTTAAACATATATTTTGATACTCCTATCTCATTATATGTTTTTCATTCTCTTACATTTGCTATGCCCCAACATAAATGCTTGAGTTTTTTTTTTTTTTCTTTTTTTTTTGCAAATCAAAATGAATAAAAATTTAAGTACACATATGTGCTCGTAAATCAAAATGGACATATGCACACGCTTAAGGAAAAAAGTTGTCGCTTGTTCAATTCACATAAACATTGGGTAGTAAAAAAAAAAAAAAAAAAAAAAAAAAAATGCAGTGCAGGATAACATAACACAGCACAGGTGAGTTACATTCCAAATAATCGATTTGTAAAGCAAAGAAAAACTGAACAGTCCAAAGTGTCCATCGCGATAACTGTGCAAATGACCCAATAGAGAAGAACAACGGAATAGGATAACAATTCTCTTCAACTTCATACACTTGTACGTGCACATGCACATGGAAATGTGCATAAACATATCAAAATGTACAAGGACACACGTCGTGCCGGATGTACATGTAGAAATTTCTCAACATATTCGCAAAATTGTTCATGCGTGAATCAACTTGGAAGTTATCCCTACAATATACTGCAAGTAAGCGGTTTTCAATAAATAAATATCCTTGTAGAGACTAAAATGTAGTTTATGTATGTTAGTAGTGCTGAATGGATGCAATCGGAGTGGTTTAAAAATGATTTGCAATATTTTATTTTCTGCGTCCGCATTAAAAATAGATGAATGACAATCATCTCTGAAAATGTAAAGAAAAGCCCTGACATTTGTTAAGGCATATTTTGATATAAGCGAATTTGTTAGCTTGTACAACTTCAAGCTCATTTCATAATTTACCAATGTGTCTTTTTCACCATGAATAAAATTGATTTGTAAATTAAAAAAAATGGTATTCAAATATTTTATTTTTTTTAAATCATTTAACACTTTAAAAAACTCTTTTAATACAATTATATTATCCCAGTCAACATATGAACATTTTTTATTCATAACAAACCAACTGAAAAAAAATAAAATACTATTACTTAAAATGCTTTTTACCAATTTTTGAGTATTAGTAAATGGTGCAACTAACACAATTCTATCTACTGTTATTTTTAATTCATTTTTTAATATTTCTTCCATTATTTTTTTCCGCGCTTTTTCGCTCTGTAACGTTTTGTTTACAATAACGGTTTTTATCGCATTTTCTTGTGTTCCATTTTTATGAATTCCTAACTTGGATTTCTTTCTCTGACTGTTCTTTGCAACAAAATTGAGGTAACTATTCCCCTGGTAGTGCAACCCCCTTTTTTGGTCTCTTCTTTCATCATACCATATTTGTCTCACTTTTCCCTTCCCCCCAAAATTATTATCTTCTTCCCCGTTTTCTGCTGCACCGTTTTCTTCTGCACCGTTATCCACTGCACCGTTATCCGCTGCACCGTTATCCGCTGCACCGTTTTCTGTTGCACCATTGACACTTACCCACCTACTTCGGCGCTGCGTCCCCTCCATTGACGAAGCTGATTGCATAAGAACATCTTGAAAGGTTAATATTTTCCTTTCATCATACACATATTCATTAATTTTGTTCTTCTTATTATCGTTTAACTTGATCGATAAGCTATTTTCCTCCTTTAGGGATCCCTTAATCGGTTCCCTTACTTTCCTATGAAATGGAGTTTTATATCTCCCTTCGAAGAAATCGTTGTACAGACTTTTAGCTATATCCAGCAGAAGTTGCAGACTCACACAACATCCGAGGGAATAGCCAAGAATGTTTATGGACACATTTTCCATGTGATCCCAGTTATCACTTCCTACAATTCCCATATTGCTGCTTGTCTCGTCTGTATTCAACTTTCTAATTTCCTTTAAGGCCTCTTTTAACGCAGCAAATGCACTTGTCTTGAATGTCAATGGAGATGGATGACCCGTGCTGTTGTTATATGCAGGATAATCCAAGAGCAGAAAGGAATATCTAATTTTCTGTTTTTTTTTTTGCTTTCTATCTTTATATATTAATGGACCATATATATCTGTGTAATTTAATTTTCCTTCCTTTATTTCTCCTTCATGTTTTTCAAAAGACGGGTTTCTTCCTTGCATATGATAGGAAATAAAATCGAACAATTCATCTCTATCACTTTGGTTGCTCGATTCGCTATCACTTCGTTCTATGAAGAAATCGTATGTTTCATCCTCGTCCGTTTGTTCTGTTTCACCTGAATATTCAGGCTTTATTACTATTGTATCCGCTGTATGGTTGTCCCCCTTTATGTGCTCATCATCTTCAGTATCCCTCTTGGATTCCTTAACCCTTTCCTTGTAATAGTCCAGGAATTCACCATAGTTGTGAGGGCCAAACATATCGTACCTCTTATTGTACTGTTCGTAATATGTAACAATTCGGTTGTATATTTCCATGGCGTTCTTATGCAAATTTTTGTGAACAAATATTTTCTTGGGCAATTCTGGGAATTTTTTTTTTTTTTTTTTTCCTCCCCTGTATGGAGCTATGGAATTGTGCATGGCTCCCTTCGGGTAACCAATATTATAGCTTTTCTTTTTTTTTTGAAAAAAAATATTCTCATGTTCAGGGGAAATTTCCCATTTTTCTTGCTTACTGTTCAGGCGAATTTCGTTCCTAGCAACTTGGTTTTTTTTACCCACTTCGCATGGGAATTTCTGCCAGCACACCTTTATCTCAGCCTCTGTCTCAGCATTTGTCCCAGCCATTGTCTCAGCTTTTGCCTCAGTCTTTGTCCCAGCCATTGTCCCAAAATTTGTCCCCAATTTTGTCCCAAGCTTTGTATGATTGCCCGAATTTGTGTGCATGTTTTTTTTTATTTTCCTCCTTTCCAATTTTCCCAGATATTTTTCATACTCGGATGGGGGAATTTCAGTGGCATATCGAAGAATTTTATACACGATATTTAGTGAATCCATTGATTTCATATCTTTCCCTCCAAAAATAACCCATAAAAAAATGGGTACTTTTTCAATGCTCTTCCTTTCTACATACCTTTTTACCTTTTTTACATTTTTATTTTTAAGATGACTAAAAACAGAATCATACGATTTTCCGTTTATAAAATTACGTAATTTAAAATTATTTATATCTCCAATATTGATATATTTGTTACATTTCTCATTTTTCACTACGACGCACGTGGTTAAGTCTTTTTTTTTTTTTTTTTCCCCTATGGTTACATCCGTAAGTTGTGTTTTTGTTGCATTGATATTCTCCTTTCTCATGTCTTCTTCTCTCCCTTGATCCAATGTGTGAACTTTGTAAATATCAGCTTTATGCACTTTCACCTTCTTTTTCCATTCTATATCCTCATTTGGGACACATGAAAGGAGCAGTTTACTTCTCATCTTATGATATCTGAAATAAGTTACCATTTCGTTTATGTATTTGTGGTAATACTCAAAAAGGAAAAAAATATTGTCACATGTATAAGGAAATATTGGTTCAATTTTGCTATTTCCAAAGGTCATATAAACACACGAACAATCCAGTAGGGATCTATCCGATAGAGTGAAAATTTTCTGTTGGAAAAGTAGTTCTTCTGGCATAGTTTCGTCTTTCGCATTTGTTTTCAGTTTATGATCCTTCTGATGAAAATTTTGTAATTTACTTCCACTCTCACATGTGTCGTAAGTATGATTTTTCTGCCCACGCTTATCTAGTTCACTTATTATATCCACCTTGCTTATCCGTTTCTGAAATGTTGGTAGTGTTTTTTCTCTTTCTACCTTTGTACTTGTATTGTCATTTCTGAGAATAGCCTCTCCCTCTAGACTATTGCTTAAACATGGCGTGTTTTCCTCCTCTTTTTTATGAACAGAGGTGAAGCACGACACATGCCTCTTAAGGGAAGATATATCTTTTAAAGAAGTGGAATAAGTTCTCTTTGCACATTTGAAGGAGATATGATCTATGAAATATTTATTTCGTTTAATGTTTATGAAATAACTGCTGCCTCTTTCGTTGTTGTGTATTTCTTGAGAATTCTCTTTATTTTCTGTGTCTTGATTCTGTCCATTCTTTTCTTTCTTTTTCATTTTATTTTTTTTTAAAAAAGTCCAAGAACCATTATTGATTAGAGTAGTGTCGCTTGTCATTTTCTGTATCCTAAGAGAATTTTCCATGTTGTGAATATCCAAAGGAGAAATCAAGTAAGCATTGTAAATATATGGATAATTAAAAGATGTTGTGTTTTCATCAATTAAAACGATGTCTTTTATGGGATGAACTAGTAATTCAAAATTAAGTCTCATTAACATATAGTTATACAAAGTTTCGGGGTTCTTATTTTCACCACTACTGGTATAAAAAAAAAGTTCATACCATGTATTTTTATATTTAAAAAAATTAACATCTTCATTTTCTCCTCTAACTGTTGGAATTTCAAAATTTTTACTCAACTTATATTTGTGCATCTCTAATTCGTTTAAAGGAATTGGTTTCTTTGGTAAACTTAAAATTTCTCTCTTTGCAATTTCGATATTTTTTGCATTTGACAAAACATGTTTGTGTCTATCCTCCTTTGGGTATATTGTTAAATTCTTTATGTATACATTTTTGCTTTCTATGAACATATTCACTAATTTATTTTTAGGAACAAGCTTCATTTTCATTTTCCCCTTCGTTGTTGTCAATCCGTGGAAGTATTTCATGGTTGTCCCTCTCTCTAGTTTTAAGCGCTTGGGTAGGCGGCTAGTTGGACAGTCAGGTAAATTTCTTTCTCCCTCGCCAGACAACCCGTTTGTTAGGTGGCTAGCTAGACAGTCAGGTAATTTTCTTTCTCCCTCACATGACAAGCAGTTTGATAGGCGGCTAGCTGGACAGTCAGGTAAATTTCTTTCTCCCTCGCCAGACAACCCGTTTGGTAATCCCTTCATTAGAAATTTGCCTGTTGGACAGTCCACTGCTGCTTCTAAGCCGCTACTTGACATAGTTCCAAATTTATTTTTCTGTGTAAGTTGTCGGGAAGTTTTTCCCTTATTCTTCAAGTAATTATTATAAATTTGTCTAAAAGTGAACTTTTTTTTTATACCATTCAGATGTGTGGTGTTACTGATTACGTTTGTAAATTCCCTATTTTTCTCATCTAAAGATACATTAAATTTTACATGCATTGACTTATCATCTCTTTTTTTGTGAACCCCTTTGCACTTAAAGCAATCGTATGATGTATCCACTAGATAATCATGCGAATGATTGGTCATATGCACAAAGGGAGTATGTTTCAAGTATGTTAATCGTGAATTTTCTTCTTTATCCATCTCTCTTTGGAGGTGTTTATTTCTTGTACTTTTTTTAGGAATCACATCTTGGATGTTTCTTCTTACCATGTATGGTATATTTATCACTTCTGGTTCCATTGTTCTATTTATATTACTGCCTTGCTTAATGTGATCATAATGAAATGCTCGATTTTGGCTATTTCTTTGATTCAGTTCAGATGGAGATGCAGTACAATTGCTTTCCCACATATGATTTTTGTCTTCCATGTTTCTTTCATCTTTTTTCTCGTCTCTAATTTGTGTATTCCTGTCGAATTCATCGTGTGCGTTTCTTTCGATATATTCCTTTTTCATAAATGTTTTTTCTCCCCATAGTTTGTTTAACATTTTTAGTTTCAGTTTCAGATTTAGTTGACTTTCAGAATGAAGTTCTACACATTTAGAAGCGGTGGTACAAACATTGTAAGAATGCCTATTCACACTTTTATGTTCATATTTTTCCACATTATACTTATAATTTGTTTCTTTTTTAAAATTATCCTCATATATATATTTGTAATAATCGGAGTGATGAACTAATGTTTCTTCCATTTTGTCATTCAAGGATGGTTTTCCCTTAGAAGTGGACAAGAAAAAATTCACAGATTCACTTAATTCATCTTTTTCAAAAAGCAAATGTGTTTCAGTGGTTTTCATCTCTTCTTCCCTTAGTGTGGTGCTATCCATCATTTCATACGTGCTTTTTCCGTTTAAGTTTTTTTTTTGCCAACTCTTTTTTGGGAGATTTTTCTTCATGTATGGTTTTTTCATTTTTGCATAAACTAACGGAAAATGAAAAGAAGTGTGAAGGGATATCCAAAGGGGGTTACCTAATCGATTGTTGTCAGAATATCCATGTGTTTTTTTTAATTTCCTTTATTTTGTCTCCTCACTTGTTTTATGCCCAATTAATATAGGGAAGAAGTGAATTATCATAACATGTGCCCGCTGAGGGGAAAAGAAGAAGAAGAAGAAAAAGAAAAAGAAGAAAAAGAAAAAGAAGAAAATATCGCATGCATGCCCTTTGCGTCTTTATCATACAGAACAATTCACGCACAGGATGCTAATATCGATCAAAGTGGACAAAAAAAAAAAAAGAGCAGAAGAGCAGTAATCCTAATGTGTGCATACACACACACATGCACGCACACCACTTTGAGTAGGGGATTATTGATCAGTTGCACTAAAGGCAAGCTTTTTTTCTTCTTTTTTTCTTCTATTTTTTTTTCTTTTTTTCTTCTTTTTTTTTTCTTTTTTTTTTCTATTTTTTTTCTTTTTTTCTTCTATTTTTTTTCTTTTTTTCTTCTATTTTTATTCCTTTTTTACAACATGCACCTTTGCCTAATGATTAGCAGAATTGTGCCTAAATGACCTTTGCTCAATTCCCTCCCTTCTGTTTGCAACTTGTTCCATTGCACCTCCTTCGCATCCTTCTGGTTGTTCAAAAATGCTGTTAATTCAATGTTTATATTGTAAATAGGAAAACATTGGAGGAAACTGACAAAAAAAAAGCGAAACAAAATGCACTTTTTCGTTCATCCATTTTAAACAAAATTAGACAAGAAAAAAAAAAAAAAAAAAAAAAAAAAAAAATACGAACAGACACCTCAAAATGGAAAAGTGAAGAAAAATAAATCACTGCTTTGAGCTTTTTCTTCCCACCCGTTACACAGTCAACTGTGAATGCAAACTTTTCAGCACCCATAATCGCTGCTTATTGATCTCTTCATATTTTCTGATAGACATTTCTCATGTTAACAACTACCATATTTTTCTGATTGTAAGGCAAACGATGTTATTTTGTATGTATCAAATCACATTTAGAGAAAATACAAAGGACTACATGAGTTGGTATATTGACAAACAAAAAAAAAAAAATAAATAAAATAATAAAATAAAATGGTGTAATATAACAATAAAATAAAATGGTGTAATACAAGAATAAAATAAAATGGTGCAATACAACATAACATACTATAACACGAACTAACAATCGTTTAGAATAACACTGAACACATATTTTATGTTCATGCTTTGAGCACAGGGAGAGGTTTTATATTGCCCATACATTATATCTCTATTTTGGTTACAAAATGAAACAGAAAAATATGTTTGATGAATGAACATGTATGACATAGAGATTTTTTTCAACTTGAAAAAAAAAAAAAAAAATTTCTAAAAATTAGGATAGAGTATCTCTACCAACTCTTTCCAAATTCTAGGTGTTATGTGCCAACTGGTATAAGAAGATGTAAAATATCACAAAAATGGTTTGTTGTTTATAATGAGTACACAAAATGAAAAAGGATTTTAATTTCTGTTCATATCTCCCCACGTCTTATCTTTTTTTCTCAAAGTAAAAAAGGTAGATCCCGTTTGAGAATACCGTGCTTCTTGTCAGATTCATATGACACAAAAATTAAAAGTGATTTTTTTTTTTTTTTTTTTTTTTCTCTTTACCCATCGGTCACTCCTTATCGGTTACTTCTCATTATTTTAGTGCTGTGTCGGGTTTTATTTTTTTTTGCCTAACTTTGACCTTCCCCTATCAAACTTGGGTCCGTTCTTACCAAAATTATGATCCTTTTTTACCCGTTTGTTACTATTCTTGGTGTTTTTTTGACCTCTTTTCACAGGTGCTTCGCTAAGATTCCCTTTCCCTTTACGAAATTTTTTCTTTTTTCTTTTTACTTTGAATGCATTTTTGGAATATTTATTATCCCTTCGCCCTCGCCCTCGATGTGTTCCGTACGAATCTCTGGATGCGTGATTGTTTGATTTTTCCTCTCCACTTCTGCCATCATCCAATTGATCGCTTTTACTAAATTGATCGCTTTTACTGAATTGATCGCTTTTACCCAATTTGGAATTCCCTCCTTTGTGCGTAGCACCATTACCACTCTGCCTCTTCTTCTTCTTCTTCAGCACCGAAGTTGTATTCTGTTTATCTTTCTCTCCCTTGGAGTACACAATATTGGAGCGTTTCCTTAATTTGGCAACAAAGAAGTTGTCATAGTTATGCTTGTGAAGATATATCCTTCTGCATAATGCAATTTTGCTCGAGAATTCTTTTTTCCTGTAATGAGTAATCCCAGGGTCTCCTATTTGTGTGTCAAGGGGTAAAAGATTGACATCTCTTTTTTTTAGAATATAATTTATAACTTGTTCATTTTCTTCAACTGTTATACTACAAGTTGAATATACAACAATACCATCATTTTTCACTAAATTGATAGCATTATTTAAAAGTTTTCTTTGTTTTTGTGCTAATTCTCTTATTTCTTTTATAGTTTTTCTTCTCGCTTCTTTATTTTTGTTTACAACTCCTGTTCCACTACATGGTGCATCTAAAATAATTTTATCAAATTGGAATGTCCATTTTTTTGCAATTTTTAAAGCATCAAAAGAAGTAATTATTAAATTACTGATTCCCATTCTTGCAGCATTTGCTTCAATTGATTTACATCTCATTTTGTTAATATCATTTGCGTATACAAATCCTTTATTTTTTTGAAGTGTACATATGAACGTACATTTTCCACCTGGTGCTGCACACATATCTAATACAACTTCTCCTTGTTGTACATTTAATTCTAACACAGGAATTAATGAAGATGCAGATTGAATCATATAGTATCCATATAAATACTCATTTAAGGATCCTACATTTGAATTAACATCATTTACAATTATTCCTACGTTATTCCAGTTTTCTCCTTCTTCCACTGCTATGTTTTGACTCTTAAGTATTTTCATTAAATTATTTCTCGTAATTTTTAAACTATTCGTTCGTAAATGTATTTCCTTTGGTATGTTATTTATTTCTAAAAAAAAATAAAGTTCTTTCAAATCAAACAGGTAATATAAATACTTTATTAACTCTTGGCTATACTCATAGTAGTACGAATAGTAAAATAAAAGTTCTTTTATTATCAAAGATTTCTTTACATTCGATTTTCCACCTGGTGCAACCATCATTACTTTTTTTGTTTCACTAAACAATAACAGTAGGTACTTCATCCGGTCTTCTATATCTTCGCTCTTCATCATTTGTTCATTTTTGTATATCCCCATATTGTCGTAGCATATCTTTTCGCTTTCATTTATCCACTTTCTTTTATTTTTTTTTCTCATCATCTTTGCCACTTGGGCTCGCACGTCAGTCACATGATGTGGCATCTTGGACGATACCAAGTTTGCTTCATCCGAGTGGTGACTAACATCATCATCTTTATCATCATCATTATCATCATCCTTATTGTCGTGCTCTTCTACCACCTCCTCTTCTGATTCTTCTCCTTGGGTGTTCAAATCCCCATATGACATGCTACCACTCTCCGAACCACTTCCCATCCCATCCTCGTCCTCCTCTAATACATCGCCCTCCTTCTCCTCCTCTTCCTCTTCTTCGCTACCCGATGTGTATTCATCATCACTTGCATTCAGTTCAAAGTTTTCATTTTCAAAAAGGGCAAATGTTTTTACGTACTTTTCCCCGTTGTTTTCACCATTTCCTTCTTCATTTTTTGCATCCTCAAGAGAAGCCTCCTTTTCCCCTTTATTTAAATTATTCATTTTGTTTGAAAAGAACTGATGGATAATCACTTGTTCTTGAGCATAATAATTATACACTTTTTTATGACATTCGTATGTTTATCTATTTTCATACGAAGAGAAATAACTAAATTATTTCTTCGATTTCATTGGGGGTAACATTTTTTTTTTTTTTTTTTCTCTCAACTAATGGGAAAATTTCATCCACGTTTAGAAGTTCCTTCTAAATTTGAATTTTGAAAAGTAAGGCAAAAAAGGGGATGAAAAATGAAAGGGCAAAATTGTTAAAAAATGGTCAATTTTTTTTTTTTTTTTTTTTTTTGGCATACAATGATACAAAACAAATAATTTAAAAAAGTAGTTTACGCTGTTATATACTTCGATTCTGTCATGAGCAGCTGTGAGGACACAGCGGTATAGTGGTATATGTAAAAGAAGCGGTAAAACTTGTAAGAAAATAAACAAAAAAATTAAAAATATATTAAAAAAAAAGGAAAAAAAAATCTGCAAGTAGTAGGGGATAAACAACGACTAAAAGGGAAAAAGAACAAGTTTGTGCTTTTTTACAAGCAAAGTTTAAGAATATAAAATAAAATAGAAAAAAAAAAAAGTGCACTTAATTATGCATACATATGTATATATATGTATACTTTTCCTTCCCTCTGTCCCTCACCCCCAGCTCATTTTCAGCTATCAAAGCATGCATAGTGGAAAAAAAAGATTTTTCATATAAAAGAAAATACAAATGTCTGCTTTTTGAACCTATGCAATCTATAGGATGGTGTGAGAAGGAACGAGGACTAAACATAAACACCACATCGGTGGTAATAAGATGCACATAGATGAAGAAGAAAAAAATAAAAAAATAAAAAGTATATGAAATAGAAGGTTGCATAAAAGGGTGAAATAAAATAATAATTGCACACAGAGAGAGTAAAATTACAAATAAAATAAATAGGGAAAAAAAAAAAAAAAAAAAAAAAAAGTCTCATCATCGTTAGAACTTATAGCAATAACCTTATTTTTAAGGCGTTTCTTTCAATGTACCAAATTATGAATTAAGGGGGAAGACTTACATATCCTTAAACCTACTGCATACATCGAAAACTTACAAAGTGATATGATCAAAAAAAAAGAATAACAAAAAAATGGAAATTTATGGAACAAAAATTTAATTCTATCATCCATATTATCTGATTCCTTTTTTTTTTTTTTATTTTTTATCACAATTTGTTGTTAACCTGTACATAAATTGGAAAGGAAAAAAAAAAAAAAAAAAAAAGGAAAGAAGTGAAGCATGAATTAAAATTTGCGAATTTCACAAACTTGGAAGAAAAGACATATTTTTCTGACACCCTCTCTATGAACATGCTTTCCAACCCATCTGTGTCACAACTTCTGTATTATTCTAATTTTTTTTTTTTTTTTTTTTATGTCCTCAGATAAGGAAAAAAAACAGACGATAATTTGTTTGAGGGGCAGCTAGCTATATACACACCTGATTCAAAGAACTTCAAACATGTGATAAACATTACCTGCCCATTTCTTTACTCAAAAAGAAAAAAAAAAAAAAAAAATATAATAAAAAGAAAAAAGTTTTGAAAAAAAACACACAAGAAGAATACTCCGAAAGGGGGAAAGAAAATAATCTAGCACTTTTCACGTCGTTTAAAATGTTTAAAAAAAAATAAGTAAACTAAAAGGACCATGTACGGTAAAGGACACCTAGGAATTACTTTTCTCACTTTGTAAACAGTAAAAAGAGAGGCAAACAAAATAAAAAAAATAATAAAAAATAAAGTGTAATAAAATAAAAATAGTGTTATAACAGTTCCAAATTATAAGAATAAGCATCGAGGATGTTTCCTCCACCCCTTTTGTTAGATACCCTCTTACCCCTCTCTCCCTTCCCCGTTTATACATTTCTAAAAATTCCAAATAGGAAGAACAAACTACATTGCATTTTTTTAATTTTATTTTGTTATATTTTTTTTTTTTTTTTTTTTTTTTGATAAAGCAGCGTATGCAAAAATATCAAATGGTGGACACGAAATCTGATCACCCCCAGATAAGCGTCGATGAATGGGACGAATCCCAGTCGAATGGAGGAAAAAATGTTCAGGCTTCTCCGAGTGAGACAAAAAATGTTCAGGCTTCTCCGAGTGAGACAAAAAATGTTCAGGCTTCTCCGAGTGAGGCAAAAAATGTTCAGGTTTCTCCGAGTGAGGAACCTGCCCTCCCAGCGTACCACTACGATTTTTTGAAAAAACACAGCTCAGAAATAAAAAAAGATCTGCTAGCATGGTATTACAAATATAGGAGAAAATTACCATGGCGAAATGACCAACCACCTTACACAACAAGTGTTCAGATGGATGGAGAAAAGAGTCAAGGAGATATCAGAAAGTACTTTTGCAAAGTGGAAAATATGGAAATTAATAAAAAATTGGAGAATAATGAAGATGAAACTATAGTTATGTCCAAAGGGAAGAAAAAAGATAAAGGGAATTTACCCCTTCCTAAAATAAAAAGAATTAAAAAGGAAAATTTAAAGACGGATATTTGTGAAGAATTAAAAAATTCATCTATAAAAGAGTCGAAGAGTAAATTGGTATCTTATTATAATTGTCCTATTAATATAAAGGAGACAGAAATAAAATATATGGACAATATATTTTGTAATAGTAATAAGAAATATTTAAGCTTGAGAGGTTATCAAATTTATGTAAGTGAAATCATGCTTCAGCAAACCAAGGTACACACTGTCTTGAATTTTTACCTAAATTGGATGAATAAATGGAGTACCATATTTGAATTAGCTAAAAGTAACTTGGATGAAGTACTGATATTATGGAAGGGATTAGGGTACTATAATAGGGCGAAAAACTTATTAAACTGTTGCAAAAATGTTGTCGAAAAATACGATGGGATATTTCCAAATGATTTGAAATTATTAAAAGAATTACCAGGAATAGGTGATTATACATCCAAAGCGATTTGTATACATCTTTACAACAGGAAAGATGTATGTATTGACACAAATATTATACGGATTTTTTCGAGAATTACAGATACGATTAATTATAACAGTTCTACTGTTTTAACGAAACATTGTGAAGAGATAAGCAATATTTTATGTTCGGACGATTCCAATTATTCTGACCTTAGTCAGGCCTTAATGGACCTTGGGTCAAGCATTTGTAATAATTCTCCCCAATGTAAGCAATGTCCCTTGAATAAACACTGTCTTATATATTTAAAAAAAAATAATAAAATATACAATTCATATAATTTGAGTCATCCTGATGATTGCAAATTGTGTGTTCAAGATAGAAACGTCGAGATTAAGTGTGTTCCATTAACAAAAAAAAAAAAAAAAACGGACAAAGTGTGTCTTGTTTTGTTAGTAAAAAAGAATAACTGTGTGAAGAGAAACCATGTAAAGTGCGACCATGTAAAATGTGACAATGTAAAGAACGGCCATGTTGAGAACGATCGCGTGCAGAGTAGGCATAAAAAAAAAATAACCTTAACAGGTCAAGCAAATAGAGAATATAAAGAAGGTGATTACTACTTGATGATAAAAAACACAAATTCGAATTTATTTTCAATGCACTATTTATTTCCCTTTTTACTCCTCGATCAATTTGATAAAAAAGTTGCTCATACGGTATAATTATGGAAGAAGAGAAAAATTATTTGAAACGTCCAATATTACTTATTTTTGCATATATTATATATTTGCCTATCTTGTTTCTTCACGTGAACATAAACCGTTGCCATACGTGCGTACAATAATTTATATGATATAGGGTTTTTTTTACAACCGTTGTTTTGTGCATATATATCTGTACACCCTTCCTATATGTTCCCATTTCCCCCCATTCCAGCATTTAAATGAGATATTAAGCAACCTAAATTTGAGCACTTCTCTGAGGGATTCCTTTACATACGTAATTTTTGTGTTTTTCCTTGTGATTCTCTTCATATGTATATGAAAATATTTATACTATATATATATGTATTTTTTTTTTTTTTTTTTTTTTTTCTTTCCCCCCCCCCTTTTTTACCTGCACAGTTCAGGTGTATATATGCTTGTCTGCTTGCAAAGATGCACACAAAATTTTTACAAATAGCTATTTTTTTTTCTTTTTTTCTTTTTTTTTTTAAGATTAACCATTTTAAACATGTATTTTCTCATCTCACATATGACACGTATATTTATGTATGTTCCGTCCTGAACGCGGTAAGAAAAAAAAAAATTGGGTGTATGTTTTTTTTTTTTTTTTTTTTTTTTTTTTTTTTTTTTTGTTTTTTTTTTTTTTTTTTTTTATAAAAATTTTAAATATTTTTTCCCCTTTTTTTGGAAAAAATAAAAAAAAACCAAAAAATTTTACGGATTAAAATAAAAAAAATAAGGGATTTTTTTTTTTTTTTTTTTTTTTTTTTTTTTTTTTTTTTTTTTAATTTTTTTCTTTTTATGTTTTTTTTTTTTTTTTTTTTTTTTTTATTTTTTTTTTTTTTTTTTTTCTTTTATGTTCTTTTATTAAAAAAAAAAATTTTGTTTTTTTTTTTTTTTTTTTTTTTTTTTTTTTTTTTTTTTTTTTGGCTTTGTCTGTTTTTACTCTCTATACAAATTTTACATATATATTACCCATTTTTATAGGAAAATATAACAACAACGCAAGAAATTGCATGGATTAAAATGAAAGACATTAAGGTATTTTTTTTTTTTTTTTTTTTTTTTTTTATCCTTGTCATGTTCATTTTGTAAATTCATTCCTGTATGACTTATTTATTTTTTTATTTTATTTTGCACTACTTACGATCATATGTTTTTAAAAAATAACTCCCCTCCCCCCATTTTCAGGACTTCACACACAACAGCTTTTGTCAACAGATAATAGATCACTATAAAAAAAGTGTTGCTGAGAATAGAACGTATTTCTCAGGATTTAACATATAAGACACATTGACTCTGGGGGAAAATACAGACTATGTAGTTTAGCATTTTCCCTTAAGTGCTAAGAGAAAAGGTGGCAAAATTGGCCCCATTGCATGTGCACATATATATGAGCATATGTATCCTCGTACTTATATGCTTACACACCTTTGAATTTTTGTTAAACTCAATTTACTCTAACATGACTTACTGTACAACGACATTTCGCACTTCGTCCTCCCACAAGTAATTTGATATTACCTCAACTTAATTTTTCGCAACTTTATTCAAGTGAATTGCATGTAACTCGGTTTAATTTATTCCCATTTTTTCTCAATATTTGTAATAGTGCAAGAGCAGATATATAGCACCACACACACACACACACACACACACACACGTCCACTTGAAAAAATAGACCTATGGGTCTGTAAGAAAAAGTGAAAAGGTGGAGAAATTGCCTTGTCACTATGTCACTACACCATTACTTTGTCGAGGTCATTTTTTTCTTATTACTATTATTTACACTTCATCTTTTTGTTGTCCTTTTTTCAATTAGTTAATGTGGGAAATTGAAAAAAAACCTCCACAATAATTAAAGGATTTTTTTTTTTTTTTTTTTTTTTTTTTTTTTGTTCTTTCATTTCCACTTGTCAGAAAAGAAAATTCTGTCTTCATGTACAAGCCAACAATTGCATTTTTTACATGTGTAAATATGCATGTGCAAAGCTTTCCTAAATTTTTTTTTTTTTTTTTTTTAAATAAAAAATCATACCTTCAACGTTGAAGCATGTAATAAACATGCTTTTTAATCCCCGCACAATTTACGTATGTGTTTTTCTCCCTACCGCTACCCCACTATATTTAAACCAGTTTAGCTACTACCAAAGTCACTCTTTATTCAAAACGACAAACTTAAAAGGGTAGACTCAAAAGGACAGACTCAAAAGGGTAGACTCAAAAGGACAGACTCAAAAGGAGTACTAATTGAGTATTCCTTAGCTAAATGGTTTGTGGGACATATACCTGATCCCTCCTCCCAGGGGAGAGCGGGCAGTTGTCTAATACTCTTTCACAGTGCTCCTAACCACATGCAAAATAAGAAGTGAGACTTTCACCTGAACAATTTCACACACAAGGGACTGACAAAGAGGATAACCAGGATAAAAATATGGGAAATAAATGCAGCTGCGGGGAAATGAGTAATGCAAAAGTGGGAATAAGAAACAAAGAAGAGAACAAAAAATTGAAAGACATGTACCTGTGTTGGGACGAAAATTTGGAAAGGAGTATGTTGAGTGAAACTGAAGAAACAGAAGAGGAAAGCTATTTTTATCGCTTGAAGAAAAAAAAAAATATGAACAAGTCAGGCGAAAAATGCAAAGACAAAAAAAATATTAATAATGAAGGGGACAAAAAAGAAGGCAACAATTTTAGTGATAGTTTCGAAAGAGACTATGTAATTAATGTTAAGAAAATATTAATGTATGTTAAAGAATATGAAGAAGACTTTTTCCTTTACTTTAAAAAAAAAAATGTTACAAGTTTAATTTTCTTAAAATATATAATTATGAATTATTCAACGTATATGATGTGCGTGGACGACACTGGCGTTATATACCTTGGAGAAATTAGCGATAATAATGAAAAACACGGATTAGGGGTTGTCATCACACCTGACCAGTGCATATATATAGGCGAATTTGAAAATGATAAAATTACTGGGTTTGGTTTGTATGTTCATTTTTCCAAAAGTAAATATATAGGATATTGGAAAGGAGGAAAAGCAAATGAGTATGGAATTTTTATACATCCAAATGGAACATTTTATAAAGGATTATGGTTAAATGATAAACAGAATAGAAAAGGAATTGAACATGTTCATAATAATTATGTCTTTATTGGAAATTATAAAAAAGGTAATAAAAATGGTTTTGGTGCTTTCATATGGGAAAATGAATCAATATATATTGGAAATATAAAAAATAACTGTTTTTCTAAAAAAGGCATTTATTTTTTTAGAAAAAAAAAAATATATATAGGGAATTGGAAAAATAATTGCATACAAGGGAATTGTGAAATTCTGTGGTTAGACAAGAGACAGTTCTACGGTTATCACACGAGCACCAATAATAAAAAAGGTGTAGGAATTTATAAATGGAATGATGGGAGAATATATTTTGGGAACTGGACAAATAATAAACAACATGGTTACGGAATTTTTATTTTGATAAAGCATGTTAGAGAATACGAGAAGCATCACAAAAAACCTTTCTTCTTCTTTTTTAGGGATACACATCAAGTTAAAAAATATTTTTTTCTGAATCTGTCTAACGAGTCCTTTTTTGATGAAGGACCAGTACATGCCACGTTAGAAAGGGTAATAGGGGGAACCTATGGTGAAACAGAAAAAGGAAAATATGGAACTAACAAAAAGGAGGAAAAATTCCCTCAAAATGGAGTCAACAAAGAGGAGGAGAAATTCCCTCAAAATGGAGTCAACAAACAGGAGGAGAAATTCCCTCAAAATGGAATCAACAAAGAGGAGGAGGAGAAGAAATTCCCTCAAAATGGATTCAGTGAAGAGCTAGACAAATGCAACCACTACGACGCGTACCACTTCTTAACATTGCTGATGTGCATGAACTATTATCAGACCTGTTGCTCCTATTTCGAACATTTGAAAACAAAAAAAAAATGCAATAATTTTAAATTTAACCACAACTTTTATGGAAAAATAAAAGACCACATTTGTTCTGTTACAAATTACTATTTAGATAATTGGGGGGAGAACATTTTTCATCAAATGGGTGATATAAAAGACGATGCTTTCTACTTCCATCCACAGTATCAAACATCAGCGAGGGTAAAAAAAATGCACGAAGGACAACACGATGAATTTCTTCAATATCGTAGTTATGAGAGGAGGGTAAGCCACGCTTATGAAAGTTCCTATGGAGAGAATGAGGAGGAACAACAAGTTAAGAAGGAACCAGGTAAGAAGGAACCAGGTAAGAAGCAACTAGCTAAGAAGCAACAACAGGGAAAGGAGGAAAAATCGGGAGGCATTCCTGGGGGAATAGACAAAGGGAAAGAAGAAGAACCATTTGAAGACATAGAACGTTTGAAAAAATACCTCAGTTGCATAAACCTGAGCCGTATAAACGAAAGAGACATAAACATACACAACCCTGTATTTGCACATGCTTCAAGTAATATTATTCTCAAACTGGGAAAGTGGAAAAATGGAAAATTAAAAAAATGGATACACTCCAGCGAACATCCACCTTCCAGTAGAATTGGAAAGATAGTAACCACTCAAACAAATGGACATTCAGATTTGTCAAATGAAAAAACAAAAAAGAAAAAAGAAACAAAAAATTCAGAATTGTTTCCCAAACGGTGTAATCACTGTGTGATCGACAAATTTTTAGATCGCATGTCTTCCTCAGAAGTTAGCAGTAAACCCAAGGAAGAGGACAAGTTGTCAAAGGATACAGAGGAACTGTACTTTTCCAGGAACCTCAGGAATGGGGGTAAACGGGAGGAAACGATGACTCAGGAGAGAAGTGACGATGGGGAAGTTAGTATCAAATCGGGTATAGAATCTGGTACCGAATCTGGCATCGAATCTGGTACCGAATCTGGTATCGAATCTGGCATCGAATCTGGCATCGAATCTGGCATCGAATCTGGCATCGAATCTGGTGTCGAATCTGGTATCGAATCTGGCATCGAATCTGGTGTCGAATCTGGTACCGAATCTGGTACCGAATATAGTGCCAAATCTAATAGTGAGGTTAGCATCCAAGTTAGTGGAGACGAAGGAGACCAACAACTGGGGGGAAGGCGGTGGCCATTGGCCTCCGCTGAAAAATGGAACAAAGTGGGATCGATTCAAGTACAGAAAAATTTTAAGGGTAACGAGAACTTTTTTCAAAGCAGGAAAATTTACAGTGACAAAAATAAAAATAGAAGCAGAAACACCCCAGGCAACACAGGAAGCAGAAATTCGACAGGAAATAATTCTAACATTTTCGATTTGAGAAAAAAAGAACATATGGCCAATTCAATCGTAGAGGAAGAGGACAATGTACAAAATAATTCTATGGATATCAAGAGTGTAAGGTATGAAAAGGTTCGAAGGGGAGGAATGTCTGGAGTGGCACCTAGAGAAGTAGCTGATGTAGTATCTAGCGTAGTAACTGGTGTAACAAGAGTCCAATTCCCAAATAGAAGAGATGGCCAAAGTTTTAGCCCCCATAAAAATGTTAAAGGGAATAATGAAACAAGAGTTCAAGATAGATACATAAGTAGTATGCAGGATGAGGTCAGTAATATGGATGAGGATAATGAATGCACACCAAGAGAAAGAGCAATGGAAAAAGAAAAAAAAATAAAAAATACTTTTGAAATTAATGTACGGAATGTTTTACGTGAGGAAAAGGAGCATCATCATGATCATTATCATCCCACTTTGGAAAAAGAAAATCAAAATACAGAAGAAAAATTGTCAATACGATTGAACAGACGAAGTCATAAAAATAATGTAACCAATACTAATGAGACGCATCCTCATTTTCACAACCTTCCACAAAAAGATGAACATGTCATCACAAATACTACTTCACGTAATTATGATTTGCCAAAAAAAGGATTTTCCTTAATATGGAGTTTGAAAAAAATGAAGAATTCCCATTTATCAGCAAATGAGCACATCACTTTTGAAGCCCCAAGTACAAATGACTTAGATAAAAGTGATAAATCGGGAGCACATCCGAAAAAAAATAAGTCCATTTTTGCAAAATTACTAAGGTCAAGCCGGGACAGACGTATAAAGGGAAAAATACAACTGCAGTGACACAACCTGGTACACGTGACAACCTGGTACACGTGACAACCTGGTACGCGTGACAACATCATATGCGTGATAATATGACAGGCGAGGGAAATGTAAAAAAAAATATAAAATGATCCAAATTACTCGTATCTTCCCCTCTGCACCTACGCAGTACTAGTATTATAGATGTCTCAATTGCAAAAGCACTTGGAAAGGAGAAAGGAAAATTACGTAATTAGTGCCCCTACTAAATTTGTTCGTGACAAGAAAATGAACAAGACATCGGGAACGCACAACAAATCGTTACAAAATCGTTACAAAATCGTTACAAAATCGTTACAAAATCGTTACAAAATCGTTACAAAATCGTTACAAAATCGTTACAAAATCGTTGCAAAATCGTTGCAAAATCGTTACAAAATCGTTGCAAAATCGTTGCAAAATGGACGGGGAAATATTTCTCCTCTTCACCATTTGCCCCCCCCCCTCGGTTAATAATTATTAGGTGGTTATACATATTTCGTTTGCATCACCTATGTCATTTTCGTCCATATAATAAACTTGTAGTGATGCAAATTCCCTCTTGTCCAATTTCATTTCATTGTTTTTTTACCCTTTTAGATAGGTGCAAAACTGATGGACTGTTGTTAATTTTTTTTTTTTTTTTTTCTTTTTTTTTAAGTAGAGAAATTTCCACTTTATGAACATACCGATTTTAAACACATCCTTAACCGGAAAAATGTGTGACTTTTTTTCTGATTCAAGCGATGAAATGGTGTATTAGAATAAGGATATCACTGGGAAGGAAAAGAAAAATGAGTTGGCTGCGACATAATGGGTACGTCTCCCTGTGTTCATTATGAAATATATTTATCTTGTCTTCACGTGTACAGATATATTACCCCCTACTTATTACCATACCTTTTTATGAGAAAAAAATTACTTGTTCAAAAAAAAAAAAAAAAATAAAAACCCTTCGTTGTTATACGCTAAATACAGAACGTAAAAAGCATGCTTTCCAAATTAACTTCCATAACAAAATAAATGTTTACATGTTCGTGAGGTTTGTGTATATACAATGGACATTGAGAGAAAAACTTGTATGTAATTTTTTTTTTTTTTTTTTTTTTTTTTTTTACGATAAAACAATAAAGCGAAGAGATGAAATATCACGGGGTTGGGAAAAAGTAGGAAATAGAAAGTTTCGAATTAGAAATTATTAAGCAACTCTTATTTGTAGAGAAGTAATGGGGGTAAATAACTTGGTTTGTTATGTGTCCATCATTTATGCTCTAAGAATATTCTTCAAGTGGAAACATTAATTTGTGGAAAAAAAAGAAAAAAAAAAAAAAAAAAATTATTTACATTCGGCTTAATAAGCCATTTATAAATTTTTCCAAAATATTTTTCACCTGAACAGTTCAGAAGAATTTTCTTCCACATTGTAATTAAAAAAAAAAAAAAAAAAAAAATGATTTCTAAAGGAAGCACATATTTTTTTATTTTTTGCGTATTTCTGAACATTTGCAATTTCACCGACTTTAAAAAGGGCAATTATCCATAGATTGAACCCATTAGGAGTATGAGCACACTATTGCTAGTATTTTATATTATTTAAATCTCTTTCTTCTTCAACTCCCAACATTGTAATTCTTAAAACAGGTAATTTAACATCTTTCACCTCATTAAGAGATAAAACAAATGAAGGGATTTTTTTATTCATCGAAGGAATGTAAGAAAAAAAAAAAAAAAAAAAAAAGGACTTTGTAGGTATATTCGCCTAGAGAGAAAAAAAAAGAATTGGAAAAAGAATCACTTATAACATTCTACACCATTACCTCTGCGAATGAGGAACTGTTTTATTATTTAAAAGCATTCAAAATGAATAAACACGATGCACTCCTACAGAGTGAAGCATTTCCGATGGAGGAAATTTTGGAGAGTGATACAATGAACGAAGAAAACAAATTAATCATAGAATTTATGAGGCATATGCAAAATGAAAGGGATAAACTTCCAAGTACAGTAACTGCAAAGGAAATAAAAAATGGATTGGAATACAAAAATATGAAAAATAGTGTTAATAACAAATCAACTCATGAAATATTTTCAATATTAGACAAATATAAAGAAACGGATTTTAATAAAAACACTAATGACAAATGGAAAAATGCAACCATTGAATATATAAAAAGCGTAAGAAAATATATCCACCAAAAATATAATAGGAAAATAATTGATTCTTCAAAATATTATAGTTCTAATTGTGCTACATTGTCAAAACTTAAAAAAAATGATAATTTAATTTCTATTTTTTCAACAACTCCTTTATGCATTCATTTGTATATTTATGGTATCAATTATAAACAAGTAGTGTACTATATTCATGTAATAGCTAGACATTTTGTCCATCAAAAGGAGCACACATGGGGGTTATACATCTGGATCATATATTTGCTAATTCTGTTGGATTCTCTGCAGGCCTTGGATTCGCATGTATCTTCGAATTTGCAATCCATAAAACGATTCTGTGCGAAGAAGATAGAATCGGTAGAAAAAGGGGAAACAGTGGAAGCAGGGGAAGCGGTAGAAGCAGGGGAGGCGGTAGAAGCAGGGGAAGCAGTAGAAGCAGGGGAAGCAGTAGAAGCAGTAGAAGCAGTAGAAGCAGTAGAAGCAGTGGAAGCAGTGGAAGCAGTGGAAGCAGGGGAAGCAGTAGAAGAAGTGGAAGCAGTAGAAGAAGTGGAAGCAGTAGAAGAAGTGGAAGCAGTAGAAGCAGTGGAAGTAGTAAAAATGCTAACACCAGCAGAAATCCCTGATACGTGCACACATGAGCTAAATTTTTTATCCCATTTTCATTGCCAATCATCAATTACAACGAAGACGAATTTTTCATCTAATTTGCCTAAAGAAATTTTTTACATAATTTATTATATTATTACCGATATATTTAATCAGAAATGAAAGAATTTGTGTGTGTAATTGGTATTGAACACCATATGTTTGTTCTACATATAAACTAGTACAACTTAACCTTCCTTGAGTGTGAAAAGAAGAGAAATCTTTCCTTTTCCACCTTAAACCGAAAACATATGTGAAGTTAAGAGGTAGAGTATTATATAACATGTATAAGATTCATTTTTAAGGGTATTTTTTCCAAAGGGAATATAAAATTCCTTTTTAACCTAATTCATTTTCTTAGTGCAATGTGAATATATATCTATCACTTAAAGAAAAAGCTTCAGGAATATTTACCCAGACTCATTTGAACACTCTTTATAAAGGAAAAAATAATAGCTTATTTGTTTTCTCGGTTTGTGTTGTTGGATTTGAAAATTTTTCACGCCATCTCACTGTTTACTTACATCCCCGTTCGTTTCCCTCCGTTTTGTTTTGTTTTATTTTTTTGTTATGGCACATTTGACCATGTCATTACTAATTTTACATAGGTTGCCTTTTTACTTGTCTCTTAGCTGTTACATTGTGTACACAAAAATATGTACACAATTTTTTAACTGCACAATTTTTTGATTGCAAAACTTTTTATCATCACAAATTTTTAACTGCACAATTTTTTGATTGCAAAACTTTTTATCATCACAAATTTTTAACTGCACAATTTTTTATTTACAAAACTCTTTTTTGCAACTGATTTTGGGTGAGAGTATTTTACATTTTTTTCTTCCACTGTTTGAGCCCGTTTTTAGTTGTAATTTCCCCCCACCCCTACCATTTTGCATATCCTAATTAACACGACAAGACACATTTAATTATGATGTGACTTTCAGAACATCACGAGTGCCCCAATGTGGGGGATATTTTATTCTTTCCATTTTGGTTACCACAAAAGTAGTAGTCAAAAAGGGAGGATATATATATATATATATATATATATATATATATATATATATTTATATTTATATAAATGGTTTGTTAAGACATAAAATTTGTATATCCCCTATTGAGCCAGTTATTACATCTTTAAAAAAAAAAAAACGCATAACATGATCAAATAAGAGACTGTGAGATTGGAAATAAATATGTAGACGTGTGTTTAAGTGTAATAGTTATGTTGTTCCTTTTTTTTATTTTATTATTAGTTGTAATAATGTGCACATGGGAGATAATTCAGTATTTTTGAGGGTGTAGCTCAGGTAATATTACCAGTTTACATAGCTTAATGAGTTTTTTCTGCGGAAAGGTGAAGCAAGCAAAAGTAAGCAAAGTATAAAAATGAACTCAACCAAGCTCCTGCATCATTTACTTGAAAGAAATATTTTAATTGAAGTTGGGATTTTATTCAATCTATTGTTATTTACTCAATGTGTTCAAAACGTAGAACAGAAATGGCATTTTTTTTTTTTTTTTTTTTTTTTTTTTACGTTCACACCTACTAGTGAGGCTAATATAGACAAGTTAAATTAACTGTTAAGACAAATTTAACAGTTGATAAAGTGAATAACTCATACTTAATTTAAATTTTAATATTAAAACAAAAGAGAAGAAAAAAAAAAAAAAAAAAAAAAAAATAGAAATGAAAAAATGTGAACTGAGCTTATCTCATTCGTTACTTCTCCATTTCTCTACTTCTCCATTTCTCTACTTCTCCATTTCTCTACTTCTCCATTTTTCTACTTCTCCATTTTTCTACTTCTCCATTTTTCTACTTCTCCATTTTTCTACTTCTCCATTTCTCTCGTCTTCTTTTTTTTTTTTTTTTTTTTTTTTTTTTTTTCACACCCTTGGCTTACCATAATGTGATATTCATATATAACATGAAATAGTGCATTTTGTAAAAACATTAATATGTGCTATATCATTTTTAACCCATAAGGTATATATTTTTTTTTTTGAAGAATGTTATGACGCACTCTTTTCCAGTAAGAGAAGCATTAAATTAAGATTGAACATTCGTGCAAATGTGTGTGTTAGTATGTATTTGAATATGTGCGAATGGAAAGAATAATTTTTTTTTTTTGTTGGAACATACAAAAAAAAAAGGGTAGGACTTTTTTTAAGTCTACAGATTTGTAATAAGCAAGAGGGAAATATATATACTAAATAAAAAAAAAAATATATATATATATATATATATATATATATATATATATATATATATAATGTAGTGAATTGTATAATGTTGATGTATCCTGATTGTCCAAGGTATGCAATATTTTTTCCTTTTTTCCATATTTCTTTTTTTGCGAGTAAAATATATATTCATTATTCTTACGAGATTGATGTGTGAATCACTGAGTGTGTGATATGATCAGACAAACTTACATGTACAAACCCGCTTAACCATTTTTATTTTACACACTTCTCATTTCCCATTAGAGACAATAATTAAAAAAAAAAGAAATATTACACCCATTTGGACACATGCATTTGTTTCGCATTTTTGTTCAATTTCTACCACAGACATGTTTGAACTATTAAGGAAAAACGCAAAAATGTAAAAAAAAAAAAAAAAAAAAAAGAAAACAAAAAACATGTCTCTTTGTTGAAATTATCCTTTTTCTTCTCAAAGTAATCAATTAGTTGTCATCATTTTGGGTATTCTTTTTTTTTTTTTTTTTTTTTTTTTTTCCATTTTACACTTCGGATTTAATTTCTTTTTTTGTTTTTTTTTTTTTTTTTTTTTTCAAACCCTAAAAAAAAAAAAAAAAAAAAAAAAAAAAAAAAAAATTTTTTTTTTTTTTTTTATTTTTTTTTTTATTTATTTATTTATATTTTTATCATTTTTGTTTTTTTTTTTTTTTTTTTTTTTTTTTTTTTTTGAACTTTTCTACTGGGAATTAAATTATCATTTGTTTTTTTTTTTTTTTTTTTGAAACAAACCAAAAAAAAAAAAAAAAAAAAAAAAAAAAAAAAAAAATTACTCTTTTGTTCTTACATGTTCATATTATTTTTGAAATTATACCTGAATGGTCATTTTTTTTTTTTTTTTTTTTTTTTTTTCCCTCAAGTTTTTTTTATTTTTTTTTTTTTTTTTTTTTTTTTTTTTTTTTTTCCCTCAAGATTTGTTGAATTTTTTTTTTTTTTTGCTTACTCATTTTTACATTCTGAGTGTATGCAACATTTGTTTTACATTTTTTTTTTTTTTTGTAAAATCATTTAAAGGGGGAATTATTTTTCAATTATTTATACCTTGAGTTGCAAAATAATAAAGTCATTAAGTCATGCGTATATATTGTATATATATAGGTACATTAACATAAGTATATATATATATATATATATATATGTATACATTTCATACAAATGTTTGTGCGCTGTATGAACAATCCACTTATATTTGAAGAGACATAAAACAAATCTATGTATATATAGAGCGAGATACATAATAACTCCGTTTGAGCCCAGAGGGAAGGGGGGGGAAATTTGTTCTCCCATCCCATTAAATATATGTGAATAACAAAATACAATATTTTGAGAAAGTCTTTTAAATGTATATTTCACATGTACACAACGTAACATCTTTAAGTATATTTTTTTTTTTATGTGCCATTTATTTTGTATATTTATAATAATATGCGAGTGAATGAATATACTTATAATTACACATATAAAATTGTGCATGTAAATTTATACATATAATTTAATACATATATGTATGCATACTTAATTAAACACATTTAACTTACAAATAACTGTAATGTGAACAAAAATAAAAAGGCATGAAATTTAATGCCTTTTACATTTAGTTGCATATTTGCTTGAGCTCGACGAATTTTTCTTTTTCTTTTTTTTTTTTTTTTTTTTCTTTCATTTTTAACTTACCGGTGTATAACATTGGAGTAGTTTCTTATACAGTTTGTTTTTTTCCACGAAATTTTCCTTTTTTCCACGTAATTTTTTTTTATTCTACGTAATTTGTTTTTTCCCCCATAATTTGCATTTTCTCCCATAATTTGCATTTTCCCCTATAATTTGCATTTTCTCCCATAATTTGCATTTTCTCCCATAATTTGCATTTTCCCCTATAATTTGCATTTTCTCCCATAATTTGCATTTTCCCCTATAATTTGCATTTTCCCCTATAATTTGCATTTTCCCCCCTAAATTTGCATTTTCCCCCCTAAATTTGCATTTTCCCCTATAATTTGCATTTTCCCCCATAATTTGCATTTTCTCCCATAATTTGCATTTTCCCCCATAATTTGCCTTTTAAGCATTTGGCCTAGGCAACTGACGGTATCTTTAAAAGGCCGAAGTGAAGTCGAAAAGTGGCAAGTCAAAATTGGTAACCCCATAAGCCAATATAGTCGCTCTCACGTCATTGCCTGTGTGACACATGGCTACGATTTGTTACTTGAACATTTGAAAAATTCCCAAATCATAATTGAAAAGAGAAAATAGCTTTTAACGTGAGTGGGATTTTTGCTTTAAAAAGCATAAATGTCATCACATATGTTTATTCATAGCTTCATTGCTGTATTATTTCACTACTTTACTATTTCATCATTTCACTAATTTGCTATTTTACTTTTTTTGGGAAACCCTTTCATCACAGAGAGAATTATATACATAAACACATACCATTGTATATATTTATGCATGTGAGAAATAGTTCGAAGTATTGTAGAGGTGGAAAAAAAAAAAAAAAAAAAAAAAAAGACATAATGTTGAGCTCATAAAAACATTAACATACTTTGTGATTATATCCACATGCACCTTTTTGTTTGTAAATTTTTTGCATTACTCTCTCTCCTCATTTGAGCGAGCAAATCTGATCGTGCGTTGCATGACACACATGCCCCCCCACACATAAATATATAGGCATACACACACATAAATATATAGGCATACACACACACATAAATATATAGGCATACACACACACATAAATATATAGGCATACACACACACATAAATATATAGACATACACACACACATAAATATATAGACACAGACTAATATATTTTACCCCCCGGGGAATCACCCACTCAGCCACAGTGAAAAAGGGTAACCAAATAATGCTTGAATAATTGATGGGGTCCAAAAACAATTCGAATATTCCCCTGGCCCAATCAGGCCTGGAAAATCAAGCTGAGGAATCAAAATTTTCTGAACCAGATGGATATAATGAAAAGAACAAGGGGAACAGGAACTTCAAGCTTTTAAGTTTGAAGGGATATGATATGCCAAACAGTTTAAATGAATTACTTGATAAAAAAGAGATACATGTATCATCAGAACAGAAGACTCCATTTAATATAAATAGAAATGTGATTTTATTTATGTATTTTATGTTAATTACTTTAACAAATCGTTTATTCTTTGGATGGCCTAATTTATCAAACTTACTATTTCGAGAAGGTGCCTATGTATGGAAATGTGTAAAGAATGAACATGGAGGATATGACAAAAATGATGATAAAAGATATGTATGTGAAGATCAAGATAAAGCTGTTCAAACAATATTTGTTTTCGGTTCTTCTGCATATTTTGCCTTTTCCTTTTTCAATGGAATAATAGTTGATTATTTGGGTTCAAGATTAAGTATGTTATTAGGACATATTTTAAATTTAATTGGTTGGATATTATTAATTATATCAAATGAAAAATTTGATGCTTATGTCATATCTGGTGTATTTATGGCTGCTAGTATTGATTTGGCATCCTTTTCGACATTAAATGCATCTGGTTTATATCCAGGGAATGAAAATTTAATTGTCAATATCATATCAGGAGCAGGATCCCTATCAGCGGGGACAATGACAATACTTGATTTGCTAATAAGTGGATTCAATTTGAATTTCAAAACGTTTATGTTATGCTACATGTCCATTAGTGTAGGTTTCTTTTTCATTTTGACTATATTCTTTTTCCCAAAAACTAGATACTTTAGGCAATATGAATTTGACAATTATTACAGTACCAAGAACATCAGTTTGAATGAAGTAAATGATATGGCAAAGAGTGGACCACCTCATGGTCCCCCTAGCGGTGCAAATAAAAGTGGAGGAAATTGTGCAACTGCAAATCGTGGCAATAACTTGAAAAGTAGCATAAGAAACAACAATACAGCTAGTGCTGAACTCAGGAATAATGATAATAATACACACAAATTGGGAATGCAAAAAGATATCGAAATGAATGATGAGAAGAAGGATAGAGAAAATACCACTACTAATGATAGTACAAGTTCTAATCAGAAAAATAAAAAAAGTATGTTAAATTCGACTAGCTTTAGAGATTTGTTAAAAATATGTACATGTGCTCATTTTTTATGCCTCTGGATATATGGACCGTTAAATGCAATATATAATACTTTCTATTTTAGTGTGGTAGAAAATATATTATCAAAAGATAAAAATGATATTTTAGGATATATATTACCTTTTTCATTTATTCCATGTATTATAATGGGAAATTTATCAGACAAATATGGTGTTATGGTGATGTTTACATATGAATTATTTTTTGCCTTATCTATGTACTTGTTTAGCTATTTGAAATCAAATTTCGCTCAATGGATATCAGTCATATCAAATGCTATGTATTCATCATGTGCAAATGGACAATTATGGACATTCATATCGTTCACTTTTAGTTCAAAATATCATTCAACTCTTATAGGATTACTAAATTTCGTGTGTGGAATTGTATCCTTTGTACGATTGTCATTATTAGAGTGGGCCAAGTACACCAACTATGATTTTACATATATCAATCTTCTTATTATTGGGCTAATTGTAATTAACATAGGAATAACCATTATTATTGTCTTTATCAGAAGAATTAAGGGTTACAAAGTTTTATATGGAGACGAAGACTCCTCTACTTCAGAAAAAAAATGATCTAATTGAATGATGATAATGTTTTATTCTGCCATGTCAGTTTCGAGACTTTAAGCGTTTTTTTTTTTTTTTTTTTTTTTTTTTTTTTTCCCCTTTTCCCTTACTTTGTTTCCTTTTGCTTATGTGTATATGCATCATATTCCCTTTTCTATATTATATATAGATGGTGGTAATAACTGGTAGAAACACGTTTATTTTTTTATTTATGTTTTTACAAAGGTGCGCACCTGTTTTGTATATGGTTACACCTTTGTGCTATTTTTGTATGTCTACACATTTGCAGAAGGGTTGTATAATACAGCAAAGGAACTTTAATTTAAATTTTAGGGAGATCAAGTAATGGTAAATGTGTATAATAATGAATGGAGGGAGAGGATGAACAAATCAGAACAAACTTAAGATACACGAGAGGACATGATCATGTAGCGTACGTGTGTATGTTTCAAGATCTAAAAGGAAAAACCATCCCGTGTATTCAAATCAAGCCACACTTTCCATGTATACATATTAGTACATGTACATATGTATATATTAACGTGTGTCCATCATCACAGAAATTGGAAACGTTAAAACGCGAACATACCAATTTGTATTCCTTTTTTTTTTCTTTTTTTTTTTTTGTGATGACATATGTGCTCATTTTTGCTCTTGCCTAGTAACCCAGCATGCTACATTTCTTTTTTCTGCGTTCCTTTCCATTTACAGTTTTGCACAAAAGTGTTTGTTTATAGATCAAAGGAATAGAAAAATAAAGAGAAAAAAAAAAAAAAAAAAAAAACATATCTGAATTCGTAACATGAACCTATTTTACCCTTATTCATAATTTCATTTCTTTACCATTTGTTTGAGTAAATATTTTTTTTTTTGGAACATATATAAATGCACACGGTGCATACTTTTCGTGCTATATATGTTTACCATATGGGGAAAATCAAACTTAAAAATATTATGTTTATTATATTGTTATTAAAATTTATTTTCCTTTCATTAGCATTAAAAGGGTGTCATATATATGTGCTCAAAATTGCAACATGCAAATGGGGAATGTGTACCGCTGTTTGTAGCCACAAATTCACAGAAAAAAAAAAAAAAAAAAAAAAATGCTGCCAATAATGCACCGTATTATGGTTAGTGGTGATGGGTAAAATGAATCGAGAAAAATATTATTAATGTACACCTTTAGTTTATTTCTTTTTTATATACCTCGACAACAGAATGTGTTCCACATCGTGTACAGGATATATAGCTATACAGGATATACACACTATAAACACATATGTGTGTCTGTTTTGTACATGAATTTTTTCATCACTATGACTCGTGAGAAGAACACATGTCCGTTTCGTGAATGTACTGAAGGAGTGCCTGTTTCACTTTGTCCAGAATATGATCGCGCTGTCTCAGAGTTTGTGCTTCTGCATAAATACGAAGCAGTATCTCTGTTCCAGATGGTCTGATAAAACATCTCCCATGAGTGGGGTCTATTTCGAAAACAATTTTGTCGATTCGATTTTGTAAACCTTGAGGCTTGATTAGATACTTTTCATGGTCCGGATGTGGAATTATGTTGTCTAATACATACTTGGGACAAGGCAAATTAATGTATAGTGATGGCAAGGGAGTAAAAAATTGGTCCCAATCATTTATAGTTAAATTGAGAAATGTTAAAGAGAGTTCGATAGCAATGAAATCCACAATAGCGTCTCCCGATGTCTGATTAAAAAAAAGTAAAAAATTTTTTAATGCCACAAAATATCTATCATTTTGTATGCATAAATGGATAGACCAATCGTTCAATTCTTGCAAATTTGTGTAAATTGATCCATGGCCATTAGGTTCAAAAAGTATAGCTATGGTGGATTTTCTTGCCATATTGTCCAAGTGTTTAATGCCTGTTTTTGTACATATGATATTTACATTAATATGACGAAACAATTCAATGTTTTTATTTGCAAAATTTTTTTCTTCATTTATGTGATTTATAAAAGCTGAGTTGACGTAGGCTGTGTGTATTATATTGATGTCAATTTTTTTTCTCTCCTCAGGTTGTTCATTTTGTTCTTTCGGCTTGCTCAGCGTGTTAGGCTCGTTTGGTCCATTTTTTCCACTGCCCTCATTTTGGCATTTTTTTTTTACCTCAACATGGCTCAGCATTTTTGCTATGCATTTAAAAAATAGACAAATTATTTTCGGACCATCTAAAATGGCAACACAATTGACGTTCCCATGAAGGGGTACACCCTCGTTTTTACCTACTCCTTCTGTGCTTATTATTTCACGAGCGATTTCTTCCTTCTTCTCTTTGAGGGAAGCTGGCAATGTGTCATTGACATATAAGTAGACTACTCGATCTGCATCCCCATCAAATGAACACAATTTCGTCTTTGGATTTTGGATAAGTTTGATACCATTTCGAGGTATTTTTCTTTTCCTATAAACATAGTCAGCACCACAATGGAAATTTAGAACGCTTTTTTCATCTTGCAAAAAATTTATTTTAATTATTTTTTTTTTTAAAATTTTAAAAATGTCATGAAAATTGTCTAATTTTAAGCTAGCTATTCCGTTAGAGCAATCTACATATATAATTTCTTCTTTACAATTTTTTTTTAAAATGTCATTAAATATTTCGTTAATATAATTGTAAAGCTTTTCAAAAGAGCGTATAAAATAGTCGTAGTAAATTCTGTCACTGTTATGAGCCACTAGATGGTGCCAATTTCTATGATGGAGTTTGTTTCCTTCCGAAGGGCAATAATTTTCCATTTGTAAATGGTCTTTAAATTTATGGAATTTATTTTTCAAATCTGTTTCTTCTTCATCATTATGGTTTTTGAGACTATCATATGAAGAGTTATTTTGTTTTATCTCCCTCCCAAAGTAGTAGAGATCCATAATTGATTTTGTTTCCTGAATGTGAAAATTGTTCATATAATTTAAGTCTCCTTTTTTTTTATGTATAACGTATTTCTCGTCCTTAACAACCTCGGTGTCTAATTTCTGGTCTATAAATATTTCGTTAAAAAAATATACAATGAAATGCATACATGGTGTTGTAACATAACACATATTATTTATACACTTGTAAATATTAAGAGAGTTTAAGGTTTCTATAATGATATTATTTAAATGGATTGAACTAGTCCTGGTATCAAATCCGATGCACACATTTCCTTTTAGTACATTATTAACATTACAATAATGTATTATGTTATCTAATTTGTTTATATTATTAAATATTTCATTATCATATATATCGATATTTATTTCTTCTTTAAAGAACTGTGCAATGAAATTAATTATATCATGAACAATATCATCAATGATACATTTTTTATTTTTCTTTAAATATCTTAAATGTTTGTTTACAAGTTCAGATAAATAATTTTCATATAATTCATTTATTTGTCTTCCATTCTGATCTATTATCTTTACACCATTTTCGTCATGCGCATTGTGAGAAGCTGTTATAATTATTCCAACATTCTTCCATCGAATTTTATGCTTCAAATTGTTTAACAACTTGTGATGAATTACATTCTTTCCTTCCTCAAAAGAGTAATGAAATAAATTGTATCTTATGGCTCTCTCATAGTTGTATTTAATAAATAACAACCCTACTAGGATGCCACATTTGTTAAAAACATTTAACAATTCACAACCAGTTGCTTTGTATTTATCTCGAAAACCACTGTTTCCATATGATAATTCGAAAGTAGACTCAAACTGTATTTCACATTCTTTTGAAGAAGAAGAAGAAGGAGAATAACAGGGCATGTACTTTTCAATGCATGGTTTGATCTTTCGGAAAAATACACTCTCCTCTCGATTTGTCATATTTTATGCGTCTGCCTAGGGAGAAAAATTAATTCCTTTTTTTCTCTACACATTATTCCACTATCCACTCTTCTCTCCTTTTTTTTTTTTTTTTTTTTTTTACACCCCAAAATAGTTCGTATGACGGTAAGCTTCTTCTCGAGCCTGTTTTGAAGCTTATTTTCTTCAGCGTTTTTTTGCACGTTTTTACATAATATTTATTATTTTTTTTTTATTTTTTTTTTTTTATTTATTTTTTTTTTTTTTGTTGTTTTTAAAATGGCCCCAATCAAGATATTAATTTTGAAAAGGCATAATAAAATTTTGTGTTTTCCATTCGTCCTATGTAGCCGTCATTAAAAATATGAAAAAAAAAAAAAAAAAAAAAAAAAAACCTACAAATAAGCAAACGTGCAAGAAAGCGAGAAAACAAACATGTAGAGAGAAAATAACCTAAAGAATAAAAAAATAAAAATTAAATTGTAAACCATCCTCCCCCTACGCCCTTTTTCCTACTACAATGAAAGAAACGAAGCACCTCTCTCTTCGTCTTAATCTGTTTGTTCAAAACACATAAATAGGAACTTGGAAAGAAATAATTAAATGTTCTCCTATAAACTTTTAGGAAAATTGTTCGTGCATGTAATGAATTGTTGGTAGAGTAAAAAAAAAAAAAGTTCATTCATGTCCAATCCCACAATCCTCTGTACAATTTTTCGTATTTAAAAGAAGAAAAAAAAAAAATTCCTATTTTATTTAAGATAAAACAGAAGATGACGATTTACGCTTTGGATAAAGTTTTCAGAAAACCTTTTTGATGATATAAATATTTCACATGTGGACATATGTAATTATTTTAAAAATTAAAAAAGGTGGAGCAAAAAAAAAAAAAAAAAAAAAAAAAAAAAAAAAATTTTGTAAAATGTAGGCATGCTGTATAAAATGAAACCTTAAACGGCTGTTCCAGAAAAAAAATAAAAAAGAAAAAACACTGAGGCTGGAAAATGATATAAACAAATCAGTAAATATGTATGAAGCATATTCTTCCCTTTCTTCGTTCCTTTTCTTGTTCCACTTTATGTTCACAATCTTTATATCAGAAACGTTTCAATTGTGTGTGTATGGTAGGGTGTAAAAAAAAAAAAAAATCCATAAGCATACCAATACAACAAGCAATACAGTAAACTATCACAACATCTTTCCAGTATTAATCCTCAACTGGGTTAGCAAATCCGACGCGACCTTGATCGTAATTTGGCAATGCTTCTCGTTCAGTATGTACATACATATATATACATACATATATATATATATATGTATGCACATGAAATGAGGTACATATGAAAATAGCTTAACAACACATCGTCCGGCCCCTTATATTACAGTTTTTTTTCTTCTGTTCACCTTGTAAATACACAAAGTCATGCATCATTATCTCACTTCTTTGCTGTTTTTATGACCTTCTTTTGTGGGTAGTAAATTCGTTTAAGACTTGGTAGTAGAGAATTTTCAATTCTCTCTGCTTTCTTCCTATCCGAAAAAACCATAGTATACAAGTACTTTTTTGTTCTTAATTTTAACTTGGTAATTATTGTATTTTTCTTTGTTTTGCTTTTCTTCTTCATAATGATAACAGCCGTTGTATCTGGCTTCCTGCTGATTTTCAGAAATTTTCGAATGTCAGTTATTTGTTTTGGCATTTTTTTGTGCACGTCCTTTTATTCAGTTGAGATTGGAGTATTTTACTATATTTATATATATATATATATATATATATTTATGCAGTGTAATAATCCTAATTCAATGCAATATAAATCGATTTTTAACACAATTACTGAATGTGAGATGCCATGCAAATATTATATAAATATATCGTTGATGAAACGATGAAATTTGGTGAAAAGTTAATCTTTTGATGATTGTTCTTTTTAAAAAAAAAAATAAACCTTTCTTAAAATTTTCATAAAACACTTTTTTCTCAATATTAAATTGAAAGTAAAAGAAAAAAAAAAATAAAAAAAATGTAGAAATGAATGTCCCCTTTTGCCAGTATAAAAACGTTCACGCTTGTTTTTACGTCACTTTTTTACGCCATTTTTTTACGCCATTTTTTTACGCGTATTTTTTACGCCATTTTTTTACGCCATTTTTTTACGCCATTTTTTTACGCCATTTTTTTACGCCATTTTTTTACGCCATTTTTTTACGCCATTTTTTTACGCGTATTTTTTACGCCATTTTTTTACGCCATTTTTTTACGCCATTTTTTTCTCGTCAGGGGGGGTTGACAAAAACAGCAAGGGGAAAAAAAAAAAAAAAATCATCCCATCTCGTGATACAAAAAATAGGTTTTTAAGTAAGCGACAAAGTCCTCGAACATTTTTAGCAAATTTATAGCAAGTGAACATTAACCCTATTTTTAATTGTGTTTATTTTCCTTAAGGTATATATATATATATATATATACCCTCTCTTAGCTGATAATAGAAGGCAATAGCTTCTTCTCGTTACCTACCAAGGATTTTAAGTGATACACGCATGGGCATAACACGTGTGGCATAATATAAGAACCATATGCACATATGCATATATACATGTGCAACAAGTAGTAGATCTCCCCACCACAAATAATTCTGTATATTTTTATGAACAACTTAATGCACCCCTCCCTCCTCCTCTGACCGATTTGGTCATGTACAACAAATAAGTTGATCACTAAAAAGAGTAGTATTTTCTATCTGATTATGCACAAATGGGCGTAGGGAGTGAATTCTGGTAATTTGATTATTATTTATATATATATATATATATATATATAAAAATGCACTCCTGACCGTACGTGCAATATTATATATGTTTGTAATTATAAGCTATGCGATTATAGCATGTTAAAAAGAAAATGAAAACTTGCCCTTCGTCTTCGTGTTTCTTATTTCTTCTCTTAACCCAACTCATCCTATTTTTTTAGATCTTACAAAAAAGAATCTTATACGCAGTAGGAAGGTGAGAAGTGTGTATGGAAGCGAAATACCTATATATATATATATATATATATATATATATATATATATATATATATATATAAATTTTAATTAGTGTTTTTATTTTATTTTTTTTTTTATTTCCATTTGTGGATATGTAATATGATCGTCTGTGCCAAGTAATCTCTTATTGCACAGATATATAAAACTCCCAAAAAAAGAGGAAGGGAGGAAAGGTTTTTGGGGGGGGTGTATTTTTATATATACATTTAATTTTTGTAGCGAAGCAAAATATTTTTATGTATCTAGTTAGTTCCCTTTTTTTCACTGCAAAGTTAGGGCAATGTGAAAAATGTAAATTTTGGCTTGCTAAGAAAACAAGGGGAATTAATTTTTAAAATTGTGTCGTGTTGTTTCATACCTTCATGTTAAGCAGAACAAATGCTTTAAGAAAAATATAAAAAAAAATTAAAATAAGAGGAAAAAATAAAGAAAACAATATAGCAAAAAAGGGAGAAAAAAATATACAAAAAATAAAGAAAAAAATATAGCAAAAAATAAAGAAAAAAATATAGCAAAAAAGGGAGAAAAAAATATACAAAAAATAAAGAAAAAAATATAGCAAAAAATAAAGAAAACAATACAGCAAAAAATAAAGAAAACAATATAGCAAAAAAATAAAGAAAAGAATATACAAAAAATAAAGAAAAAAATATAGCAAAAAATAAGTTATGAAATACGTTATAAAAAAAATTGCCAAAACAAAGTATCAAAGCGTAGTGTAAAAGAGAAGAAATGTGACAAATACCATACTTTGTGTTTACATATTTCAGGCACATTTTTTTTTTTTTACCTTTTCTTAAAGGAACTCTTTTCCACACCCACGGAGGAACTTATAATTTATGGTAAAGCAAAAAAAACAAAACAAAAAAAAATAAAAAAAATAAAAAAACAGGAGAGGAGGAAAAATTATAAGTCCTGTTGTTTTTCGAATATTTGTTTTCCTCCATATGTAATGTGATGTGTTTTATGTATCTCATCATGGAAGTGTTTTACGTATGTAAGAAAAGTGTTCATATGATACTTGAACAATTAATATAATGTATATGTATATAGGCCTGTGTTATACAAAAAAAATTGTGTGCGCAGGAACTCCAGCTAGCAATAAGCCCATCATTGTTTTTTTGTTTTTTTTTTTTTTTTTTTTTTCTCCATATATTTCACGTATATTTCATAGTTGAAAGAAAATATATATCTAGAATTTGTCACGTTGCATATTTGCATATTACCATGTTTATTGCGTAACATATTATCCCTAACATGTACTACACCTCTCAATGAGAAACGGATTCCTTTCATGTTTTATATGAATAAGAAATACATTTCTTAGACTTGTGGCTTGCATTACTTGCAATTCATGTTTGTACGTGAAAAACTGTGTATAATTATTAACATATTGCATGAGTATAGTCCGAATGGGGGTGGGGGGAACTCCTCACTTTTTCCATCTTGAAAAGGGCCACATATAGTGCTTGTATTAAGATGAACACTTTTTTTTTTCAAAGATTTACTTGACCTGTCCAAAAACCCAGTGCTCACGTAGTTTTTGTATTTATTATTCATATTTGTCCTTCATTCCAACTTTTGTAATGCTTGCATTATTGTTCGCATATTACGTGAGCATATATGACTTTTTTCTTCTTTTTCCTGACGTGTTCATAATTTATTCCTGTGAATACTTGTTTTTTCTTTTTTTTCCTGACGCGTTCATAATTTATTCCTGTGAATACTTGTTTTTTCTTCTTTTTCCTGACGTGTTCATAATTTATTCCTGTGAATACTTGTTTTTTCTTTTTTTTCCTGACGTGTTCATAATTTATTCCTGTGAATACTTGTTTTTTCTTCTTTTTCCTGACGTGTTCATAATTTATTCACATTTTTTTTTTTTTTTTTTTAAATGTTCCATGCAGGTTAAACTGATTGTCAGACATTGATTGTACTGCCAGTCCCCATAAAAAATCAGCAACTTTAAGATTTTTCATATATACACACTTTTGTACAATTTGAAAATTTTTTTTCAAAACGTAACTTACATTTTGTAACGCAAGCAAGTAGGGAAAAAAAAAAAAAAAAATGGCTAAACTATCAAAGGCAAAAAAAAAACAACTTTATATTGAAAAGCTAAGTTCATTGATCCAACAGTACACGAAAATATTAATTGTACATGTAGACAATGTAGGATCAAATCAGATGGCTACTGTGCGCCAAAGTCTAAGAGGAAAGGCTATAATATTAATGGGAAAAAATACAAGAATAAGAACTGCACTGAAAAAAAATTTACAAGCTGTTCCACAGATAGAAAAATTGTTGCCATTAGTAAAATTGAATATGGGTTTTGTATTTTGTAAAGATGATTTAACCGAAGTGAGGAGTATAATTTTGCAGAACAAATCACCTGCACCAGCAAGGTTAGGTGTTATAGCCCCAATTGATGTTTTCATACCCCCAGGACCAACAGGAATGGATCCATCTCATACGTCTTTCTTTCAATCACTTGGTATATCTACCAAAATTGTGAAAGGACAGATAGAAATTCAAGAACATGTACATTTAATTAAGCAAGGAGAAAAAGTCACAGCATCATCAGCAACCCTTTTACAGAAATTTAATATGAAACCATTTTCCTATGGTGTTGATGTAAGAACTGTGTATGACGATGGTGTAATTTATGATGCTAAAGTTTTAGACATAACTGATGAAGACATTTTAGAAAAGTTTGGAAAAGGTGTTTCAAATGTTGCAGCATTGTCAAGATCAATAGGTGTAATAACAGAAGCTTCATATCCACATGTGTTTGTAGAAGCATTTAAAAATATTGTTGCTCTAGTAATTGACACAGATTATACTTTCCCATTAATGAAAAAAATTAAGGACATGATTGAAAATCCACAAGCATATGCATCCGCTGCTCCAGCAGCAGCTACAGCCAAAGCAGATGATTCTAAAAAGGAAGAAACCAAAAAGCAGGAAGAGGAGGAAGAAGAGGAAGAGGATGGTTTCATGGGATTTGGAATGTTTGATTAAATTGCATTTCAGAGCATAAAAAAATATTAGACAATTAGCTGGATATGACAAATTGTGGTACTATTAGACTATATTTGTGTTGTATGCAGCACCTCAATGTGTAATATACACATTGTAATTTGTTTGTATATGATAATGAGAGATAGACATAGATAGGTAGATACATAGGTAGGGACACTTTTTTTGATACATAATTTGAAACCAGAAAAAAAAAAAAAAAAAAAAAAAAAAAAAAAAAAAAAAACATATTTGTTGAAGGTTCAGAGTTGTAGGTGATGATAAAATTATTCTGCCCTGTTATTGGAGAAAATTCTTCAAGGTAATAATATTTTGAATATATGAAATCACACTGAGCGCTCTGTCATATGTTTCATTCTCTGCATCATTTTTCTTATTCTGTTACAACCTGCGAGTTCATCCACCACCTGAACGAATTTTACTTATTCATAAAAGTATGCTGAAAAAGACGAACGAAAAGGGGAAAAAAAAAAAAAAAAAAAAAAATGGAGGTGAGTGGGGATGTGTGAGTGTTTAATATGAGAAAGTGCCAAAAACAGAAAAAGAATAGATGAAATTCATATGTAATGGTGTAAGAGAGAGATCATAAACGTTTGTGTACTTTTATGTGCACACATTAATATATGGACACATTTGTACATACATTCATGCTGTGTATGTGCACCCTTTTTTAACAAACGAATATCGATTGAGAAGTAGCAAAACAAAGTACACTTGAGATTTCTATGCCATCTTTGTGCATAGAAAGAATTATTCCCCATGGTGTTAGACAAAAAAAAAAAATTGTATCTTTTTTTTTTTTTCTTTTTTCTTATTCTTTGCATTCTTTACTATGGATAATCAGTTCTTCAGAAGAAGACGTATTTTTCATGAATGATGACAACGATTCTCAAATGTTCGCAGTTGAGAGTTCAGTAGAATCAAAGCAACTCGATGAATTACCTTTGTAGCCTTCACTTAGATGTCTGACATAAAAAAAAAAAAAAAAAAATACGTCATTTTATTATTTTTTATATCCTTTAATAGAACGAAATTGCAGCACCATGGTATATACTCTGTTCATTCAAGCACGTGTGTTCCGTACATGTATATGTGTATGTATATGTTTACATTCCATTTAAGTACGCACGAATCCTTTCTTATCGGGGGCGGTTCCGTGTGGAAAAATTCCTTCTTCACACACGCATATATATAATGAAGAGAAGAGAGTATTCTTTTCCTATCCTCCTTTTGTGAATGATGACAACGATTCTCAAATGTTCGCAGTTGAGAGTTCAGTAGAATCAAAGCAACTCGATGAATTACTTTTGTAGCCTTCACTTAGATGTCTGACACAAAATGGAGAACCTAACAATATTGCATACTTTGTACCTTACACGTATATTGTCCATAAAAACATACCTTTTCATCTGCACATGCAAGGAGTAAAAAATAGTGTACAACATGTTTTCACACAAAATGATGAGTGCATACAAATAACAACCTAGTTATTTGATTAGAGAAAGTTCTATGTTCCATATTAAGGGGAAAAGAAAAAAAAAATTATTACGCACATATATATATATATATATATATATATATATATATATATATATTCTCTTATTACATTTAAAAAGGGTGAAATGGTGTTACAATTCTTTTTTTTTTTTATATATATAAGCCTAACGTTTATATGTCCCAAGTGACAGAAGAACAACAATTCTTCTATCCCCTCTCTCCCCCTCCTTCCAACCCTTTTGTCATTTTACATTTTTTTTTTCGATGCACTTTAATGATTCCACTGTTTTATGATGACATCCATCATTTATAGTTGTAAAAAGGAGAAAGGGAAAATTTTAGTGATAATTTATTTTTCTCCTATGTTGCCTAAAAATATACTGTATGCACAAATTTGTACTGCGTCTTTATGATATTACATACACGAATTAACCATCAAGAGTGGGCACTCTCCATTCCTGAGTTTTTTATATTTGCAATCCCCAATAAATGTTGTACTTTTGTTTCGTTTCCTCATTACACACACACCACATAACATAACAGAACGTAACATAACATGGGATACACATAAGGCTCATTTCTGCATTGGAATTTTTACAGGTATGGGAAAACCACTTATATGTATATATGGACACATGAACATATGTGCATATATATATCAGATCGATGAGCACAGGACATAGGAGAGTAAACATAATTTACAGATGTAAGAAGAGACTAGACAACATAAATGACCACGTCTTGCAGTATACATCCACGGGAAAGAAGTAATAGTACACCATTTTTGTATATCCATGATGTGATGATAAAAAAAAAAAAAAAAAAAAGGAAAAGGAAAAGGAAAAGGAAAAGGAAAAGGAAAAGGAAAGCAAAGCAAAACAAAACAAATTAATGCACACAGAACAATTTCTGAAAAAGTATGTATTCCATGGTTCCGAATTTTTATGATCATGTACCGTGGTACATATTAACTACATATGTAGGAACGGTATGCATGTTGTTATTTACATTTTTTGTATATCTTTCAACATTTATATGTTTTGTACGTTTTATTTTTTTCATTTTATTCCTTTCTTTTTATTTTTTTAAATAAATGGTACACAATTATACCTTTTTTAAAAAACACACAAAAATCGAACGAACTTTAATATAAATTCCTATGGACTAAACATTTTTCTTCTTTTTGTTAAGTACTATATAAGGGAAAAATAGCTATATGTGCATTTATTCATAATAATAACAAAAATGTGTAAGGCTTACAATTACTAGACAATGGAAATTTGTGCGTGAAGCAGACCGAACGTTTATATCTCCATTCAGAGAGGAGTACACTATGCATGTACCTGCAATTTGTACATATACACTCCCCTTACATATAGGTTAACTGCCATACATATATGTACCTACAGTGTGTTGTCACTTGAGGTGTGGTCTTTCAAAATCGTGAAAGAATCGGGAAGGAATACATTATAAAATAAAAGTTCAGAAGTTTTTTTTTTTTTTTTTTTTTCTCCAACATCGGGAATTAAGGGGGGAGGGGAAAAATAAAATAAGTAATAAATGGTAAGAGGCACAAATAAAAAAAAAAAGGGAAAAAAAACAAACGGTGTGCTATTTTGAAAGAGTGGTTTTTATATACTGAAGGAATGGAGTAGCAAATTGTGAAAAAAAATATTTCAATCTAATTGAATATGAGGAACAATTTTCCTACGTTTTTTTTTTGTATTGGCGTAGAAGAAAAAAAGCGTTGCTTTGGTCCCTGCGCTCGTATGATTTGTCCCTACGTTTGCTTGACTTTGTTTTTACATTTTTTTTTTTTTTTTTTTTTTTTTCTTCCATTTGGTGTGTATATTTTTTTAAATATGCAGTTATTGCCACATAAGAATGCACAAAAACTAATCATCATAGGTACACAATTTCGCCTTTTTAAAAAAAAAAAAAAAAAAAAAAATTGTATACTTCCAGAACAAATTATTTCGAACATATTCTTAGTCACTCCTTAAGTGCATATTTTTTTTTTTTTTTTTTTTTTTTTTTTTTTTTTTTTTTTTTTTTTTTTTTTTTTTTTTTTTTTTTTTTTTTTTTTTTTTTTGCATTCTCTTTCCTTTTCTATTTTGTTATGTTTTTTTTTTTTCTTTCTGAGGGACACAAATGGTGGCACGGCATACAGCACACTTATACGTATGCATATGTATGTGTATATATATATGCATATATGTATACTTTTTTTTTTTTTTTTTTTTTTTTGAGGAAAAGGCGAGTTGAATCATCTCGATTTTGAGAAGAAACAATTCTGCTCGTCAATACCGTCAGTTTTGTTTACATTTTGTGAAGCAAAAACAAAAGGAGAGTATTTTTTTTTACACCTGTGAAAAAATCCAGTATTAAAAAAAAAAAAAAAAAAAAAAAGGTGTTAAGCATTACAAGAATCTTCAGATTTGCACATTTTCAATAAAAGAAAAATTTATGATCAGGTACCAAGTAAAAATTCTGAGAAAAAAAATTTCAATCATCTATTTTGTTTCGAAATATTTAAATTTTTTTTTTTTTTTTTTTTTTTTATTGTCATCGGGTTTATATGTTCAATAACTAAGTGATGACTAGGGTGGTTCTAAGAATCAGAAAAAAAAAAAAAAAAAAAAAAAAGAAAAAGAACGTCTTCATGAGTGCTGATTCATATAAGCGTGTGCGTTAGATCAAATAGACGAATTTGTTATTCGCACAGAGGGACATTGAGAATCAGGAGTCCTTAAAAAAGTGATCCCACTAGCACCAATCCGAGGAGGCAAGTACTAACCGAGTCAGCAATTTGAGTAGAGGAGATTCTCCAAAATGAACGTAGAAAACCTATTTGGAAACAATGATGTAAATGTAGACGAGATAGAAAAGCTAACGAACAGCGAAATAAAAACGAGGATCAGTTTGATCGACACGGAAATTAAAATCCTGAAAAATGAGCACACACGATTAAAAAATGAGTACAAAAGTTTGCAAGAAAAGATCAAGGATAATATGGAAAAAATACATCTAAATAAGATGTTACCATATTTAGTTGCCAATGTAGTGGAATCATTAGATTTAGAAGATGATGATGAAGAATCAAATGAACCCAAAGATGAATACGATCTATATGTTAATAATTTTAAAGAAAACACAGATGAAGGGTTTCGTGATATTGATGATGAAAAAAGAGGAAAGTGCATGGTTATCAAAACATCTACTAGACAAACAATATTTTTACCTGTTCCAGGATTGATTGAAGCATCTGAATTAAAACCAGGTGACCTAGTAGGAGTGAATAAAGATAGTTATCTAATTATTGATAAATTACCACCTGAGTATGACAATAGAGTAAAGGCTATGGAAGTTATTGAAAAACCATCTGAAGATTATTCGGATATTGGAGGATTAGATAAACAAATTGAAGATTTAGTAGAAGCAATTGTATTACCTATGTTACATAAAGAAAAATTTGAAAAAATTGGAATCAAACCTCCAAAAGGTGTACTCATGCATGGCCCACCAGGTACTGGGAAAACATTATTAGCAAGAGCGTGTGCATCACAAACAAATGCTACTTTTTTAAAATTAGCAGGTCCGCAATTAGTTCAGATGTTCATTGGAGATGGTGCTAAGATGGTACGGGATGCTTTTAACTTAGCCAAGGAAAAAGCACCAGCCATTATTTTCATTGATGAATTAGATGCAATAGGAACCAAAAGATTCGACAGTGAATTATCTGGTGATAGAGAAGTACAAAGAACTATGTTAGAATTATTAAATCAGTTAGATGGGTTCAGTACAGACGATACTGTTAAGGTTATTGCAGCTACCAATAGACCAGACACCCTTGATCCTGCATTACTCCGATCTGGTAGACTTGATAGAAAAATAGAACTTCCTCATCCAAATGAAGAATCAAGAGCACGAATCTTACAAATCCATTCAAGAAAAATGAATGTACATAAAGATGTCAATTTTGAAGAATTGGCCCGTTCCACGGATGATTTCAATGGTGCACAGCTTAAAGCCGTTTGTGTTGAAGCAGGAATGATAGCCCTTAGAAGAGGTGCTACTGAAATTGATCATGAAGACTTTGTTGAAGGAATCACATCTGTTCTTTCCAAAAAAAAGAGCACATTGAATTATTTTACTTAGTTCCGTTTGTGTTCAATCCAAGGAGAGGTTTATCACAAACTAGGGAAAAATCTATCGCTAGGAACGTATAGCAAAGCATATTTTTTTTTTAGAAAACCTCAAAGTGTCCTCGCAAAAATGCATGCCTTAATTACCTCTCTCATTTTTATGTTTTCTAATTTTGATCCCATCTTGCAAGAACCACGTTGTGTGACCAAATGAGGAGACCTCTTCTTTTGCATCTGTTTATGCGTCTGTTTCAGTTCCCTTGCCCAAGCACAACAAGACAGTTGTGCATTGAAATCTTATTCAGAGGAATCACGTTTCGTGTACCCTCCTATGGAGAATAACAACAGTGATGGGAAAAGGTGTAAAAGTAAAGGTAGTGGAGGGAGGGAGGGGAAAAAAAAAAAAAAAAAAAAATGCAATTGCAGTGTGTTAGATCGAGATACATACTTGTAAAAATTAAAACATTTGTGTGTATATATATCCACATTGGATCAAGGAGAAGTTAGCATTGTGTTCTTTCCGTTTATAGCGTAAATAACAGTTTTCCAATTTGTCTTCATGAACCGAATGATGTGCTTAATTTTTTTTTTTTTTTTTTTTTTCACATGACCTTTGTAACTTGCTCATGGTTTTTAATAATTGAAACTGTAGGATTTTCAATTGGTAAAAGTTACACAAACGAATGAAGTTATTTTTTTTTTCCTCTCGATCTAATGATACAAGCAAAAATATACATGATGGAGAGACACTTCTTACTTCAGGAAGTATATTCTCCTTAGTGTAGGTCTTCCTCAGCTATATAAGCACAGGAAAAAAAAAAAAAAAAAAAAAAAAAAATGTGTAAAGTTGGATTTGTTAAAAAAAAAAAAAAAAAAAAAAAAAAAAAAAAAGGATATAATTCGAAAGTTACAACTTTAGTGTATACCTAAAAAAATTGTTCAGATGAATTCAAAAATGAACAATCGGCCGAGTTGGGTATAAGGGCAGTCATGTTTTTTTTTTTTTTTTTTTTTTTTTCTCTTCTTTTATTCGCTCAGCTCAGAGTAATTCCCCATCGTTTTTTTTTTTTTTTCATTTGCTTCTCCGTTTTTATATTTTTTGTTCCCCTTAACAATCGGCAACAATCGCACTGAGAAGTGAGAGTAAGAAGTGAGAGTGAGAAGCGAGAATGGGAAATCTTTTTAGAAAATAAAAACGTTTTACGTCACGTACTCGCATGCTTAAATGAAGCTAGCCCCAAATTATAACCACAATTGTATTAACGGATACACACATACAATTCCTCCCTCTGTCGTGATGAACTCCGGAAAAAAAATAAAATAAAATAAAAAGTAAATCCAGAAAAAAAAACCGAAATATACGTAGTATGCGATGAAGGTTAGAAAAAATTACCTGCCGAATGCCAACTGTGAGGACCAAACGTAAGCGGGATTATATAACTCTCTCTTTTATTCCTCTTTTGTTGACATAGCGTGATCTTGTCAAGAGAGAGAAGTTGTAAATTGCAAGACACACATTCCTTACTCAAGTTGAGTGTTTCATTTAAGGAAAATTTTAACTTGTTGCATGGGAACTTTTCCATGAGATGATGATGACAATGGAGGAAGAGGAAAATATTGGGAGGAGAAGAATAAATGTGGATAAAATTATGAAGGATTCAATGAATTACGTAGTGAATGCCAGCAAAGAGAAAAGTGTAACTGAAATAAAGAAGGAGTTAGAATATGTAAAAAACATAATTCATAATGATATAATAAAAATATTAAACAGGAACTCTCATGGATTTATGCATCTACCTTCCAACTTAAATTTGATAGAAAAAATGATGCCAATTTTAAAAAAAGAGGTGGAAATTTCGAAAATTTTTGTTAATGTATTGTTAAGCGAAATTTATGAAATCCATAAGAATACCTATCTTTTGATGGAAGACAAAATGAACATTACGTTTATAAAAAATGTGCTCAAGAATAATGTAAATATAGAACAGTTGATGAGTAAGTTATCTAAAGAAATGAAACTTTTTAAAAAATCAAAACAGTTTTTTTTACTATCGAATATGTATGATGACCTTCTCAAATTGTCATCCAATTTTGAACAAGGTAAAAAAGATATAACCCTAGAACGTATCAGTATAAACAATGCAGACATTCTTTATTTTCTGTCTCAAAGAATTTATAATATAGCCAAAGGTATATGGAAAATAAAGGCATTATTATACAACAATTATAAAACCATGTGTAAAATATCCAGTTCTTTACTATCTTGGAATAATCTCGTCGAAAAATATGGAGACGTATCTGAGTGCAATCAAGATGTTATACATTTTCTTAAAAATAATTCATATAAATACATGAACGAATCCCTAAATATTGTTATAACTGAGATAAATATGAATCTACAGAAATTATCTTATGTCTTTCTCAAAATTGTCAAACTCAAGGATGTTTTTCTGATGCACTCAAAGAGTAACATCAGAGACCACTTTATTTTCAATCAATGTCTTTACTCTATTTTGACTTCCTCTTACTCACTTAATATGTTGGATGTATTTACACATTTGTTTCGCGAGATTTTCATTGACACATTGGTAGGTAGAATAATAACCCCAAGTTTAACCATTCGTTAGAGGAAATGCAACAACGTCCTTTTGAGTGTATATATAAGGGATAGAGGGAACACATGCACGTATTTTTCACATCATGTGGATTTAGCTACATGTGGACCAGCTACATGTGGATCAGCTACATGTGGATCAGATACATATGGATTAGCTACATGTAAAAGTGTGCTCAATCTGGGTGTACTAGCTCTGGAATGTTTTTATCGAGGTCACTTTTTTTCACCTTGACGCACCTCCCTCATTGATATATTTTTTTTTTTTTTTCCTATCCTTCACCACCACGCAGGAACAGGAACCATTCGAGTCGTACGACTCATTCCTAGGGTACGTGAAAAAAAACATTTTGGAAGACGAAAATATTGCTGAAATAAACAAATTAGCAGATGAAATAGACCCAAGCTCGTTATTTTTCACTAGGGGTATTTTACAAAAACTGTTGGAGATTATTAAGAGGAAATTTCCTGAAATATTTATCCTAACGTATTGTGATACATTCATCGAGAATTATATAAAAACTTGGAATTTTCTGAACGAAATAAAAAAAAAAAAAAAAAAATATGAACAGTTCATAATTTATGAACACGCTAATAATTTTTTAAAAAATTTTGAAAGGGATGCTTACACACAGTACATATTAAATGTTTTGGAAAATAAAATAAATGAAAACTGTAAAAACGTTATACTATTTGATAAAAAATTTATATTTGATGATAAATTTTATTGGTTAAAAGAAACCATTAATTTAATTAAAATTTTTAAAATTCTATTTACAAGTAAGTATTATATACCAAGTTCTCTTCCAAATTATTTGTCTTTTATTTTTAAGCATTTTAAGAAATACATAGACAATATAGAAAACTTTTTATTCTTCCTACGAGAAAATCGGAGCACTAAAATTTCTACCCTTGACAAAGGTCGATTTAATTGGAGCCCCACTCTGAGTTACAACAGCATTGGCTTTGTTTTGTCAGACTTGACATCTCTGCGAAGAATATTCAAAATCAGGAAAAACGTGAAAAATATTTTTAAAAATGGAATAATTAGGGAAAGAGATACAAACATGCCAAAGCAACTAAGCAATTCAAACAATTTTGTGCTACCGGAACGTTTAACTACACTTATGGGAGATGTTCCCATATGGATATTCACAAAAATACTGTCTTATTCTGCTGATATGTGTTATGAAGAGCACCATAACTCTTACACATGTTCTTCCGGGGAAGACAACACTTCTTCGTCGTCTTCTACATCATCTTGGATAACTTCATCATGCTGTGAGAACATGAGACAGACAGTTATGAAGAATATAGAAAGTCCATTTCTCAAGTGGGAATCCAAAAACTTGGGAAATGGCATAACCCTTCCCTTTCATAATATCAAATCGGAACAGTGCTACAATAATAATGAAAAAAGCCATGAGTTTGCAACTGATACCAAATTACCTTCTTCAATTATGAAAAAATCTTTCCATGGGCAGCTTGAAAAAGAAAAAGTAAAGAATAAACACAAAACGGATGAATGGAAAAACATAAGAACAATAAGTAGAAATTATTCAATTTGTCACAAGTATGCGCATGATAATACCGTTCAGCAGAATAATGAAAATGATACACATTCATTCATCGTGGGGGAACAATTCAATAACAAAATGACGTCCATTAATGGAAAATGTGATCATACGAAAGAGGAGAATAATCCTACGAATGAAGAAAATAATCCTACGAACGAGGAAAATAATCCTATGAATGAAGAAAATAATCCTACGAATGAGGAAAATAATCCTACAAATGAGGAAAATAATCCTACGAATGAGGAGAATAATCATGTGAAAGTCAATTCAGAAAATCCAATGAATGACAAGAGAGATTTCATTGACGAAAAGGATGAACTACACGAATTAGGTAGATCTAATAAAAATAGCTTACGAGAAAAACAAAAACGCATGAAGATATATATACAAATATACAAAGAAAAGAACAAAAAAAAGCTAATTAACGACATAAATTGTATAAGTGGATTCCTTAAAACTTTATCAAAAATTATTCACAGCACGCAGAAAGACTTTGAACAATTTTTTATTAATAAGATGTATCAAATTTGTTCTAGTTTTTTGGTTTACTTGCACTCCCTCTTGACAATTTACAAAATGATCAACAAGCAGGTAAAAAAATAAAGAAAAAAATAAAGAAAAAAAATAAAGAAAAAAATAAAGAAAAAAAATAGAGAAAAAAATAAAGAAAAAAAATAAAGAAAAAAATAAAGAAAAAAAATAAAGAAAAAAAATAAAGAAAAAGAAAATGTCCTGACGCTTTCCTTTCCCCTTGTGTGGACACTATAATGTTAGAGTCCACTTTGCATTTCTTCACCTTACCCTGTGCATGGAGTTCTAGCCAAATTTATACACTCAATTCCACTCATCACACATGTACATATTTTGTAGATCCCCGATAAACCGAATGAACACGTGGAAAAAGTTCTTCTCCCCTTAATTTCGTTCAAAACCTTTTACGAAGGTGTTATTGCACAAGTAAGATTTCAGAATATACATGAGAAATACTTTTTTTTTGAAGGAGATACACACAGATGAATTTTTATACACACCTGCACACACAACATTCTATCTTTGTGCTTTTCCCTTTTTTTATGCACCACCATCCACAGTCTATAATAGAAGACATAATAAACAAAATAGTTGACAAGATAAGCGATTACTACCTTGAAGAGGTAAAACCAAAAATAGAAAAAAATAAAGTAGAAAAAAAAAAAAAAAAAGAATACAATTCTAGGGAATCGAAAATTTTATTTTGCTTATTCGACGTATCACTGTGATGTCGTGCTTTTTTCCATCTATCAATACATTTCTTTTTTTTCCTCATTTTGACCCTCCTCCTCTATTTCGCTCATACTCCAGATAAAGAACATCATGGACGTAAAAATTCAAGAGCAGAACAAGTGTATTATGAAACTAAATCTTCGAGAATCCTTAAAAGTTATACAAAAAAAAATAAATAAATAAATAAAAAAAAAAAAAAAAAATAAGATAAATAAAAAAAATAAAAATATATAAAATAAAAAAAAAATAATGAAAAAAATTAAATAAAATAATTAAATAAATAGAATAGAATAAAATACAGGGCAGCTGTAGTTACCCCTCAGTTTATTTTACACGAGCGCGTTATATGTGTATGCTATATGCATGTCTAAGGAGACACTGCGACCATTGCCTCACGAATTGGTAGTATGTCTCCAAACGGACACAAACACACAGATATATATATATACTTTTTTAACTGTTCTTTATATACTCTCCCCCACACCTACACACACACAGGATGGTGACATACCGTACGAGGAAAAAATACAAAGGCAAATATTTTTGGTATGAACAATTTTTCTCATGAATCGTTTTATGTGCATGTAGAATCTATGGGATGAGGGGTGGGGCCATAGGAATACCCAAGATAATTGTCTTCATACATGTTCCATGTTTATTTACCCTAATATGCACATTACTATACCCACGTTATCCACATTTGTCGAAGTTGTATTTGCTGCATTCTTTATGAACAACCATCTCACATATAATATGCCGAGCTATATGTATATAATAATACGCATCAGTAAATGTGTATGCTTTTTGCACGATATGCCTTATCTCAACGCATACACACACTATACACACCCTTACTGCATACATCCCCATTGCAGGATGTTTGTCATTATGAAAAACTGTGCAAAGAAAATTTCAAAATAAGTAGAGAAACCAGTGCCAGTATGAATGCATTAGTAAATAGTTTGTTCATAACTCAAGGAGTAAATTTGTTAAAAGCAGAATAAGAAAAAAAAAAAAAAAATATATCACCTACACAGGATTTTTATAGAACTATTAAACAGTGTGTTGTAAGGAGACATAGTCATAAAGCAGCCAAAGAAAAATTCTGTTTTTGAAAAAGACGAGGACGGGAGAGGACGACAAAAATAAAGATAAGAATTATTCTTCCCATCTGGAACTGAGTTTACATCGTTCTCCTTTTTTTTTTTTTTTTTTTTTTTTTTATTATTGCCACATTTTATGCATGTAGTGTAGAGAAAGGAGTTATTTATTGGTATTTTATTTTTATCCCTTTTATTTTTTATTTTATTTATTTTCATTAGCATTGATTATTGCGAATCAATGTCATTCCAGAATCATGTTTTGCTCCATTGGTTTTTTATCTGTGTATATATTTAATCCATTTTTTGATTCCCCATGTGTTTATTCTTTCTACCTCCAAAAAAAAAAAAAGTATATTTTTTTTTAAATCATGAACATATATATTTACATTGCAACGAATGGGGAAACTCATTAAAAGGATTGCTTTGGGTTACCCGTGTTTGCAGCGGAAAAAAAAAAGAAAAAAAAAATGGATTTTTTTTTTTTTTTTTTTTTTCTTAATGTTTTATCAGAAGATAGGGGATGGTGGTGGTGGAAGGTTTATACACACATATTAGATATATATATGTATCTATCTCTCTCTATATATATATGTATCTATCTCTCTCTATATATATATGTATCTATCTCTCTATATATATACGTCACATCTACTTATTGCAATACATTGCTATGCAAGAATGGCATTTGAACGTGCCTTGACCTCTTAAATTTTTGATGTACATTTTTTTGTGAATCCGCGAATTGTGCATTTCCGAAAAAAGGAAAAAATAAAAAAAATAAAACAACAATTAACATTCTTTATGGCTAGTCGAATGGTGGGTAGCTCAAAGAAGAAAAAAAAATAAAATAAAATAAAATAAAATAAAATAAAATAGTAAAGCTAAATAAAATTCAGCACAATTTTCAGCTTAATTAAACGAAAACTACACAAGCAAATTCAAGGAATACTGGTCTTTGTCACACGAGAGTAATATAGAGGTTTTTTGAGGGGAGGAGGAGGAATCAAGGAAAAAGAAGTGTGCACAGTTTAACACTACACGCTTTTACTAACATAGATTAATATAGTGGAGCAAAAGATTTATGTTTAGATTATAATTCCGAGGGGGAAAATGCAAGACGCATGTCCACTAGAAAATAAATTGATTTCATTTGACAATGTTAAGAACAAAAAGGCCATAATTAAACATTTGAAAAAATGTCCCCTATTTTTAAAATTCTTATATTTGCATTACAACCCATTTTGCTTCCCATACATAAATAACACGAGTAGCTACCTAATAGAGAAGGATAATATAAAAGATGAACTACACAGGTACTATAAAAATTTTAATGAAATATTAATTGATATATTAAAAAACAAAATAAGGTTAACAACATATGAACAATTTGAAACACTCAAATATGAAGTAGTTCTAAAACAATATTTGAAAAATGGAATGAAGAATTTATTGATCAAATTGAACGACGACAATTTTGTGAAAAAATTGCAGACAAAGGTTACACCACCTTATGAGGAAAATGCAGAAAGAAATATAAATTTAGATGAAGTTAATAATTTCTTAAATTGTCATATAGACATTGTAAAAAAGTGGATACATAACTTAAGGACAAGTCGCTATTGTGAAAATGCAAAGAATAACTTATGCAGTAAATATGTGGACAAGTTAACCTCGAACATAGATTCTGCATTTCCAACAGGAGAGAATGAGAATGAGAATGCAGATGAGGTTGAGAATCGGGAAAACAACTCAACTCAGAAATGCCCGCTACCCATTTTGACTCTTCAAAGCATTCGCGAAATTCACAAATACAGAATTTGCAGGGAGATCCTAAACTTTATAGATACGGAAATATTTCCTATAAGAAGAATAGAAGAGGAAGATGAAGTGGAGATGCACATGGGCGTGGAAGAGAATAACAACAGAACGGTGGAAAACATCCAAGAAGGTGAATATATTGAGAAGGAATTTTTGGTCAAAGATGAAATTTTAAGCATCGTAATTTATACAACTATATACTTATGCTGTAAAATGAACATTATAAAAAGATTAAAAAATAAAAATTTTCATTTTAAAAAAAATCTGAACAGTTCAGGCGAAAAGTCTATATTTTTCTTTCTGGAAAATCTCAATAAACATGATATACAAAATGTAAATATTATGTTTTTCCTACTGCATTTTAACGACAACTTTGTTAAATATTTTGAACACATCTTTAATTGCAGAAAAGGAGAACAAGGAGAATTTTCTATGAAAGACAATTTATTTATTGAGTTAGGAGCGGGAAAAGGTAATACGACACGATGGGTCAAGTTTATTATGAACGATTTTGTCGAAATATTGAAAAAATTTTTGCAACGTACACAAGGGGGAAACGGACGAAGGAGTTATAACCTTGATGAAAAAGCAAAAACAGAAATCACAGAATTAGTGCGAAGTTGTAAAATAGAGAAGAGAGAATTTCATCAAACAAATTGTCTTGATATGAAAAGAGCTCAAAGTCATGCACAAAAAGAAAGGTGCAAAATAGTAATCTTAGAAAGAGAAGCATTAAGGAATAAAAAAGAAAAAAAAAATTTTTTTATGCAAATGTCACAAGAAAAAAATGAAAATATAATAAGAATAAAGGCAGATATTGCCCACTTTCATTTTTTCAAATTTATGCATTTCTCAAAAAATGGATTTGTAACAGAAAAACCCTCGTCCACCCTAATTCCTGATATCATTCAGTTTTACTACTACATGGATGTCTATCGAAAGAAGGTGCGTCCCGAAGGGCATAAGAATTCTCGTCAGGATGCAACTGATGAGGTGAAAACTGATGAGGTGCAGAACACTTTCAGAGATGAGGAAGGATGTGCTGTTACCAACCAAGAGGATTGCTCAGAGCACATGGAGAAGCAGTTGCAGTTCCAGAAAAACCAACTAGAGGAGATTTCGAAGCAAGGAATTGTCAGAATAATGGAAACGTACTTGCAAAACAATCTAGCCATTCTGGGCACCTACTTCGACGTGCATGTAAACAAATTGATCTCCTTCTTGACCCAGGGAAATAACAACCTATTAAAGTTAGAGAAGAGGAAGAGAAAGAGAAAGAAAAAGAATGGGAATAGGAATAGGAATATGAATAGGAATAGGAAATAAGAGTGGAGGGAAATGCATACAGCATGGGCACATTACATACACCCATGTGAGCACATTATATATGGCCATGCTGTATGCATTTCCCTCCACTCATTACGCCTTTGTAACGAATGAAACACATAAACCCTAAACGATAAGCACATGCTCGATTCCCTTTTTCTTTTACAGGTTTTACGACAGCATGAATGATTTTCTAAAAAACTTTAACTGCAAAAAAGTGACCTTTTTAACGAAACATTTGTGTGGAAACGGCACAGACCTAGCACTTCAGTATGTTAGAGAAAATAAGAAGCATCATCTCCCTGTTCCATTTTACCTGCACCTCTCGAGTCAATACAAATTGGCACAGAGAAAGAGAGTTAAACAGCGGGTAGATATATATATATATATATATATATACTTGGAGAGGAAGTGAGTGTGTAGTAGTTATTCATATATCCATCTTGCTTCAACACTGACACGCATACTACCCCATCCAATCTCATCTCATTGCATTGTGCTTACTTGAAAGTGTAACCAACCCATTATTATTAAAACATTTTCGTAACTCTTTAGGATGTTCATAAATAATACCAAGAATAAGAATATGGAGAATTGCTTTATTTTCGCTCCATGTTGTCATCACAAGTATATGAAAAAAAAAAAAAAAAAAAAAAAAAAAAAAAAAAAAAAGGAAACACAAAAATATTCTCAAATCAAGTTTTTGAGTTCCAAATTTTAGTCTCTATATTTTTTTTTTTTTTTCTTTTTTTTTTTTTTTTTTACCACTTCTTCACTTTCCAAATGAAGATGTAAGGTACAAAAAATTTTAGGTTTCAACCGTTTAAAGAATTTAAACATCGACAAGAGGTACCTTCAGTATGTTGTCAGTCATATGTCTGGGTTAGTGTCCAATTTATCCCTGTTCAAAATACGTGGGCTAAAAGAGTCTAATTTGGCAATCCGGTTAAGTGCATGTAACTTGAGAGATGATATATTACCCTTGTTGTAATCACCCACCACCACCACCACTCCTCTCTCTCCTCTCCCTTTCCCTCTGCAGTTATGCATCCTGTGATAGCCCAATTAAAAAATCCCTTGGAAAGAAAGTTAAAATATTGGTTGACCTTGTCAGGTAATTTTTTTTTTTTGCGAATTTCCATGCATCAAAAAAAAAAATGATCTCTTTTTTAACACACATGAGATAGGGAAAGTTTGATAAATGTGAAAAAAAAAAACAAACATATGTTACGTCATCTCGATGTATGCATAAATGGATATATATGTATGGATGTATGCTACATCTCCTTTCTGCACAATACATATTCTACACCACTACTCCCCTCCACCCCTTTCCCTCTGCAGAATCCTCTACCTGCTGGATCAAGGCCTACAAAATGTTTACCTTGTAAAATATGTTAACCGAAGCATAACGATAGAAAACCACGTCCTATTATTTTTCAACAATCAAAATTTAGACTTACAAAATTTTAAGCACTTTTAAGTTGTGTATATTTGGGTGTTATGTTTGTGTAGACAACATTTTCAACATGAGGGAAAAGAGACACGGAAAAAAAAAAAAAAAAAAAAAAACTTGTGGAGAAAAACAATATCAGCTGTTAGTACTGGGTTCAACACCTTATGGAATGGATTTCTCACAAAAAGGGTAGCGCACACCGGACATCCGATCTATGTTCGGCTAGCCATTTGCACCATGCACGCTACACCCTACACCACACCATTTAACTTCACCGTTTGATTTCACCATCCTGACGATACTTGCTGATGTCAAGAGTGATAGTCCTGGAGCACTTCTTATGCTTGTTCTTGTAAACACCGATGAGAGTTTGACTCTTACTAAAAAACTTTTCTTTAAGAGAAATGACAATGACTTGGCTATTAATAGAATTCAGGTAGCGAGCAAGAGAATTCATTTTGATAGGATCCATATTAGCATCCACTTCATCCAGAATAATAAAAGAGTTACTTATATATTTTTGGATTGAGAAAATTAAGGCTAATGCACTTATACTTTTTTCTCCACCACTTAACTCACTTATATCAAAGAACCTTTTCATTGGTGGCATATTGTTATATCTTATTCCACAGTAAAATGGTTCATCATCTTTGTTAAATTCGTTATGATTAAATAAGTCTAAAAATGCCTGACCACCTACATGATGTTTTACACTATATGTTAAGTTATTATATACATTGTCGATTACATTTTTTATGTAATTAAAACAATGCAAAAATTTATAGGATCTCTTCTTTTGTAATATTCGAAAATTCCGTTCGAACAAATTACACTCTTTTCTTTCATTTGATAACGAACTATCAACTACTCTTAACTTATCAACTAATGTTTCATATTCCTTTTCTGCGCTATTATTTACATTTCTCAGTTTTAATAATTTTCTTTTTCTTTCAATTTCTTTTTCCATTTTTTCCTTCTCATTATTGATTTCCTTATCCCCTTCCATTTGTTTCAATTCTTCTGGAACTGAATCAAATGAGATGTTTGACATTGTCAACTCCACCTCTGCATCGCTACTGCCTCTGTCACTACTGCCTTTGTCACTACTGCTTCTATCACTGCTGCTTCTGTCGCTACTTCCATGTGTGTCCTCGTCATCGCTGCACTGCAAGAGCTTGCTCTTCCTTCCGGATTGTTTGTCTGTTTTTCTTCCTCGTCTGCTTCGCCCACTTCGACAGTTTCGTCCACCTCGATTGTCTTGCCTGTGCATGTCACATTCTCCATCGCCAATCACATTGGTGGTGACGAAAATGTTTACACCATTCATATCACATTCACTTATTAAATCCTTGACAAGAGTGGCATAGATTCGTATCTTCTTTCGACAGTTGTCTATTTTGCTTTGAATGTTTTCATACTTTTCAAAATTGGTGTTAATATTTTCTCGAAGTTCATTTAATTCCTGGTTAATGGTAGCTAAGTTCTTGTGATATGTACCTTGCTCATTTTCTAGTTCTTGAATTGAGTTTTGAATTTGGTTTATTTTTTCAACTTGTTTTTTTTCCTCTTCGTTCAAGTTGTACAGATCCATTTTGACATTCTCTTCCTGATTTTCTGATTTTTCATTTTTTTGAAAAAGGTTTATTTCATTTTGTTTGTCCAACAGTTCATTAATATCATCATTTAATTTTTTTATATTATTTTTTATTCTATCAATATGTTCATCTACTTTTTCCATTTCTTTAGTACTTCGTTCTACAGATTCATAGATGTTTTCAATTTTGAATCTTTCATTTAGAATTTTAAATGATTCCTTTTGAAAAGATGCTAATCCATTTCTTTCTTTCATTAATTCAGATTCATAATTTTCTAGTGTATCTATTTTTTTTTTTATATGTAACTTTTTTATTTTATTTATTCTTTCTTCATAATTTTCAATTATGGCTAATTTCCCTTCTACTTCTTTTTCAAAAATGTTCTTTTTAATTGATAAGCTAGCTATTTTTTTTTTATTTAATTCATGTTCATAATTTATTTTATTAACATGTTCATTCGTTTCGATTATCTTCTTATTGCAATCATTTATATCATTTCGACATTCTTCCTTTTCAGATAATATTTTATTATACAGACTTATGTTTAACCTTCCCATGTTGTACTTTTCATTATCTCCATATTTAGAAGAAATGTCAACAATTAAATTGTTACTCTTGGAAATTATATGACCATTCAGTGTTACTATATTTGCATTCAGGTTTGGAAATTTCTTCCTTATATCTTCTGCATCTTTTATACAATCAACAATCAGAGTGTTCTTACCTATGAGGTAATCAAAGATCACTTTAAACTGTTCATCACACACAAGACAATTATTTGCTAGCACGATATTTTTTTTTTTAAATAAATTCATCACCTTTCCTATCATGTGATGATGATATCCATATTCTTCCATAAACTCATTGTTCGTCAAATTGTCCGAGTTGTTCTTCTCATGTTGTTCATCTCTGCTTCCTGTGTTATACATCTTCTTCTGCTGCCCCTCTACATATGCTGCTTCTTCACCTTCTCTGTCTTTGTTTTTCCATTTTTTCAGTTTCATATTATTCACAAAATTCTCTAGAGGGATGAAATCCATCTTGTGATGTTTGTTATCTTTGAGGTACTTGATGCACTTCACACAAGTCTCTATATTTTTTACTACAAGAAAATTATTATACTTATGAATAACATTGTTGACAGCTGTGTAATATATCTGATTGTTTACTTCGTAGAGGTTACTAATCTCATCATATATTTCATCATCTCCAAACATATTTTTTAAATTTCGAATAATTTCTTTTTTTTTTTCAAAATATATTAATTCATTTTTATGTATATTTAGTACATTTATTTGCTCATCCAACTGTTCGATGTGTTTTTCCTTTTTTGTGATGGTAAAATTGTATGATTTCAAATCATTTTTATATTTTTCTACTTTCATTTTATCCTCTGCAATTACATTATTTAGTTTGTTTATTCGATCTGTCAATTCATCCAAGGTCATTTTTTCAGACTCATAATCGAGTACTTCTTTCTGTTTTTTTCTGCTAAGATTGTCACATTCTTCCTGTAATTCTTTAATATCTTTTTTCAACGAATTTGATAAAGTTGTGTAGTTATTAATGTTAATATTACTGTTTGCACACTGATATAGATATTTTTCTTTACATTTTTTGTATTCGGTTAAATTTTCAATAACTTGCAGTGCATTGCAAATTTCAAACATTGCTTCTTGTTCGTTTTTCTGATTAATTTTTGTGTCGCTATTATTATTGTTACTATCCAGAATTTTCATGGTTTTCAATTTTTTTTCTGCTTTCATCAGACCATCATACACACTTTTGTGTCTATCCTTAAGGTATGCTTTGACAAGATCATACTTATCGACAAACTTCAAAATGATATTTAATTTATTAACATATTCAGTGCTAAGTTTTTTATTTTGATCTTTAATCTGTTCATTTAAATTGTCAACAAATTTGGTACAATGGATTTGCATGTTTTTCTTCAGTTTCTGATTTGCTAATATTTTGTTTAGAGATTCTTCACAGAATTTTTTTTTTTCATTTATTTCATTGAGACTAATTTTGAGTTGATTCATTTCTACTCTATAATCTTTTATCTGATCTTGTAATTTGAGAAGATTTTTTTTTTTTACTAATTTATTTTTTTCCAAATCATTTGCAATTTTTTTATTTTTAGTTAAAATTTCTTGTTCGAATTCAATTTTTTCATCCTTAAACGTGAGTAAATCATCTTTTAATTTTTCTTTTTTTTTATAATAATGATAAAGACGAAATAGGTAAAATAATTTTACATCATTTTCGTACTCTTCTTTCAGTAGGTTTTGTTCTATATTGTCATTTATCTGCATTTTATGAATTTTAATTTCTTGTTCCAATTTCTTTTTTTCATTTAAATAATTCTTACAATTCATTTGTTTTTCTTTCAGCTTCTCTTTCATATCTTCATACACTTGTTCATATTCATCTGAACCACTTATATACTCAAACAGTCTTGACAATTCTGTCGGTTTCTTATTAATTACATCTTCAATATCTCCTTGAAATATTAAGCATGTTTTTGTCTTAGTTTCGATTCGATTTTTTTTTAAAAAATTTACATATTCTTTATGTTCCACTAATCTTTCATTAATGTAGTAATTACTTACTCCTCTATAATTTAGAGTCCTCTTAATTTCGATATTTTGTTTGTTACATTCTAACACAAGTTTTACATAACATTTCCTTTTGTTCAACATTTCCATCTTCTCATTTTCCTTATGGTGTATTAAATGCTTCATATTTTTTACTCTCAAATGTTTATTATGAATTCCTAAGACAAAACAAATGCAATCCATAATATTCGATTTCCCTGATCCATTAGGTCCTATAATTGCTGTGAATTTGGAAAATGGACCTATAACATTTTCATTCTCATAGCTCTTAAAGTTACAAACGATTAGATATTTTATGAAACATAATTCACTCTCTCTATACACCATGCTAGATGCCAAGCTGCTGCTGTTTAGATATTCGTTTGGAAATTCAAGTTCCTCTATTTTTCCATTATTCTCTCTTTCCAGTTGACTTATTCTCAGGGGAACTATGTCTCTACTGGAGGTTACTTCAACTGACACGTCTCCTGCCACGTCTCTTCCACTAGCTTCTTTCTCTGTCTTATCATCTGTCTCCGACGAGCTTCCTTCTTCTACCTCGCTACGTCCGTTTGCTTCTCTACCTTCGAATCGATTCTGTTTGTTCATATCCAACTGCTTCTGAAATGGACACGTATCATTGTTATGAGTGCCAGAATCTAAGGCAACACTTTTTTCTAGGTTGGGCTGAGGATACTTGATGCCACTTACTAGTGTAGCACATTTTCCCATGTTTTCACCTTCCATAACACCTTCCTTAACAGCTCTCATCACACCTCTCTTCGCATCGTCACTATGTACGAGGCCTTTCAAAACAGTATATTTCTTTTTTCCCTCTTTTCCAAAATCCAAATTAATAGGTTTCGTGCTTGAAAAATTAAATGAGGATTCGTCTGAACCCTCTAAATATTCTTCATTTAAAAAATTGTTGAAGTCTTGATCATCCACCTTTGCTGAATTTGTTACCAAATTGTTTGACCCTTCGTTTTCATCTTTATCAGATTCTAAGCTGCTTTCAAAATTTTCTTCTTCATCAAGGTCATTTCTGGAATTTGAATCATTCACCTTCTTCTTCATCTGTATCTTCTGCATTTTACCCATCTTCACCATCTTCGCCAACTTGTATGCTGCTTTCCCACGATGTTCTCACGTGAATAATTTTGGTGAACACATATGGAGATCCTTTCGTCCGTCACAACACCAATGAGATTATAAAAATAGTTGTCACTCCACTTATCAAAAACTTTTTTTTTTTTTTACAATATTCGTGTGTGTGTGTGTGTCTTTCTCTCTCCTTTCTCCCACCCGCAATTCTACTCTCTTTCTTATATCACCAAGTCTTCCTGTGTGGAAAATTACACAACTAGTTTTTTTATGTACTTTTCCTCTTTAACGCATCAAAGAAGTTAACTGAAAATTTGATTTTCCATAAATGTACAATTTACAACTGTAAAAATGGTGAAATATACAATGATGTGTATACCTCACCTTTCCCTATTTCTGCTTGTGAACTAAGAAAATTCGGATGCGTATGTCTGGAGCAGGATGTATATATGAGCTACATCAGGTTAGTTCGAAGAGGTGTAGTAGCGATGCACTGATGTGTGGAATGCTCTCAATGAGAGATGCTTAACTGCACAAGCACACACACACACGAGCACATATATATATATACATATGTATGCTTCTTCTGTAGGTTCATAATGGCAAGGACATTCATTTTCAAGTTTTATTTTAAAAAATTTTTTTATACGTTAACTTTTTTATACTTTTTTTAACTTTTTCATACCTTTTTTATCTTTTTTATACTTTTTTAATTTTTTTATACTTTTTTTTAACGTGTTTTTATTTCCTTTTACCTTTTCCTTTATTTTCCTCCCTCGTGTGTATTAAAAAAAAAAAAAAAAAAAAAAAAAAAAAAAAAAAAAAAAAAAAGGGTACATAGATAAAAAGCTTGCTTCGTTGGCATTTCCAATGTTGCTTTTCAAGAATAAGTTTATTTCAAAAGATTGAGCTCAGTTTCTGATGCTGATATTCATCCCTATTTTGCATTGCTATTCTAGTTAGACCTTTCTTTCCTGGTCTTGAGTTCTGATTTCTCAGTGTACTTACATCTCTTTGCTTTTTTGTGTAATTTACTGGTTTCCATCTATGTGTTTTTTTCTTTTCTTTTTTCTTTTCTCTTTCTTTTTTTCTTTTCTCTTTCTTTTTTTCTTTTCTCTTTCTTTTTTTCTTTTCTCTTTCTTTTTTTCCTTTTTTTTTTTTTTACGTGCTTGTCATACACATGAAGTGTGAAGTGAAATATTTCGCCTTTTTATTTCGATCCCCAGTCCATTTTAATCAAATACAAGAATATGCAAAAAAAAAAAATGCAGCAAAGTTGAACAAAATGGACCAAAGTTGAATGTTAAAGAAGAGAAGTTTTCTGGATATTTGGAAAGAGCCTTAATCTTTATTTTATTATTTTTTTTTTTTTTTTTTTTTTTTGGTTTGTTTGTTTTCTCTTTTTTAGTCACATTGCACAGTCTTGCAAAAGACGAAAAATGAATTAAAAAGAAAAAACAAAGGTTTACACCATGTGATGTGTCATATGTGTAAATGAATCAAAATTCTGCATCTACTGCATCCCACATTTTATATCATGTGCATAAAAATTGGCCATACTTGGGACTAGTGTCCAGGTTTGCCTACGGACTTGGCATACCACTTGAAAATGGAAGAAAAAAAAAAAAAAAAAAAAAAAACACTGAAAAGGGCAATAAAAAATAACGAAATAACAGAATAACAAAAGGATAGCAACAATGACAAAGGAACTTCATCAAAAGAATTTCACCAAAGGGACTTCACCAAATTAACTTCACCAAAGGAACCCTAAAACAAATGTCTCAAAAAATGTTCTGCCATCTTGTTGGTGAAAATAATCATTCACTATCCCGTTTAGAACAATCAAATGCATAAGCAAATGGGCAGTATAGGAGAAGAAGAAAAAAAAAAAAAAAAAAAAAGAAAGAAAAAAAAGGGATGAAACACATACAGAGATGGGTATGGACAAATGGCAATATCCTTTCACTTTAGGAAAACTTGAGTTCCCTTTTTCTATACTATGTAATGTTAAATATCAAAAATTAGTTTTAAGTCTCTTTGCAAAAGGATTAGACATTTATTTTGTATATGCATCGAAAAAGGGATGTTCAATATGATTTGTTTTTGTAGGCACTAGAACCTCCTCATCAATACCGAGGATTGGATATGTGTGTGTTCTCATAAAATACTTTTTCAAATGTTTGTAAAAAATGTAATTTTGTTTATTCATGATTTGCATAAACAGGAAAGAGAAATGTATTTATCAAAATGATGCGTATGACGACAAAGGAGGAAGGAGTTCTCGGGGAACATATTCTAGCATTAGATAAATTTTTGCAAATTATTGTAATCCTATCTACAAGAATTATTTGTGGTTATTATGATGGCTGCAATTAGGATAATAACAGTAATTGTTATTATTATATTTCTTCTTTTTTTTCTTCTTCTCTCTTCATTATTTTTTTATGCAAAGGATAAAAAGTAGACAATTGTTTCGTGTGCAAAAACAAAAAATAAAGCAATTGCGTCCGATAAAAAATGTCATACGTGAAAATATATTTTTTTTTTTTTTTTTCTCATTTTTTAATTCCTTTTCTTTTGAATATATAATTGATACGGGTACGACATAGACGGGAGGTGTCTGGGAAAAGGGCCTTCCTCATTTTTTCTCTTTTTTCAGGTTTAAAAAAAGAGAAAATTCGTTGTGTACAATTTCCTCATGTTTGTTTAACTGTGTGTATGTATGTATGTATATATGTATATATGTGTGCGTGTGTATTTTTTTTTTTTTTTTTTTTTTTTTTTTTTTTTCCCCTCCCCTCTACTGCCCATTTGCTTATTATTAACCGATTTTGAAATGAGAAAGGAGACCCTTAATACCTAGTCTGAGTATGTGCGTGAGAAAATGAGAACATCTTACGCATATGGATATGCATATGCATACGCAGAGTCGGCTTCTATTTCTCATTCCAGCTCGGGTTTCCCTTTCACTCCTTCCCTTTTGCAGGCCCCTGTGGATTGGCAATCCTGTTCAGAAATGCACGAATAGATAGAATGTCACTTCAAAAAAGTAGTGTCTACTGTGCTCAAATGTGGAATCAGATTTATGTCCTTATTTTCATCACGTTCATGCGTACGAGATAAGTTTGGGCTCATCCTATTCCACCCCCAACCTCGCACACAGTCAAAAATAAGAAGTCAAAAATAAGAAGCCCAAAATAAGAAGCCAAAAATAAGAAGCCAAAAATAAGAAGCCAAAAATAAGCAACCCAAAACACTGTCTCTCCTGTTTACTTCTTTCCACTCCGGGCAAAAGAAAAAATGAGCAAGGCCATACAACAGATATTCGAGGACTACAGCAGGGCTCGGACACATTTCACGCAGAACATTTATGACATGTGCTTAAAGTCTCACAACATGGAAGTAATAATAAACACAGATATCATAATTTTGATTCGTCCGCTGATCTTGGACAAGATTCCCATAGTTCAACAGAATGCAACTCAAATATTAGCAAAAATGGCTACACATTCTGAAGAAGTGGCTTTAACTATTTTGCAGAATGATGTATTACCACATTTAATATATTGTTTAAAACATGAAAATAAAAATTATAGGAAAAATTGTGCTAATACTTTGAAATGTCTAGCTAGCCATAATGCAAAGCTAGCTAATTTAGTAGCAGAAGGAGAAAATTGTATTGATTATTTAATGGATTCATTGGATGAATATGATGTAAGATTAAAAGAAGCATGCATAAATGCATTATGTGCAATCATCAAAAATGATATAGATCTTTCAAAAAAATTAGTAGATAAAGGAATCATCCCATTGGTTATTTTGTGCTTACAAGAAAAAGATACAAATCTTATAAAAAGTACATTAAATATATTAACAGAACTTAGTAAACAAACTAATGAAATAGCGAAAGAGGTTGTGGATAATAATGCATTACCACATCTAATAAAATACTTAGATCATAATGATATTCATATAAAAAGAAGTTCATGTAATTGTCTATCCCAAATTGCTAAACATAAAGAAGAATTAACAGAATTAATTATCGAAAATGATGTTTTTCCAAAAATTATATATTTATTAAAAGATAATGATGATATTGTAAAAAAAAACTGTTCCAATTTATTGAAAGAAATGAGTAAACATAATGAAGATATATGTAAAATTATTACTCGTGCAGGAACTTTACCTTTTTTGTGTGAGTGTATTGAACAAGCATCAAAGGATAATATTAAATGCCCCGCCATTCTATGTCTTGGTTTTATTGCTTCATTTTCAGAATCATTAAGTTTAAATATTATTTTATCTAATACTATTCCTATTTTAAAAAAGTGCTTAATCGAAGAAACAGAAGACTATATTAAATGTGCTTCTGTGTGGACTCTTGGAAATATTGGAAAACATTCATCTGAACATGTTAAAAAAATTTCAGATGAAAATATTTTAATAATTTTAGTTAACTTGTATAATTCCAATGATTCTTCCGATGATTTAAAAAAAAAAATTAAATTTTCCTTAAAAATCATGATTCAAAAGGTCACTGATTTGGAAGCTCTAGAACCCGTCTTTATAAAATCATCAATCAAACTAGCCAAGTATTGCATCTATCAATTCTCTAAAATACTTCCTAAAAATCCTACATACAAAAAATCCTTCATCAAGTCTGGGTGCTTGAAGTATCTACAAGTAAGGCTTACAGATATGCGCAAAAAAAAAAAAAAAAAAAAAAAAAAACACATACTCCCACATGTCAAGATATCTCACTAACAGAGCAACACATGTATCAGTGAGGAAAACATTACCAAGAAATTCTTAAGATTGTCAGAGCGTAAAGTGAACTATATACCGACTAAGGGGAAAATACATATATATATATATATATATATAATTTCTGCTCTAGGAAATACTTTTTTTTTTATCATTTTTTCTAATGCTACCCGTGCTGTTATACTTTATGTTTTCCCCTATCCCCAGTACTTGACTTGCACAAAATCAATTATTCCATATCTTTGTGTGTGTAACCATCACCGTTAGCTGGTTCTACTGCGTCGTCTTCTGCATCCCCTTCATCTGTTTCCCCTTCATCTGTTTCCCCTTCATCTGTTTCCTCTTCATCTGCTACTTCCTTTTCATTTTTTGTTTTTTCTTTGATGTAGGAAATAAAAAATTCCGACGAGGCAAAGAAAATCGAAATGGAAATAAACACAATCAATAAATCTTTCCCAGAAGATATAATCAATTATTACACTCCTGGTTACTCGGAAACACTGATTAAAAAAATTGACCAAGTTGACAAAAACTGACAAGAACTAGCCAAAATTGACAAAACAGAAAGGTAGCTAAAACATAAATGCGGGGCTAGTGGAGCAGGGAAAAAAAAATTTTTTTTTTTTTTTTTTTTTTTTTTTTCGTTTCATATTTCCACCCATTACACATGCACGTATATATGTTCCCATCTACTTCCACGTTTTGAAAAAAAAAGAAAAAAAAAAAAAACTCTCCTATTTACAACCTAAACTTGGAATTTATAAACTCAAAATGAAGGAGATGCTTCCATTGTAGAAGCAACATCCAAGGTTGAACTCATCTCTATCTTTGCTTTTTTCTCTCATGAACGAACATTTTCTTCAAATCGGGTTACTATATTGAAAAAGAGGAAAAAAAAAAAAAAAATTCCCATTTCTTCCTCTAAATGATCTGAATTCAATAGGGAGTGGAGCGTACGCGATATATATGTATGTATATATGTATATATGTATGTATGTATATATGTATATATGTATGTATGTATATATGTATGTATATATGTATGTATATATGTATGTATATATGTATGTATGTATATATGTATATATGTACATATATGTGCATATATGTGCATATGCATGTATGAATATGTAAGGAATGTAGAAAAACATGACTGTCAACATTGTAGTCAAATGCACATAAAATTGAAACATTTTTTTCAAAATAAATGCAACTGCATAAGTGGCCGGACCCATAGACACACTAGGATGACATTTACGAAATGTTACATCCAAAGCACAACCACCCACCCACTAAATGGGCTGTTCTGAGATCACAAAAATGAATTAGAGATAAATAAATGAATAATTAAAATAAATAAAATATGTAAAACGAAGCACATTTTACACACCCTCATTCGTTTAGTGCTGCTTTTAAAAAGCAACAAAGAAGCAAAAGTATAGGAGAAGAGGTAACGAACACAACCGTTTCAACGGCACTTGCATATCACTCCAATTTAATGAGACAGTTATTGAAGAAATTAGATAAAAAATTTGTGCCTTATCCTTTTATGTGCAAATCATGCCATTTCTACAATTCAGGAGGAAAAGAAAAAAAATGTGAATTGTTGGATGAACAAAAAAAAGCAACCAAAATTTACCAAATTGTACATAAGCAAGACGTAATAAATTTTTTACAAAATTGGATGACTAACAAAAAGGAATTCATTCCACAAGAAATAATGCAAATACTTCAATTTTGTAGCAAAAATAAATATCGAAATGACAAGGTTACACATTTTATATGCTCTCGTATTAAGCATAATATTGAAAAATTTTCTTTGATTAGATTATGTGTGTGTGTGAATTATTTGATAAATTTGAATATAAAAAGAGATAAAACTTTTATTTATGTTGTTGAAAATTCTCTCATAAAAAAATTAAAAAATAATGAACATTTGGACCTGCATGGAATATGCTTAATTGCCAAGTTTATTCTTAGAGAAAGGATAACAAATATTACCTTAATATTTCTCTTATCCATTCTTATAAGTAAAAAAATAAATACAACTTGCAATTCGTATGACCTTTACAATTTGGTAGTTTCTCTTATGACTATTCAGAATGAAGGTCTTCTAAGCGGCTATCTCGTTTCTGCACCAGACACTGAGAGAGAGACATCCCACTCAAATGAAGAAAAAAGAACAAAATTTGACAAAACTTCCTACGCAACGGATTTGCCCTCTTTTTATAACACAAATGAAGAACAGAAGGAAGTAAACATATTAAACGAAGAAAATGTGCACGCACTTCTACGGATTTATATTAATTCAGAACAGATAAGAAACGGTGAAATTGTTTTAATTATTAATACCTTAACTAATATGAACAGAAATGCCTTTTTCCATAAAATGAACTTAACAAAGAATCAGAGGGTTCAATTGTATGAAACGCTTCTGAGCAGAATTAATTACGAAGGAAAATTCGACGGAAAAATAATAGCCCTGCTCTTATTTAATTTACAAAAAATGCTTAAATTAAATGAAATATCAGAACGGATTCTCTACGCAACCCTTACAAACATGAATCGTCCCTTTAAAGAAGTTATCATAGGAACGATCCTCCATGCGAAGCACTCATCAAATTTGAAGCAACCCACAAATTCGAAGCAGCCATCAAAATTGAACCATATGTGTGGAGAAAGAGACGCTATCCAAAAATGGATGAGAGGAAGTTACTCTAAGGAACATGAACAGGCAGAGGTAGCAGCTGAACAAATCAAAGCAACAGACGAAGCAGTTATGAACGATCAAAAAGAACACACAAGTGATATCCCACTAGGAGAATTTAATCCAGATTTGCACACAAAAACGAGAACTTACTTTAACCTTCAAGAGATTGGCATGGTGCTACAATTTTATGGTTGCCTCGCAGATCTCTTCAAGGGAACCTCCCCAACTGGAAGTGATGCGCATATGGTAAAAAGAGAAAAAATTGGAAAAGAAGAATATCAAATTTGCCATTCCAACAAAGTAAACAGGAGAGAAGAGAAGCAGAAAGATGTAGAGGATGGCATACTACCCAGATGTGACAACCTTTGTGTGTTGTCTGAATCATATATAAATGCACTGAAGGAGAGTTTGTTTTTTTATACTCAAAGGAATGATAATAATGGGGTTAAAATGAACATACTGGATTTTTGTACACTCCTAAAGGGTTTTTCAAAAACATATAAAAATACAGTATTAGATCGTGATATTTGTTCCCTCTTTGAAAATTTTTTAATGTATAATGAGAAAAGAATAAATATAAAAGAATTAAAAATGATAATTAAATTAATTTTTGAAAACAAAAATTCAGATATTTTCCCCACCCTATGTAATACAAAAAAATGCCTTTTTTTTAATCACTTGCACAATATTCTTTTACGAAATGTTTTAAATGAATCATCAAATTTGATTAAAAAGGAAAAGATAGAACTATATACCATGTGCTTTTATTACTTGTCTTTTTTACATTTTAATCACAATTCTTATTTCATAACAAATAATTTTATTATGAAAAATATAAAACGTAGTATGATCATTCAGTTAATTCCATACATTATTATAAGCAAATTTAATTACCATAAATTAGAGATGAAAATGAGTAAAATGGATTCAACGGATAAATCAGACAAATGGAACAAGCACTCATCAGAAGATACCATGTGTTCACTTCAGAAAAATATAAATGTAAGATATTATGAGAGAAAAGAATCGAAAAATGGTAGTCTGGCAGTGAGAGAACTTGAAGAAAAAGGACACCACAACCATATCGAATGTAGAGATAAAAATTACAGAATTCACAACTTTGATAGAATACATATACTGTACAAGTTGATGAATCAACACTTTGATAAGTATAAAACGTTTTATGTGCTCAATTGTTTATATATGCTTACAAAATATTTAAAAAATAACAAGACAATTTGTTTTCCATTATTTTCAAATTTTCATTTTCCTGATCTGTTTCACAAATTGAATGAGAGATTTTCATTTCACGACAGCAATATGAACCATCAAAAAGGACACAAAGTTACGACAAATTATGATTACTTTATTAATTATGTAAAATATAATTATTGCTTATCATTTCTATGTCATTATATAAATTTAACCAAATTTCTAACAAATGTTCAATTTGGTAGAAAATTCCCATACTACCTTTATACGCCATTTAATGCATATCTCACCATTCAATTTTTAACAAATTATGAACAATTTATACTAAATGGAAATTTTATTTCATTCCATGGAAATCCATTAACACAGGGTACAAGTGAGATAAATACACTCTTGAGAAAAATTAAAATGGAAAAAGTAGTTCTTATAAAAAATATGACAACATATGTGAAAAAAGAACGCTACAATTTGTTGACTCCTCATGACATTATACATATGATCAAGACATTCAAATTTGTATCTCATTTATTAAATCATGGTGATGATAACTATAGCAGTGATAGCCTTATCACCTTTTACACATGCATGTCAAATTTAGCTAGTACTAGAAATGTGAAAACAACCACAAGTTTTGAATTATTAACAGAATTTATAAAATTTTTGTACCACTTTGAATTTCAAAACCGAAAAATGTTTGAAAAATATCATGATTTAATTGTGAACACTTTAATATGTGCATTCAAAATTGTTTTTAAAAATTTACCTTACCGTACAGAAAATAACTATCTTGGCATGCTGCAGTTTTCCCTTTTGTACATGTCTCATTTTGTAAGAAATTCAAATTTGGTTCTTAGTTCGCTATCCCTGTACGATTTGAAAAAAATGAATCATTTCATATGTCTATCGCTAATGAATTTGGAAAAATACCAGCAGTCGTGCACATTTCAGGTAAGATTTTTTCCCTACATATTCCAAGTTGTGCATTGGTTATAAGCAAATAGGGGCCAAAATTGGAGCATGTGAAGTGTAGCATGTTTACACTGTTTGCAATTTGTATGACATAATTTTGAACTACATACACATTAGGATTGATACGTCTTTCCTGAAATATTAACGAGCGACACATAGAGAATGTTACATTTGTACATATTTTTTTCAACTGTTTTTCTTTTCAGTTACAAATTTTAAAAGTTCTTAGGGACATGATAAAACGTGAAAAAAGGATAATAAATGAATACCGCGTCGAAAACACACCTTATACGGTTGATATTCTTATAAAATAAAAATAACAAGAAAAAAAAAAAAATAAAATAAAATAAAAAAGCATTTTTAATATATCCTTTTCTTTCGGAGAAACTATGTGAACAACACCAAAACGGGAAGGCATATGTTCTTTTGCTGAACGGGACATACATATAAGTACATGCGTGTGTATATATTTACTCTATTTATTTATTTATTTATTTATTTTTTTTTTTTTTTGTGCTTAGTTACTTTTGGCTATCTGTGCCATGTGCATCCATCGCTGAAACCGGATTTCTCCATTTTATCCAAAAAAAAAAAAAAAAAAAATTTTATTTCTCAGATGACACACATCAGGTTCAGGTGAACAACTTCAGTTCCAAGTAAAAGGATTTTTTTTTTTTTTTTTTTATATACACAAAAATCTGTGTATTAAAAAAAAAAAAAAAATTATTGCCTTAAATGTTCTTTCCCTACACCCTTAACATTTTTACGATATTTCCCTTCGTCTGTTTTTTTAAACATTCCCACACATTTGTACACCTTCCCTCGACTTGCATCACACATAAATCGTTGCTTTGTTTTTCTTTGCCTTGTCTTGTCTTTTTTTTTTTTTTTTTTTTTTTTTTTTTTTCTTACGCATTTTGTTTTCTCCTTCTTTTCAGTTTTGCAAATAGGTTGGTGGCATACATTACCAAGCGGTCAAAGTGGGTAGGAGTTGTTCCATGGGGAAATGTCTCAATCTAGACTTCATATAAATGTGCACATAGAGAGGACATATGTATTACATATGATAATTATCACGTAGATGATTTATTTGCTTAATAAATTTGCTTATTTTTTCCTACTACCCTTTTTTTTACGCCTGACTTGAGAACTGATCGACTTCCTGAAGGAATATTTGGATGAGCGTGAAGGGGAAGAGCTGTATTTTGTACCATCTCTTAAATACTTTCTTTTTTCATCAATCCTTTCTTTATTCTCTCTTTTTGTATTATGTTTTTCATTTTTGTGCTTTTCTTTGTGCCTCATCACATGTTCATATTTTATCGAAACTGTTTTTCCATCTATCTGTCCACCATTCATATATTCCCTTGCGATTTTTGCGTCCATTTCATTTTCAAATTTTATTTTGGCGCATATGAAATTCCCTTCGTTGTTGTTTCCACTTAGTTTTTCATCATTTAACACAAAATTTATTTCCTTTAAATTCCCAAAGTGCATAAATATTTCTTTCAAGTGATCTGAGCTTACGTTTTTCGTTAAGTTATAAACGTATAAGCAGTTATCATTCATATTTCTTTCCTTTTTCCTTCCTCTTTTTCTTTATCTATATATCATGAAATTCTAAGACGAGGGTTGAACGGGTGATTTGGATGGGAATTAAAAAGGGCCAATAAAACAAAAAGTAAAACAAAACAGATTAATAAAAAAGGTGAATAAAAAAGGTGAATACAAAAAATTAATTAAATGTCATAACAACGCAGCCATTTGTACAGGAAATTTTCGCCCTATTTCTTTTATTTTTTACGTACATGTTATTTTTTATTTTTAGCGGAAAGAGGAATTTTACTTGCGTTAGGAAACTTGGTAAATATTTCATCCCCTCGTCCTCATTTGCTTATTCCTGTTGGCACGCGTGTTTACAAGTGTAAATGTAAAAAAATCCTATTTTGTACCTGATTTAAAAAAAAAAAAAAAAAGAAAAAAAAAGAAAAAAAAAGAAAAAAAAAGAAAAAAAAAGAAAAAAAAAGAAAAAAAAAGAAAAAAAAAGAAAAAAAAAGAAAAAACATTAAAATAAAATAAAATAAGCACACGTCAGTGTATAGAGGTATATATATATATGCTATAGTTACTATATTATGAACATGCAATGTTCTATGCTTACATGTACCTATAACACATTTAGTTAGTCAATAAAAGTGTACTCTTTCTTAATTGTGCAATTTGACGGAGATTTTATACGTACCCGTTTTTCATGAAAAAAGCACATAAGAAATGGGAGTACCAACAAAACTGGACTAGATATTTAAATCTTCTCTATGGTGTCCCGTAACACTTGGCTCAATACGAGTCATATTTATCATGCCAAGATTAGCACCCACTTTTTATTTTCCACACTTCACCACAAAGCCAAGCTTATCACCCACTTTTCATTTCCCACATTTACAGTATTCCAACCACTTTTTTTTTTTTGTTTTTTTTTTTTTTTTTTGTGTGTATCCTTCGAATATCACTCGAATTCAGATCACTAACATTTCATAAACGATTTTATGACTTATGTAGGTATTTTCTAATTATATATATCCTTATGAGTGCCCTATTCTCTATCTAAATCATAAACATGTCATTTTTTTATATCACACATCTTCATGAAATTAATATCCACTATCGAACTGCATTGATTGGTACAGCTCCTTATAAAAAAGGTTCCCCAAAGGGTGCCAAAATAAACGCAATAAAAAATATGTACTGAAATTCAAAATTTATTTTATTTTTTTTTTTTTTTTAAATTTCAAAAGTGATCTTAAAAACAATTTCTTCACATGGGACAAATAAAGCAGACGCATATATATACGTAATGACAAAATATGAATGTATTCATTTATTGTGTATATATATATATATATATATATATACATACATACATACATACATACGTAACATATAAAACATATACCCCTTGCGGGCAGTGCTTATCAAGGGTTGTAACAAATGGCAACACACAAAGTGAAGACAAAAAAAAAAAAAAAAAAAAAAAAAAGGGTCTGACTTATGGAAAATGCCAAAACAAACACAAAAGATAAAAATGGAAGGGAAATAATGTTTTTGATAAGTTTCACAGAGAATTATCTAAAAAATTTCCAAATCAACAAAACAAAAGAAAAAAAGGGACGGGAAATGAAGTTCAAGAAAAAAAAAAAAAAAAAAAACGAATGAGTATATAAAATGCTTCTATAGAAACATATTTGTTACTAAAAATGTAAGTAAAAATATGCGTAAAAATATGAGTAAAAGGCTTCATGTGTAAATGTGGAAATATGTGCACAAAGGTTTATAACTCCATGGAGATTTTTTTTTTTTTTTTTTTTTTTTCCCTTGTGGTATGTAAACTTTGTTCTTCTAGTGTATTATATATATATATAAAATGAGAAATCCTCTTATATATATTCATTTCTATTTCTTGATTTCACTTCTTCTTTTTGGACTCACGAGATGATTTCGAACCCTGGTGTGATGTAACAGCCTTGTCTGCTGGGATTACCTTGAAATCCACCTTTTTATACAAACAATATTGCACCAAAAAAATAAGAAAAATTATATCATCTCCGAAAGCATTCCACTTGTGCACATCAGGCATGCGGAGAATGAGGACAAATAAGTCATCCATAAGTGCATATAAGAAAAGGAAGAAAAAGAAAAATACGGGAGTGTGTTGTACAGTTTTCGTGCAATAATTTCTGACAATCTGTGGGCACATAAAAAGAAAATTAAAAATGTATGAACAAATTCCAACTGTGTGAATAATGAAAGAAAAAAGGGAATCATATTGAATAAACATGAAATTGTAAATACAAATGGCTATAACTGTACCGATCATTACATTCACAATTTTCAGTTTAAAATTTCTTTCAATATCTTCGACAATTGAATATTTCTTATTTCCACTTGCTTTGTTACCCTTGTCTTCATTGTTATTACAATCATTGATAGTCTCATCGTTTGTGCTATTACATGTAATATGTACATATGGATAATCTTCCAAAATTTCCACGTCGTAATGATCAAGTAACTTCCATAGACATATGGCGATTTTGGCGGCACAAAAGATCATGATAATTTTACACTTGTTTTTATTTTTTAAATATAAAAATATGAATAAATTAAATAAAAATTTTAAATGAATAGCATTAGTTGAAAAGGAATATAAATTATTGAGCTTATTCCAACTTGTTATATCAAACAGTAGAGCTATTAAATCTATTATCAAATGGATGAGACAAAGAATACATATAATAAGACACGTGTAAATATTACCACAAAGATGTATTACTACACTATCTAAATCGTATGAAGTAATTTTATATTTGTCCTTCACATAATTTATGTTAAATATTATTATATTGAACAGATTAAAATGAGGATAACTGATTGGGGAATATTCGATTTCGATTTCATTTTCGTTTTCATATTTGCTATTGTTCATATTTATACTCTTGGAAGTATTTTGATGGAATTTTTTTTTTTTTTTTTTTCTTTCATACCACTCATTTCCATTCTCTTCCTCCATTCCGTTTAAAAGTAATTCGTATTCATCTTCAGGTGTTAGATGATTATTAAAATAGGTTGGAAGTAAATACTCACTCCTTGATTTGTCCAAAAATATGTTAGAGAAAAATCCAATTTTATTTATATTTATATCGTTATATTCTACAATTGGACCAAACTTTAATTTTTTGGGAATGTAATAATTCTTACGTTTTATTTTTTTCACTTTAACTTTTTTTTTATGTGCTTTTTTCCTTCCCTCTTGGGTCCCTTCAGTTATTTTGTTATTCTTCTCTTCGTCTACCTCTGTTTCTTCTTCTTCTTCCTCCTCCTCCTCCTCATCCTCGTTTTCATTTCGTTTGCTTGACTTGTTATGGCCTTCCTCATTTTCCTTATTTGTCCTGTTTTCTTCATCTGCTGCATCTTCTTCATCTTCCTCTTTTTCGTAGCTATCGACTTCGTCATTTTCATCACCATCTTCATCGCTATCTTCTCCGCCATCTTGACCCCCATCTTCATCGACATCTTCTCCTCCATCTTCACTTCTCTCCTCATCATAATCGTTATCATATTCTTCTTCACCAAAAACATGTTCCCATACGTATTTTTCATTATGGGTAGATTTGCTCTTCATCCGCCTTCTCTTGGTTATTAAACTTGTGAGAGATCCATGTCTATACAATTCGTCATTCACATATGTTATTATGTGTAGATAAATGTTTTTGTTCATTTTGATTAACCTTCTTGGAATAGTTAAATTGACAGATGGGTACTTATTTTTCGTAAAGAAACTCCACCATTTATTCTGTTCATTAACGTGGTTGTAATTCCAATCATAGGAAATGTTGGTAAATTTATGAACGTTAATAAAATTTTTATTTTTTTTGAGGTATTTTTCTTTTTCATTCTCGTATTGGTTTAAGTCTATATTTTCTTCACATGACATGTATAAATGGTAATCTATTTTATCATTTTTTTTTAAAAAGTTTTTAAAAGGTTTAAATATATATTTCTGATCTAAATTCACATTTTCCTGTCCTTTTGTGCCCTTTTCCCCACCTTTTGTGTAATCATACACAGGTGTTCTTACATTTTGATAAACGTAATATAAACAGTACAGAATATAATAACATATTATTCCCACTGAAAATTTTAGCATTCTTCAAGGCATTGTTTTTGTTTGCTTCAATGAAAAAGCAGATTGGAAGAGCGATTAATTTCGCGCAAAAAAAGAAAAAAAAAAAAAAAAATTTCGATCCAATAAATATAAAAATATATACATATTCCCACACACATGCACAAGCACATAAGAAGTGAAAACAAAATATATCCTCTCTCTCTTCTCTCTGAATTTTACGTGATGAATAATTTACACTACATGCGAAGAAAAAAAAAAAAAAAAAAAAAATTAAAATATAAGAACAAACGGAAAATAAGCAGAGTAGTTTTCAACTCTTTGAGAAGAATCTATAAAAATGGTGTGTATAGGCGAGTGCTCGTAAATATGTATATACATATATATGCATTTATGCACGTATGCACGTAGGTACTCATAATGATAATAATTTCCTTTCAACAATACACTCTCCCCATTTTTTTTTTTTTTTAACTCATCTGAAGACACGATGTTGGAAATGTGTTGATTTTCCTTTCGGAATAGAGTAAACTTTTTTTTTTTTTTTTTTTTTTTTTCTCTTTATCTTTCTCTTTTTTTTCCCATTTTTCCACAAAAAGAATTCAGTTTTAGGGGAATTTTAACAAAGTGTCGCGTGGCTAATTTGATAAAATTGCAAGTGGGTTGTAAACGATTTTACAATTCCTTTGTTTTTTGCGTTGTGCCTCTATCACAATGAAATATTGTTAGTAATATAGTATATTATGGCAAAATATAACACTATATAGCATTCTAACATGGTAACATTTTTGTATTTTTACCAATTTGCCACTGCTTCATATGTAGCACAGTAGTACGGTAGCACTGCAACACTGTAGCAGTATGTGATACAGTTTTGTGTTTTTGCTGAATTGCCAAATTTGCCGTTTTACATTCTCGTTCTGCGTACTTTCCCCCTTTTGTGATTTTTTCATACGACTTTTGATATTTTTTCTCCTCACTCTTTTTCACCGCTTTAACACAACAGTTTTGGTTATTTATTTTATATTACATTTATATTAATTTATTTTTATTTTATTTATTTATTTTTTTTTTCCTTCACAAATAAGTGCTTCATTGTGCTTTCTCTCCCACATAAATTTATACATAGCACGCAAAAAAAAAAAAAAAAAAAAAAAAAAAAAGTTATCGCCATTACAGTTACACATAAAGCACACATTATAATGTACATAGAAATAAGTGAAGTTATATACACTTACACATACAATATATATGTTTATATATACTCCCCAATTACAATAAACAAGTAAAATACATGCTACATATACTTATGCACCATTTTTCTTCTTCTGGTGGAATTTTTTTTTTTTTTTTTTTTTGTGTATGTGTGTGTGTGCTAAATTTTTAGTTGAAAATATACCACAGCAACAGCTATAGATGAACTTTTTTTTTTTTATCCACATATTTCCCTCCTCTTTGTGACAATTCAACTTCCCCCCACCCCAGGCACCACTATAATATATCTTGAACAAAATAAAAGATGGAATTAAACATTAACGTCAAAAAAGAAGAAGAAAAAAGTACGCAAATCGAAATAAATAATATAAATAGAATTATTTTGAATATTCTATGCACAGAAGCAATACGAAAGATAAAGTTTATTTTGCATGTACTAAGGGAACTCGTGAAAAAAAAAACAAACATTTTACATGTTTACATAACTCATGATATTGACCACTTGTCCACGGACAACAGGCGCAAGAAAATGTAAATAATTAGAAAGACAAAAAAAAAAAAAAAAAGGAAAAACTATAGCATCTTCCCCTTATTTCACACATAAACATGTAAATCCTTGGTGCACGCTAATTGTCCATTTCAGTGGTGTATGCTGTTTATGTATGAACATACCTTCAATGACGTGACAAAATTGTTGCATGTTAGGTCTACTTCACGAAACGATATAAATATTAACAAAATAAAATAAAATAAAAAAACGCTTTGCAGCTTCAATACCCTACAAGAGGAAATTGAATTATGTGAAAATGAAAGTGACTACATAGTGATAAAGAATAAAATTGAGGGATACATTAACTCCCTTAGTGAGACCAACGAAATATTATGCCAAAATTCCCCTACCGATAGACACATCAAGGTTACACGGAAAGGAGAAGAGGCAGCAAAAGGAATAAATAAAATATAATAAATAAGTCAATGAATTAATATACATACATATATATATGTATATATATATGTACATGTATACAATGTGCACATAATATCTAGGGCCACTTTGCCTACGTTTTTTCTCCCTCTGGAATGATCATCAAATGCCCATTCGTACATAGCACATTTGCTCAATTTACCTCGAGAAAGGGAGAAGAGAGGTGTACGCGAAACAACATTACTGGAATTATTTCATTCCTTGTTTGATATTTGCCTTCATTTAATCCCCAACTCTCCATTCCGAATTTAAATAGGAGAATAGAAATAAAATAATCCAAGATGGTTCACTACTTCTCAACGTATTCTTAAAAATGAAAAGGCTCAATTTTTTTTCCGTGCTGAAAGCTCTGAATGAATTCAAGGAGGAGCAAAATTTACTTTTAAATGTAACTATGCGATAATTGCTTTTACTAAGTTTATTTGTTTAAATTCGTTTTCATCTCTTTGTCTATGCAAATGAGCTTATGTTCTGTCAATTGATATGCTCAGGACTAACCGTTATTCTTTCCCCCTTCCACCAATGCTACTATTCCATAGCTAAAACAAAATGTCTATCACAAAAAGCAGATTGTGCAGATCCTAAAAGAACAAATCAAAGAACAAATTGAAACTACAGAGGAAAAAAAAAAAAAAATTCAAGAACAAATAGAAGAAATCGAAAAAAAAAAAAAAATCTTTTTTGTAAAATCCATGCTTTATTATATTTACAAGAAAGAATATGTTCATGCGAATGTATCAAATCATAACATGAACATAAATTTTAAGCATGCATTCACTAAGGAATCAAAAGAAAAGATGGAACGGGAATTGAAAACGTACGATAATATTAACGATTATATAAAGACCTTCCTGAATAAAAGAAACGACAACGTAAGTGCACACACGAACGCATGAACGCTCGCACGAAACACACACACACACACACGTGCCCATGTGTACATATAAAATCATATTCCACAGGTGCCACGTGAGCACAAGGTGCCACGGGAGCACAAGGGGGTGGGGGGGGGGGGGGAAAAAGTATTAATATGCTTCTACTACTCTACAGCTACACATACAAAATTCACCATTTTGTATATATCATCTTTTTATATTGCAATTCATATACAAGTGTATACAACGTTTTATGAATAACGAAAAACTGGATATCGAATATTTTACATGTAAACTGATCAGAAATTACTCGTGTCTTTCTTTCCATTTCGTTTGTATATACTAGTACTTATCCAATTATTGGAGTGGGTCTTAGGGGGCACAACAGAGCAATAAACACATGGGGGGGGGGGGAGGGAGGAAAGAAATAGATAACGAAAATTTGCTTCTTCTACGTCTTTTTCTTCTACGTCTTTTTCTTCCACTTCTTTTTCTTCCACTTCTTTTTCTTCCACTTCTTTTTCTTCCACTTCTTTTTCTTCCACTTCTTTTTCTTCCACTTCTTTTTCTTCCACTTCTTTTTCTTCCACTTCTTTTTATTTATTTTATAATATTTTTTTTTTTTTTTTCCACCCCCTTTTTGAAGCTACAAAACATCCATGATGAATTAGTTGAATACTACCAAAAGGAAAGATATAAAAGGATGCAACAGCTGGACGAGACAAAAAACGAATTCAACAATTTGCTCAAGGAAATTCAGTTGAAACAGGAAAAAATTGTACGTCCATGGAACTGAAACATATATTGCACGTGTTTATTTGTGCGTGTGTTTTTTTTTTTTTTTTTTTTTTTTTTCTGCAAACGCAAGTATGGTAGTTATCGTTATTCTACAATGTTGTGTATGCATACTCATTTGTTTAAGTGAAGAAATAATGTAAAAAAAAAAAAAAAAAAAAATTATATCCATATTTTGTCATACTCAAATTGCAACATTACCCTTTTTCATGTCCATTCTTCTTCTTCTTCTTCTTCTCCTCCTCCTCCTCACCTTTCTCTTGCATTCAGATAAAGTACGACGAAGTAAATAAATTACGAGAGGAACAAGAAAAGGAAAAAATGAGAAATGAGATTGACGAAAGGGGGAATTTGAAAAAGCAAAATGAATATATCCTATTTCTGCAGGATATAGGGAGGAACAAAATAAAAGTTTATGATGAGAGGAGAAAAAAAAAACTAAAAAAAAGCGCAATGAAAAAGCAAAAAAAATAGAGATATTCTTAAAGGGATTGGGAATTACCCACGTCTCATTTGATATGCCTCTTGAGGAGTCTCTTGAAGAACCACTTGAAGAACCACTTGAAGAACCTCCTGAAACACCAACAAACGGTTCAGCCCGCATTGCAAAGGGTTCCAATAAAACTTCTTCAGATTTCCATTCCAAAGTACATCATTTGTGTGCGAAAACGTGCATATATATGTGCATATAACTTGGATAAAAAATATCCACAAAAAAAAAAAAAAAAAAAAAAGATATTTAATTTAAACACTAGGTTTCATGCACCACCAGCAACCCCAACAGAAAAAAAAAAAAAAAAAAAAAAAATGTATCAAGTTGAAAACTTCAGGAAATCAAATATACATAACCAGAGTACATAGATATAATGTTCATATACATTTTTTTATGCATATCAGATTTTGGAATTACGTCATATGTGTACAAATATCTTTTTGTTCTTTTCCCATTTTTTTTTTTCAACTGGATGGAATTCTTCAGGTTATCTCCATTTAAAATACCATTCGTGTGTGTAGAACATTCAGTGGTACCATTTGAGATGATATCAGTTGTACTTACCATATCAGCGTCTAACTTTGCAAGTGAAAAACCCGAATAAAACGAATTGTGAAAGTCAACCGTTTTAGTGTCTAATAATTTTCTCTTCTTAACATCAGAATTATTTTCCAAGTTGCAGTTATTATTCATTTTTTTCGTTACAATAGTACATGTCCCATGCTTTCTTATTCTTTTTATTGATTTTTCCTTCTCGTCATATGATTGACCACATGAAGAAAACATACTCCTTTGATATTCGAAATCTGCACCTGTGCTAGTATTTATGTCATAATTGTTGGTGCCATAATTATTGATGTCACAATGGTTGATGTCACAATGGTTGATGTCACAATGGTTGATGTCACAATGGTTGATGTCACAATGGTTGATGTCACAATGGTTGATGTCACAATGGTTGATGTCACAATGGTTGGTGTCATAATTGTTGATGTCATAAGTGTCGGTGACATATGCTCTGGCACCACTATTTGGTCTCATTTGCTCTTGTTCCTTATGGACATGCATTGAATTTCCAACCGATGTAAAAATACGTTGATTATTTAAATACTCTTCAAAATTCACTAAGAATGAATAATAAAAATGAAAACTTAAAATATATTTAAAAAATGGATCATCATATATTTCTCTTTCCATCTGTGTATTCCAGACATGGTTTTTTATATGGTTGCGCGAAAGTGTTTCATTCGTATTATTCAGAATGCTGCAATATTTTCCCTTCACATTGTTATGGGCATGATATAAACCAAAGTTTTCTATATATATATTTACTTTTTTTTTATCTTTTACAAATAAAAATGCCAAATTCACAATTACAAAATCGTATTTTTTATCTTCATTCAGTTTATACAATATTTTCATTAAGCTTTCCTCCTCTTTTTCGATGTACTTTATATGGATATTTTTCAGCAGGTCTTTAAATTCTTTAATTGTCACTTTTTCTTTCATTTTTGGATCAAAATGGCTTATTTTCTTCAAAATTCCCTTTTTAATGTCTTTCACTCTTTCGATGTTCCACTGGATCGCCTGATTCGTCAGTTCCTCCAACGGGTCAAGCTCCTTCTCCTCATCAATTCTGTTCTTCTCCTCATCCATTCTGTTGTTTCGCTCATCAATTTTGTTGTTTCGCTCATCAATTCTGTTGTTCCCCTCATCATTTCTGTTATTCTCCTCATCCATTCTGTTGTTCCCCTCATCAATTCTGTTGTTTTCCTCATCAATTTTATTGTACCGCTCATCAATTCTGTTGTTTCGCTCATCTTTTTCACCCCCTTGTCTCATTTTCCCCTTCTGATTCAATTGCCCATTCAGGAATTGCAAGATGAAGTTAAAATTTGGTGGAAACATTTCAGTCAACCTTTTGTTTGTTAAATATAACACTTTTTTTTTCTTTCTTTTTCTTGCTTTTCTCCCTCTCATTCTTTCTTTTAAAACTTGAATGATTACATCTAGTACGATGAATGTATTGAGTGTTGGGACAGCAGTATTATCACACAAAAAGCATTTCATTCGTCCAAATAACTATGGGGGATATGCATAATTTGTGTGTACATAACAATAGTGGAACACACCAGATTGTGATATAAAACAAAATGTCCTTTTATTCTATTTGGAGATTATCAAGTTAATTAATTATGCGTGTTTTTAAAGTAATAGCAAATATATACCACACAGTGTCATTTGTCAGGTAAAGAAGAAACAAAAAAAAAAAAAGTTCTCTTTTATACGAAAATGAATTATATAAAATGGAATATGCACATATGTGACGTTATCTCAGGTAAGGTGAACTTCAACACAAATTGCACTGATTTAAAAAAAAAAAGAAAAGAAAAAAAAAAAAAAAAAAAAAAGGAGATTTACTATTCCACCTCCCTCCGCCCCCACAAAGTGTGGGCTTTTCTTCCTCCTCCCTACTGACACATGCAACAATGTTCAATTTAAAATAGAAAATCCCAAATGACATATTTGCCTCTTTTAAATAATATTATTCAAAAAATAAATGGAAGAAATAATTATAAATGACTGTATTTTCAATATTAACATTAGAAGTGGCATGCTTCGAATGATGATAATGTTGTTCTTGTTGAATAACGGGAAATAACTGATCCATGGAAATTTCTTTTATTCGTTTTTCGTTCAACAATTTAATCACAAATGAAGGAAACATTTCATGGTATGTTTCTTCATTTATGTAATTTACATTTTTCTTTCTAATGATTTTTTTGAAAATGTAATAAAACTGCAAAATGTTGTACAGGTGCCTATGATCCTTATTCTTCCCATTCTTGTGACGCAAAAAAAATTTTTCCTTACTCATTAATTTTATATATTTAAGTGATAAGGCTAAAACAGTGTACATATCCATGTGCAATTCACAGGAATTATTTATTTTTATATTTTTTTCTCTATCCCACCCCGTGGGGCTAAGACTGATTTGAATAACATCAGAGCTCGTATCAAAACTTTTGAATTTGCGATGATGTTGACAACTCCTTGCGTTTTCTTCGTTTTCCACGCTTTCCCCATTTTGTGACTCCCCACAAATTGTAGAATTGCCATTTTGCACAGCCCTCAAAGGAAGGTACGGTGTTTGTTTTTGTGTCTGTGTCTGTGTGTGTGTTTTTTTTTTTTTTTTTTTTTCCGAAGATATGGCAGAAAGAAACATGACGTAGAAATTTATACAAGATAAGAATTTTGCTTCTTGTATATATGCACGATCAGTCCATGCGCACAAATGGAAGGATGTGGAAGTTAAATTGTGTAAATTTTTTATACGCTCATTTGAGTAAGCGATGTAAAATGTTAACATGGTATAGGTAAATAAATGAAAGAGTTCCAAATTGTTGTTCAGAAAATCTTGACAATTGGTGGACATCAGAATAAATAATTTTTTACAAAAAATGAAGAAAAGATTTATAATTATTGATATGTCTAAATAATATAAAAGAAACCTTTTTATTAAATAAGATACCTTCTCTTGTTTGATGAAGTTAGCATTCAGATGGTTCATTAAATATGTGATATTCTTTAAATTATAAAATATATATGAACTTGTGCTTATGTGCACTAATTTTGTTATTGTTTCATATCGATGATCCAAGGATAATATATTTTTCATAAAACAATTCATTTGCAAACATGCTGTTAAAAATTTGCACATATTTTTAAAAAGGTACAAATAGGAATACCCTTTCTCAAAAGCATGACATGGCATACTATCTTCATTTCTTGTTATTTTTTTTTCTTTACAACTCTGAGTTAAATAAAACAAATTCGTTATTTCAGATACATGAAACACTAACATATCAATTAACTTTTCATCAAAATAGTATAAATTCACACAAGAATTTGTAAGAAGAGCTATATATTTGAGACTTATTTTAACCTTTTCATCTTCAACGCAATCATTCGATTTTCCATTACTACTTGTTGTTGTTTCATTCCTTTTATACAAATCCTGTACACATTCCTCCAAAAATTTTATATCACCATCAAGGAGGTGAATAATATTTAACCCTTTCTCATAAAAAAAACATTTTAAATTGTTTTTATACCTATACAACCATTTAATTAAATCTCCATTTGGATGAGAATAATCTTCTGTTGTAACATTCGGAGGTCTTTTATCAACCCCTTCTCTTGTGTATTCCTTGTGTGTTATTCTATTACTTTTTTTCACCATATTTCTATGTCTACTTAATGCCTTTTTCTTCCCTTTATTTGCACACAGACTATAATCAACGAATAATGCATCATCTACATGGATTACTTTATTATCTGACGTCATATCAAACATCTCGGTTTTCTTATCCTCTTTTGATTCATCTATTTGATAAATTTTATTTATATACTCAAGTACTTTGTCTGATGTCTCTCCAAACATGTTGCTATATCTATTCAAGCATACATTTCGTAAATTTTTTATTTCTCTATATTTTGTTAATTGTAAATCATTTGAGAAATTCACGCCTTTTATCCTAACATGTCTCTTGGGGATCACCTTTTCCGTGTATCTCTCACTTTGGTACATTTCTGCAACGGGAAATTAGGCGGGGTGGAAAAGCGGCAAATTGGAAAAGCGGAAAATAGGAAAAGGGCAAAATGGAAAGCCGCAAACCGGGGAGGAAAAAATGTCCGATTGCGTGGGTGGGAAAAATTGGCCCACTCTTACCGTCGAAGTTCCTGCGGAAGAGCCTGCGGTTGTGCAGGCGAATTAGGGCTGGGTGAAAATTTCCGAAAATTTTTGCAACAATAGAGTTTTGTTTTGTTCTTCCTATCCTCTCGTGGGACCCTTCCTTCAGGGTTACACAATTTCCTTTTCTGGGGTTCTTAAGCAATTTGCTTTTTCGAAACAGATCCACGTTTAGGTACTTTAAACTGAGGATTTTGTCTTCTTCATCTTTTTCTTCCTTATGCAAATTTGATTTTATTTTTTTCTTTTTCAAATTTTCAAAATTTAATTTTTCATTCTCCGGGTACACGAATCGCATACAAGATTTTCTTCCCTCCCTGTGAGCAGAGCCCTGGTTCTGAAGGAAACGTTGGCACTCACTTTGGCACTCACGTTGGCAATCACTTTGGAGGCTGACTTTACATCCACTTTCATAGCCACCTCGCCTTTTGTCCAGACTGTGGCCACCCTTAATTTCATCATTTTTGCTGTAGCCCTTGGTTTGCTCTTTTGATGGAAGTAAATAGTTCATATCTGCACTGAGCTCAGAGGAACTTTTCTTCAATCCTAGCGTAGAATTTAATTCATTTTTAATTTTCTTAATAGTGTCATGTATCGTCACAAATTTGGTTTCCTCTATCCCTTGGTGGTAGTATTCTTTATGTCTGATATTGCATAGGGAAAAAGAATTAGTTAGACTACTACTCGTATCACGGTTCATAAGCAAACAAAGATTTATCATTTTGGATAGACGTATGAGTAACGGCATACTCCTGAACCCACATATTCCTAGATACAGAAACAAATTAAGATACATTTCTATGTACTCCAGACCATACGACAGTTTGTTCCCATTTGGAGGTTTTGCTATCTCTACTTTTTCTTCCATTATGTTAGAAATGTTTATTTTCATTTTGACCTTTTGTTCATATAAATGTAGTGGTAAATGAGACAATTCGTTGATAGCTTTCTTTTTCTGTACTCTTTCTCCACAATCATTTGGGCGAATCCCTTCTATCATGTTCGCCATCTCAAAATTCGTCTTTTCAAACGGGTTACAGTGGGAATAACCAGAAGAACGTCCTATATCGTCTACTTGCCTCTCATGGTTTGTGAAGAATGGTCTCCTCTTCTCAGATCCGTAATTATTATGTAATAACCCTTTGGACGAATAAAAATAAATATGTTCATTCTGCAAATGGGGACTTCGTTCCCGTTCGTTCGATATTTCCATTCGTCTTCTTCCTCCGCCTTCTCCTATTCCCACCCCCACTGCACCCTGTATGTAACGGTCACAGTTAAGAGTAGCGTGCCTCCACTTTGGAAAGTATGTACCCATGTCAACCTCATTATCGGGAGGCACAAATTTATCGAAAAGGAAATAAAAAAAACGTTCATCAAAATAATTTAAAAGTGTTATCATTTTTACAATGTATACTATATCTGCATAACTATAGTCATAAAAATTTGCACTTACAACAGTTAGGAGTTTTTTTAAAATAATCGTGTCTTTAAATTTTACTCTTTTTAACATTTTCAAAATAGGAATAACAGAATTTCGCGATAGATCTGATTTAAATTTATCTACATAATTTCGAATAAATACAAAAAAGGTTTGTTCCATGTGGACATGATTTTGTAGGAGGATATTAAAATAGTTAATGAAATTTACTTGACACATGGAATCGAAATGCCTTTCTATATTTTTATGAATTGTTCTTATATAATCAAAATTGTATTTATTATTTTCTTCATTTAGAACAATTTTTAACAAAAGAAAAGTATTTTTCAATGATAAATGACTTGAGTAATAACAACACATATATAGCAACGTATCGTATGTCTTATTCTTGATATTCCCCTTATTTAAAAAAAACAACACCATAATAATATACTTCAAATCTTTATGGTATGCATTCGTTTCTTCTTCAAGCATGTTAAAAATAAAGAAATTATTGTCTTGTATTTCATCTTCACAGTAGTTAAATAATTTTGTATATACATGTATATATTTCATAGTTGGGATATAATTAAGTATACTACAAAAATGGAGGTAATATGATATGTTTTTTTTGGATCCTTTATTTAGTTTACATAACCAGTAAAAATATTCACTTGTACATTGAAGGAAAGGTAAATTTTTATATTTCCTCTTAGAAAATATTTTCAAAATAAATAATATTTCATTGTCGTAAAATTCACGTATATTATTCATTATATATTTTGTTATAAATCTATACTTCCCCAAGTCATCATTCGGTTGCAACTGCTTTATATATTTCAGAATGTACGCTTTATTGTTGTATATGTTCTCTTCTGTCCCTATTACACAACCCTCGACCTTGCGCAAGTCGTCTAAACTTCTTTCATTAGTAATGCAATTATTTACCTTGTATAGTGATTCTTTTTTCATTCTAGTCCTTTCTTCCCATGGTGCCTTTTCTTCTTTTCCTTCTTTCATTCTAAGTTGTGCATTTCTTCCATCATCATGTTCTCTTGTTATGGAAGGAACTACCTGTGATGGAGGATCATTTCTCCACACCCTTTTTGGTTCTTCAAAAACTCCGTTTTTACATTTTTTCGATAATTCTTCCCTCTTCTTGGCTATTAAATCGAATATACTACTACAGTAGTTATCCTTAGTGGAAAAATGCAAAACCCACTTTTTAGCCCCTAGTCTTTTTCCCACTAACCTTTTGGAATCACACCTATTCGTGACATTTATTTGTGTTGTTACTAAATGTTTCATAATTCATTTGTACGCTGTTCTCTGTGTTCGACTAGTTTCTTTTTTTTTTTTTTTCTCTCTCTCTCTCTTCTGAAAAGTTGCGTTAAAAAAAAACAAAAAAAAAAAAAAAAAGCTGATCACAATAAGTTAAACTTATAAGGTACATACATACGCATATATGTGTAGATACGTATGGGTGTGCATTTTTTACATACCATGTAAGGTTTTTCAAACAATTTGTTTTAGCACCTTTACATGTACTGTGCAACCTCTATCGACAATTCGGTTCAGAAAATCTCCAAAGAGAAAAAATATAGAGAGAACATTCACACAAAATGGAAATGTTTCGACATCGCTATATACGACAATGTAGAGTTTCGACAAAAATTCATATTGACCCATCAAAATAAAATGCCCATAATTAATTAAATATCACACACTACTCCTCTCAACCCTACTTTTTAACGACTTAAGCGTAACAACGCACTTGCAATTGTATTCTTAACATGGATTAAGTATCATATAGATGTAACTCTTCAAAATTGCAACGGGTTAACAATTTGGGGAAAAAAAAAAAATCACCTGTCGTATATTTTTCCTACATTGAAATACAAAAAACTTGAGTTAGTGGGAGGAGTAAACATAAAGTTAACACCTGAAATTGTTTAAACAAAGTATATATCATTCCATTTTAATTTTATCTGTATACGTTGACTTAACCGATGTATTACGTGAAAAACACTTATCGAACAAAAAAAAAAAAAAAAAAATTTATACCCATTTTAAGTACTGAGAAAAGTATATGCAAAACAAATAGCTATAGAACAAGGGCTATAAAATGGGTGTACTTTATCCCATCATGGCAGAATTTAATGTTCAATTGTGGGGTTTCTTTTTTTTTTCTCAACAAAAGTCAGTTAATTTGTGTTGCGTCTCTTGTAAAAAAACAGTTAATTGTGCGTGAATTGCATAGAAGCATGCAAAGAGGGAAGTAGTACAAATTGGTTTACTTATAGATTGGTTGACGCACACATTGGCTGGCTCACAGATTGGTAGGGTTTTTTCCGGAATCTCGCCTCACAAAAGAAATAAAATATAATGTGTCGCATAGACGTTTTATAAAAGCATCACAAATTACAAAAACATAATTTTTGCTTCCATTGCCAAAAGCAAGAAGGGGAAAAAGTGGATCATAAGGGGACACATATATATATAGGATAGACAAAATGGAACAATGCAATATCCAAAGCAGAGCATCAAAACAAAAAGGGTTAAACAAAACCTAAACAGAAGAAGAAACGAAAAAAAATAAAAAAATTAAAACTCGAAAAAAAGAACATTTCTAAAATCAAATTTAACGTAAAATGAATTCCCTCGTTATTTGCATCTTCAAAATTCTAAGAGATAACAACGGAAGCAGCAACAACGGAAGTAGCAACAACGGAAGTAGCAACAATAAAAAAAAAAAAAAAAAAAAAGTACATATATATATGTGTGCAAATGTGTGTGAATGCACATCTATATATATATATATATATATGCAAGTGTGCGTGCAAAACGGGCCCACTTACGGTGCATTAGAAGGAGACACCAAATTCGCACCCATGGAGAGAAGGGTTGACAAATATGAAAACATAAAGAAAAGGGGGCTCATAAAAAGTATGATCCTTCCTGATAAAAAACACATATATAATATGCATACCACAGATATCGCAACTGTAATTTTAAACTTTTTACATAAAAATGTGAAATAGAAAAAAATGGTGTGAGAGAGAGACATGACAAAAGGAGAAATGATAATATGCAAAAGTTATCGCTTTGTATAGACAACTAATCATGGCGTTAAAAACATAAAAAATGCAAGGCCAATGATGTTTTAACGTCACAATTCAAATCGAAAGGTTGCTTTATCATTATCAATTTCTATGGGTAGACTTAGATAGATTCTTGCATGTGAACCCACAGCAGAACAACAGGTAAGAAGCATACAGGCACCAATATAATACAAGGAATATAATACGAAAATTTCATCGGTCAAGTATCAGGGAGATAATCACATCATTAACAACATGGAAAAAACTTCTTGGGCTTAATTTTTCTCTTGTTCACAGCAGGCATTTTTCTGATACTACATGTATGTTCCATTTGAGGAGTAAGACCACTCATAGGTTGCTTTTGATTCATCTGTTGCATAAACATCTGAGGATTATTCATATTTTCAAATATTGGCATCGAATATGGTAAGTTATTATAATTATTATTAGGCATCATTGTATTGAAATTTCCATTCGGGACTTTAAAATTATTTGAATATATCATATGATCTGTATCTGTTGTTCTTAAATTATTAACATATTCAGGAGGAAAATTATCACCTGCATTTTGATTCATATACATTAGGTCTCCTGCAGTGTTATAATCATCTAAATTAATTGGAATTTGATTAGGCTGAATTGTATTCTGTGTATTGTTATAATTCATTAAGTTTCTATAACTGTCAAAACCGGTAGTAGTTTCTAGGCATGTCTTCATTCCTTGCATGCTTAAGGAATCATTTGGATCTGCATGTATGACACTATTCATTGGCATTGTATTGTTATAGGTGTTTAATCCCTGATCTAATTTAAACTGTGGAATCATATCAGCTGGATACTTTTCTCTGTTTATCATATAATCACCAGAGTTGTTGTAACCATTTGTTAACACTGTTCCGTTCATCATGTAATTTGTGTTCATGCTTCCATGGCCCAAATCTGTTGTGTTCATGTCGTATTTCTTTTCCTCAGCAAGCCGGGAAGAATTCAAAACGGTTCTCATCCCATATGTTCCGTCCATTTTCATCGTTTTTTTTTTTTTTTTTTTTTAGTTCGTTCGTTTGATCGTACTTTGTTCGAAATGTAGTTAAAATTCGAAAACGAAAAGGTAATAGAGAAAAGTAAAAATGTATCAAATTCTTAATACAACAAATTTAATAAGTTCTACAAAAAAAAAAAAAAAAAAAAAAAACGCAAGCAGTTAAGAAGTGAAAAACATCTCTTGCATTTTTTTGACTAAACATCATTTGCAATATATTATTTTATATGAAACAAACTGGACATGTAGGTACATGTGTGTATATATCCATACATACGAGCAAATTTGCAATGAAAGGGTGCCAAAGAGTTGCGACATTCAAATTCAAAAAAAAATCTAAGTTCGAAAATGTATGTGTGTGGAAGCACGCTTGTGTACCTATATATGCAGCACAGAGTTCTTTCCTGTGGAAATAATTGAACACAAAGAACTAGAAGAATTATAGAAACAGTTTTTTTTTTTTTTTAGAAAAAGAAAAAAACGCAGTAATTGTAATGTGGCTTGTTTATTATAAAAAAAAAAAAAAAAAAAAAAAAGAAAAACATGAAAAACATGTAAAAAACAGGACAGGGAAGGCACAAATAATAAAACGAACTTTTTTCCTAGTAAAAAAGTTTACACATTTTCAACTCTGTGGACTCGTCTGGAAATAAAAATGGTGAGTTCTTATAAATGTCACAGAAATGCATAAATTAAATCATTTTTCAACAAAATGTTCTTTAGAAATTGAGTTGCTTTTAATATATTTCCACTCACAAATATATAGACAATATAATTATAAAGAGTATTAATTTTTCTAAGATCTTTGCACACACAAAAATTTAAAAAGAATTAATACACATATGTGTGATGCGTTTTTACAAGCATCATATGAATGAGCAAGGTATTTTGATCACTGTTTAAAAAAAAAAAAAAAAAAAAAAAAATCACCTTGTACACATAGTTAGCTTAAAGAACGTGTTTTTTTTTTTTTTCTGCCTCTTTACTTTTCATGGTATAATAGGATGTAGAAATATATGCTTAAAAAATAAAAGATGCATAAGTGAACAAATCTATAAATTTTCTTCATACATTTTTATTCTTCGTATTAGCGAAAATACATGTATAACTTGATATGACCTTTTTCTTATGTACATATGGTCTTAATTTACACTGTGACAACTACATTAAATACTTGCACCACTAGGGTATTCTTTAAAAAATGTGTATGCTCGTGCAGAACAGGTGCATGTGTGCATGTAAAACGAGATGACTGTTCATATAATTTGTTGTCATTTCTATTTAAATAGCCAAAGGGGGTGTAACATTTATACCTTAATTTTTAATAAATTCCTAGCTTTTTTTTTTTTTTTTTTTTTTTTTTTTTTTTTTTTTTTTGCAAATGAAAAAGCTACTTACTCTTAATACTTGTAGCTTTTTCAAAAATTTTTCAGAATGTTGGGAAATGTATTTATTACATAGTAATTTTAATCTTAGGTGTGTATTTTTTAAAAAGAATATAGAGGTTAAAAATGTTTGCGTAGAAAGTGACTTTGTATCTCTATAAAATACACCTATTTCAGTTCTTTTAAAATATATTTTTTCGCAGTATATTATGATAGCTGCATGCAGCTATTTTTACATTTTGCAAGGTGTGAATTGTGCAGAAAATTAAAATAATAATAGATGAGCGAAATACACAATGGGAGAAGAGCGATGCAAAAGGAAGAAAAATAAATATTTAAATCCTTCATTAGCACCTTAAAGAAATAGGTATATATGCAAGAAGTTTTATGGAAAACACTTGTTTAACGATAATTTGAGGTGACAACATAGGGTATATATTTTTTAGGGTTTCAAATAGTTAAGCATAAAAAAAAAAAAAAAAAAAAAAAAAAAAGTAAAATAAATAAATAAATAAATAAATAAATAAATAATATTTTACGAAATAAGTCTATAAAAATAGGCCCATTCGAAGTTTTCTGAAAATTCTATTTAAGGATCTTTAAAAATAAAAATTAAAGCATTAGACACGCTTTTTGTCAAATGTGTACACAAGCATAGTGAATGCGCAAGGCGCTAAAAAAGGACAAGAACTATTAGCACCTTTTTGAGCTTCCTATTATAAATTATTTTGCTTTTTAATTTCCATTTTTGCTCATTTTTCTTTATCGGTATTCTAGAGATAGAAGTTCTCAAAAAAAATAAAAAAAATTATTTTAACGTTCCCCTCTTTTATGTAAAAAAAAAAATAAAATATCCTAATGCTTTGTTGAACAGTAAGTACGCATCACTATTTTGAAATCATTTCGTGTTCCTTTTTTGCTATTTGTTAAAAAAGTTTTTTTATGAAGCATAAGAACAACAAATATTAACAAAGAAATTTTATAAAATATGCTCATTTAATGATCTACATGTAGATGTAGAAGTACACATGGTAATGTTTTTATCGGTTCATTGCATAGCCTGCAAGGGCTTATTATAACTATTATTTTTCTTTTTCTTATTTTCCGCTACTAATTTCCGTACATTTAAATATTTTATTTTTTACATTTGGGGAATGCTTATGGTATTGTTATTTTAATTTTTTTTCTTATTTTTCTTACCATTGTTTCCAACGCTTTTTATGGCTTTTTGTTATTTATTTATTTTTTTTTTGTTTTTGCCATTTTATATAATTATTCCACGATTTTATGTAATTATTCTACGATATTATGTAGTTATTCTACGATATTATGTAGTTATTCTACGATATTATGTAGTTATTCTACTATATTATGCAATTTTTTTTACCTTTTTTACCAGTTTCAACATTCTTCCCCACCTTTTATTTTGTTAAATAAAATGTGCACACATTTACACTCTGATTTTATGAGAAATCATCAAGAATAAAAAAGCTTTTTGACACTTGCATAAAAGCTTTTCATATATAATAATAAAGAATGAGTAAAAATGCTATGTAGAAGCTCTGGAAGAAGACCTAAGATACTTTTTTATATCATTCATGTTACGTTTGCTAGCCAAATGATTTGCATATGACTTATTTTTGCTGCTATGTACGACCCACACTCTATATATTTATATAAATATTTAAATACTTGCATATACACCTATGTATGTAAGCATTTGTTACATTTAGCAAAAAAAAAAAAAAGAAAAAGAAAAAAAAAGGACACATGCAATGTTTCAATATAAAACACATACTTGTAACATTTGAAATAAATATTTATTCTTTGTGTTCCATTTAAAAAAAAAAAAAAAAAAAAAAGTTTATTTTTTTAAATTCATACAAGCCCATTTTTCTTTATATTATTAAATGTGTAATTATAGAAGTGGAAAAAAAAGGGAAGAGGCACAAGTTTGGGCCACACATTTTCTGCTAATATATGTATGCAGAAAAATATATTATTCTTCCTATTTTTTTTTTTTCAAATAATTCATTTCTTCCTCTTCTCTATATTGTGTAGTATATAAAAAAAAATCTAAATAACAATTATTGTTGATAAATATGTTTACATACAAAAGTCTATATATTATTTATTTCATTAAATAGAAGTAGAATGTGTATTTTTTTTTTTTTTCCTAATCTAAGTCCATGTGTAAGACGCTTTGATTTACACAAATGTATATATATATATATATATATATATATATATGTATATACATTTTTGTTAAGTTTTTTTATTTAAAATTGTTCGTCTAGCAAATTTTCCCATTTTTTATTGAATTTTTTTTTATTGTACTTTACTTTTGCTGCAAAAGCATTTGAAGAAGTGCATAGTAGAGTTCACTTGTGCTGCATAATTATTTAAAAGTTATGTAGCAGACCACATTCAATATCTGAATCTCTCAAATTATTCTTACTCAGAACATTCAGAACCTGATGGGACAATTTTCCCACTGATAGAATGAACACATAGTGCATGTATATCCTGAGTAATTTTTTGTTTATACTATATTGTAAGCCTTTAAAAAAAAAAATAAATATATAATGTAATAAAATATGGTAGAATGAATAGGACAATAAATCATCCCAACAGTGGCAACACATAAATTTGTACACGGAAGTGTCCTTATCCATAATAACAGAATAGCTTATATATATATATATATGAAAAACTTTCGAATGCTTTTAATTATTAAAAAATACATATACCCCTTGTAAGGGAAGAAGACTAATAAAAAGTTTTAATGATAATGGTGGAAACTATATGTCTTCATGTATACACATTGGGATTCTGCTATTAGTTGTACATACGCAGCTGCATGCTTTGCACATTTCATGATTAACGAATTAAAGTCGTAAGGAGTAGTGTTAATTTCCCACTCCTTTCTTTCGTTTCCTTCGACTTGTATTGATCTCCCTATTTTGTTCATTTATCCTGCACCTATTCATCATATATTCAGCATCTGGTCATCGTCTATTCAGCATCTGGTCATCGTCTATTCAGCATCTGGTCATCGTCTATTCAGCATCTGGTCAGCATCTATTCAGCATTTATCTGACCACTTCTGGAACAAAAACATTTCATCCCAAATGGATCTTGTAAAAAAAATGCCCCCAGATGATGACAACACTCGTTGCAAAAATGTTAAAAGGAATTACAATGCAAATGCCTCAAATGATAAACATTCACATGAAAATTACCAATTTGATGAGCATGGAGAAGATAATAAATGTAATTCTGAGTTAGAAAACAAAGCAAAAGGGAAAAAAATTTTATTAGATAACGTCATGTCGATGGATAGCAAAAAATGGGAAAGATTTGCACGAGAGGGGCATTACATATCTAACAAGAACAAAAATGAGCATGTTCCTAAACATTTACAAGAAAATAATTTCAATAATATAAATGAAACAAATTCAAAGAGAAATGTAAAATTAGAGGATGAATATTCGTTCAAATGTAACAAGAAAATGAATGACCTACATGTTGAAAATTGCACAGAAGGAAGAAAAACATACAGTATGCTTAGAAAACTGATATGTGCGTACAATTCAAATAAAAACAAAAAATCAACTCCGAATGGTGATATTTTCCAGAACGATGCAGATCAATCCAATTTTTTTATTTCAAAATCGTGCCTGAACAAGTCAGGTGAAATGGAAAAGAAAAAAAAAGACTCGAATATGAACCTAACTAATATATTAAATAATAATGACCGAAATTGCAGCTATTTTTTGAACTCTTCAGAAGACAAAAATGCAAAGATGGAAAATGTACTGGATTATTCTCTCAATAAAGTAGAAAAATTTTTTCAAATTCAGGAAATACGAGAAAAATGCAAACTTCACGACATCAAAACAAGCATTTTTTTAAATGGTGCATATAACAGTGACAAAAAAGGTATCTATGAAATCGAACAGATAAACAATGATATTCCCAACAATGTGTCACAAAGGAAAAATTTTTCTGAAAAAGAAAATCGAAACAAGAGACAAGAAACACCTGACAAATATTTTACTCCTTCAATATCCAGTCTTGAAAGGAAAAGTGAAAAATATACAAACCAAGTAAATGAAAATTTACCCCATACTAATCATACACAAATTGAGAGAAAACATTCATTCTTCATGAAAAAAAACAAAAACTGTACTCTGAAAAAAGAACTTGAAAACATATCACTCAGCAGCAGTGAGGAGGTAACATATGTGAATAAAAAAGATAGAGTGTGCAATGATGATAGGAGCTCCACGGAGAAGAAGAAAGCTAATGGGCATTTACTGGATGATGTGAAGAGCCGAAAAATTGGAAAAAATGTAAGTAAAAGAGTAGATGGCGAGACACACCCAGTTGAAAATGATGAGACAAATTGTGTAGCAAATGATGAGGCAAATTGTGTAACAAATGATGAGGCAATCCTGGCTGCAAGTGATGAGGCAGATCCGGTTGCAAGGCGCGATGGTAAAGGAAAAAGTAACACCATGGGAGACATTAACAATTACTGTATGTATGCTAATAACTTACATGATATGATTAACACATTCGTACGAGTGCATAACAAAAAAATGTCAAATCATCTTAATGTTCATGTTAATGGAGACTTGGCACATAACGAAACAGATTATTCTTCTAAAACCCATAGAATAAACAATAATGCGAACACAGGTACATATTTTATTCATCAAGGAAGTACTATTACTAACAGAAAGGATATTCTTCACAGTATCAAAGAAGAACAAAAGCTTATAGAATCAAAGGACAAAGAAGAAAGGGATTTCAATGGTTCTAAAAATTACTCAAATAGTAGTCAAAATGATTGGCAATTTTTGTGTACTTTTAATAGACACAAAAGAAGAAGACAAAGAAGAAAAGGTGAAGAAAATAACATTCAAGATGTTATTTCATTTCAATCACAGCATCAGATTGACAAAATTGGGAATTATTTTAGAAATTCATCTATGGATCTTACTACCACTTTGCATAACACTAATTGTGACGTAGATCTTTATGAAAACAACCCTATTAGCACACCGAATGGTTCCTCAGGTTGCCCAGAAATATACAAGTCGCTTCATAATCAGCATCAATGTGTATATGATAAATGGACATATTGTGAATCCAAGTTGAGATCAAATGGTAAAAATGAAATTCAAAAACTAAAAGAAGAAAAAAAAAAAAAAAAAAATGTTTTCAATGCAGACGAAGCATATGGAAGGGAGGTACCTTTGCTGTATGCCCAAATCAGGAACCTAGAAAATGGCAATGCACTGAGCCGTTATCTCAGAAACAGAAGCTCCAAAGAGGAAAATGACACAAATAGTGTTAAATGTACTGGTTATATAAGCGGTTCCAATTACACAGATCATGCATTCGCTATGAACGCAGCAGAAAACAGTAACAAGAATAACGAAATGGTCCAAATGCATGAAATAAGTAAAACGGACAAGATAGGCGAGATGAAAGCGGATGAAAATACAGGAAATATAAAAATCAGGCCGTGGGCGCTATGCGAGGGAAGAGTAAACTCACGCATTGTCCATTATAATAGTTACTCTAACCTAATAAATGGTGATTGTGAACAGATGGAAGACAAGGACAATTGGGGCTATGAGTCTCGTGAATCTTTTGGAAAAAACGAACAGTATAATATCAAAAGTTGCCAAATTTCTCATAAAAATATCCCTGTTTTTCATGGAAAAAGTGGACATTACCCAAATAGTACCACATGCACAGAGGTAAATTGCACGAAAGAAAAACCAATTTTCAATTATCACACTGAATGGTTAAGCTTTTTAAAAAAATATCAGACAAAAATGAATAATGAAGAAATTACCAACCTTAACAATACTTGTAAGGAGAGTGTACTAAACAATAAGAATGATTCTATCTTTCAGGACATGGAAATTGAGTATTCAAATTTGAATGAGAGTGAACAAATTAGCTCATCAACCTTTGCTCCCATCCATGGAAAGGAAATACTTGGTATTAAAGGGAAAATAACTGAAGCTGAGAATTATTCGATGAATGCACGTACGCTTAGTTTGGATTCAGGGAGAAAACGCATCCATTTGGTCCAATTGATCCAGTTGGCGAAAAACACAAACAGAGACAAATTTGCTAACAGGTGGATAGCAAAAAAGGTAATGAAAAATGAGAAGAAAAATGAGAAGGATCAAAAACTAAATGAATCCCTACCTTTGGGAAATAATGACATGATGAAACTTGAGAAGGAAAAACAAAAGAATTCGAAAAATGATGAATATTGCTATTTGAACTTGAAAGATGATTCCGCAAGTAGACAAAAAGAAATTACCAACTTGGAGAAGAAAAGAATAATGAGTAGAGTCAGTAATTTTCAACAAATAAATGATGAAGAAATGAAAAAAGAAGAAAATAAAATATCTCACGAGGACTATTTTTCTTTTTATTCAAATGAAGATGTGAAAAATTGGGAATCTACTAAAGATGAAAACAGTTACATTATACATAACTCTGACACAAAATTGGAATACTCAATCAGGGATGGAACCGAAATATACAATTTATCAATGTGGCTACCTGAGACAAATTCTCTTGAAGGTAACTTCCATTTTGGAGATGCTCCATCGTTGAAAGTTAATGAACAAGAGTTGAAAAAAATGAGGAAAGAAAATGTAAACAACAATTTAGATAATCAGATATCATACGAGGTCAACTCAAATGGTTATAATAACAAGCACATGTTGAGAAAATCTTCATATGAGAGAGGAAAAGTGAGTGAAATTTCTGATCACAATATTTACAACGATCGTAAAGGAAGTATCGAGATAGCCAATTCCAGATGTAATATACTTCTCGATAGTGTAAAAAGTAAGAAGTTTTTCACTTCTGAATGGGAACATACCTTAAATAAACCCAATAGAAGCAGTGTTGATAATGACCTGGGAAAATTATATGGAAATTCTTATAATCAACAAGAAACAAATACATCCAATGAGGAGACCAATAATGGAAATGCTAATTTGTTGAGAGAAAAAACTGATCCATACTGTGCACTAACAATAAATAATAACGAAAAGAAAATAGACAGATGTAGAGAACCCAAATTAAATTATCTCAAATGTTCAGGCGAACATGGACAGGATGATCCAAATTTTGAAATTAAGAATAATGGAACGAGTTGGTGCAATGATTCAGAAATTGGGAATAGCGAAAAAGAAATGTGTATATTGATAAATCATCTACATTCTAGAAGGAAAAAAAAAAACATATCCGAAGGGTGTAAGACATATCATATGTCGAAAGAAAGTTTCAACGAACTAGTATGTAAAGAAAATGAAATATTGTTAAAGAATGGAGATCTAAAGACGAGTAATGGAAACAGTTCTAATGCAAACGCAAACACAAACCCATGTGCAAATGGAGTTTCAAGAGCTGAGGGGGATCTCCAAAGGAAACAATTCCATTTGGAAGGAAAAACATCAAATCAAGATGATCCCAATTTTGACCTGAACAATGACTACAGGTGGAAATTATACCATGTAAAATACCCACAAAATATAAACTTCAAAAAGGCCTTTTTTTTTATCTTCAAAAATAAAATGCATATTTACGGTGCACGAAAAAACAATTTTATTATTCCGGATCGGGTATTTAGAGTCCACAAAAATGAAGTAGAAGATATACGTACGAATGGCATAATTCCCAAGTTGTATTCCAGAATTTATTTTGCATTTGACTCACATGATCATCATGGAAGCGCATGTAAATTCTCCACCTGTACTGAAAACAAAGAGAAAATGAACATCCTAAGTTTGGGTCGAAGCAATGAGGAGAGTGTCTGGAGGAGTAGTTGCATTGGGATCGAAAAGGACACAGGGAAACGAAGAACAGATGAAAACAAATGCTTCTACATCTTTGGAGTCAATGAAAAGAAAGAACTTGATTTATACAGGATGTACAAGCTGAAGTTATGTGGTTTCGAGTGGGAGGAGATAAAAATTACATATAACAGATTACTAAATGTATCAAGGGAAGATTTTTCACTTATTCTACTTAAGGATTGTTTATATATGTTCGGAGGTGTCGTTTTTAGAGATGGAAAATGGGTATGCTGCGATGAATTTTGGATGTGTAACATAAAGAAAAGAAAGTGGAAAATAATAACTGTGGGAAAAATGAAGCATAAAAAAAAATGGGATTCTTGTTACAACTTTGAAGAATTGAATTCGATAAAATATTTTGTAAATTTAACCAAATCATTGTCGAAGAAAACAGAAATTCCAAATCGACATGCTCAAGGTAATTCTCTTGAAGTGGACAACCAGAACATGGCTGACACATGTGGGAGTAATAGTAAAGGCGGTTCTACACGCAAAATGGATGCACCAGATGGGGGAAAACCTGAAGGGTGCAACTCGGAAGAGAATGAAAAAGGGGAAGAAGAAGGAGAAGAAGTAGGAGAAGAAGAAGGAGAAGAAGTAGGAGAAGAAGAAGGAGAAGAAGTAGGAGAAGAAGAAGGAGAAGAAGTAGGAGAAGAAGAAGGAGAAGAAGAAGGAGAAGAAGTAGGAGAAGAAGTAGGAGAAGAAGAAGGAGAAGAAGAAGGAGAAGAAGTAGGAGAAGAAAAGGAAGAAGAAAAGGAAGAAGAAAACCGAGAAAAAAAAGAAGGGAATCAGAAAACTTCAGTCTCTGTAGCACACTACATAGAAAAAGAGCCAAGTAGTAGAGCATGCCACCTATGCATTTTACATCATAACAGAATATATATTCATGGAGGAACTAATTTAACAGAAGAAAAAGAAGATTTTTACTTTTTCGATTTAGAGAAAAAAAAATGGTTCGAGATTGTGCAAGATGGACAGAATAATCCATCCAAGAGATATGGACATTCAGGATGTGTGATCAAAAATAGACTATATGTGTATGGTGGGTTCACAAAGGTTCATAACAAAAATTACCTGAACAATGATATTTTTGAATACGATTTTGAAAAAAATAGATGGAAGCAAATATTCACAATTGATGATTTAATTTATTTAAAAACTAAGCTAATGGATAACCAAAAATGTTATATCCAATTTTTACAATTACTTATACTGAGAAGTTACTATAAAAACGAATTGTCAAAAATTGGAAAATTGCCTTTATACGAATGGAGGTTGGACACGATAGATTCTGCGGAATGCAAGTGCAAGTACAAGTACAAGAGATGTATTTCGAGTACCCTTGTTTTGAGAGGAGACCATGGCCAATTTACAAATAATGAACTCCTTACCCATGATCAAGTTCCTCCAAAGGTAGAAAAAAGCATAAAACACACAGGATCAAATGAAGATGAAAAGACAATCGTGGGAGGAAGGATCAATCGAAAAGGCAAGAAGAATGACGAAAGGGAAAATGGAGAAATAAAAATTGAATGTCCACCTTACATGAAGCTTGGAAATGGTGGGAAAAATATCCTAATGAGAAACGGTAACATAAACATTGTAGAAAATAAATGCACAGAAATGTGGGGAACCACTATGGGAGTTACATCACGGGAATGCACTAACCATGACAAGAAGGAAAAGATCTTGGGAAATGAAATAGAGAAGAAGCAGCAGATGGGGCAGAAGATGGAGGAGCAGACGGATAACGAAAAGAGGGATACTCATAATTATTATTGTAGAACCAAAAATGATATAGATATAAATATACATTCAAATTTTTTACACATGGAACAAACACAACATTGCAGTGGTGCCATTATCTTACCATACAATATCTTCAGAAATAAATGTCTCTATTTTACTAACTGTTTATATCTAATTGGAGGGTGCGGTTTCGATACCAAGTGCACGAAAAATGAAAACAAAAGTCTTCTACACTACGATAATATTTTTAAAATTAAAATTGATAAACCATTTTATGATTTCTTTAAGCATTATCTGTTTCATATAGATCATTTTTTTTTTGAGTTTATTGAACATCAGAAGGAAGTTCTATATCAATGGTTCAAACATAATGGAAAGAAAAGTGAGCCCATTATGAGACAGGTGCCTGATATGCCAGATGGGAGTAATGAGCCATGGCATCACTTGAATCAGAAAAAAAAAACAACTGAGAAAGAGGCAGAAGAAGAGGAAAAGGAAAATACGTTCCCTAATGAAGCAGTCATCCCTAATGAAGTAGTCATCCCTAATGAAGTAGTCATCCCTAATGAAGTAGTCATCCCTAGTGAAGTAGTCATCCCTAATGAAGTAGTCATCCCTAGTGAAGTAGTCATCCCTAATGAAGTAGTCATCCCTAATGAAGTAGTCCTACCCAATGGTGCAGACTTAGATATAAAAAAAATGGGCAGAGAGTTGAACAATTTGTGCATGTGTATTGCACCAGAGGAGTGGACTCAAGGGGGGAATTTTCAGGAAGAGCTAAACTATCACGTGGATCAAAAGGAGGAGAAATATCGAACTAGAGAAAAAAAAGCAGTGCTCGATGCAACTCCTAGTGCAATTCACAGCGTAGCACAGGAAGTAGATAATGCAACCGACCAAACGACGGACAGCACCACGAATGAATCAAAAAAAAGAAAAAATTTGGAAAGAATGTTTTTACTCGGGCAAAATAAAAAAATGTTTCAACTTTTAATTTTCCTGGTTGATTTGTACCCGAGGTATTCCCACCTGAGGTGTCCCAAGCACTCAGAAAAAGTGGCAACCAATAGATTGCAAAAGCAAAACGATTTTGTGAATCTTTTGCTGGAAAAGGGATCAAATGTAGAAGAGCTTAATTTGAATACCTTCTCACACGACTTGTGCATAAAGAATAGAATGGAAGAAACAGATGAAAACAAATTTATTGGTGGTTCACACATGTGTGGTTCCATTCCAAACGTTCCTTACAAGGAAAATGTCTCTGAAGATGGAAAATTTTTAAAATGTCGTAGAGAAATACAAATCCATTCAAGAGAAAAAACAAAAAATGAGGAAAATCTTCCGTTCATTTATTTTAACAGCAGTAAGAGTATCAATGCAGAGGATGCATGTGGGAGTGCAAACCACAGCAATGTGCAAAATGGTAAAGCAAAATGGCATATTTCCCAGAGTTACGGAAAATACAATGTGCTGGTTGATCAATATAGGGCAGAAAAGGACAGCAAACAGGGCAGCGCATCTCTGAAGAATTTCCTCTATGGGAACCACCACACAATCAATCCCCATAATTGCAATGAGAATTTTCAGGGCAACCAGAGCGAGATAAATGTGAAAACAAATATATATGAAAGTGATCATTATCAAATGCGACAAAAAGAGAATCCAATATATAATCACCCAGATGGGTATTACAAAAGAAGTGACGAACATGTGGTGGATAAGAACAATTTTTTTTTTAACAGAGGTAACAGAAGAGATAACAATTTGAAAGAATATAATGAACATATAAATTTAAATGAGGAAATAACCTACACAAACAGTTCTATGAAAAATACCCATTTATATTTACACAATGAAAAAAAGCACACACAAAAGGATACATGCAACAACGTTCACAATAACTTTACAAGTTCCTATTTTAGAACCCACAATGATGTAGTAGATGACAGTGGGGAGAGAAATAAATTGTCATTTGATTCTTGTGATCACTTGAATTGCAGAGAATACATCCAAGTGTTCGATAAAGAAATAACAAATGATGGATCTTTGGGAAGAAACGAATTTTGCAAATATTTTGAAGGGTATAATTCTATCATTCCAAAACACCTAAACAATAATAATAATGTATATTTAAGTATGGACAAGTCGATTATATACAATTATCTTGAAAATTTTGATGACTTAAGTGATGAGAAATATGCTATGAAAATGAAAATAAGGAGAAACGATATCTACAAATTAATTTACACATACACAAAAAGTGTTGAAATTCAAAATAACATATACTTTAAAATGATCGAAAAATTGGAATATCAAGTTGGACAGTTAATAAAGGAGGGCAAGAGCTTCATAAATACTAACAACAGGGAGAATAGTGGTGATAATTGGAAGAGAGTAGACGAGGGGGACAAATTCTTGAATCCCCACTTTGCAATCAATGAAAACAATTTTGAATCGTTGAAAAAAGAAAATTTATATTTAAAAAAAAAAATACAATATTTTTGCGATGTAACTAATATATATGCTATTAAAATAGAAAAGCTAAATTTGTATATTCAAATTCTGGAACAAAAACATGAGTACTTAATGAACTGTCTGTTGAAGTTAAAATCTGGTTTGTTTAATGAAAGGGTTGCTGATAATGCTTGCAAGAACTTCTCATACTACTTGAAAAAATTTTTCACTGAAGATAACTTTTTTATTCATGAAAAAAATGATAATTTATTCAACAATGGGGATGAAAAAGACAGAATTACCGAGAGTCAAAATTTGGGGTTCATGAATTACGAAAGTTACTTCTGAACGCACGTCTCTGAAAAAAAAAAAACCTTTACTCATTGTGAATAACTCTACAACATGAGTGTTATGTAGTGCCACCGTGTGCTGACACAAGTATCATGGTGTGCTGAGGCAAGTATCATGGTGTGCTGAGGCAAGTATCATGGTGGCCTGCGACAAGCATAATAGCGATGATTTTTGAGGTGTAACTATGTTCTTCCATGTATGGGAAGTATTACAACTATGTAGCTTAACGGGAATGCTCCTGAAAATATAACAAAGAAAAAAAAGGGAAAATGCTGATGGTCAGATAGGAACGTATATACACATAAATACATACATCCACATTAACAAAACATGATTTAGGGTAAAATGATGTTACCCGTTAGAGAGAAATCTGAGAACTAATTTATGATCATTCAAATATGCATGTATCTTGTATTTAACATTTATTCGTTCTCAAATGATCCACTCATTCATGTATGTCTGTTTTTTTTATTTTTTCCTACGCGCATACGCATATATATATATTTATATATGCATAACGTGGCACCTCTTTGTGAAAGCCCTCCATAAGAAATTAAAATATTCTGAATATTTCACATTCTATGAAGTCTTATATAAAAATACATTGTTGATTAATGTTAAAATGGAATGATTATTTTCATTCTCCTTTGGACACTTTTTTATACACTCCCCTTTTCTACACATAAATGTTTATCGAAAAATAAGAAAAATTTGTCTTTAATGGAATGTATTGCATACACCACATTTCAGCATAATCAAAATGATTATGAAGTATTATGGAAAAACAGTACACGTAATTAGGTGTCAATTAGGTGTTTAAGAATTTTTTTTTTTATACCTTACCAAAGAAAAGCTAAGAATTATGCCATCCATCCGAATAAAAGATGAGAGGGGTGTTCATACGTTTATGTAACACTCATTTATCCCATTTGTAGATGGTTACATTTTTTTGATCACGATTTTTTTTTTTTCCCCCCTTCATGTTCATATATATATATATATATATATATATATATATACATTTATTTATTTACTTATTTATACAACGTTTACATTTTGGTGACCTCTCTCTGCTTATAGTACTTGTCTCAACACATAAATTAACCGTGCACCCGATGGAAAAAGCAAAAATCGTCCAAGTGTTATTCTCAATTTTGTGAACAAGAAATAACATTCTTATAGGTATGTAACAGAAAAAAAAAAAAAAAAAAAAAACGTCATTGTTGATATGTTATGATATTCCTTATAAGTTGCACGTCTTTTCAGTATCTTTCACTCCTCTTTTAGGTAACCTTTTTGTTTGTTTGTTCTTTTTTATTTGCTGTGTTTCTTTTTCTTATCTTTCAGGTGTCGAATAGGTCGCTGTATGATCATGTAGCCACAACATGGGGGTTTTGTGACGTCTTTTCTGATCTTCCTTATTTAAGCATTTTTCTAAGTTGTGCTATAAAAAGGTGTAAAAAAAGAAAAACATATATATATATACTGCAAATATTTACATTTTATTTATTCTGTCATTTTTTTTTTTTTTTTTTTTTTTTTTCTCCTTTTTGGGACAATTTTAGAGACAATATAGAGTCGTCTTTTTCCCCTCTGCTCAATTTGCAACCTTTCCAATCATCCCTAAGTCGCTTTGTAGAAAGTAAAGGGAAAGGAGAAAACTTAATTCCTCTTTTTTCTGAATGCAAAAGGGTGGTGGTGGTGGAGATGTATTAAATTGTACATACATGTATGTGTACATATGTATGTATATATATATATGTGTGCTTGCGTGTAAGCCACGAGACATAAATGTGCAGCTCATGCCTCTGTTTACCAGTTGTGAATATCGCCTACTGCACTTTGGTGTTATTTCCTGTGATGTTAAAAACGAAAAAAAAAAAAAATAAATGAAAACTAAAAAAAAAAAAAAGGTATGTGTCTCATTTATCATGCTGCTTATAGAATTCTTCGTGTTTTGCTCATATCATACTTCAAGCATGGCACACTTATTGCCATATCAAGGTTGTTATTTTTACCCATTTCTCATAGTTAAATACAACATTATCTTTGCATGGCCATTTACTGATCCTGTTATGGCTGTTTAAATTTTTGTAAGTGTGTGAATTGGAAAACCTTTTCTTCATCGCCTTTTCTGTATATTCGTAACAAAAGTTACTGATCCTCACACTGAGACAGGATAACATACAAATGATGCGCAAAAAAAAAAAAAAAAAAAAAAAAAAAATGTGCTAAGGGGGAGATAAAGGGGGAAAATAGTTATGTGAGTGTAGATAGGGTCTCTCTTTTTTTTTTTTTTTTTTTTTTTTACTCATTTTCGCCCTCGAATAATATATACTTATCAGAATTCAATTTTTCTTCCATCTCTTTTTTTATCAATTTTATTTTTTCGTTAAATTAAAAATATATATATGTTAAGCCCAGTGTTAGATTTGCTGCATGTTTTTTAACTGGAGTTCCTAACAATTAGAAGAAGCAATTGTATGCAATTTTTACTTGTTCTTGTTCTCATTTTATTATATTTCTTTTTTATGATGTAAAATGTTATGCCAAAGTTTCAAATATCTCAGTAAAATTTTTAACATTTATGAGTAAAATTTTTGTGTTCCAGGTAGCTAAAATGGGCAAATAGACAAAAATGAACAAGTACACAAATTAACAATGCATAAACAAAAAAAAAAAAAAAAAAAAAAAAAAAAAAAAAACTTAATTCTTTACAAGTATTGAATTAAGTTAAAACAAACGAAGATTAAACATTGTTCTTTCTTTTCTTTACTTTTCTTTATTTTATTTCTTTTTTCCCTCATGTTGTGTAAGCATGAAGCATGCATGTAAACACAATTTTACAATAAAACTGTGATATGTAAAAATTTTTTTTTTTTTTTTTTTCTTCTACAACATCATGAGAAATATACGCTACAACCAATGACAATATAAAAAAACAATAAAATAAAAAAAGCGTACACCAAAATGAGCGATAAATTATTTCCTACAAAATTTTATATCAACTGTATGAATATTATTGCATAAACGAATATCAGGAAAATATCCTCATATATATATATGTATATAAATTAATGCGGATGCACAAATTACACATTAAATTTAAAGAATTAATCCTTAGTTTATGTGTTCATTGGACTGGAGGATAAGGGGTGGATGGGACTGTTGATTAAATAAAAACGAAATAATCATGACATTTGTGAATTGTCAATATATATTGTAATAATTCATATCATCTTAACATGTGCTACATGCACGAACTTGTCATACATAATTTTTGTGTGTGCATTTGTGCCTTGCAAATAACTGTGTCTTTTGACATAGTCAACAGGGAATAGATAAAATAAGTGCGTAAGCCAATGGGTCTGGAGGTGACGTAACCTGAAACCATACTTATGGCTATACGTAGGGATATTTTTCATCCCTTTTTATGTACACTTCCCACATTTAAATATGTGCCCTCATGAACATTCCTGCGGAAGAGTTGTAAATTGTGACATGAAGAGAGTATAAGTCAAAATATATCAGGAGAATCTGTAAAGAGTCTATTCTCCTTTGCGATCCAGTATTCATTGTTAAATAAATACATGTCCTTATCCTTATAAATTGGATCCTTGTTTTTGTAGAACCATTTTGGTTTGTAGGAGTTATTGGCTGTATATTTCTTTGAATTCATTCGTTGTTTGTTTTCAAGTCTTTGTTTTTCATTCATAGCAACTTCAATATTTCCATTTTCGTAACTTCTTTGATCCGGTCTAAATCTACTATCCGTACAGGCAATAGATGCTCCATTGGATTTATCATATTCAGGTGTTATTTCATTTAATTCTACAGTCATATTGTTAAAACCATAGTATAAGTCACTATGTTTTGGCCGTTTTGCTGCTTTCCACATACACACTACATTTAATTTTTCTATATGATTTTCATAAAATTGCCAATCAACATTATTGATAAATTCATTTAATGTATCCCTATTGAAATGATTTAAATTTTCGGTTCCATCATCATTAAAAAAGTAAGAATTATATTCTTGCCTTTTCAAATCTTTTACATAAGCAATGTTAATTTCTTGGGACCATTTTCCATATATATAAAAAATTACATTTTTAAATCTATCGCATACAATTCCTCTTACTTTGTGAATTTCCTTGTCAAACCATCCTTTTCTCATATAATTAACTATAGAAAAATCCCCATTGTTATGATTTCGAATTAGTATATTTCCGTGTAATTCCACCCATAATTTCCCAAAAATTATGTTATGAATTACCATATTAGCTCTTTGATAAGTGTAATGCTCGTAATCATATTCCATGCCATTGTCTTTAGTATCATCATTTGGGGAACATGTTCCTAAACCTTTTCCATTTCCTTTGTCCTCCACTGTACCTTTTTTAAGATGTTCATTCGTTTCGCTAGAAATGTTTCTTTTCACAGAAGCGTCATTTGTTTCACGAATTTTATTGTTATTACCATTTAAGGAAAATTGACGAGCTTCTACAAGCAAATGGTTATTTTTTCGTACATTTTCTGAGTCCTCCCTTTTTTGTAAATCCGTTTTATATGAATCCCTTTTTTCCGATTTCTCTCTCCCAACGTTCTCCATATATCCACCTGGATACGTATCATCATGTTCCCTTTCATGAGAACAATGAAATGAATGGTGTACTTCATAATTATACGCATGACAATTTCCAACATCCATGTGTACATTATTAGAACAACTGCTGTGAGTGTTCCTTTTGGTCGAGGCACATGTTAGTGCTTCACATTCATTCAAGTTGATATCACTTCCTCTTCTTACAACCTCCTTCAAATTTCCTACATTATTTTTCTTATAAAGCATAGGTTCGTCTACTTTACGTTGTTCACTGTGAACATGCGTATTTTCATTTTTTTTTTTTTTATATCTGAGGATCAGATGGCTTGAACCTGGAATGGTAACTTCGACAGATTTCCCTAATATTTGTACATTAACTGTTATACTTGCAAAATTTTTCATATATTCATTATGACAGTGATATGCAGTGATGGGTGGGTGATGAACAACTTGTTCTGATATGAAGAAGAATTTTCTATGAGTTAATTCAAACGTTTCACCTAACAATGGATTAAACGGTTTAAACGTTCGACCGATGACGGATGCATAAGGGGATATGGTAAAAGCTGTTACATATGCTAACCTACTTGTGCTTTCAATTTCATTTGATGCATATTTTAGAAGATATATATATTGAAAATCTTCTGCCAATCTTTGTAAAAATGAAGACGGTTCATTTAAGTATATTGGCATGCCTATACGTGACAGATCTTTCCCTATACAATCTTTCAATAAAGACCACATACTTATTTTTATATCTGCTCTTGGACTTGGTAATTTTGTTCTTCTTTTAATTCTTTTATCTGTATATATATCTATTTTGCTAAAATTCAACGATTTTATATTTTTATCTATACATAATTGGATTAACTCTAAATCGTTGTCATTTGTTTTGTCTTCACAACTGTCACCAGGTTTATAGTTCTCTTCTTTGTGTGTAATCAAATGATTATTTTTTTTTGTTGTTGTATGATTAAGTAGCTCTTCAGAGGGAAATTCATTATCCTTCTCTTCGTATGTATCCAATCGATGTGTCTCCTCATCTTGTATCGTTTCATCGATTGATTGATCATGTGGTTTTTTTTCGTAATGATATTTTTTTCTCAAATGGGAATACTCATCAATTGGAGTTTCACTTAAGTTAGATTCCTTCCTTTGCTCAGTTTCCAGAGTGTCATTCGCACGATCTGTTTCTCTGTCTTGAATATCCACTTCTCCCTCCTCGTTAGCAAAAGAATTGAATGTAAATTCAGGAGATACATTCTCTACAGAAGGAGCATTTGAATGCATGTTTTTTTCATCACAAAAAAGCGATTCATCATCGCAATCAAAAAACATGTCTTCATTTTCTTCAGCCTCACTCTCTTGCTCATTTTCATAAAAGTTAAATTTTTCAAATTTATTTTTTACCTTAACTCCTAAATCACTGAAACTTTTTTTATCTTGCGATTTTTCGAGGAAATAATTTTGTTTGGCCAACAATTTTAATGATTTGTTTATACATTTTGATTGTATATTTTCTTCTTTCAATAGCATTTCGGTGCAACTGATATATTTTTCTATGACTGCATCGATGCAATCAATAGAGTTGGATAGTTGATATAACAATGTACCTATATTATTATAGTTAATTTTATAACTGGAATTTGATTTCATTTTTCTTAAAATAGATTTCGCTTCATTATATTCTGAATTTTTAATTAATTCTCTTGTAATTTCTTTTAAGGATACAACATTTTCCATAAGACACAGGGTTGGGCTTTTTTCTTCAAAATCCGTTGATCTTATGAACACTTCATCCAAATTTATGTTTTTCATATCTTGCGTTTTTAGTGCACCCTCTGAATGATCAAATGTATGGCAGGAAAAAGCATTCCCCAATTTTTCCTTCCTTTCTGGGATGTTATCGTTGCAACTTTCTACCTTTCGTTTCACATCATTGCAACATTTTGCATTTCTATCCACATGGTCACAACTTTCCATCGCCCCTTTTCCTTCTGCAAAGGAACTGATTGTTTTGCTTTTATTCAAGTCATTCGTGCTCCTTATGATATTTTTCAAAAATTCTGAATTCGTGGACATGTTAAAATTATTCATGTTTATATACCCTTTCTTGCTATGACTTCCATGCAGATACTTCAATTGGGCCTTTTTAAAAGAAATATACCATTTGTGTTTATCTTCCGGAAAATCAGCCTTTAAATAAAGTATGCCTTGCTCACTTGTGTCAATTTCAAAATGCAGAGGATCATCTGGACATACTCGTATCCTACAATGTGCCAACCCAAATGTTTCCTTCGTTGGAGAAAATTTATCTAGTGAATATCTTAATATACCATTTTCTAATACAAAATATCTAGGTCTATAACTGCCAATAATATTAGTCCATTTATTTAACCATCCTTCATGTATTATTCTTTTATCTCTATTGTAACTTTTTCCATGGCCAACATTTTGCGTGCTGTTTTTATCACCGCTTCGTGGATTTCCCACTGTCTTATTCTCCAAAGAATTTTTTTTTTCACTGAAAAGTTTTATGTTCAAGTATTTCCCGCCTAACATAATTTTCGTTTACTCATAAAGCGTTCATTATTTTTCGTCATCCGTGCATGTACATAATATGTGTATTCGTGGAGGGGTGAGTGACGGGGAACGACTACTGTCTCTCCTTGGTGCAATGATTTGATGTATCGAATTGGTCAACTGTTCTTCTTTTTTATTTTATTTTTTCTTCCCTTTTGACGATTTCCGTTCTCAAATGTCCTTTTCCTCAACCTTTGGCATTTGTACATTCACGTGTCAGTATATATACTTTCTGCACATTACTTGAAAATGTTCTTATACATTTATACAAACATGACCAAATATGATAATTTTTTATTTTATTATTTTATTTTTTTTTTTTTTTTTGATCAAAATGAAAGATCATATGCCTCCTTTTATTTTTTGTAATTGAGCAAAAGAGTAACCAGCATTATTTTTACATAATCATCACTTCAACATTAATGACCCTACTCAGTCCCCACACCTTTGGAATATGTTTAACCGAAGCAAACATCACAAACGCCTTTTGCCAATTTTTCAATGAAGCGTTGAAAAAAAAAAGAAAAAAAAAAAAAAGTTTGTAGTCATCAGTATACGAATTAAATGAAATAAGCCTTGAAAATTTAGTGAGCGCACAATTGAGTTTCCCTATGTGACAAATTGCACACAAAAATGTTTAAAAAAGTTCAGTGATACAAAAAAAAAATGAAACAAACAAACAAACGAGCAAGCAAGCTAGTAAACATATAGAGAAAATAGTCTAACAAATGAAAACAAAAAATAGCCGAACAAACGAACAGAGAAAAAATAGCCTAACAAATGAACAAGCAAAAAAGGCACGGGAAATTTGGCTGAATAATACTTGCCACTTTTTCGCGATGATATATTTTGGAGAACTTCCAAGTAAAAAGAAAAAAATTATTAACATTAAGAAAATGTAGAATAGGGGCCGGGAGGTGAAAATATAACTAGGCAAATTTACTTATTTTTACTGACATATATACATGTGCTTATGTAAAGGCAGAAAAAGAAAAAAAAATAAAATAAAAATAAATAAATAAATAAATAAAAAAAAATATATGTTAGGCATAATTGGAAAATTCCAATATATTCCACATCTTGGAGCAGCTTAAAAATTTACTCATTTATTTAGTTATAATAAAGGAGAAGAAAATACAAGTGGGAGAAACATATATGTATGCATACACATGCACAGATACCTTTCCATTCTTTTGCTTCTCTTACGCAACCGCAAAAATGAGAGATGAAAACGGTGTAGGGAGGAAGTATATATGTCATGATTCTATTCCTATGCCTGAGTTGAACAAGTGATGAAATTCTCTCGAAAGAGGCACAAGTGCTGATATATATTTGTAGGCATGTATGCATATGTACCGGCACATGCTTGCACACCAGCGGAGCCAAGTTCGTCATTCGTCATGAATATATGGTAACCTTGTGAGGAGTTAATCGCACACGCCTCCCGTTAGTGTTGTTTTTAAAACCATTTTTTAAAACAGACTTGGGTTGTGTGCCCTTTAGAAGTATAACTTTTCCGTTTGTTTTGTTTAATCTTCTATAACCATTTGAAGCAGTCTTGACATAAAACAAACTGGGATATATTTGGGAAAGGCGCCGTGAGCAAGTATTTTTGGAGTTCTTATATTTTCTTATTCTACAGTATGTAATTAAAAAGAATATGGAAAAAATTATTAACGATGGAAATATTGCTGCTATTAAAAGGATAATATAGTGATATTTGAAATGCCTACATGTTGCGCAATTAATAGGTTTTGGTTTCTCTTTCATAGTATCAACTAAATAATATATAACATTAAAATAGGTGGATTTATTTAGCTCTTCTTTTATTTCTTTGGTAGACACATAATCCAAATTATTTGCTTGTCTTTTTTTGGAATATAATTTTATGTGCGCGACAGTCTCTTCAGGTTTCATTTTTAGAATAACATTATTAATTAAGTTGTTATCAATACCTTCTCCAAATTGTCCAGCAACTTTTATGATGTCCGTATTTTTAAGCTTTATACATGCTCCATAGAAATGTATAGAATAAAGAGAATTAAAATATTTCGTATATTTAAAAAGAAAATTTTGAACATGTTTAAATGTAAATTTTACCTTTCCTTTTATTTTTAAAAATATATGTAAAGATATATCTTCATATTTTTTTTCTTCGTCTTTTTGTTGGATATTTTTATCATAACCAAATATATATTTTGCCATAACAAATACTGGTTTTTCATATGATAATGTGAAATTTTCATTATATAAAAAATTGTCAATCAAAATATTGTATATATTTTCTATGCTCAGCTGAATATCGTACGAATCGTCTTTTATACTGTTTTTACCTTCTTGCGAATTTGATATTAAAATTTGTACTATAATTTTATTCCTATTTCTATCTCCATGAAAAAAGTTTTCTGGGATATCATCACTTGACCAACTTGGGTCATTCTCATCCTTTTTATTACCATTGTTACTAAGCGTCTTACCAGGGTCTCTTCTTTCTAGATTTTCCAGCTCACTAACATTTTTCAAATTCCACAATTTGTTTTCTTTTGTGGTACGATATCCTATAACTCTCAATTTCGGCATGCATAAGTTTGTTAACTTGTCAACTACAAAGGCATAGTTCTGATATCCTAGATTGTTTGGGTATAACGTAAGTATGAACTCTTCTAAAGTGTGTTTTAGTTTGTTTTGTATATTAGAAATATCTTCTTCTTTTACAAAGTGGGTATTCGTTTTTCTTTCTAAAGATATGTATAATAATATGCTGTCTTTATTAAAGGATAACTTATATTTCATTATTTTTTGTAAAAAATTTAAACTCATCCACTGATTTATTGTATTTTCATACAAAGATCTTAAGATGTTTCTTTTTTCTGCTTCGTTTAACTGTTGGTAGCTAGCTACTATTGACACGTATAATATATCTAGTAGTATCTGGGCTTTATTAGAACTATCACTAGAATTATAGACTTGTTCATCTGAAAAAGGAACAACAGCTAGCACATTTTTTTTATGCTTACTGTTTTTTTCACTCTTCTTCGTTTCTTCCTCAATATCTTTTTCAATTTCTTTATCTATCTCGTTTTTTGCATATATCTCTTTGTACTGATCTAGTGATATGTTTCTAATTTCATCATATAATGCCATAAATACTTCATCACTTTTTTGGTTTATTCCAAATTCGATGTTCTCCAACGTTCTTACTACATTATCTAGGTTCATATTTTTTTTTAAAAACTTCGATTTTATAAGTAGCTTTATAAACACTAAACGAAAAAAGTGATAGTCATTTTTGTGAAATGCTTTGGATAGTTTATTATTGTAAAACTTTGTTATAAAAAAATTACTTTCTCTGGTGTTGCTTTTCTTCAAAACAGCAACACCTACTCCTTTGTAGAGGACCGTTACTATGGCGTGCAAGATGTAGAACAGTGACCACTTATTCATTTTTCTATATGTTGAAAATGGGTTCTGCATGGGAGTGGTGTCTCCTCCCCTCCGTGCATTGTTATCCTGTATTTCGCAAATTGGTAGCTTGGGTGTTTACCAATTTGCGGATTTTCGAATAGAGCGACTTGACAATTTAACACTTTGGCAAATTGTCTAGTTTTAGAACATTTTAAACACACTCTGTTTCATTTTGGAACTTTTTTGCAGTACCAATAAATCTCTCCAAAAAAAAATTTCCCAAATAAAAAAATGATCACCAAAAACATGGGTATGGACATAACTGCATGGGAGAAAAAAACCTCCAAAAAAAAAAAAAAAAAAAAAAAAAAAAATTTTAAACAAAAAAGGGGAAAAAAAAAAAAAAAAAAAAAAAAAAAAAAAAAAAAAATTAATCTAAACTAAACTAAACTAAACCAAACCAAACTCTATATAGCACTAAAAAGTTGCGTGCAACGAAAACTTTTATCCTTCCACAGTTTAATAAGTTAAGTTTTCACATTTTTTAGAATCTTTTTATTTTTTTCTCCACATGCTCACAATATAACAAATGATATTTTTTAAAAAGATCTCTTAAATGGGCATTTTCTGCTTGTTGTAAAAATTGATAGGTCAAATGCCTTACCTATCAAGCTTACACAATTGCCTCCAGTGTCCATATATAAATTTCGAGTGATGCAACGTATAAAATGCCATATAGTAGTAAGCATAAGACCGCTGTTTTTTTTTTTTTTTTTTTTTTGGAGGGAAAATAAATTAAAGCTAATTTATTGAGCTAAAAAATGAGGAGTAGAAAATGTTTTTTAAAAACAAATGTTGCTTTTTTTTTTTTTTTTTTTTTTTTTTTCTTCTTTTTTTGCACAATTTTAGATATTAGCATTTTTCAATCCTGCATGAAGCAAAATTTTTAAGTGGAATATTGAACATTACTTTATTTTTTTGGATAACAAGACAAGGAAGTTATGAAATGTGCAGGTAAGAAAAAATACCCCCCCCCCACAAGTTTTAATTTTGTGGGATGTACTTTTCCTCTTATTTTGTGTTAACACAAATTTAACGTTTTACAGGTATATTAACATATATTACAAATGGAGAATTGCGGTGAATAGAAAAAGTGATTTTGTTATGTCCTTTTTAAAAAAGGTAGAGAGAAAATATTGCGTTTGGCGAGGAAATGTTTGCTGTAAGATCAAAGAGAACTTATTGAGGGAGGGATGAGGAACAATTTCAAGTGACCAAAAGAAAAAAAACAACGCAACACGAAAGATGGTGTGTTTGTATTGTAAATGGACTGTAACATCGTATCATAATATATGCTATCTATCTGTACCATTTGCAATCAAGTCACTTTAATTCATCAAGCCCTTTTCTAACATAAACAAAAACTGATAAATCGTGAAAGACATGCACATAATTTGTATGTATATGTATATACCCATGTGTGTATACCTTGATTTTAGCATGTGTACGAGTATCATACACATATATGCCACAAGAGAACAAAATTAAAAAGGATTGTAATTTTGTCTGTCTTTGTTTTTTTGTTTTTTCGTTTTTTCCTTTTTTTCTCTCGTTTTCCGAAAAAAAATGTAAAAAAATTATGAACATGTAAGATACAGAAAAAAAAAAAAAAAAAACCACAAAAAGGTTAAAAAGTTGCTAACAAAAAAAAAGTGGCAAATATTTTATGTGCAGTCAATTGCTTGGTTACAAATAAAAAATAATAATTTTTGTACTTCTTTTTCTTTCTTTTCATTTTTTTCCTTAATTTTTTTTTTTTTTTTTTTTTTTTTTTTTTTTTTTTTTTTTTTTTTTTTTTTTTTTTTTTTTTTTTTTTTTTTTTTTTTTTTTTTTTTTTTTTTTTTTTCCCGTTACCATCCCTTCCGATTATTTGAATTCAAACTGGTTATAAGAAAATTTCCCTTTCTCATTTCTCATATTCGTAAGATAAATCTTTTAAAAAACATAATTTTATTTTATTTCTTTTAATGTACAAAATGAAATTTCTTTTTAACTGTATAGAAGACATAAGCACACAATGATGTTCAGAATAATGTCCCAAGGAGAATTGTTTTCAAAATATAGGCTTAAAACACAGTTTTCGTTGTACACGTTTTTTATGAACATTACCTGTTCATGCATTTATTTATGAAATATGCAAATTCGGTTAAAGTGAGCATATAATAACTATTTTTTACACAACATTTTTTATCCCTTCTGTGTTTGCATGCATGGTACGTTCTTACATAGGTGTACACATAAATCAACACATAAATCAACGCATAAACAAATAAAGAATTCATAAACACATACTTACATACATATTACAGTTTTTTAAATGGATATAGCATGAGAAGGAATTTATAAATTAACCATTGTGAACCGAAAAATAAAAATTTCCACAAAAATATTCAATAAACAAAGGCTTCTTTCACTACTATTTGTATTTCCGACACATATTCTTGTTTCTTTAATGTGAGTATACTTATGCATAAAAAAAATAATAATAACAAAATAAAATTGAATTGAACGCACAATTTTTAAAATATAAGGTACGCAAAACTCGCCTTTTTTTTTTTTTTAAAAGCAATAAAAAAAAAAAAAAAAAAAAAAAAAAAAACGCCCTCTCGTGAATTGTATATATGTAAATAAAAACATTGCGTATGCGTTCCACACATATGCATATATGTAACACAAAAATGTTTTCAATTCCGTCCGAGGACATCATACAGAAGTGAAAAACGTATAGCAGTGACATTTACGAAATATTTGATATATACATATTTTATACGCAGCTTCTGCGAGCTCTTGTGTTTATGCATATTTTGTGCTGGGTAAAACACTATATTAAGAGATTTCTTTTAGGAATAATGCTTTTTTAGCTATTTTTTCGTAATTTCTAAAACTTGCCATGAAAACACGTACAATATATTCGCAGTTAATTGCATATTTATAAATATCTAAATTATTACATTTTACAATTATACATACTTGAAATAGTATGATGCGCAAACCTAAATTCGTGGTTATATGTGTGATTAATACATGGTTATATATATATATATATATGTATATATTTCCGAACTGTGAAAAAACAGATTAGTTAAGATACCCATAAAAACGAACGAAGCATACTAAAAAGAATAAAGAAAGAAAACTCACTCAGAGAGGAAGTAGGTAAAATATACCAATTCTAATAACTAGGGAGGATCACTTAACTTTTTTGAAACGAAGAAATAGAGAAAAAAGTAAAAAAATTTATGCACCATAAAGATCGTTAATTTGGATAAGAAGATAAAAAAGAAAAAAAAAAAAAAAAATTAAAAGTGAAGAAAAGCAGCAAGAATGCTAGATTCATCAAAAAATAACGAGAAAAAGGAACCATACATGGACCTTGACAGCGTTGATGTTAGTGAATACAACAATGTTATAAATAATTCCTATAGTTCAGAAGAAGATGACGATGATCTGTCATCTGACGATTATAATGAAGATGAGACATTGCTTAAAAGTAATTATAATAAAAGTTCCTTTTGTAATAATAACCAAGTTCAAAAGATAAAAAATGACTTTGCTAATAGGAAGTCTCATTTGGATTTCCCCAACTGTAGTAGCATCAACAATAACCGTAATAATAAATCTGACAATGTAAATAATAACAATAACAATAATGATGATGGAAAAGATGGTAACAATGTGACGAATTCAGACAAGGGTTTTGTAAAGAGTCCAAGTAGTGTCGGAGGACTCAACGAGGAAGGTTGTGACCGGGAGCTAAAAAAGTGTAAAGAGGAAAATGGTGCAGATACGAATGGAAAAAGTAATAGTAAACAAAATTTCCATTCTTACATATATGTTAGAGTAAAAACGAATGACTGTAATAATAACATTTTTAAATGCAAGATAGAGAAAAATATTACAATAAAAAAATTAAAGAAAGGCTTGAAAAAATTATTAAACAACAATGAAGATGAATATAGAATCATATATAGGGGTAGATTGTTAAAAGATGTAGAAGTCTTGTCCAAATATAACATTAAATTTAATGATATCCTTTATGCAATAAGGATTAACAAAAAAAAAAATGGAAATGACGCAACACTAGATTCAGGAATTACTAGTTCGCAGTTAAGTACAATAGGAGAGGAGTATAACGATTTTGGAAGATTTTCACAGAATGATAATATATCCAAATTAATTTCGTCTATGTTTGATAATAGTGATTTTCTCAAATCAATAATGGATTCAAATAAACAACTACAAAAGTTAAGAGAGAAAAATTCAGAAATACATCACATGTTGAACGATTCTCAATCCTTGAAGCAGTCATTTGAAATGATTAAAAATCCTTCATTAATGAAAGAATTAATGAGGAATACAGATCGAGCTATAAGCAATATTGAAGCCATTCCAGGAGGATTTAACACTCTAAGGCGAATGTATCATAATATACAGGAACCAATGTATGCAGCTAGTGAATTATCAAATGAAAACAAAAAAAATAAAGTTAAGCATTACGATTTAAAAGCATCATCCCCTCCAACAAGTGAAGCTTTTCCGAATCCATGGGCATCTAAAGACATGAATTCAAAAAATAAAAACAATCCCAACGATTTAGATAAATATCTTCGTATGAACAATAATTTTTTTAATAACAGTAGTGATCTTTTTAAAACGAGTAAAAAAAATGCGGGTATGGGTTTAGGTAATAATAATAACCTTTTTAAGACTAACATTTTGGATCTACTCCAAAATTACCAAATGCCTTCAAACCAGTTGGGTGGTAGTACCACAAGGTCTGAAGGAGCAGCATTTCAAACTCGCAATAAGGGTGGGAGCAACGGTCAAAGTGGAATAGATAATTCCAGTGATGTTGGCAGTGCTAGCAATATTGGAGATATGCACAATATGAACATGCTTAATAACGGGTTGTTTAATAATCGGATTCGAAATAATGACCTCCTGAACAGCGCTCAGATGAACAACAGACAGATGTATCATGGGTTACTAAATAGTGGCTTGTTCAACAATGGATTGTTCAACAACGGTTTATTTAACAACGGTTTATTTAACAACGGTTTATTTAACAACGGATTGTTTAACAACGGATTGTTAAATAATGGACTTTCCAATAATGAGATTAAAATGGGACAAACTACCAATAATGTATCCTCCATTAATGGCCCCCCAAATAACGGACTTCCCATGAATAGTATGCTGAATAATCAGCTGCAAAACGATAAGCTACACTTTGGAGGAAATTCAACGAACAATTTGATTAATCAATATGCAGATATTCAAAAAAATAATGGGAATTCAGAAGTGACAAATTCGATAAACCAAATAATGTTAAATTTAAAAGATGAAATGCGTAACAACAAGAATTGGAACCCCAACACAAATTTACCCTTCATCTTTAGTGCAAACAATAATACAAGCTATTCGAAAAATAATAGTGCATATCATAATAATGAACAGAAAGGGAGTACTACTAATGGAAATAAGACTCCTCAAAACAGTGGCCTCGTAGAAAGGAAAATAGATTCAGTTCCAAATTCACAAGATAAAATTCCTTCAGCTAATCAATTGAATGTAAGTGATGTCAAAGCGAATCATAATAATAACGATGATGGTGATAATAATAATTTTAATGAGAGCTATTTAAATAACCACTCCATTAGTGGGAATTACACGAAGGGTGAAAAATTATTAAAAATAAATACACCTGATGTGTTAACAAGTAGTGTAACTGAACGAGGAGAAAATATTCTCTCAAATTCTATGTTGCAAAATATTCAATCTCCTGATAACATTTTGAATAACAATCCAATTACTTCATCCCAATTAAACATATCAAAAAACGAAGATAACAAGCCCTCCCTGAAAGGCACATCTGAGAGGACAAATTTAACAACTACTAGAAGTAATAACAACCATAGTGAGAATGAATATTTTTGCACAATATATGCGGATCAGTTGAATTCATTAAAAGGAATGGGTTTTACAGATGATAATAAATGTATAAAGGCGTTAGTTAATACCAAAGGAAATATAGAAAGAGCCATTGATTTTTTGCTGGCTGATATGAATACAGATGAAAATTGAGATAAACATTTCAGGTGAAAAAAAAAAAAAAAAAAAAAAGTAATGGAATGGAGAAGAGAGGAAAGGAAAAGGGGTTGGAGAGGGGAAGGATTAGCATTAATTACGAATGGGGAGCTACTACATTATCGCGCCTCTTCATAACAGTCCGCATAATTCATTGATGAACGATATTTTCTTAACATGTTGTCCTGGGTCAGTGAAACGGGGTTAACATTTATTCATTGGGCCAAGCTTTGTCTGTCCATCTCGCACAGGGGCGTGTGCACGTGTATATATATATATATATATATATATATATATTATACTTTTCCACGGGCATATTTTGCATTTTTTTTTTAAATCCCTTTTGGAGGCTGGAACTTTATACTCACACATGTACGTTTTTACATATATAAGACAGTAGCACACACACGTATATGCCCCCTTTTCCCAACCTCCAAACTTGTGATATGTGAAAAAGCCCCAAAAAAATGTAAAGACACAAAAGCTCAAAAAAATTTATGTATTTATACATTTTTTACAATTATAAGTTTTGTGTTGTTCCTTTCGTTAATCGCAGTTCGTTTTTTTTCGTTTTTTTTACTTTGAGAATGAAAAAAAAAAAAAAAAAAAAAAAAAAAAAGGCTTAATGATGAATATAATAAATGTATACCCAAATTTGAATTTACTTTATTTGATCAAATTTTATTCCTTTCCCCTAAGAACTAATTATTTGTAATTAAGCTTTACCAATATTTAGTTTTTCTACGATTATAAAAGATTTTAATTTATTTTATTTTTTTTATTTTTTTATTTTTTTTTTATATTTTATTATTTTTTTCTTCCTTTTATTTTTGTTTAAAATGCTGTTAACATTTTAGTTAAATAAAAACATGAACCGGTAGTTATATATTTTACACCCTGTTTGATCTCACCTTACTTGCTTTTTGTAAGTTAAAAAAGTACATACAATTCCCTTGTACAAACTTATTTGCCATGGACAATGCACGAAATAAGGGATGAAAGGGGCAATAAGGGGTAATCTTCATAATGAGTTAAATTGGTGATATGTGGATATCTGACGATAATAACATTTTATTCAAAATGTGGATATGCTATACATTACAGTATTATTCTTATGTTCATTGGAAATGGTGGTGAGGGGTATTTCATTATATATATTCATGCTTAATGCTAGGGGAAAAAAAAAAAAAAAAAAAAAAAAAGGAATAATTGTGATGATATATGCAATGGAAGGCAGGTGAGTGCCTAACTGTGTATGTGTATGTATGTATATATGGGTGGGGGGAGGATGCTTTAAAAATTGGAAATTACTTATCATTATGAGCTGTTGCCTTTTCATCCTGTTATGACCAAGTGATCGGGCAAAATGAGCCACATTGTGAAGGTGACAAAGTGAAAATGGGAATCCCGTTTTTTACAATGAAGCAATGTGTAATTCTGAGTTAAAAAATGTATATCCCGAGTGCGTAATATTTTGTAATATATATATATATATATATATTGAAATTCTTAAAAAAAAATAATAAAATAAAATGCTCACTTCAAAAAAAAAACATGTTCCACTTTTAATGTGCACTATTTTGAGTTGTATATAAAAAGATGAACTGTTGTGTTCGTGTGTAGTGGACCGAAGGACCCATTTGTGTTTACCCTGGTTCGTAATACATCCTGGGTTATTGTTTCACTGCGAACACACAAACACAGGTGCTGCTTCTACCATTTATAAGAACCTGTGTTTCCATTCTAGGAGAGGCAAAATTTGCATGAAAAATAATGGCTCATGTACTGATGCTGAAGGCCAACCCAAGTACAATGTGCATTTTGACATTTAATTTTCACATTTGAATGAATTCTGTAAAGCAATTTCATCACGCCTGTGGAATATTCATCAATTTTAATAAGTCCATTAGTGAGGTATAAAAAACAACTGGGACATTTTATATTTTCTTTACCCCTGTGACATATGATATAACCCCTTAAGCAATCAGAACAACAGGAAGCATAACAACATGGAAATAATATGGGTTCATACGATAAATGAATTTTACATATTGAGCAAATAAATTCATCTAAGTTTATGAGAAGTATAGAAGAAGGAATTTTAATGGTAATTTCTTTTCCCTTTTTTGAATACGAATCTTTTTTTGCCCATGTTGCTCGAACCCTACTGCCTCTAACACGAATTCCTCCGGAATTTGCAGCATTTAAAGTTCTTTGTGCTTCAACATTTGTTGAAAATCGTACAAATGCATACCCTGATGTTGCTGTCCATTCTTTGTTAGGATGCCTTGATTTCTTATCACATACAACCATAGTTAAGTCTACATTTCCAAACTTGCTAAAAACAGATATTAAATCTTTACGTGTAGTATTTGGTGGAACATTAACGATTAATGTAAATTTAGCTAATGAGTTTTTATTTTTATTCTGCGAATCGTTTTGCTTCCTCTCCTCAGCATGTTCAAGTTTTCTATTATTTATTGTACCCTTTGTTGACATGGTCACATTATTACCTGCAGAATTTGTCATATCATCTAAATGCACTATTATTTTACTATTTTTTTTTTCTTTGTTTTTTTCATCTTCCATCAAGTGATCTGAAAAAAGGTTAGCATAATAGTAATTATAATCGTTCGGTTCATTGGGTAAGTTTAATTTGTGATCTGTGTATGTGTTTATCATACCATCATTTTTTTCATACATAGAATATGAGAAATTACATAAATGTGTGGTTGTTATTTCATTTTCCTTCTGTTTCTTATCGTAAGCATTTTTATTCTCTAAATTGTTATTATTTAAATTAGTTATGTCTTTATTTGCTGATTCCTTCACACAAGAAATGGATGGCGTTACACATGGATAAATCTCATTACAGGATTTATTCAACAAATGTTTTTCTTCCATTTTTGTTAGAAATATAAAATTATTGTCGTTCAACTCTTCGCAACTCTTGTACATGTTTAATGAATTTAAAGCAAAATCACTTTCTTTATAATTTATATAAGGATATTCAATGAAATAATCATTACTTTGTTCCATTGATTGATTCGTTCTGTTGTCAATTTCACATTTTGCCATTTCTTCCACCTTGTTATGTGGAGGATAATCCATTTCACTCACAATTAATTTTTCTATTGACGTGTTCTTCTTAGAGTTCGTTACATTCTCAGTGTAACTCCTTTTGTGGAAGTCATTTGGAACCTCATCATTTTCCACAAATTCCATGTGCTCCTCTGATGCATAAAATTGGGAGAAAGGTGTATAATCAAAAAACGAATTTTGTTTTTTTCTGTGTTTCAAAAACGATTTTTCTAGAATTTTAAAATTCAGATTACTTTCCTTGATTTCTGCTTCTTCCCACTGCACATTAAGATCTATGTCATGCTCTTTTGAATATTCATTAATAGTGAATGGTAACCGATTGTCACTATTCCTGTAACATTCGGCTGCCCCATCAGCACGTGACTCGTCCACTTCTGTCAAATTGGGTTCATGCACTTCTGCCAAATTGGGTTCATACACTTCTGCCAAATTAGGTTTACCTGCTTCATCCCAATTTAATTCATCCATTTCTGTCAAATTAGGTTCACCCGCTTCTGCCAGATTGGGTTCACCTGCTTCATCCCAATTTAATTCATCCACTTCTGCCAAATTTAAAATGTTTCTTTCATCATCTTTCCCGAATAGCAAAATTTGGGACTTCTTTAAGTCATAGAAATAGTCTTCGTTCAGCTCCTGGTTTAAGATTTCATCCCGGAGGAGTATCCTCTTTGGAATCGTGGTGGCGTCATACGAATCAACATTTGGAATTCCCCATTCCTTTATATTATGCTTGTCTGCACACTCATTCATATCAGGTTCTGTTTCTAACTCTCCCATGGCATTATTTTCATTTCTTAAGAAATAATATGACCAAGGTGAATCAACTATCTTTGTGATTTCTTCTAAATTTTCCCCATTTGGAATTGAAAACGGAATTTTGTCTACATCTTCTGCAGTATTAATGTGAGGCAAGGTAAACAAACTTAGTAAATTATTTGGTGGACATTGCACTTTTTCTAAATACTTGATACACTCATCAGAATTAAACACCTCATTGATTATAACATTATTTATAGTATTAGTATTGTTTCCTATTCGAATGTCTTTTTCTGTTAGTTCATCACTCCACTTGCTCAAATTATTTGCATGCAAAAGTTTATCTTTTTTTCCGCTCAAAATTTCATGTCGTTTCTGCTCCAAAATTTTTTCTTCATTCTGGCTTGATGTATTTCTATCATATTCAGAAAAAACATTTTTTTCATTTATCCCCCAAACATCCCTTTTACATGGAATCAAAATTTTATTATACATTTGCACTTGATCATTATCCCATGTGTTACATGTGTCATATACCAAATTAGATGGTTTTGGATTTTCATTAAAAAGTATTTCACCATTTTTTAATTTGCATGAAGTGTTATTCATCAGAGGAAATTCATTTTCATACCTCTTATTCAATGAGTTCTTTTCACAATTTGAAAATTTATCATTGCTATTTTTATCTTCCAAATTCAGTATATCTAAACCAAGTATATTCAAATGGTACTTAAAATGTGCACCCATTTCGTTAGTATTTTCTCCCAATTTTTCCAATGTCTCCTCCAATGCAATTTCGTCCTTTTCTTCCGAAATTTTATGCAAGTCATTCGTGTGTAAATCATTTTTGCATAAATACTTCTTGTCGTTCTTAACAACCTCTTTTAAGTTTACCTCATTTGGGATCAACATTCCGGAACATCTATGTGAATCTACTCCCGTTGAAGCGCTGCTCATTTTAAACCTGTCCAAGTATTTCACATTTTTATCAAAAGCAAAAAGAACTTTCGATTCACTTTCTGAGCACACTTTATGGCCAATCTGGGAGCTGTCGATTTCCACATCCTCTGGAGACCTCTGCATTTTTAAGAAGATTAGACACGCACCCTTAAAGTGAGACAAAAAGGGAAGAAAAATTGTTAAATGATAAAAATTCCAAATAAAAATTCCTCTATTTTATGTACACAAAAATTACAGTACAGGATAAGAAAAAAAAAAAAAAAAAAAAAGTGAAAAAAAGTATTACCCTAAAGTACTTTAATATACAACTCGAACATGTGCAAAATTGAAAAGAAGTCAAATTTTAAAAAATGCATAAATAGATGTGTGCAATACCTATGTTGAGTATATATGCTAAAGAACTATGGTAAAAAAAAAAAAAAAAAAAAAAAGGGTTAAACATAATATTTTTAATTAAAACATGTAAGAAAACAGAATCAAAGGCAAAATTAAACAACTCAATTGTAATGTACATGTTCTTACATATGTATGTGTGTAACTTGTAATACAAAAAAAAAAAAAAAAAAATGAAAAAAGGAAAAGTAAATGAGCATCAAGTAATTGTCTCACTATCTAAAAAAAAAAAAAAAAAAAAAAAAAACGTGAAATAAGGAATCTCAAGATAAAGCGTAGGAAATAGACTTAGGCGAAAAGTTTCTCTACATAATGTTGTTTCTCAGGAGTATACCTTTTTCAGAACTTGTAAATATGTACATACATATATATAAATCCTATGAAGTACTGACTAAATGTAAGAACTGTTCTTTAACGAGGGCATTTTTTTTTTTTTTTTTTTTTTTTTTCTATTATTTGTGCAGATAATGTACGTTTCTTTTTTTGTTCAATTTTAAAAAGGAAATTTTTTCGTTACTTCAAATTTTTAATGAATTAGACAATTTAATCTGAAGCAGCTAGTTTGATTGCGTTTCTATTTCTAATTCGTTTAGATATGTGTTTTTCTTTTTTTTAAATAATTGTAGCTAGCTAACAAGAGCAAAAAGCGTCACAAGTGCTTATATATGCATAGTACATGCAAATGTATAGATGCACAAGCTTGTGAGGGATTCCTTAATGGAACACGCCTGTGGTGCCATTGTCAAAGGATAAAAAAAAAAAAAAAAAAAAAAAAAAACTGGACTGAACTGAACTGAATTGAGTTGAACGGAATTGAACTGGACTGAATTGAATTGAAATGTGTTTACGTCCGTTTTGTGGTTAAATGTGTGGAAAAAAAAAAAAAATAATAAAATAGACAATTTGGGTCACATGTTGTACAATATTTTTGATAAGTGACATTTTAACAAGGAATATACAACTCACATTTCATATGAAAAATGAGCACGTGTTAAAAACTGTATTTAGCACCTTATATCAACGATGTGTACATGTACATAATATAATGCATTTTAATTACAGTTATTAGATTGTTATGTGTATCATAAATATAATTCGTAACTGTGAATTACACATCCGTTGTTTATTTGTAAGGCTGATTAGCTAAACGTTAAATGGAAAAAACATTATGCTTTTAGGTATGGTAATACATGAGCATGTATCTTTTATTTGTAGTGCACTATTTGTGTATATGATCTTATTACACCGTGAAAAAAAAAAAAAAATAAAATAAAAAGAAGAAAAAAAAATAAAAAAGGTCCCATGTTAGCTTTTCTCCCATTACAATTATTCACAATTTTCGTGATTAATATATATATATATATTTTTAATTTACAAAAAAGGCATTTCATGTCTATTGCTTTCATCAAATGTGGAGTTTGATACTGCTACACACGAAGAGCCATATTTCCACACCTTTTTTTTTTTTTTTTTTTTTTTTTTTGCTAAAAATTCCGGAAAGTTGAATTTTTTCCTTTAGTTCTGTATATATATGTATATATACATACACAACTTATTAGTGCTCTGGAGATGACAATGCATTTTCCCTTGGACGCATTATTTTTGAATGGCAGGAATGTTCATAAATACCTGCATACAATGTGAGGGAATGTTATAGCAAGGAGGACACATATATTGTAAAGGCATGGAATAAGTTTTTTTTTAAGGCTGCTCCTCCCGACGCTCTTCAGGAGTCAATTTAATGAGATCATCAATCCTTAAAATTGTAACGGTTGCTTCTGTTGCAAATCTGATTGATTTTATTTTACTAATCATGGCTTCCAAAACACCATTCTTCAAATTGTTGGCGACTTTTCCGTTAACTAAATCTAATCCATACCATCTATAGTCCTTTGGATCTTCTGTGTTCATAACCTGAGATTTTGTGTGATATGCTCTTAATTTACATACTAAATCTATAGAATCATATGATGCATTTTGGGCTAATATTTTGGGTATGACTAATAAAGATTCTGCAAATTCAGCAATAGCCAATTGTTCTCTAGAACCCAAAGTTTTTGCAAAATCTTCCAGGTAAACTGATAAAGCAACTTCAACACACCCTCCACCTACAACTACATAATTACTTTCTAAAGCACGACTCACTGAACAGAGGGCATCATGAATTGATCGTTGCATTTCATCTAAAACAAAATCATTAGCTCCTCTTAACAAAATAGTATTAGACTTGGAAGTTTTACATCCTTTAAAAAACATAACATCCCAATCACCTACTTTTTCTTCATACACTTCATCACAATATCCTAAAGATGCAGATTCAAATTTCTCGGTACCATCAATAGATGATAAAGTGAGTCGTATCTGACCATTGGTTAATTTAGCTATTCTCCTTAAATCATCTTTATTAACTCTTCTAACTGCTATGGCCCCAGCTTCAACAAAATATTTGAGTGGCATATCATCTATTCCTTGAGTTGTTAATATAACATTTGCACCAGATTCTAAAATTTTGTTTACTCTTTCTTTCGTTATATCTTTTTCTCTTTGTCTGATTTTTTCTAATTCTGTAGGATCATTAATATTTACCTGAACACCTAAATGTAATCTATACTGTTTTAAAGGGAAATCTAAAAAAGCAATTTTTGCATTTTTAATAGCAGTTGGCATAGACTGGGATGCTCTACCACTCATAATTGCATATCCATCAATTAGCTTGGAATCCAATGAACTTAATCCATGCACTTTAATTATATTAACAGAAGAAACAGGATATTTAGTTTTGCCTACATCGTTAATAATTTTTACAGATTGAATAGCATTAGCCACCATTTTAGCAAAATAGTCAGATTCATAGCTAATGAATTTAGAAGATAATGTAGTTTTGGCTATATTTATAATCACATCTTTTCCTAAATTACTTACTCGTTCACCTAATTTTTCTTTTATATATTTAACAGATTCTTTCATAGCTAATTTGTAACCACATATGACAGTTGTAGGATGAATGTCCATTTTAATTAATTCATTTCCTCTTCTTAACAATTCAGATGCTAGCAACACGACTGAAGTTGTCCCATCCCCTACTTCTTGATCTTGTAACTCAGACAAATTCACTAAAATCTTAGCTGCTGGGTGCTGAACTTCTAACTGTTTTAAAATAGTAGCACCATCATTCGTTATTGTAACATCTCCAATGTTATCCACTAACATCTTATCTAATCCTTGTGGTCCCAGACTTGATTTTAAAATGTTTGAAAGAGCTTGAACAGCCGTAACTGAAGCAGAAGTAGAAGAGGAAATAAAAGAGGGTGTAAAAAAGGTGTGCACACTATACTACATGCAGAATACTTTTTCATCTGAAGCAAAATTAACACACAAAAAAATGTAACTCAATGGGAGGGAACAGTAATTGTGCAATTTTAAGTAAAACATAGATCATCGAATAAAGTGGGATATGCATTTTGTACGATGCCATGTATCAATGTTAAAAGGCTGGGAAAAGGAAAAAAGAAACATGGTTCTTTTATTTTTATATTTTTTTATTTTTTTATATTTTTTTATTTTTTTATATTTTTTTATTTTTTTATATTTTTTTATTTTCATATTTTTTTATTTTTTTCCCCATCCCTGTTTTGTGCTTCTTTACACTCCTACCATTTGCCGTTCTCACATCTTGACCGCTTTCTCGATTTCCATAAATACTTAAAGACATTTTTACTTCCCTATTTTATCACTTGATTTTATAAAAATATTTTTAAAATACAATATTTCCGTGTTAAGTTGTTCTAATGTGTTAGTTGTTGCTATTATATTTGAAGTAATTTATATCATTAATCTTTCCTTTTCTTGTAATTCAACTATGTTGTATTATGTAGATATTTATATATATGCACGGTATGGAAGCAATGTTGATCTTTTTCTTTTGAAAATGAGAAAGCTAAAAAGCTCTTATGTTGTTCTTGTTATGAGTGATGCGCATGTTTTTGTTCACACTTGTTTTGAAAAAGTATACTTTGTCACCTTCATACGTGTAAAAAAGAAAATATATATATATATACATAATACATGTAAAAAATAAATAAGTATATAGGTGAATAACTAAAACGGGATAGGAATAACTTTTTCTCCTTAATGGTAAAAAAAAAAAAAAAAAAAAAACAGTGCTTAAAAATTCCTACCAATATAGGTTGCGTTAATGCATGTGCATATTTTTGCTATGTACTTTTTATTTTATATTCTTTTCATTTTTACGCAATATTTTTTAGTCCCCTTCTACATTTTTTGGTGTTAATGTTTTTTTTTTTTTTTTTTTTACAAGCTTGCAAATGTTCTAATATTTATTATTTTTCTTTCTTCCCTAAGAAAGTATCATAAGGTGGGGTTGGGAAAAGTTAGGATATGATGAATATCTGCGTTTGCATTCTCAACTGAGTTAAGAAGGGTGCAGTTTTTATAAGAAAAACATTTTCTCTCCTTTATTTTGCGTAATTTTTTCGATATAGTTCTTCTTGTCCCTTTTTTTTTTTTTTTTTTTTCTTTTTATTTTTTGCCTAACATATTTTTCGGAACTTTTTTACACCCAATGGGTCACAGAAAATTGGGAATACACATAAGAAATAAAGGGGGAAGCTACTTTGTAGAATTTCAAGTGCAATTTAATTTGAAAAAAAAGTTACAATAGTTTTTTTTTTTTTTTTTTTTAAAGAATTTTTAATGTTGTCAAATTTTTGGTTATTCGTATCCACATATTTGAGACCTTTTAAAATAGAAAAAAAAATATATATATATTTTTAAAGGACCATATTTTTAACACCAGTACACAGTTACATTTTTGCAAAATGGGCAAATGATGTTGTAGCAATAGAGATCTCATAAATAATACATGCAGACATTATACTAAACTTCTGTATACACACCGAACTGAAAATATAATTTCAATGTAGTTCTGTACCATAGATTGGTGAAGGTACCAAAATGAAGGATGAAAGGAGGATTCAAAAATAATTATTTTTTGAATAATAAAAGTTTTTTTTGATTTGTTTTTATTTACCTATTTGTTCATGTGTATTCAAAAATGCAAATTGTGCACGATAACATGCAATTACAGTTATATACACATACGTATATATTTTTATACTACAAAATCAAGTACATGGCTTTAAGTTGGTTGAACTTTCATACTATCTTGGTTATTCAAAGATTCGTAGAGGAATAAACATTTCAGTAGATCTAATCAAAGCTGCTTTAAAAGCTTCCTTTTTTTTTTTTTTTTTTTCTTTTTTTCATTATGTTCATATACCTTTTAGATGGGTGGAGATAATATAAAGAAATAGAAAATGAAGCGTGTACATGCATGATTGAAGTAGCTAATTCTCATTTAAAATGTTAATATAATATTTTTAAGCATACAACAAATTTTTGAAAACAAAAAATGCTCACTTCCAAGGAGTGATTAGTAGGTAAGCTGAATAGAATGTAATTCAGGGAATTTTCGATATAAAAAATAATATGCACCACTCGTATGTGAAGCTATGTTTACATATTTACACTTACAATTTGCACATATGAATATGTATACATTTGTCTGATACCCCACAGGAAGTTTCCCCAAGGAACCCAATAAGCGCGAATGCGTCAGACCTCCCCAGATTAAGCACATATTCTGGATAAACATATAAGCATATACAGACATACATACGAACACACATACGAACACACATACGAACACACATACGAACACACACATATATATACACATGCATACTATTGCCCATGCTCGAAAAGGGAACAGGAATGCTTATAGCGCGTTTTTCCGGAGTTTACACATTGCTCTTTTTGTTCATAATAAATTGAAAATACGTATAAACGAAATGTGTGTAAACGTTTTTTTTATGTTCCTTAAAAAAAAAAATGGAAATTGCAATTTTCATTTACAAAATCATCACCTAAAATATTTATTATTATCATCGGAAAAGTATCCTTGGAAAATTGTTTACCTTTCCATAGGATAGATAACAAGGAGAAAACTTGATTCCTTTTAATTTTCTATATTAATTAAAAAAAAAAAAAAAAAGGCTATAATGTTGAATTGGTGAGAAGAATATACATAAGTGTGAATACTCCCTTGAATGTATATTTTTAAAATACCTTCCTCTTTTACCCCTTGTGCAATTTCAAAGTATTTATAAAAACGATGTGATGAATAATATAATCGGTCTCGCTTCCATTCTTAATGTCTTTTTTTTTTTTTTTTTTTTTTTTTCTCTCTCTCTCTCTTTTTTATGCAAACAGAAAAAAATAACACTACTTTAAATCATTGGAATAAAGATACACATTAAATTTTCTATACCTTGAAAAGGTTACCATATGAAGGAAAAACATAGATACACTTCTTACTCTCAAATTTTGATAAAAAAAAATTTGAAAAGCTCATTTAAATTACATTTAAGTTTTTTCTGGTACTTATATAGGATTATTAGTCTGCCTTTGTGACAAAATTAGAAAATTATCTAAATTAGCATAAGTTTTCGCGTAGCTGTTTTTTTTTTTTTTTTTTTTTTTTTTCTCGCTCGAATTTTTAAATGTGAATGAACTGTTATACATTTTTGTAAATTAGAGGAGAAAAAAAAAAAAAAAAAAAAAAAAAAAAAAAAAAAAAAGGAAAAAAAAAAAAAAAAAAAAAAAAAAAAAAAAAAAAAAAAAAAAGAAAAAAAAAAAAAAAAAAAAAAAAAAAAAAAAAAAAAAAAAATTAAAAATCTAATTTGTAATTATATAAATTTATTATATATATTTTATGATAAAATTTATAAATTTTTTAATTTTTTTTTTTTTTTTTTTTAGTTTTTTTTTTTTTTTTTTTTTTTTTTTTTTTCTCGCTCGAATTTTTAAATGTGAATGAACTGTTATACATTTTTGTAAATTAGAGGAGCAAAAAAAAAAAAATAAAATAAAATAAAACAAAACAAAGGGTAACAAAGGAAAACAAAGTAAAATAAAGCATAATGTAAAATCTGAGGATACACGTAGAAAAAGAAAAAGTTATAAAAAAAAAAAAAAAAAAAATCCACATATATACAAGAAAACATGTGATAACAATAAATAATTTACACACATATGCCACAATTAAAATGCTACATAAACTGAAAAACGAACTTTTTTTCCAATTTTCGGCTATGTCAAAAAAAACGAAAATTTTCCGTATGTAGTCTTTTAAAGACCTCACTAGTTCAAATCTTCAACTAATGATATTAAAGGAAAATTGCATACATATGGCCTATACCTTATATTTGAATACAAATAGTTGAGTGTATATATGCAGAACTTATAAAAACTGGAAAAAATAAAATAAAAAAAATAAAATAAAACATCGCAAGCTCATTCTTAATTATACGTAAGGTAAAAGAAAAAAAAAAAAAATGGATACGATTTAGAAAAGAACATCCCTTTGAGACCTTTATAAACGAAACAAACAAAGATCAGTTTAAGCAAAAATAAAATTATTCCAAGCGAAACCAATACAACCCTAAGCAATATTTGTGTATTCATAAACACAGTTACCCGACTAACGTTAAATTAGTGGTGATTATTTACAGCCTTTTTCTCTCCCTTACTAGCCCCCTGAATTGAGCATACACACACCCAGTGGAACATTTCAAAATTTATAGAGGAGTTGCAGCTTCATAGGCTTAACTAGCCAATAGTGAGCTGTTAAACGATTAACGAAACGGACATCCAAACCTTGTAGGAACGGACATCTACCTAAGGATAGCAGCAAAAATGGATATGAACTTTGGATTTTGCAATGACTCCTTTTTCGAACAAGGAAACAGATCAACTGATAAGGAAGATATAGAAGAATTGAAAAAAAGCGAATCAAACGAAATAACAAAAAAAAATAATGAATTTGGTGAAGAAAAAGAATTACCGAAAGAATTATGTATACCAGTTACAATTAAATTATTATTAAATAAAATGATGAATCATGAAGAATTTAAAATCCATGATTTCCAAATTAGTGGTATTATAGTATTTGGAAAGGTATGTAATATCAAAGAATTGGCTAGTGCAATAATTTTTGAAATATGTGATTATACTGGAAACATTGAAGCAAAATATAATAAAGATGCCAAAAATGAAAAAGTTAAGGAGCACATTGAAAATATAAAAATAAATGATCACATAAAAGTAGTAGGAGTTGTTTATTCCCCTGAAAGTAAAACAGAACAAGTGCAAATAAGTATTTCTTACATTAACAAGGTAGATGACTGGGTATCTTATTTTTCATATTTCACTTCAGATGTAATATATTGTTATTTAAAGCTATTAAAATTAAAAAATATTTATGCTCCCAATGGAATTAATAATGAAGATAAGCCTTGGTCACACATAACCCTAGACACATATTATAATCAATTAGATGATATTGACACGGATATTATAAAATATCTCCACACGACAGCTGAGAAATATGCAAATCAGCAGGATATCTTTGAACACTTAAAAAAATATCATTCAGAAATGAATATAAAAAAATCCTTAACTAAGCTTATCGAGCAATACGACTTGGCCCAGTATGAAGACATCATAAGTATACCCTAATGTGAGAGTGGGCTTGTGGCCTATGCATGTGTTCATATGTTTATGCATTCATGTATGGACATCTCGTGAAGTGGAATTACAGAATATATTTATTTCTCGTGTCGATGGAATGGCAGATGTGAAGATGTTGATATTTGCATGAGGATGAAACTATAACTGATGTAATTTACCCTAATCATCTCTTTTACAAAGTATGGTTTTCCCATACTTCATAAGAAGTTAGGCTACTTATATCTACGTAGCCATATATGTTTACACCATATCATTTTACTCTACCCCCCCCACAGGGGTGTTAAAATATGAGCTTATATCCAATGATACAAGAGGGAAAAAAAAAAAAAAAAAAAAAAAAATGTGTCCCCTTGAAGCACACAATGAAGAAATTTTAGTGTATCAAGGAAGGATTGTGTGGGGGAGAGGGTATGTTCACAATGTGAGCTCTATATGTCATCAAAAGAAATATGCATAATGTCAATATATTATGTGCGTCCGTTTGCACATACGTGTGGATAATACATATAAAAAACGATATATGTTCTACTTACGAGGAAAATCAAACATTTGTGTGTTTGTGTCTTTTTTTTTTTTTTTTTATGGCATTGATGTTTTTATACAAAAAATGGTTTTCTATTTATTTTGTATAAAAAAAGGAAAGAAAAGAATATAACATTAGCCGCTACTTCAAGTTAAACGAACCTCATTTTTATCCCTTTTAATTAGATTACACTTTGGTTTTTAATGTAACATTGGGACTGATGCATTAAATATTTGGCTATTTAAAACACGGCTACAAATTTATAAGTGTACTTTGTACTTTCTTTATAGCGATACTTACTGTCAGATATATTGCGATGATTATTGTTAGGTTTACAAAAATAACGTACAGTGTGCACCATGGGATACCAAAAAAAAAAAAAAAAAAAAAAAAGGTTATTCAACAAATGGAATTAAAAAGGATGACTCTTACATGATCGTATATGATGCATTATTAAAAAAACGAATAAGGAAAATTTGTTTCTACAAAATATGTTAAAAATTTGGTAACATGGTGAGAGAAAATTTCAATAGAACAAATTAAAAGTAAAAATGGTTAAAGAAAAACAAATGAATCATTATTTGGGATGTGTAATCTCACTGAAAAGGGGTGGGGGAACACACAAAAGGTAATTAATTGAAATTAGGACACGCATAAACATAAACATATGTTTATAATGTAAATGAATACGTATACAGAAAAATACACACTAATGCACGGTAAGAATGGGTACTTAATAATTTCTTACCACATAAGAGGCTATACATTCTACAGAAGTTTTCTCATACCCCCCAATATGTTGTTTCTTTATTTTTACTTTTTTAATTTTTTTTTTTTACTTTTTTACTTTTTTACTTTTTTACTTTTTTTATTTTTATTATTATTTTATTTTATTTTTTTTTTTTATTGCCATTTTTGAAATTCAATAACTTCAACTATGCAAACTTATATTGATGTTTTACCTGACTTTATTTTTTTTCTCTGACGCAATGTTTTGATAAAAGAAATAGCTTACACCTGTAAAAACGATTATTATGCTGATGACAAAATAAATGGTAAAGTATTTGTCACTATCCAATATAAAAGGGAAATCGTAAAAATATAAAATGACCAAAGTAAGTGGAGTTGATGATTTCAAAATTAAAAAACATTCGGCTGATGAATAATTTCTGTAAAATGATGATACACTCAAATTAAATATTGCATTTACAATTATGTACAGACTATACACACGAAATGAGTATTTACAATTTGTATTATTTTCCATTGTGTGTCCTAAAAAACACTGAAGGCTATCTTCAATGTATAACAAATAAGACACATCTTTGTTCTTGTTAAATAGTAGTTGAAAATATATGATAATTGGTAGTAAACAAATCTGAATAAGAGAAGTATTGAATGACAAAAGTATTACACTCATTCTGTCTGACATGTTGCTCCCTCCCTTCGTAATTCGTAATACCTCGTGTTTAGATTCTCCTTTTTCTACATCTACGGGATCTACTCTGTTCTGAAGCGCTAAACTTGTCGAGAAGTCTGCTCCTTTAGATACTTTCATTTTTCCCCCTTCTTTTCTAAACTTTGGACAAAAAAATACAACTCCATTCTCGGTACTATTGATTTTGTTACTGACTCCTTTCCTTTCTGGTGTGGATATTCCACTCTGCAAGCCTTTTCCTTCCTCTTCCGCTTCTTCTTCATCTGTTTCTTCCTTTTTGTAGCTTACATTTGGAATCTCCAAATTCATCGTGTATCCATTTTTATCTGTCTCATTTTGTTTATCGAAAGAGTTATATTCGTCGATATTCCCAACTTTAGGATAATCCGTCTTATCCATTTGTCTGTTAGTCTCCTCTGATGACATTCTTACTTCAGTTTCCATTTCGTCGAAAACACCTTGTTGTGTCCCCACTCGTGGGATGCAATTTGCACTACAGATTTGTGTGCATTTCTTTTTACTTTTCCTTATACTTAAAACATTGTGATGTTTTTCTCTTTGTTTTATATACTCTGAAAAAAATATTTCTCTTAGTATTCCACCGAATGATGTTAAAAGAATAGAGAAAACACAAAAGAAAATGGATGCAAATATACCCAATGGTGGTGCAATAGTATCTGTGGTTTCGGAACTATGGTATAACGTAGTGAAATGATTATTATTGTCAAATATTGTATGATTTAAATTTATTGTGAAATTGGAATTCATATAATAATTGACCAGAATCTGCTTTGTGACAATAGTGTTTTCTTTGTACACATATGGAATGTAGAAGAAGAGAAATCCTACTATAACGATAATAACTGATAGCACGTGGTGTATGTTATACTTTCTTTTTAAAATCAAGAAAGATAATAAAATGGAGAAAATAAAATTCAACTGATTCAATAATAATAATATGGTTAATGGAATAGCTAGCTGCGACACGAAATAGAGAGTGTTGGATATTATGTCCAATATGGCTATAATACCTATATATTTATATGCTCCTAATTTTGTCCATTTATTTTTAATATTTGAAAATATTTTATTCACTTTTGTTTCTCTACAATGAAATATATCTTCATATGGTTCATAATGTTTGTAATTTTCTAGAATATCCTTTATGTCTTGCTTGCTGAATGAGGAAATTTCTACCTCATCAAAATTATCTTTATTCATATTACAACTGCAACTTTTATCTATTTCTTCATTATTACGTTCGTTATGATGGTTGACACGTGTCTCATTTGTATTTTGACCATTATACACATTTGTTCTTTTCTTATCCCCCCTATTTGCTACACCTGCAATAGTAGTGCAGTTATGACAAATGTTTTTATTTTCGTCCTCTTGAACTTGTATGCGTTTCCTTTCGTTTGTGTTTGTACGCTCATTAGGAATAATATTAAGATCACATTTTTTGCTATTACTTATGATACCAGTTATGCATTCACTTCCATTCTTAGGGTCACTATTTCTAGTCGATCGACTGAAACACTCATCTTCGATGTGTTCCATATTTCCCTCCAAGAGAGGCTCATATATCCTCTTTTTGTGAATGTAAAAAATTTTCGTAATTTTTTTCTTTCTCTTGATGGTTTCTTCATCTTTTACATCAACTGTGTAATTGTGCTTATCCTCCTTTCTCAAATCTATTTTTCCAATTTCAGCACTTTCCCCTTTTTTTTTAAAAAACTTACGCAAGCATGGATATATATACAACCAATGATCTTTTGTAATACTTCTAGATTTACTATATATGATACACAAAACTAAATATATAATCACATATGCTATGGCATTATATGAAGCAGTTAAGCTGTCAAAATTGTTCAGAACTCTGTTCCTCATTCTACCGCATATATTGTTGCTCACCCCCAAAAAAACAACTAAACATCCATTGAAAAATATTAAGAAAAACTTTTTCATTTTGCTCATAGTGGATTGCTTACTCGAATTGTCTTCTTCTCTAGGCATCGTTCTCCTTATCTTCTTGTTTTTATCGTAAAAGAAGTTATTATGTATGTCAATATTCTCCTGTGTGTAGTTCTTATTGCTGAATTTTACATAATCCTTATCATTTTGTGTAATATAAACTGAGTCATCTTCGCCTTGCACTTCTTCTATTTTGGAATTGCTATACTTTTTTCTGTTCGATTTCTGTTTCTCATTCTCGCTATGACTTTTGGTTATTATATTTTCCCGTCTCTGCAACGGATCGTCTTCACATTGCATATTCATAGAATTATTTTTTCTAATAATTGTATGGTCGGTATATCAGTTGATGTTCTAAATCGCGTTTTCCTGTTGTTTCACCCTTTTTTCCACATTGGAGGATCCCTTTTGGTTTCCTCTTTTCTAAATATTCTTCGTTTATAACCTGATTGATGGATATAAATTTTTCTTTTTTAATTTTATTTAAGTAATTTTCCAGTGAAACATTTTTGTACTCCAAGTGCTTTGAAATATTTTTACAATTTTCCACCTTAATTTCTTTATTCTCAATATAGGACTTTTTTTCTTTTTTTCGTTTTTTCGTTTTTTCGTTTTTTCGTTTTATCGTTTTATCGTTTTTCGTTTTATCGTTTTATCGTTTTTTCGTTTTATCGTTTTATCGTTTTTTCGTTTTTTTGTTTTATCGTTTTTTCGTTTTTTTGTTTTTTCGTTTTTTCGTTTTTTCGTTTTTTCGTTTTATCGTTTTATCGTTTTTTCGTTTTTTGTTTTTTCGTTTTTTCGTTTTTTCGTTTTATCGTTTTATCGTTTTTTCGTTTTTTTGTTTTTTCGTTTTTTCGTTTTTTCGTTTTTTCGTTTTATCGTTTTATCGTTTTTTCGTTTTTTTGTTTTTCGTTTTTTCGTTTTATCGTTTTATCGTTTTTTCGTTTTTTTGTTTTTTCGTTTTTTCGTTTTTTCGTTTTATCGTTTTATCGTTTTTTCGTTTTTTCGTTTTATCGTTTTATCGTTTTTTCGTTTTTTTGTTTTTTCGTTTTTTCGTTTTTTCGTTTTATCGTTTTATCGTTTTATCGTTTTTTCGTTTTTTTGTTTTTTCGTTTTATCGTTTTATCGTTTTTTCGTTTTTTCGTTTTATCGTTTTTTCGTTTTTTCGTTTTATCGTTTTTTCGTTTTTTCGTTTTTTCGTTTTATCGTTTTATCGTTTTTTCTTTTTTTCTTCGCGCGTTTTTTTAATTTTTTTTTTTATACAAGTAGTTGTTGCTTCTTCAACACATGTCGAGGTTGGGTTTGTTTCTTTTTTTTAAAGGCTAGTATTTTTTTCACTTTTTCGTGGTTCTTATTGTTCCCTTCTATTCGTTGTTCGTAATCAGCGGAATTTTTTTTTTTGGAAAATTATTTGTAATATGAAATTTTGGCTAGTCACCACAATTAGCATTGAGTATCCCTCTTTTCCATTTTGTTTTAGCTTTTGTTCTTTTTAACACATATGAAAAGAAGAAAAAGAAAAAGAAATTGTTCTAATAGATAAAAAATGAAAACATGAAATTGTTTCAAAGGGAATACTGAATATTCTACTTAAGGCTATATCTCAATTAATGAATTTTTATAGCAAATTACTAGCCAAAAAAAAAGAAAAAAAAAAATTACGGCATATTGTAAGTAGTATACATTTTTTGTGAAACTTTTATTAAGTTAATGTGGTCTCAAATGAGTGTAAAATAATTCTTTTGAGATTTGAAAAAGGTATTACAAAAAAAAGTGAATTTCTTTGTGATAATATAGTAGTAGGAACGAATTCAAATTTTGTTTTTCAGTCCATGCCTATTTTTGACGAGTGAAAAGTAAATTGACAAACAACAAGGACAAAAGGTACATGCCATACTCAGTGTGTTAGTGAAGAAAAAACAGACATATGTGCTAAGCATGAAGATATGTGTATGTGATATCGTACACAATATTTGTGTAAATGCAAAAGATATTCCTTTCTCTTTAGCCAATTTCATTCTTTTTTATCATTCTATATCACACACCATGAAAGAAAAAAAAAAAAAAAAAAACTATCATCTAAAGGGAGAGAAAAAAGGAAAAACACTTTTAAATATACATTCATATGTACATTTTACAAACCGCTAAAAGGTGTTTATCTAATATATTCATATTTTTCAGAACAATATACCTATCCAGGAATATGAAAAAGTTGGTACTATATATTATATGCACTCACTATTTTGATATTAGCTGGTCTTCGTTTTTGTCACTCGTATTATTCCTACTGTTATTCATTCCTTCTTTCTTTTTTGTTTTCTTTGTTTTTGTTTTTCTTCGATCACAAGCATTTAACCCTACAACAATACTCTCATAATTTCCTCAACGAATTTTTTCCTATTGCGAATTATCATTTTTTAATCAGAACAACATAAGACATTCATGAATTCTGTTGTCTACTGGTATGTGTAAGGGACGCACGGATGAGTCCACATCACGGAGAGGAGGGAATCACTTAAAATAAAATTTCATTACTCTAAATTTTAAATGCAAAAAGGTATAGAAAATTAAATTCAAGCAATTGAGAAGGTGTTGCGAATAGAGTTGTAAAAAAAAAAAAAAAAAAATGGAAAACAAATCTGCAAAGAGTAACAATAAAATTGTATAAATAGGATGAGAAAAAACATTTGTTCGACAAGCAACTGCATTTAAGAGAATTTTTTTTTCTTAACGTTTTGAATTCATATTTTAATCTATATATAGGTTTTAATAACTCCTTTGAAATATTCTTTCATGTGTGCGAAGGTGTAAAACTGAAGATATGTGACCCCTCTTCCAATTCAACATATTAGCAATAAGTACACTAGTTATAAACAGATAGCAACAACTTTGAAATTTTTTTTTTTTTTTTCTTGTACGTATACAACCACTTAAAGGCACATTATTCGTAATAATAAAACAAAAGGGATCACCTTGTTCCCAAATGAAGGTGTAAATTTAAAATTAATTATGAAGTAGCTTAGTATTTATGAATAGCGCTTAAAATGTTGTAATTATATTTATTTTTATTTTTTTTTTTTTCCCAAATATAATGAAAATAGTGCAACTTGTATGTTATGCACATAGTATGCATAACATGTAGGTGTTTTAAATTCCTCTTATTTTTCTTGTCTTACAATATTTAAACTGAAGTAAAAGCTTCAAAGAAAAAAAAAAAAAAGAAAAAAATGTAAGAAATAGATAATTCTTCAAAGGAGATGAACAAAAAGGTATTTCAAATGTGCCAATTTGCTCACACTGTGGGAAAAAAAAAAAAAAAAAAAAAAAATGGATAAACATTGCGTGAAAATAAGATACATGGACTATTCTTATCACATGTGCACTTTTTACGAATAAACATTGGCCATTCATATGTCCCAACTTAGACTCGGATAAGTCTCAGTCTTGTGTAGAATGATTAAGAGAGAACATTCGGAAAAACGTGAAAAAGCCCGAAATGGAAAGGAGTACAGAGAACAGAAAAAAAAAAAAAAAAAAAGACGACAAATGATCAACGTTGTGGGAGTTAAATATCCAAACGATTTGAAAAGTAGCCTGTACAATATGTGCCTCAGTTTTTCTTATAGTGATATTTATCAAGAATACATAAAGAGGTTAAGTCTAAATTCTTACAACAATTGTGATTATGATCAAATAAAACGAAATTCTTTTATACCTAGAGAGGATTTTTTAAAATATTATAATTTCACTCTTTATGACAATAATTTTGAATTAGAATCAGAAGAAAATTATGAAAACAAAATTTTTAAAGATTCTGATGACGATATTAGTGATATGGAGGAAGTAGGAAAATATGCATTGGAAAGATACGACGCATGGGGATATAAAACTAGAACAAGTCGAATAAAAAATCTGATATTAGGAACGCCTGAACGTAAAAATATTATCTTATCAAATCTGAAAAAGATAAAATGCGAAGAATCAAAAGATGAAGTTGTATGTTCAAAATCGTATGCATCTGAACTCTTCAGAGTTCTTAGTGAAAGAAAACATCAAAACTGCTTCTATGATAATTATGACAACTGTGGAAATAGTAAGAATTGTAAGAATAGTGAGAATAGCAGGAATAGAAAAAATTTAAGGGAAACATTAAGAGGGAATATAAAAAGTGAAGAAGAACAAAATGGATGCCTCGAAACTGTGAGGAGAAGATTTTCTTCCTTTTTCAATTTATTGCATGGTGCAAGGGAATCTTCTTTCATGTCCAATTTGAACATTTACTTTTTAAATTATCACGATATAGATAAAAAAAAAATAAAAAACTCATATAACGAAAATTACATCTATATGCTGCAAAATTTGGCAGAAGTTCAAAATGATCCCATAGTTGAAAAGTATTATAAAGGCGTTCATGAAATGAGATACGACAGATGCATGAGCACATCACACATAAGCACATTACACATGAAGGAAGAATTAAAAAACGAAGATGAAAGACACGGACAAATGATAACAAGTGTGAGAGACTATGTGGATTCACAAACTGACAGTTGCATAAAAAGTAGTAAAATGGAAAAAGAGGAAACTCACAACATATCCCCGGTTGTACCAAGTGAACCGTTCATGCTTGAACTCGAGGAGGAAAGAAAAAATAAGAAAAATGGGAAAAAAGTGCGACTAAGCGAAAATTTTGTTAAAGAGACAAAAGTGGACAAATCAGTAAATTCAAATGTGGAAAAACGATGTATACGTAAAAGTATGAAAAGACTTTGTTCAGAAGAAATTGATATATATTTTAAAAAAGTTTTGAAAAATGAAATTATAAATTTTAATCAAAAAAGTATTGATAATCGAGATAAATGGAATTCAGTATGTCATTTTGTATGTTCATGTATAGGTGCATCATTAAGTGCTCAATGCTACTTAGATATGCCACCAATCAGATCAACATTTGATTTTATATTCCTCCTTTTGCTTCTCCTCTTCTGTTATCTATTTATCGGGTTACCAGTAGTACAAATGGAATATGCACTTGGACAAATATCCCAAGGAGGTATAATAAATAGCTTAAACTTTTTACAAAAAAAATTTAGAGGAATTGCAATTGTTTCGTTCATTATATCTTTTTATGTATTGTCCAAAAATGTTAATAACAGTGTAGAAACTGCCATAGTTCTTGTCGGTTCCTTGGCAAATCCCTTGCCATGGAATTTGAACGAATGCAAAAAAATATCGCTAAGAATCCATTGTTTGCAGAATGAAAAATGCAAGTGGTTAACTGCTGATATGGACAGAGATAACACTGTTAGAGGCCATACCCAGCGTTGGTTGCCTTATACATACAAACGCTTGGATAATGTAGGAGAGCAAGTAAGAGTTAACAGACGAAGAAGAAGTAATGCTAGTCTTTCTAAAATTGAAGCTGAAACGAAAATATTACCTAACCACTGCACATCTGTTGCAACATCAGAGGGACATCGTTTCTTCTCACAAGAAGTAAAATTAACTTGGAAATTTTGGTTTTTCTTTTTAATTATACTAATTTTATATTTTCTATTAAGGATAGATGGTATGTGTCTATTCCAGATTTTGCAATACGCATTTTTCCTCTTTTTCCTTGTTGTTTTTTTTCAAATATTTATATTGTACCACGAATTGAAATCTCAAGTTGGCATCGATGTGAATAAAGTTACTACCAAGGAGGAAGGATCATCATATAACAACAAGAGCATATTTTTTAATGCTGACTATTTTCTTTACTTAAATTTTGAAATAATAGCAAAGGTATTTACCACTGTATTGATATCCCTTAACTGTTGCACAGGCATAAATTATATGCTTTCTTCCTATACAAATATTGGAGAAAACATATTTGTATGTGCCTGGTATGCCGTAATTGGTTCTTTTATCGGTCTAGCAACACATTTGATTCATTACTATTTTTGTGCTGAACTTATAAATTATTATCCACTTGTGCATGGAAAAATAACATTGGGCATGTTAGCACATGGCTATGGTGGATTCCCTTTGCATTCTTCCTCTGTTCAGAATTATTTGTTCAAAAAGGTAAAACCTATTAATGATTTTATCATATATATAGATGCACTATCAAGAGTGAAATTTCAAAACATTATGAGTTTAACATATTTTTTATCCTCTTTGTTGGCTTTGCTCACATCTTCTGCTATTTATTTAAAAGGAATAATAATTGTTCTAAAAGAAAGTAAAAAATTTAAAAATTGCCAAAAAAAGGTTATCACCGTGTTGGTAATAGTGGTGTATTTTTTTTTAGGGATTTTTTACTTGTTTCCATTTGGGCATAACACTGAATTGTTAGTGAATTATTCTACATCAAGTTGTATATACTTAATTGTTATTTCTTTACAAGTTGTATGCATTACGTGGATTTATGGTTCTGAACGTACAGAGAAATTAATAAATTGGAAGGAAAAAAAAAAAAAAAAAATTTCCCCTTCTTTGTCCTTATTATATTTGTTCGTTGCAATGTGGCTAATACCCATTATTTTGGTATATTTATATAGACACATTTTTCTAAATATTATTTTTTTTATATTTAGCTTGTTCTTACTATTGACATTATTTGTATGTGTAAATGCATATTTTGTGTGTAAAATTAATTTGAATATCAATTTTAGGGAGAAGATATACTTTTTGTATCTATTTAACGTGGATTTGTTAAGGATCAGATTGAATAATATTTTATATGGAAAAAGGAGAACATATGATTTGGAAAAAGAGGAAAAATGTTCCTTTGGTATTTCGTTACTCCAAAAATTGACAAATAGTTGGTGTTACTTAACAAAGTTTTTCATTCCACATATTTTAATAATCATTGCTTTGAGTAACTTGCTATATAACATTCAATTTCTCATCCATCGTGGAAGAATTGGAGCTCCTTTGCTACCTTCACAACCAAATAGACATTTTGAAAAAAATAAATCCGTTGTCCATTCCTATTTAAGGGCACCATGGAATGGTAAAAATGAATATACCTATTTATCTGTATCCTCAAATGAAGATGATATTCCAAGGGATGATATAGGAAATGACTCCGGCATGCAAAGCGGATCAAGAGAAAAATTCCTTACGCAGCACTATGAAGCAAAAAGACAAAGGGGTAACTCACTAAATTTAATGCAGAATATGGAGGAGAGAAGAAGCAAAAGAGAAATTCTGGAAGGGAAGGCAACTAGATATACACACACAGAAACAGATTTAAAAGGAACAATACACACTTTGAACAATAAAAATAAATCGAATAATTCATTTGGAGCTTTCACGCAACTTGGCAGTACGATAATAATGCTACTACTCATCATCATAATTTCTCTGATTGTTTTTATAAACCCTGACAAAATGAATTTTCTCACATGTGCTCCCACTAACACGTGGAAAATAAACGATGTACATTCTAAGAAAATGAACCCTATTAATTATTCTTACACGAGACATATACTTTTTTTTGAAGAAATGTTTTCCATCGAAAAAATTATGCCTAGTTATGTTTGGACACATATAAATAGGCACATAAAAAAAAACAACTGCGTTACTCCTTTTCAAGAAAATAATGATATAAACCAAACCATTCATGATAACAGTTTTGCATTTATGAATAAAAATGATTTTGAAAACCATATCTTTAACTTAATTGATCATGGTTCAAAACTAAGTCACTTTGCAGACATAAAATTGGAGCACTAAATTTTTTTTTTTTTTTTTTTTTTTTTCCTCCCCTTAATATTTTTTTCATTCTCTAGGACGAGAGGTAACCAATTGATCACCCTTTTGGGATAAATGTGGATAAACATTTTTTTTTTTTTTTTTTGCAGTTAAAGCAATTTACCTCTGCAAACTGACAAAAAAGACCTAATTTAATCATACAAACAAAAAATAGTTGCACAAAAAAGAAAAAAAAATTATTCACATTGCATATGACAAAATGGAGAAAATTGGGAAGATTTATATTCATTTAAGCGGCTTCATGCCTAAATCCTTTCTAATTTGATTCCAGCGCTCTACAGACAATGCATCCTTTTTGTTTTCCTCGTAATCGGAATAATCTTTTTTCTTCTTTTCTTTTTTTTTTTCCTTTTTTTTCTCCTTTTTTTTCCCCCTTTTTTTTTCCTTTTCTTCATCTAAGTTGTTATGTGTATGATGCACCCTCTTGTCCTTCTTTCGAACCTCGGGTGATTCACTCCTGCTATAGCTATAGATATTTCGCTTTTCTGACGAATGTCTTTTTATTTTATGCTTACGATAATCATCATATTTTCTTTTCTGCTTTTTCATTCTCTCCCGGTCAAGACTTCTCTCTTGTTCCTGCCCTCTACCTCTACCACTGCTTCTACTCCTGTCTTTGCCCCTATGTCCATCAACTCTATGCCTTTTTTTGTCCTTATCTGTACGCCTACACATTATTTTTTTCTCTTCATTTTCTTTCTTCTTCTCCTTCCTTGATTCGTAGTCCTCTTCGTCAGGGTATTTACTACTGGGGTGATGGCAATTTTCCCTGGATTTCATTTTTTGATCATGGCTCCTACTTGGAGGATCTCTTTTTTTCTCGGTTTTCTTCTCAAATAATTCATTGCCAGAAGAAATATTTAATAATTCTTTATAATAATCTAAATTGATTTTTTCTAATAAATTATTTTCTTCTAATATTTGTCTCTTGGTCAGGGTTGGAAAGTCGACATCCAAAAAATTATTTAAAATTAGACAGTTGTCAACAAATTCATCCATGTATATTTTTTGAAAGGTGCCATTCTGTAACCTCATTCTTATTTTTCTATAATCAAATAATACTGGTTCCAGGTTCTGATAAATTTCTAAGCTTTTCCCAATCAATCTAAGGTAAAAGATTCCTAACGCTCTTAGGTAAATAAATTCCTCATTTTTTATATATTCGTATATTATGTCTTTATCTGGCTGTATTTGTAACAATTTTAAAACCAAACATAAAAACCGAGTGGGTTTCCTATTACCCCCGTATGTTCCTCCAACGTACTTTAAATTTACTGCTTGGTCTATAATTGATTCGGCTGTAAAGTAGACCACCAAAAAAAAAAAAAAAAAAAAAAAAAAAAAGGAAGAAAGAAAGAAATAAAAAGTATGTAAGTAAATATATAAACAATGCTAACTTGTGTAGGATGGGGATATATACATGTATGCATATACATGTATATGCTTGAAGGCGGTCACGTTCCACACTGTTTCTATTATACTATCACGCGAAAAGACGAAAAAAAAATCTGCTACAGGAGCTTACAATAATGTAATATATAACAATAAGAACAAAATTTAAACATACATGTAAGGGCAAAACATTTCTCCTTCCAGTAGGGACTTTCGTATATTTTATTTCGTATAATGTTTGAAATTAAGTATTGCGGATTAGAGCCAAAAGTTTTAATGGCACTTACATCCGTTCTGTTGGCCATATGTTTGGGATTTCTTGATTTTTCTATTTATACCTCCTAACGCAAAAGCTCATTAGCTTGCATATGTACGTGTTATATAAATAAAACAAAAAAAAAAAAAAAAAAAATGCGAAGGTAAAAATATATGCAGACTATTAAAATATATATATGTATATATACTTAAGCTATCAACAATCTGCAAGCTTGTCGTGGGTAGTGTCATTTTGTTCCATTTCAGTGTTGTACTTCATTACTCAATCCATCTTGAAAAGCATAGGTAAATTATATACGTAAACAGCCATGCGTGCGTTATATGTAATTACCACGCTTATGAAGTTGATAAAAGCACTTTTTTCAAGCATCTTTCTCTCTTTTTTTACCTTGTTCTACAACCTCTGATAAGCAATACCCCCCAAAGCATGTTAACATTTCCTGTTTTTCACATTTATTTCCTTGCGTACTGAATTTTGGTTCAACCATTTCATATTTGTTGTATTCTTCACTATGCACTTGAGGGGAAGCATTTTTTTTTTTTTTTTTTTTTTTTCTTAAAGTTTACATCCCTTTTTTTGTGCCTCTTCTCTCATTCAGAAAAAAAAGAAAAAAAAAAAAAAATTGCTTCTACTTTGGTGCTTTTGTGGGAGGCACGCAGACAAATAAGTATATGTGTAATATTTTGGCATATATATGCAAAATTTAGATACGCATGTGTATGTATGTATGTATATATATCCACTTTTACATATTTAAGCATTCACATGTGCATATATAAGCACGCACATGTGGTAAATCTTCCAGTGAAGTGGTTATTGGACCAAGGAGAAATTTTCACATATAATTAAAAAGCGCTCACCCGCTTTCACACAATTAGTATATTTTTATGTACGCCTCTTTCCCTTCAAACCTGAGCACATACATTTTTGAATCCATATATATAAAAACATTACATTATGCAACACGAACGGGTGAAGTAGCACTATTCAAAATTAAACTTGTTTGTTAAAATTCACTGCAGACGCGAAAGATGAGAAATTGAAGAAGATCGCATATTATCTCATTCATCCCTTTTTTCCCTCAGGCCCATTCTACGTCAGAATGAATAATATAATAGTAGGAAGATTAAAATGTTGCACTTTAATTAAAAGGTGCTTCTCAAATTTTTATTCTCCTACTGTTAAGAAAAATATACCTGAATATATCGACTTTGAAACATTTTTTCCTAAAAAAGAAATAAAGCCAGATGTCTTGACAGCCTTTACTATAGCAAAACAACAAAGACTAGAAAAACTTTTAGAAAATAATTCTCTAGTATTATATCAAGGAAGAGTAATTAAAAATTTATCATGTCCAAAGATAAAAAATTCAGGGAGAAATAATGTGGGGAAAATTACAGTACGTCATAGAGGAGGAGGTCACGTACAAAGGTTAAGATTTATTGATTTTAAAAGATCAAGAAAAGATATCTATAGCACTGTTTTAAGAATAGAATATGACCCATCTAGAAGTGCACATATAGCTTTAATTCAATACGAAGATGGGGTATTATCATACATTCTAGCTCCACTTTTGCTGAGGCCAGGAGATAAAATTATTGCAAGTAAATATGCAAATATTAATCCTGGAAATTCTTTGCCGCTAAAAAATATCCCTGTGGGAAGTATAATTCATAATATTGAAATGAGACCAGGAGCTGGTGGACAATTAATAAGGGCAGCTGGTACCTATGCGACCATACTAAGTAAGGATAATCAATATGCAACTATAAAGTTGAAATCAACTGAAATAAGAAAATTCCCACTTGAATGCTGGGCTACTATTGGTCAAGTTTCCAACTTAGAGAGACACATGCGTATTTTAGGAAAAGCTGGTGTTAATAGATGGCTCGGAAAAAGACCAGTAGTAAGGGGAGTTGCTATGAACCCATCCAAACATCCACATGGGGGAGGTACAAGTAAAAAACATACCAAAAGACCAAAATGTTCCTTATGGGGGAAATGCAGAGATGGATTTAAAACGAGAAGTAAAAAGAAACCACTTGGGTTGATTATCAGGAGAAATATATGTGGTCGCTTACAGAAAAAGTATGGTGTTACTGTATAATTTTGTGATTTATATAGGAATTTCCTATTTTGCAGCAGTGTAAATGGGGAATAAAAAAAAAAGGTACCATATCGTGTATATGCATATTGAAAGAAGGATATTCTATTTTTATTTTTTTTTTATTTTTTATGCATTGAGTTTGATGTGGTAAAAAACATTTCTGAAACATCATTTTAGTACTTCTAATAAGGATGTAGTGATAGTAGTGTTGGGGAGATAATATATAAGGATAATTCATTGGGACATGTTGAAATTGGACCTAGTTATCTCTCTTTAGTCGCTTAGGGGAAGGGCACAGATTTTATCCCTGTTTCATTTGGTGACCGGGAGATTCATGTGTTTGTGCATCCAAAGTTAAGAAATTTCAAGATAACGCAATAAAGTGCATTCATCTAAGCTGAAGAAAATAAATAAATACATAAATAAATAAAACATATGTGTTGCGTTCAACTACCTCCAGATGGAGTATATTTATAGATGGGTCATTTCTATGGAACTTTCATAATGGGCGAATAACTGAAAACAAAATTTGTAGAAATGCTTTAAATTTGGAGAGGAAAAATTAAAAATCAGATGGAGGATAATTTTACAAAAACAAAAATATGTGCTAACGCGTTCACACACTGTTCGGATATTATGAAATGTGCGTTTGCCCATTTAAAATGAACTTGTCATTACAGCATACAGCATACAGCACACGGAGCACAACGGGATGTGGCAAAATTTTCGTAGTTATGTTTTGTTAAAAGAATAAAACATGCCGAAATGTGCTGATATATAGCAAAATATAAAAAATTGTAAAAAACTGTTATGGAAAGTATCAGTTCATGCACAAAGCATCACTTTTTATTTTTTTTTGTTGCATATCCCTTGTTTCCTTATTTTCCTTTTTTTTTTTTTTTTTTTCTCCACCCATTCGAAATGGGGGAAATAGAAAAAGAAAAATATATCGTTTTTACATATAAAATATGCAAATTTCAATTTTTTTTTTTTTTTTTTTTTTTGATATGTATATAAATTATCTATTACACGAAATTTCAATAAAGATGTGTCTATTTTAATATGATAAATGTTAATGTTTATTTATTTTTTTTTTTTTTTAATTAGAAGAAAATTATTAAGTTTTTTAAATTCACCTTTTTGTTTTTAATACATTTGCATATATAATCATAAAAAAGCAGTGGTCAAATCCACTTTTCAGGTAACACAACAACAAAATTATTTTTTAATTCAAGAAGGCATGTTCTTAAACGTACGCGTTAAAACATAAAATAATGTTGTTGAACATGGTTTTCGCATACCATTTAAGGGGGGAAGGGGTGCTACAAAAAAACCATGCTAGTATTTTTTAAATTGACCGCATTTTCATGTGCATGCATTCCGACACTTTAAAAATAGCAATTTCGTTTGAAAAAGTATAGACATTTCGAAAAATGTATAAAAAAACGATTTTCAAAATTGTAAAAGCAAAAAATGAATAGTTTGTAGCAACTTATGGAAAATAAAAAAAGGCGAATGCGAGTTTAATTTGAACTCTGCGATATTTTCATTTTATTTTATTTTTAAAGCGACTATTGTATTTGCATACACACATTGATCAACACGTATGCACCGGTACATAAGCGAATGTTTTGGACAGAGACATTTGCCAGTAGTCGCTTATAGCGATCGTTTGGATTCTCCATTCTGTTGAAAATAATTAAAAAAATATATGAATGCACATATGAATGAAAGGACATTGATTTTATTTTCCGCTTCTTTTGACACTCCAAAAAACGAACAAAAAATGAACTAGTAAATATATTTATATATTTTTACGCACATATATTTTAATATATATATATGTACTAACAGATATACGCCCATTTATTTACACCCTTTGTGTCAGGAACTGTTTTTTCTAAGACAAAAAGCATTCCCTTATGCGAATTATATCAACTTTATCTTTTTACAATTTTTTTGATTCATCTGTACTCACTCGAAGACATCACTAAGAGATAAATCACGCAAATCTTTACCACCAATAACTTTATTTTTTTTTTTTTCCCCATCTCCGTTTTGTCAATTATTTGTTTTTTTTCCCATCTCTGTTTTTCCAATTATTTATTTTTTTTCCCATCTCTGTATTGCTAATTATTTGTTTTTTTTCCCATCTCTGTATTGCCAATTATTTGTTTTTTTCCCCATCTGCCCTTTGCCAATTATTTGCTTTTTTTTTTTTTTTTTTTTTTTTTCTTGTTGTTTTTTGTTTTTTTACATTTTATGATTTCCTTATTGTTTTAAATTGACATTTACTTGTACACGGAAAACCAAAATGCAGATTACCACATGTAACGCCATCATTAGGGAATTCTTGGGAGAATTTTTGGGAACATTTGTCCTTATGTTTTTGGGGGAAGGGGCGACAGCAAATTATCACACCGTAGGAAATGAGAAAGATTGGCTTAGATTATGTATAGGATGGAGTTTGGGTGTATTTTTTGGTATACTGACATCAGCCAAATTAAGTGGTGCACATTTAAACTTAGCGGTGACTATAGGTCTATCCACAATTAAAAAATTTGATTATAAAAAAATACCATTATATTTTTTTGCACAGCTTCTAGGGGCATTTTCAGCAACCGCTTCTGTCTATGGGCTATACTTTGGATTTGTTAAAGTTAACAAAATCCCTGAATTTTCATGGGAAACAGGAAGAAGTCCTATGATAGGTTTTACCAGTGCATTTTTTCACGAATTAATATTAACAGGTATTCTACTTCTTGTAATATTATTAGTGATTGATGAAGACGTATGTGGACATTTTCACATTTTAAAAGTTAGTACAGTAGTTGGATTAACCATTTTATGTATTGGTTTAAGTTTTGGTGGTAATACTGGATTTGCCCTTAACCCATCAAGAGATTTGGGTGCTAGATTATTTTCCTTAGCAGCATATGGAACTGGAGCATTTACAAATGATAAGTATTACTTTTTGATACCTCTTATAGCCCCCATTCTTGGAGGTATAATTTTTAGCCAGCTGTATAACAAAATAATTTCTCCATTAAATGAAGGGGCCAACAATGATAAGGGCGGTGTCGATGTGTAACATTGAGGAACCTTATTACAGCAACACATAATGAAGTTTTAGTGCAATATTTGGTATTGATTAGTTACATACAATAATATGAACTGTACCCCTTATACAGAAAATCAACATTTGTAATATTTGTTTTATATCATATATTTGTTACACATTCATTGTAATTTGCTTGTTTTCAAACAGACAATTTGCTTTTTACTCTGTAAAATTTTTTTTTTTTTTTTTTTTTTTTTTTTTTTTGTATACTTCCATTTTGAAATTATATTAAAAGTATTAACCTAAGATGTAAGAACTGTAACAATGAAAAATTAATGATTCACATAACACTTTCAAATAAAATTATCATATTTTGCAGAAACTAATACACATTATCTAAGTTTAAGGCGTATGTATCAACACTTCAATTATTATGAAATTAAAAAAGTCCAAAAATATAACACAGTAAACATGTATACATGTCTTATTGTTTTATTTTAAAATGATGCTAGGGGTACTGGATTTTTGAAATTGTTTAAATAATATTATTTAAAAAACGTAGCCACGAAGGGAGTATTTCTACTCTCAGGTTATTCCTTATATTGTTACGATTCAGCAACTGTTATTTTTTGTTTGGTTTTGATGATCTACAGAATTAGTTGCCCCTTTAGTAGTCTAGCGAGTTATATAGTCGATAGAATATTCTTCAAACGCGTGGGCATTCTAATATGTGTTATTAATATGGTCAATTTGTATATTCTTAAAAGAAAAAGGTTTGCAAAATGAGCAAGTCACAAAATGAGCAACGTCACAAAATGAACAAAATAAATAATAGGGCCCCCTGTACCAAATGATGCAATTTAAGTTTACAACAAGATGATGAATATAACTACATACGAAATTCTAAGTGTGCTTATAAAAAAAAAAAATAGAAGCGAACAACTTTCCAAAAATAAATGTAAAGTTGTTAATGGTTGGTTACTTCTTTGTATGTCAGAACGTAAGGCTCATTCCTTGTTCCACTTAACCAAAAAGAAAAAAAAAAAAAAAAAAAAAAAAAAAGAAAAAAGAAACGAAACGAAACGAAAGTTTCTATCCATATCTGATGCGTACATATAGGTATACAAGATCTTATATATTTAGCACTTAGCTATGCATTCTCATTGTATTACAATGAGTTTTTCGTTTTCAAGTGTTTGATCATATTTGCTACTTTTTTTTTTTTTTTTTATTTATATAAGTCTTTCAAATAATGTTAATGCAAAAAATGATACGGATTAAAAGATCTTTTCCCCTTGAGCGAATTGGTTCATTTTACTTTCATGGGAGAGTTAGCAGATTTATAACATACTATACGAAATCACACGAGTATATCAAAATAAATGATGAAAATTTGAAGGAGTTGAAAAATAAAAACAATGTTAAATGTAAAATAGGAATTAGCAATTATGGAACAGAAAAATTGGGAGAAATTGTGTATATCGATATACCACATAACATAAATGATTATGTAAAAAAAGGTGACTGTATTGCAACAGTTGAAAGTGTTAAAAGTGTCGGGGATGTTTATACCCCCATCAGTGGGAAAATTGTCGACATAAATAATAAAATAATGGATAACGTAAATTTAATGAATGGAAATTCGGAAGCCGATGGATGGATTGTGGAGTTGCTAACGAACGACGTGAATGAAAAAGAAACAATGAGCTTTTCTGAATATAAAAAAATATGCGAAGAAGAGCAGCAGAAGGAAGAAATCAAAGTGCAACAGAATGAAATGAATTGTCTAGAGGAAAAAAACAAGAATAAGATTTTCGATTTGAATGACATTAAGAATATTGAAAACATGAGGAAGAAATAGGGAAAGAAATGTTGTAAAAAATATGCAAAATGAATTGCGGTCTCCAGAGAAATGATATATCGCTCTCCCAAGTCCCCTTAACGATACCCATATATGTCAATAAGCATATCCCATGTACGTAAAAACGCTCTGAGCATAAAATCGAGAGTGACATACACCCATGTATATATGTATGGGGAAAAACCAATGGACATTTTCTACAGATATAAAACCATTTGGTTTTAAAAAAAAGAAAAAGATGAAATGAAATAAATGACACATTTTAAATTAGTTACCGAAAAATATGTCTTTTTTTTTTTTTTTTTTATACATCTTTTAAAATATAATTCTTGACAATTCTTTACATTTGATTATGCCACTTTTACTCGCATTTGTTTACAATAAAGAATATAAACAAAGTATAGTATTAATAATAGTGTTTCATATGTATTTTCGTAAGTCTGCCACTAGGAATACTTTAAATAACAGCTGATGTAACAGTTGTTTTATTGTATTGTGTTGTATTTTATTTTCTTGTCTCTTATGGTTTTAAAATGAGGTAGCATTTTTTTTTTTTTTTTTTTTTTTTTTTTTTTTTTTGATAATTTTTAAAAAATTTTTTTTTACACCCTTTTAAAAATCACAACGAAAATAATTTTTTTTTTTTTTAAAAATGGTTGAAAATAAAGAATAATTTGAAAAATAAAAATTTGGAAAAATAATAATTTGGAAAAATAATAGTATGGCAAAACAGGAACATTAAAGAATAACGAATAGTTACACACAATGTAAAAGGAAAAAAAAAAAAAAAAAAAAAAAAAAAAAACATGCACGTTCATAACTTTCGTCTGAGGCGTTATTTTTTTATTCGCAAATTTTTTTCACTCTGGCACAGATCTTCCAAAACTGTTTTTTTTTTTTTTTTTTTTTTTTTTAAAACATAATATAATTTTAAAAATAAATTGCAACACCAAAACAAAAAACCTTACAAATTCATCAGTATACGATCCCTTATATCATTTCAACGTTAAAAATTTTTTTGTCAAAACACTTGTGTAGAGAAATATACAAGAAAATGGAAAAAAAATAATAAAATTAAAAAGAAATCATAAGTTTTTTGTTATACACATGTATATATATATATGTACTTACAAACCCACGTATTGTATACATTTAAATAACAACCCCATTTAAGTTAAAGGAGGAAAACAATATACTTTTGATGTATATTTGTGTAAATCCATATATCCAGGAAATACAATACTTAAAAAAAAGTTCGATTCAGTTAAAAAAAAAAAAAAAAAAAAAAAAAAAAATATTTGAAAATTTCCAGACCATTTTAACTTTTAAAAATAGACTTACGAAAATGTGTTGTTGTGTGTGCGGATTGTTACTCTTAGCCCTGATTGCTTTAATTGTTATCTTAATTCTTAATGGTATTATAAAATTGAACTAGGATGGAAGAAGATTCTTTCAAAAATGGAATACAAAAGAGAAAAGAAATTAGTATGCTACGATGAAAATGGAGTTTTTGTAATACCCATGAATAATGTTGATAAAATATACTTATATGAGATGTTTTAAATCTAAAGAACCAAGCTGTAGAAGAATTTATATTTTTTCAGGAATATCATAAGAGAAAGGATGGATTGTTACATCGTTTGAATTATGAGAACAGATACATATAGACAAAAAAAAAAAAAAAACTAATGTGTCTAAAATGAAAGGCATACTATCGTCTTGCTAGGGAACGTGTCCTACTTGGGGAATTGCTTCCCCTCTTCCGTCCTTTATACATTATATATATATATATATATATATATATATATATATAAAGGAGGAAGTGTACAAACATATACATGTATTTATGTAGGCACACATGCAACCCTACATACGTATACATATGCCTATATTTAAATGAGAAACCTGAGATATATTTTGCCCTAATTAAACTTTGTGCTTTTCTGCTACATATGTTTCAGTATGCCTTGGGGCATTGTGTTTTGAAATGGTTGCATCTTGTAAATATATATTGTAAATGTATTTATTCATAACGTCATTGTACTTATTTTATGTTAAGATTTTTTTTTTTTTTTTTAAGTATCAAACATTAATAACATTTTTTAAAAGAAATGTTAAACTTTTGAAGTAAACCAAAAGCTTAGACTTAAAATTGTAACCTTTAAATATAATTATGCAGATACTTTTGTTTTAAATATGCTTCGTGAGCATTTAAGTTACAACGAAAAAGTAGCATTTAAATTTAATAAACAACCCTAACAAAAAATAGGGAACTTCACTGATGACGGAAGCAATAAAACTTCTAATAATATTGGCTACAATAAAAAAAAAAAAAATAGCACTAAAATGTTAAAAATAGCTTAAAACGAACCCAAATGGTCCAAATTAAATGAAAGGGACTAAATTTTTCTGCAAGTGCTCCTATCTAACATTGATGCTTCTTCAATTTAAACAAATGTAAATTTTCCACGTTATTCATGTAAAAATATGTTAACCATTCTCGGTGCAAAAAATTACATTTAAAAACTACATTTTCACCCTTTTGCATTTTTTTGGGGACATGGTGCAAAGATCTATTAAAAATATGTAGATAAAAATTGCTTCTATCATAAAGTTGGTATTATGCAAAAATAAAGGTGCAAAATATAGTGGGATTACGTATTCTTTATTTGAAATAAATAGGTTTTTACGCAACTATATGTACCATACGGGATTTACACAAATACAACTTTTTAAAACGAACAGAAATAATAATATTTTTTTTTTTTTCCATTTTTATTTTGTAAAATGGCCATTCATGATATGGTAAAAAAAAGGAGAAAAAAAATAGATTTTTTTTTTTTTTTTTTACGAAACCTTTGTCAATAGAATCAGGGATTAAAGGCTTAAAACGAACGTTTTGGGGCTTTAGCATCGATGGAAAAAGCATTACTTGTAAAAAACAAGTTAACCACAACAATTTAGTACGACATGACGGATTGGTGCACCTTTTTTATTTTTCTTGCAATTAAAACAATTTTTCAAGAAAACCGTATCCATAGCATAACAAAGTTGTAATATTTCTTTTTTCAAATTTTGAATAAGAATTATAAACATTTTCTACAATTTACAACTATAGGGAAAACAATCGCAAAGTCAGACTTATTTAAAACTGCGGAAAGTAAAAGCAGAAGATCAAAGTGTCCTCTCATAAAGGAGAAAAAATTATAAGTAAAAAAAAATAGTGCTGGAAAATAGGGCAAAACAGAGAGCAAAAGCTATGCAAAAAAAACTCCAAAAGTTACGCTAAGGATACCCCCCCCTCTCAATCCCCAAATTGTTCCATAATAACATTACGATGAAAGAAAACATTTTTGACACAAATGTAAGTAAAGTTAAGAGAAAGAGAAATATCATAAGAACTAAAAGCAGCAAGAATAATTTCCAACCCAGAAGGGAACCAAGTGAAAGATACAAAAATATTTTGGATTATTACAAAAATGAGAAAAAAACAAACAAATTTATTGATAAGAGAAAAAACAAAGGGTTACATAAAAATAGTTCAAATTTTAAAAAGCATAACATTTTTAATCTAAATAATGACTCGTTCTTAAAAGATAAACATCTAGGTACAAATGATGATGTATATGGGGAAAGTGATCAGTCATATGACAGTTCCACAACTAATGGTGGCAAGTTTGGAATAACCTCGAAAAAGGGAAAAAGTAAGAATGGTGCAATGATTAATGATTTTGTTCAGGGAAAAATAAAAAACAGAAAATTGTGGAAAATTAAAAAGTACGAAATTAAAGAAAAATTACGTGAATTTGATAAACATTTTGAAGACATTAAAAGGAGTGTACTTTCTTTACCAAAGACAACTGGTGATGTGAGCAAAAATGGATATTTGGAAAATGCAAGAAATGAAGAAAGCAAGTTTTCCGAAAAATTGAAAAAAACGAAAATCCGTAAAGGAGATGGGGAAGATGATGATGAAGAAGATGATGATGAAGAAGATGGTGATAAAGAAGATGGTGATAAAGAAGATGATGATAAAGAAGATGATGATGAAGAAGATGATGATAAAGAAGATGATTATGAAGAAGATAATGATGCAGAAGATGATGAGGAGGAAGATGATGATAAAGTAGATGATGATAATGAAGATGATGATAAAGAAGGAGAAAAAGAGCAAAATAAACTGCTTCATTTAAGTAAGCATGCGAAAAGGTCAGTTCAGAGAAGCCCAATGCTGGAAAAAAGTAATGGGAAAATCGAAACACAGCTGGAAATGGATCCTCAGGCGGAATTTTATGATGAATGGGAAATGGAAGATGAGTCTGAATGGGAGGACGGGTTGGTAATAGAAGATGGGTGGGAAGCAGGTGACTTATCGGAGGAAGAAGAAGCAGAAGAAAATAAAAAAGAAAATAAGGATAAAAGAAAAAAAGTAAAAATAGGTGACAAAAAAATAGTAAAAAGAGATGAAAAAAAAATAGTAAATATAGATGAAAGGGTAAAGGACCTGGGTGACCAGGATAGGGAGGAAAATAATGATTATGATAAATATTTATCCAAGCCCCCAGAACAAATTCAAGCAAACGGATTGTTGAATTATAAGGAAGATAAAACGAAATCATCATATTTGATATATGAGAAAGAGAAAACGAATGAGAATGAGGAAAATATAAAGGACTCAAAGTTATTTTTTCCAAAAAAAAAGGGAAAGAGAGAGAATTTAGAAAATAACAAGGCATGTTCGGCTTCATACCTTTCAGATGATAGCAGTAATGAAGTAATTGAGAAATTGTTTAATAGAAAAAAGAGTTCCCTTTGTAAAGACGAATCAATGAAAAACATATCAAATGATAAAGTAGACAAAATGCTTGGAAATTTTTTAATGGATGGTAATAATGAATTATGTAGCTATTTTTCAAACGAATTAAATGATGAAAATGAAAAAGGTTTACCTATTTATATTTCCATAGAGAATAAATTGTATCAAGTGGAAGATGTTATAATGCTTTTAGATCATCATAATTTTAGTGCCCAAAAGAAATTATTATACAGAATATACTATATAAATATGTTTAATAAGAAAAAAGAAAAGAATATTTATCACGCTTCTTTCCTTTTTTCGTTAATGGATTATTGCATTTTAAAGATATGCCGATGTTTGAAATATAATTTAAGTTTACGTGACTTAATTGAGAATTACAAAGACATAATTGTAGAAATTTCTTATCTTATGAAGACAGAGTTATATCTGTACATATCTTTTTTACTTTTTATAGTCTATTCCAAAACGCAGCAAAAGGGAAAAACCAACTTATTTTATAAAAAGAAGAGGAACATGTTAGTAGAATATTTAGAATTAAACAAAAATGTACGCGATAAAATATATGACGTGCACATTTATTCGAGAATACTAAAGAGCGCCGATTTATTTAGCGATATTTTTGAAAAATATAATCCACAGGATGGAGAGGAGAAAGTTAATGATGGAAAGGGAACCTTATCCTACATCCACTTTTCAGTTATCTTCTTGACATTAATTATATATCCAATCAACAAGAACGAAAATAATTACGGAAGCAGAGATGGAAATAGAGATGGAAATAGAGGTGGAAAGAGAGGTGGAAAGAGAGGTGGAAAGAGAGGTAGAAATAGAGATGGAAATAGAGATGGAGAGAGAAATGTCGATTCTCGGATAGCCGCTCTGCATGATGTGTTTGAAATAAGAGAAGCTGCGGAGGATGAAGATACAATTATTGATCGTCTCATAACAAACATTAACAAACATGGACTGGATGATGAAAAGATAGCAAATAAATTTCTTCATTTAAAAGGAGAAAATGTTCTCATCGATAAGGAAGAAAGGATTCCTCTAATTTCATATATAATCGAATTTGTAGAGTATTTATTTTATAACTACTTCCATTCAGGCAATGTCAATTTGAGACTTGATGAAGATTATAAGAACCTCCATTACATATGTAACTGTAATACGTATGCTAATGAAAATAGTATAGAAGAATGCATACAAAATGTTGAGAAATTATTTTGTTTTAAACGATTCGAAATAGGAAATGAAAATACACAGAAAAAAGTAGAAATGCAGGATATGAAAAAATTGGATGCGCAAAGTGACCTTGGAATATTTTTCCAAAAAAAAGAACTAAAAAATGCCATTATCTTATTAAACATTTATAATGTAATTATAGAGAATAGTAAAAAATATAGTCAAAGTTTTTTTTATTTATCTTTCAAAATTTTAAATACCCTTCTGTATAACATTATATTTGAAAAAGAAAAGAAACGTATGCACAATGATGACAAAATGCAAGAGGGAAAAGACGAAAATAATGATGAAAAAAAAAAAAATTATAAGGATGCCAAAAATTATTTTTACAATATATCATTTAACACTTTTAAAAATTTAATCTTATTTTTGAAGATTTATATAGACAAAGAATTTAATGTCTACATATTAATAAATCATATAATTATCCCAAGTCTGCTCTATATATATATTAATTTTTTAAACTTTATAATGAAATATGATATAAAAATAGAATTTGTTAAAATTTTAGATGAATTTAAACACATAACTGATAGAGAAGATTTTTTACTTACAAGTGATAGTCTATTTATCAAATATAATAAAAAGAAGGAAAAATATTTCCTCTTTTTGATATATATATATAAATTAATTCAACACTCTAACACACATGATATTAAACCAATAGTATGTCAAAATTCCGAAAACAACCATATACCTCTGTTTACCCCCAAATATGCCAACAGTAAAGACCCCAAGGATTTTGTCATAATGCAGAGCGGTCATGCCATGTTTGCAGAGATGAAATCAGTTAAGAAAAAAATGAAGCAGCAGAAAAAGCTGGACTACAGTGAGGTGAGTCTCGTGCATGAAATTTGTGTATTTACAGGAAACTTGTGTGTAATTGTACATACAACAGAACATACACGGACTAGATGTTTGTATGGACACGCTAGGAAATTTCTCGTTCTTTATTCGTATGTTTATTTTATGTCAACTTTTTCTCCCCCCTCCCCCCCCGCTTTTTGCAGCTGAGGAAGGAAAACAACTACATTTTAGCTCTTAAGTCAAGAGAGGAAAATGAGAGGATAAGGAGAAACAGGGAAAGGTATAAAAAAATAAAACTTATGGCAAAGCAAGACGTTGAGGAATATAATAAGATGAAGACTTATACACATTAAATGGTTGATCATATCGGAACGTAGGAATAATCTACTAAATTACATAACCCAGCAATAGCATCATTACCACCCAATCCCATATACATACGTAGACCTACACGTACATACAATAGCAGACATATATGCTGTATGCATAAGTGTTAGAATGTGTAATAATTAAGCTGGCAACTTTTTGGATAAACGTGATCCGCTTACATGGTGCATTTGCAGCGCTCGAACAGTTCCTTCATATGACATATTTGTTTTATCGTTTCATCTTTTTACTGTTTCGTCGATTTATTGTTTTATAGATTTATTGTTTTATCGATTTGTTGTTTTATGCTGAATGTTAAGTCTCAGTTTCTCCTTCCCCATCCCCCGCCCTTTTTTTAAAAACTCTTCAACTTGTAAAAATATGTATGGAGGAGGAAAAAGAATTAAACCTTTCCTCAACTTCTATACTTCCCTAACCATACTATTTTTATAGGCACATTAAACCGAATTAATAATGCTTGAAATTTTTTTACACTATGCTTGTTGTACGACGAACAAATTAAATAAAGTGTAGTAAGGACAGAATATATACAATAGTGAATTTTTTTTTATTTTTTTTTTTTTTTTCCTTAAAAATGTGGATAATTTTTGTAATGAGAAATGGTGGTTATAATATGCCAATGTAAAATTAAGCCATGTGCAAAGTTAAAAATTTTAAACTGTGGCAAGGATAGAAAAAAAAAAAAAGAAAAACATTTTTACAGAGAAAGATAATAACATTAAGATGAATAACAATGGGATTTTCTTTATGTAAATAATTTCTTGTATCATTACACTTTCTCCATTTTGCATATATGTCTACGCCACTTTGTATATATATTTGTGTGTGCTTGTGCCTTTGGTTAGAGTTTTCTCCACTAAGGGGGACTGATCAATCTATACTTCCTTTCATTTTTTCTTTGGCGATTCAAAATTAAAATCCTCATTCATCATATTACGTATATCCTTTATTTTTAGCCCACACCACTCATATTTATTTATATAGGTGGAATTATAGATCTTTTCACATAATTTGTTTTGCATGGATATATGATCGTACAAATTATTTATGTTGGTTCTTATTTTTACTATTCTCGAAATATTTTCATGTATATCTTCATCAAAGGTAGTTGAAATTAAATCTCTCCACCCCTTTCTTTTCAGTAGTCCTAGACTTTCTCTTTCTTCCTTTTTCGGGATCATATAGTACATGTACAGTTCGCTGCATCCTGAGAAATGAGGAAAATGAAAAAAAAAAAAATAAAATAAAATAATAATAATATAATAATATAATAATAAAATAAATAAAAAGAGAATAAACAAGTAAAAAAACAAAAAAGGTTTCAAATATATGGCGTGATTTAATCTACTTTTTCCCCATGAGCTCATTGATCTGTTTTTTTTTTTTTTTTTTACATATATACTAGTATATCAATTTGTTTTTATTCTATTTACACTTCATTTGCATTATGTATGTACTTCTTTTACATTTTTCATTTCTTTTCCCCCGCTTGGTTAATTCTACTGAGGGCACTTACCGATAATCCTCTCGTACGATTCCTCAGCATCCGAGTTGGTATTTTTGATGGACGAGCATGGGCACACGTTAGACAGCTCAGTAGTTTTCCCTATGTTTTCTTTTTGGATATTTTTCAAATCCAAGTCGTAGTGCTCCGAATAACAGTCTGTGTCATAATGCATGTTTAAGCACATGTATTTATAAGAACATAACAACAAATAGCACTGTCTTGGGAATATATCAATGTCGCTAAATATTATGTATAAAAAATTTCCTCCATTTTTTACATTCAATTTATTTTCTCCTTCTGTTTCTTTATCCATATCGTTTGTGTTCCACGTTGGGTACGTGTGTGGTCTACTGTGTTCATTTCTACTGTTCAAGTATTCACCTGAAGAGTCAGCAGAATTGTTTAGAAGTGTGGCCCATTCTTTATTGAAGTTTAAGAAGTAGGTAGCTGGGTATTGTTGTGCGGCAAAATTACTAAAATAACATTCTTCTTCATTTGTATAATGATTCTGACTCTTATTATATTTCTTCGGATCATTTGAATTACTTTCTTTAAGTTGATGTAATCTATCGTAAAAACTCTTTTTTCTTTTTTGTTTAGATTCCTTTTCTTGTATTTCATCCTTCTGGTCTTGCTTCTCAATACAAGATGAATTAAATAACTGCTTGTGGGTTGAATTATTTTCTGAACATGTATTATTATTAAGAAATGCCTCCAGAATAGCCCTAGGCAAAAATGCACACAAAATATGATAAGTCGATTTTGCACTCAAAAATGGATGTGCCCAGATACATTTTATATTTAATTCAGAAGTACTTAAGTACTCAACTAAACAACCACATATAATTTTTGAAATGTGAATTGAATTTCCATCAACAGCTGTTGAAAATGAATTTGTATTTAATGTTATTATGATCCCTGAAAAATCATCCAAGAGTATGTCGTCATAAGTTTTTTGTATATTTTCTGCTAAATTTTCATCTAATTCTAATAATTGAAAAGGTAAATTTCTATTTCTAATATCATTCTTTTTATTAATTATATTTTCCACGTAACTCCAATTAATTAACATTTTTTCATGTAAAAAGTGTCGATGTCTATACATGTTAGTATATTTAAAAAAGTTTCGATGGTTGCTTAGAAGTACGTCAATTTTTTTTTCTTTTATTTTAATTTCTGTTATTATTTTTTTTAACTTTTTAAATTTTATTTCTTCGTTTTTTATCTTCTTGTATTTCAGATAGTTCTCTTCCTCGTTGCTGTTCATTGTAAGGCTCTTCATAACATTTTTTATAAATTCCTCCTTTTCTACATTTCCACTTTCGATTATATTCACTTTGCATTTATCATAATTCGTTATATTCTTATCAACAATTGAGGCTTCATCTTTTTCATCACTAGGTATATTTTCACTTTGATCCTTCGCTTCCGTGGGTTCTGCAAATTCATTGAGATTTTTCATATCGGATTGTTCGTGCACTTCATTAGTATCACATTCTTTTGAACAATTTCCCATATTCATTTTCGCAAAAACGTTTAAAAAATTATTATATTCCCTTTCCACAATCTCTTTATCGCTATCGCCCAAATAATTTAAATCATCGAATGAGTTAGAAACTTTCTCGACCTTCTTGTCATCTGGTTTTCTTTTCTTCTTTATATTTAAGCGACTATTGCCTTTTTTCATTTCATCCTCATTAAATATGTCCTCTGGATGATTCAAGGTCTCTATACAGGATATATTATTCTTATCGTTAGTTGTAATATGCACTAGTTCACTTTCATCAACATCCGTTTCACATTTATCAATATCGAGATCTTTACATTTTGGAAATTCCTTCATGTTGTTATTAATAGTTTTCTCTTCTATGTCAGATAGTTCTGGCATTGCTTCTTCGCTCTTAAGACATGTGATGAAATGCTTGGCATTTTCTAACACATCTCCTTCATCATTATGTGTGACGTGATTATTTATGGTAGGTTCATTTTTATTTTCCTTTTTGTCACAATCTGATTCAATTTTCGACACATCTAAATTTGTATTTAGTGCATCCCCATGTTGACTTTTTATTTTTATGTATTTTTCATCCCTTTTGGAAATATTTCTCTTTTCCTTTAACTCATTCTTATAATCATTAATTGTATTTACAATTTTTCTTTTTTTTTCAATAAGTGCTTTTAAGTCATCGGGAATATTAATTGGAAGATGCTCAATTTTAAGATTTAAATTATACATATTGAAGAATTCATTTGTTTCGTTAATTAACTTTTTGCTTTGATCCATTGCAAATTCAGGGAACTTTGTCCTTAAATTGTCTGTATCGTAAGTTTCATTTTTGTTATGTTCAAATTTCAATGAATTCTTGTTATTTTCTTTCCATTTGTATTTTTGATCTCTTTCAAATTCACTTTTTTCATTCTCTATTTGAACATTTAATTTTTGTTCGTCTTTCACCTTCGTTTCATTTGTTTTTATATCTTCCCCCATACATGAGATTTCTGTCTGAATGTCTATTTTTTCACTTTCTTCTATTCTTCCTGTTGAAATGTTGATCTCTTCATCTTGTGTGTTTTTTATTATTTCTTTTGTTTCCTTCTGAGCAAGTCCTTTTAGTTGTTCATCGGCACCAGTGTCAATTATTAGTGCTTTCGAATTAATATGATTGCATTCTATTTTCAAAGATCCACCCCCTTTGAATTCTTTTCCACGGGTGCAGAGACTTCCATTTTCACCATCCCACTCTGGTGTTTTCTTTTTTGCTATTGTCTCATGGTTTGAACTTACTGTTCTATTAGTTATTGTACCCATGGTACCATTAGGAGTATGCTCATTCGCTTCTTGTGTAGTTTCATCTGTTATTTTATGGTCTATTTCAATTTCATCAATAATACTAATACAATCGGTAGTGCTAATGTGGATCATTTGATCAGATATATTATCACTCTTGGAATTGTTTAATTGTTTTTCCTTTTTCTCATTTTGTTCTATAATGAGACTTTTAAAAATTTCATCAATTCTGTTTACCCTCTTCCCATCTCCATTATTTTTCATAAAATTTGAATTCTCCTTTTGGTTACTATTATTTATGCTACTTATGCTGTGATTTGTTTTTTGTTTTTTAATCTTTGTATTTTTTTTTTCCATTGTACTTTTTAGAAATCCATACGCTTTTTGTTGTTCCTTTTGATTGTTTTTTTTCTTCTCGTTTATGCTCTTTTCTTCTCGCTCCTTTGGGTTTACATGTGTTATATGTATTAAATTTGTTTCTTTCCCCTCGTTCAAGTCGTCAACAATTTCAATTATGTCTCCTGAATTGATAGCTGGTGTCTGTTCTAGACCACCTTCGGCTTGTACAATATCATCATTATTTTGTTCATTACTATTAATGGGGCTCGGTTCTAATGTTTTTTTTTTCTTTTCATTTTTGTCTTCTTCGTTTTTTTCGCTTTTTTCGTCTTTTTCGTCCTTTTCTCCTTTTTCGCCTTTTTTAGGTAATAAAAAATTGCAAATGCTTGTTGTATTTAATGTAACCATACTAGCAGAGCTAGATGTACCAAAAGTGATGGGAGTAATTGTTGTTCCAATTTTTTTCATATCCTCCTCATTTGTGTAGTTTGTTTCACTGCATTTTTTTATATTAATAAAATTGTCAATTAGATAAACATTTTCATTATTGTGTAATTTCATTAATTTCCTTTTTTTATTTACATTATGATCAGTGTTCTCTTTTTCTTCTGTAGATCTATTTTCTATTTTATCACTGCTGATGATTATGTCGTTCTTTAGTCCCTTCTTTTCTGTGGATAGAGAATCTAATGTACTTGTGTCCTTGGGATGCATTCCATCTTTATCAGACTTATTCGTTTTATTTTCACAACGTGTGTTATCCCCTTCCTCTTTGTTATTTTTCTTTTTCAAAATTGCAAACACATTTTGCACTTTTTTCGTGAAGAAATTTTCCATTATTCCTGTGTCAAGATGAAGAAAAAATTTACGTTCCTTCGTTCGGTTTCGATTGGTACTTTTTATGTCCTTGCCTAGGTTCCCTGCTTTGTTTTTCTTTATCTTTTTGTTTGTTCTTTTTCGTCGATATTTAAAGCCTCCTCACTTTTCCTCTGATAGCATATTATTTTAATTTTATTTTTAGCATTTCTTCTTGAACTTTAAATTAATAATGCACCTCGTACAGAATAAAGGATTTGGAAAAGTAGTTCATTGCTATAGGACAGATGTAGCTTATGTTAAGTGATGGATATGAGGAAATTTTTAAAAAGATGAAAATTTTGAATAAATCTGAGTTTTCATAAATTTGTTTTAAACTCATTTTCTTAATTTTATTTTAAGCTCGTTTTCTTATTTTACTACATGTCCTTGTACAATGAAGCTTGTAGGAAAGTTCAAGCTTTAATGGAAATTTCACTCGTATGTGTTTTGAATAAAATTTTATGCCCCAATACGAGTATATGTAAGCTAATAAAATGGTAGCAGCACTTAAACAAAATTGCAAAAGAGTGACATGAGTGAACGGGTTTCAATTTTTGTCTGCCATTTAAGCGACGAAAAAAAAAAAAAAAAAATATATGAGTAAATGTAAAGGCATGCACGAGAAAGTATATTCCTACCAAAAATGGGGATATTGTAAAATAAGGCCAAACGTAAAAAAAAAAAAAAAAAAAAAAAAAGAAAGTCATGCAAAATAAATATTACATCGAGAACTACACCAGAAATGAAGAGATACTGGTTATGTAATTTTTTATCTTTTTCTCAGACCCCTTGTGAATTGTGTATTTTTTTAAAAAAGTGCAACAAAGAAGAAGTTACATGTAAATATGTGTATAATATGTGAATATACAAAATGTCAAGTTGTCACAGAAACACAAATATAATGTATAATGTATAATTGGATATGCACATATTCTGGAAAACAAGTGCCATTTTTCAATAAGGCCTTAAATTGTGCAGTAATAACAAGATGTGTTAAGTACCTTTATTAGCAAATCTGTTAATATGTTTTATGATAAAGTTGGAAAAGAGATACTAGCGCGAAATTGGTTATTTCATAACTTAGGCAACACCAAATTAAAGGGGAAACATAACTATAAGGATCTTCAGAAAATGAACATACGAAAAATGTTCGTTATAAATTAAAGAGGAACATATCCGCACCATAGGGATATGGTGATTATGTTCATACCCTTTTAGCTCAAGGGAGTGTGCAAAAATACTAGCATCGCCATTTACACTTTTGTATATATACTAAAAAGAAAGAAAAAAATTTAAGTTAGAATAAATCCCAAGGGCTTACAAACAATTTTTTCAAATTTGACATTTTTAAAAATGTTCTCTTATATTTTAACTCCCTTAAAGAGGAAAAATCTGAATATACAACTAAAAAAATAAAATATTAAAGTTAACTAGTGCACACACGTGTTATGTGTATGTATCTAACACACATAAAATACCATAAACAAATTCTACATCTTTTTGTTTCCATTCATAATGCGAAGAAAGAATTATAACAAATAAAGTGCACATTTACCAAACATCCTTTTGCTTATTATTATTTTATTTTTTTTTTTTTTCCTCTCTTTTTTGTTTATTCAAATTATATTCATAAAAAACAGTGGGTGGAAATGTGAACGAATGAAAGAACATCAAATGAAAGAACATCAAATGAAAGAATATCAAATAAAAGTGCAAAAGTTTTCTCCATAGCACTTTTTTTAAAATATTCAACTGAATATATATATATATATATACACATTTTTTATTTAGCGTACTTCTTTACAGAGCCTGTTTTTTTTATGTGCCTTTTTTCTAAATAAATTTGGCTTGATACTTAGTTGCCATTTTGGAAACACATTAGATAATTGATGTCTTAATTGCAAAATGGTTACTAAGTACAAAGGAAGTTTCACCAACCTGATATTTATGCAATCCTGTTCAAAAAGGGGTGTTGTAAAAACTAGTAGAAATGTGCGTTGGACGTGTTGGTAAAATATCCCATCTCTTAACGTTGGAGATGTGTACTTGTAAACATTGGCACCTGTACATATTCAAAGAATTTGTCTTCATTTAAAAATTTAAATTTACTATTGCAGACTTTGATATTGCGTAAAATTCAAAACATGAAAACTTAAGTAATGAACGGTCATTACTTTTAAGGTAGAAATAGCTTTTTCCAATTTAATTATCATCACATGAACGTTCAGGATGTATATTTTTGTGTGTATGAGGTTCAGGTCAAGTGCTATAAATTTAGGAGTGAACAATATTGGCTGTGCGCAAAGTATAATTCCTCCTCGTCTTTCTCTATTTTCCAGTTTATGCTTATGTATATAGATATATTTCATTTATGTTTACACTTTTTAACAATTTGATTTACGAACTATGTAAAAACAAGAGAGATCAGGGATAAAGGGTAAGTCTAAAGTGCATGTTCAAAAATTGTTCACATGACCTTTTTCCATTTATTTTTTTTTCATGCACCTTTTGAATAGTTTTTAAATTTGAAAACCATGACATTAACAGTTGTGAGTGCAAATAGAACAAGGGGAAAGGGAGGAATAGAATAGCTTACACTTATCACAAATGAAATGGTTTTAAATAATTGTAACTCAGTACCTTTATGTGGGTTTACATAGGAGGTTATATAGTCATTATGAAAACGTATTAAATTAATACAAAATTAATTGACGCATTAGACAATAAGGAAGAAAAAAAAAAAAAAAAAAATTGTGTAATGATTCAAGTGAGAATAAATAAGTGTACATAAAATTGTTGTGAAAAGAAAAAGAAATGTATATAAATTTATTCAAATCATGTTCCCTTTGTACGATCCATTAAAAACTTATAAAAATATTTGACATATATCTATCATATTAATGCATCAAGGCATACATGCATGATGGTATCAAAAATTACATAAATTTAAATCACCTTATTCTTTAGATCAAGTTTGTTGTACAACTTTTCTCATGACAGTTTTATTTATTTATTTTTTTGTGAAGGGGTATGAATAGTTCATCGTTCGTGTTGATAAAAAGAACAAAAAAAAATAAAATTTTCCAAAAAATACAAAGTTGTAAAAAAAAAAAAAAAAAAAAAGTAAAATTGTCATACAAATCGAAGGTGAAACAAATTTAAATGATAATCACATATGAATAAACACACACGCCATGATGTGTGGTATGAACGCAAATTTCTAATTTCAGTGAGAATAATATAAGGCATAATTCTTTTAAAAGAATCTGAATAATATAATTTTTCGGTTGTATTTGAACGCTCAAGATAAAATACATATATATGTATATATACATGTATATGTTTGCGTGAGTACAACTTTGACTAAAAAATGCTTGAACTTACTCATGCATATTTTTTCTTTCACGTATTTTAATTGGTGCAACGCGACTGGGGTTGTCTTGGGGGGTGGGGGGCACTGGTTCAGGAAGAGCATGAATGTGCATATGTATGTGTGTGTGTGTGTGTGTGTGTGTGCGTATGTATGTATATACGAGCGCGTATTAGCGAGTTAGGATTTCCACTGCTACAGCAAAGGACGGGAAAATCGCCATAGCCAGAGTTAGTATAACATGAAGAACCCTAAAAAGGAAATCGAATTTTCCAAAAAAGGAAAAAAACTAGGTTATAAGAAAACTTCCAAATATATAAATTTTCTACACGAGTTTGTGCAATGGTATAGAATGGAAAAAGTAGTTGGACCGATTTGGGTGCCTACATACTGTTCAATAATATTCTTTTTACTTTTATTATTTCTCTTCAACATGCTAATGGGCGTGACGACATTAATTTTGAGCTCAAAATATATTGAATGCAGAATTCCGTATGAATATAAAAGTCAAACATATACGAAATATTCTATAATTAAAGTAACGCCAAAGCATTGTAAGGGGAATGAAAATATAAAAGAACTTAAGGGGAAAATAAATATCCATTATGAAATTCAAGGTGTTCAACAGAATCATTATCGATTCATAACAAGTTTTAAAAAAGAACAACTAAAGGGAAATATATTTTTGCAAAAAAAATATCTCAATGAATGTTACCCTTTAATTACATATGACCAAAATGGAGTAAATAAAATATTACACCCATGTGGAATATTACACTGGAATGTTTTTACGGATAGTTATCTTTTTTATGATAAAGAACCTGATGATGCTCCTTTTCCTAGTCCTTTACCTTTAAAAGAAAAACCCGAAGATATCACAATAAAATATTATAGAAAATATTTTAAAAATCCATCTCTCAACGTTATTAATTCGTATAAAAAATATATCTACTTTTGGATGGATGAAGAAATTCAATCACAAACATTAAAAGAACATGATGAAACAAACGAAAAGCTAGTTATTTTACCACAAACTTTAAAATATAAAACAGCAGGAAAAGCAATAGAAAATAGTCATTTCATAAATTGGGTTATCCCCTCTGCTTTTAATTATGTTAAACGTTTATATGCAAAAATTGATGGTCCCCTAGTTTTCCCTTTTTATATTTACATTGAAAATAATTTTAAAATTAGCTACACCAAAATAATTGTCATTTCGAATTCAGATTTTTACCTTAGCACAACATTGATAGGAATAATTTTTATTATTATCGCCATTTTTGCTTTACTACTGTCGGTTCTTCATTTCATAAGGATGAAGAAATGCCATTTTAAGTAAGTCAGTCTGATGAATCGCCGTTCGTGGTGAAAAACTGTTTGACGTACACACACACACACATAAAATAGCTAATGCAGAATGGATATCCCCTTAATGAACAAATCGAAAAAAGTGTCTTATGCGTTGTTATTCTATTTCTGTCTACAACATCAGCTGTTTCACTCCATTTTTTCGTTTCGCTATTTCTTTTTCACCATATGCGTTTCACCATTTTTTTTTCACCATTATGGTTTTATAATTTTTTCATTTACTCCACTTTTATTACATTAGTTAAGAATTTTTTTTTTTTTCTTTCCTTTTTGGGAAGCTCAACATGTAATTTAATATGAAAAACAACATATATTATTAAAGAACCGAAATCATTTTAAATGCAAATTAGACTTAGATGTATACCCCCCACGCTTTACAGATTTCACCTCGTAATGCAATTACTCATCTAGTAGAAGAACAATTTTATCACTGTGGCAAGCATGTTACCCTCTTATCATAAATTTTTTTTTTCCTTTTTGATATTTTTAAAGGCATTATGAATTATGATAGAAATTTTTCATGAATGGAGTAGACATATTGTCATCCTTTTCCTAGGCACACTTCTTACCATTTACAAACAATATGTATAACGGCTTTGTTCTATTTTTTTTTTTTTTTTTTTTTTTTTTTTTTTTCGAACTCTTATATTACAAGGCATCGCATAGGAAATTAGTTTTTAAAAATTCTACATATTTCTTGACGTATTTTCCCAATGTGCAAGTAACTTTACTTGGTGTTCGCATAAGGTGTGTTTGAATTTTTAGTAACATTTTATTCCTGATACTTCTGTAAGGATCCCCCGCAAAGCTCAGAAGGATCAGAATTTATATACACAGTAGACAATATACATCCATTTTTCTTTTTCTCTCATATTAAAAATTAGAATATTCAAACTTGACACTTGAGATATATATATATATATATGTGTATACATATATGACTCATTATCTTTCTGAAGTATGGTAAATGAAAAATTGGAGAACTTCTAGGGTTGAACAAGCAAAATAGGGATGGGGGAAGAAAAAGTATCAAAAAAATTATGTAAAATAGGAAAGCGAAACATGTAAACAAAAACATTAATCAGTTAACTGTTATTTTTCTTATTTTTTCTTTTTTTTGAAAACACTAGTTTAACTTGAATGTGTCTACATAACATTATTTTTTGCAAGCTGTTAATTCTTTAAAAAGTCAAGAAAAAAAAAAAAAAAAAAAATAGTAAAGTAAAATAAAATCCATTTTATCAAAAAATGAGTTTTTAAAATGTATGAATTTTTTTTTTCATTTTCCGTAATTTTTTGTTTTTTTTTAAAAATGGTAAAAATGTTATAATAGTCAAATTTTTTTTTTTCATTTTTTCCCTCCACCTTTCTCTTTTTCTTGTGTAATTTATAAAATTAGTAAAAATTAGGTTTTCAAATTTTTTCTGATACCTTTATGCATGAAGAAGGAAAAATCTGTTCACAAAAAAAAAAAAAAAGCATTTGACACATTTTGCGGAAATAAAAAATTGAGTGTGTACGAAGAATTATGCTCACATTTACATATTTATATAAATGAGCAGAACTTTACGTACAATGGGTAAATGCTTAGTGTACTCTTAAATTTGACACAACGCGGTCTATGTGAACGTGTGTATATAGTATAGAAGCTTAAACATGTGTATGTAGTAAGATTAAATATGTGTATATATTTGTACTGATGCTTTTATAGACTTGCATTCACATAAATGAGTTTTCCTTCAACTACATGCAGTTCCAGCTTGCGTCACTTAAATCATATTTTTTATATTTTTAAAATCGCAAAAAGTTTAAACGCAATTAATTTGAACACTTATATATAGGATTAAATGCCTGAAACACGTTATATCTGGAATTTCTCTATTAAGAAAAAGTTACACAAAATGAAACGAGTCACTAATTTGAAAACATCTGTTGTAGTAGAGGACATGGAGAAAAAAAAAAAAAAAAAACTCATCAAATGTTCTACATGAACTTGGAACTTTTAAAACATAATAATTTATATAAATGCATATAAAAGTTAATATAATTTTTATATATGCATGTAATTAAAGGATCATATTCAATGATGTTTTTTCATTCCTGCATTTTTTTTTTTTTTTTTTTTATGATTGCTTAGTCCTCTCACTAGCATGCGAAAGTTGTAAGAAAAAATAGAGCAATTTCGTTTTTTTTTTTTTTTTTTTTTTTTTTTTTTTTTTTTGTGTTTACTTCTTTTTCATAAAATTATTTGTTTTTTTTTTTTTTTTTTTTTTTTTTTTTTTTTTTTTTTTTTTTTCTTTTTTTTTTTTTTTTTTTTTTTTTTTTTTTTTTTTTTTTTTTTTTTTTTTTTTTTTTTTCTTTTTTTTTTTTTTTTTTTTTTACTTGTGTGTACACATGTTTATACACCTTTTTGCTTCACTTGTGTGTTTCCTTTTTTCCTACTTTTTTTGTTCATTTTTTCTTTTTTGAGAAAGTCTCTTGTTTAATGCAATCAAATAAAATAAAAATTAGCGGATCTATTTTTAATGCACAATAATAAAAAAAAAAAAAAAATTACTATTTGTTCATTGCTTTTCTAATTACGCGATGTAGGAAATTATATCTTTAAAAGAATGATTTTCCACAAAATAGTTTACGTTTAAAATATGTGTAAATAAAAAAAAATAAAATAAAACAAAAATTAAAATAAAAATTAAATTAATTATAAAACCTTAATTTCACTTGTTTTATTTTATTTTATCTTATTTTATTTACTTCTTTTTTTTTTTGCTTCTATAATTTCTTCTATGTCGTTGAACCCCTCAAGAGCTAGTCTGGGTTTTAAAAAACAATATGAAGCTTATTAATAGTATGTAATTTTGTAATTGTGTAATTATGTAACTGCATAATTTTGTAACTGCATAATTTTGTAATTGCGTAGTTTTGTAATTTTCGCAACTGCATAATTTTGTAATTGCATAGTTTTGTAATTTTCGCAACTGCATAATTTTGTATTTGCGTAGTTTTGTAATTGTGTAACTAGTTAGCGGAGTATTTGGTAAACTGTGAAACAGTAAACTAGTGAACGGATTTAAGGGTACGTACAAAGGCGTATATATCCGAAGGGGAAACTGAACTCTAGATTAATGCGCCCAGAGCTCTATATACGATACAATATATATTTTTTTTTTAATTTATACTTTAAAAAATGAAGAAAATATACTATATATTATTTTTAAGTGCTCAATATTTTGTGCACATCAGCAAGTGTGGAAGAAACCTCAAACCAAGCAGATTGTCTCATAGTGGTAACAATGTTATGTTAGAAAAGGGTCCAATAATTGAAAGAAGCACACGAATGACTAACCCATGGAAAAATTTTATGGATAAATATGATATACAAAAAATACACAGTTCAGGTATTCGAGTTGATTTAGGGGAAGATGTAGAAGTGGTAAATTCGAAATATAGGATACCTGCTGGTAAATGTCCAGTTTTTGGAAAAGGTATTGTCATCGAAAATTCTAATGTTAGTTTCTTAACACCTGTAGCTACAGGACAACAGAAGCTAAAGGAGGGGGGTTTCGCGTTTCCAAAGGCAGATGATCATATATCCCCAATAACCATAGACAATCTTAGAGAAAGATATAAAGATAATGCTGAACTTATGAAATTAGATGACATATCCTTATGTAAAACTCATGCATCTAGCTTTGTTATGGCACAGGATCAAAATACTTCTTACAGACATCCAGCCGTTTATGATGAAAAGGGAAAAATATGTTATATGTTATACATATCAGCACAAGAAAATGCGGGTCCAAGATATTGTAGCAAAGATGCAGCAAATAAAGATTCTATGTTCTGTTTCAAGCCAGATAAAATTGAAACTTTTGAAAACCTTGTATATTTAAGTAAAAATGTACGTAATGATTGGGGAAGTAAATGTCCTCGTAAAAATTTAGGAAATGCTAAATTTGGTTTATGGGTTGATGGAAATTGTGAAGATATTCCATATGTTAAAGAAGTAGAAGCTAACGATTTAAGTGAATGTAATAGAATCGTTTTTGGAACTAGTGCTTCAGATCAACCTGCTCAATATGAAGAAGAATTAACTGATTATCAAAAAATAGAACAAGGTTTTAGACAAAATGATAGTAATATGATTAAAAGCGCATTTTTACCTATAGGCGCATTTAATTCTGATAATTTTAAAAGTAAGGGAAGAGGATATAATTGGGGAAATTTTGATATTGTAAATAAAAAATGCTACATTTTTAGTGCAAAACCAACATGCTTAATTAATGATAAAAATTTTATTGCAACAACAGCTTTATCTCATCCTAAAGAAGTAGATAATGAATTCCCTTGTAGTATATATAAAGATGAAATAGAAAGAGAAGTTAGACAACAAGCCAGAAACATGCAGCTATATAGTGCTGATGGAGAAACACTTATAGTACCTAGAATATTTATTTCCAATGATAAGGATAGTATTAAATGTCCATGTGAACCTGAACATATTTCTAACAGTACTTGTAATTTTTATGTTTGCAACTGTGTTGAAAAAAGAGCAGAGATTAAAGAAAATAATGAAGTCGTTATAAAGGACGAGTTTAAAGAAGATTATGAACAGGAAGGAGCAAAAACAAATAAACAAAAATTGATAATTATCATTGGAGTAGCTAGTGGCGTTGGTGTATTAGCACTTGTTTCATTATTCCTCTTCAGAAAAAAGGCTCAAAATGATAAGTATGACAAAATGGATCAAGGAGAAAATTACGGGAAAGCCAAATCTAGAAAAGAAGAAATGTTGGATCCGGAGGCATCCTTCTGGGGAGAGGATAAACGAGCATCCCATACTACTCCTGTTTTGATGGAAAAACCTTACTATTAAAATGGAAATTAAGAATAATGATAATATAGTAGTAAAATAATATCAATTCGTGTTATATAGAGTCTAATTGTGTTATATTTAAAAAAAAAAAAAAAAAAAAAACTAATCAAGTAGCAACAAAATCAACCAGAATGTATAAAATATGGCATGCACTGAAGTTGGGTGATCGTCATGATTTTTTGTAATTTATAGGATTAAATAAAAAGTGTTAATATACATATATTAATGACAAGCAAAAAATGCGTTAAATTTGTTAAAATATATCAGCGAAATTTATCACACACTATAAATTCTGAGACAACTGGGACATAGATGTAAATAGATAAGGCTTAGAGGACAAAAAGAAAAATCGTTCAATAATTGTTTTTCTGTTATCGAAGATCTTATGTATACATAATGCTAGGATATGGGAAAGAGTGAAAATAAAAGAAAAAAAGAGTAGCACATTAACAAACTAACAGATTAAATAAAATATGAAAATTGTCCCATTTTATGTAACTTGTTCAAATTATGTTTTTAAAAGCATAATTTTCTTCTTTCGTTATAAATTTTTTCTATTAACGATATGCATAAATTTTTCCTAATCGGTGAAAGTATATACCTTTTTACACTCGCTTAAAATCCAATTATAAGTGTTTTAATGGTATTCTTTTTTTCGCCCCCTTTTTAATCCCCATTTGGGATTTTCTCTCTCTCTTTGCTATGATTTAATTAAAGTATACATATACACCTCCTTGACGCATTCGTCAGGTGTTACTTATTTGTCTTCTGTTTTATTTGTTTTAATTATGTGTTTATGCATGGATTGGCCTTAAATTGAAAAAGAAAATAATAAATAAAAATAAGCGCATAATATTCCACCGCCGCTTAACGTTTTGGGATGTTTATGATGATGTTCTCCTTTTAAAACAGCATCATCAAGAATTTCCGAGATTTTGCTATTTATATATTTTTTTTACTGATGTGTGATGACTTCATTATGGTTATTTTTATATACTTTTGTTTTCTTCACGATTGTTTTTTTATGAATATTTTCTCTTCTTTAAAAAATAAGTTTCCTACAAATTTTCAAATCAGCTTTATCTCATAAGCACAGTGTGCTATATATTCTCGCAGTTTTTTTATAACGTATATTTATTATTCTTCTTCTCACTCCTCACTGCACAACTTTAACACATTTTTTTTCTTTGATTAAAATCCTTATCTCATTTTTTTCTTTTATCTTCTACCACATAACTCTCATTTTTTTCGATTAACACAAAAATGCAAAATATTTAAAAAAGAAAAGAAAAAAAAAGAAAAAAAAAGAATAAAATTATGGATTTGTTAAAATGGAAATATAATTCAATTTAACTTAGTGAAAAGAACGTCGGGTGTCCTAGGCTTTTTTTACACCTAACAGGGGTGATATGCGTAAATAAATCTGACATGGCAATTTTGAGGTTATTCTAACAACTTCATTAAAACGGAAACACTTATTTAAACACATATTTTGACATATGTGGGGAAATTTTCTTTTTTCTTGTCCAAATTCAATCGAATTAGAAATAAACTAGACTCCTCTTGATGTAAAAAAAAAAAAAAAAAAAAAAAAAAATGTAATATTTACGCAACCCCTTGCAGTACATCGAAATGTTGCGGTATAAAGAAAGCGTCCGTGTGAATTATATGAAACGTAAAAAATAAAACTCCTTTATTAAATTAATTTGTAGAGAAGAACGACATTTTCTTCCAATTACAATTGGAGTTATACTTCTTCCTACATATTATTAGATCGATACATAAAGACAACAATAGAAAGGGCATTTGTGAGAAAGTTTACTCTGGCTTAATTTAAAATTTACAAAAATTTTCTTTGCAGTTGTGATATTTAAAGGGGGAAATCAAAATAAGGGTGAATGATTAAGCATGCTCGGAGTAGGAGGGCAGAGAAAAAAAAAAAATATAATAAATAAATAGGTAATTAGACAAATAGATAAATAGACAAATGAATAAGTAGGTAATTAGATGGACAAATAAATAAATAAACAAATGCATCATAAAAACGCAAAGTGAGGAGACGAAAAAGAAGAAGAGCGTGTGTACGTTCAACCTAAATTTCACATACCCCATTTTGTGGAGAAAACGAAAAGATGTCTACAAATTACAACGAAATAAGAAAAATATTCAATTATTACATTAGAGAGTATTATTATCAAAAGTCGAAAGGGACATACTTTGTTAATATTAAAAAGCCTGGAATATTATTTACATCCTTAAAATTCTACAAAAAAAAAAAAACCTTCTTTCCTAACATTTATGATTGGTACTTTGATAGTTTAAGCGACTTAAAAAAAAATAAAGATATTTTAAATTATCCAAATGATTATGATACAAAAAATATTTTTTCATATAAAATAAGAAAAGGAACTCAAACGAGTGCAAAAAATGATGTAGATAGCGGTAATGTATATATAAATGGAAACGAGGAATGTTTAGAAAATACATATAAAACTAGTAATTTATATTATAATATGAATCCGGTTTATTTGTCTAAAATATGCTTGTACAACTTAAATGATTATCACATATTATATTCAAATAATTATTATGATTCTTTTATGCAATTCTATTACAGCATTATATCCTATAAAATGGATATAAATAATCTGAAAATTTTCCCCAATTTAAAAATATTAATAAGTCATATTAAAAATTTAAGTAGTATAATAAATGATGAACTAATAAAAAATTCCTTTTTCTATTTCATTAGACAAAAAAAAGTATTTGATGAGCAATATCTTCTCAATATATTCAGCAGTTTGTACGCTGTTATGTTGCACAATTCTCCCTTTTATTTGTTCCTCGATGATTTTAATCAACTCAAAGTAGTTCTTAACCTTATGGATAGTGGGGTATGATAAGTAAACACACTTCCCGATTTACATAAATAAAAACTATCTAAAATGGAAGTAGAACAACAGAATAAGCGGGACACTGCTCGCACAACTGTAGGAATTTCTATGTCGAAAAAAATATGTAGCCCCTATGTATTATATTGCATCACTGTGTTTATCCCATTTATATGTACATACATTCCCATATATGTAGTAATTTTACAAAACACATGTGAAAGAAAAGACATGTAAAACAAAACACGTGTAAAACAAAACAAGCGTAAAACAAAACAAATGTAATAGAAACACACGCGTAACAGAAAACACATTTCCTTGGTTCTCATTCCTAATCTTCGGTATTCTTTTCTGTAGGGTGAAGTAAGAAACATGTTTGAGAGCGTCATTCCGTATCCATACTATTTAGTACTAGACGACAACATAAATATTTATAATCTGCAAAGTTTTAATATTTATTTAAAAAAAATTTTGGATAAAAAAATGGAAACCTCATTTTATGCTGACGAAAGCGGATATATTTCATCCTCCCCAGGAATGTCCTCATGTCAAAATGTTCGAATCTCATATAGGCATTGTGATGGTTTCAAAAAGGGTAACAGTCCTAATGGAAACAGTTCTACGAATGATGGTGCAGGTAGAAACGTCCATCGTAATGACAAATTAAAATGGGATGGAGAAGAAAAGTTACAAAGCGTTGAAAATGAGAAAAATATAAAAATTTACTTTTTTAAACTCATAAAAATTTTTGACATGAAGCCGAATCACCGTTTTGTCCAAAAAAGTGGAAAAATGTAGAAAAGGAAGAAGAGGAAGAAAAGGAAGAAAAACCGTTGTTTTTGCCCCATATATTGTTATGTACATAATTTACGCTTGTGATGTACATATGGTATATATGTATGTATATATATCTTTATACAATTTTAGCTCTACTGAATCGTTGCGTGCGCATTTGTACAGCATAAATAGTTTTTTGTTGGTTTATATAACGAACTTAGTTCTTCCAAAAAAAATAAAAAATAACATAACATAACTTCTTCACCCATGAGAGGTGGGATTTTATGATACTTTTAACATTTCACTTGCAAATATTTTTCCATCTGCTTTATTTCTGTACGTGAATACTGATCCATATTTTTAAGAGTATGAAGATGGATTTCATTTTTTGCCTTGTTATAGATTATATCATAATTGGACATAGAATTTAAAAAATAAAAAATTTGATATTTGTCTAATAAGCAAAGGCTGTTTCTCATTTTGTTAAAAATGTAACTGAATAGAATTTTTTTATATTTTATAAAAGACAGAATTTCCAATATTTGCAACAGGTGATTATTATTCATTATTTCTCTATTCTGGAATATGTAATTTATTAGCTGTTCTGTTAGTAAGTATATTTTTTCCTTTACTTCAAGTACATAATTCTTGTCTTCAATTAATTTGTTACTCTTATCAGAATTCACAAAAATGTGAAACGAATTTAGAGAACTCATAAATGACTTTCCTCTTAATAGGAAAATACAAGAATTTAATAAAATGATAAATGTGTTAATATTTGTGTGCATTTTATTTTTCAAAAATAGGAGTGGAAGGGATGCGAACAAATTGATTACAAAATGATTGGACATGCTGTACATGTGCATTAGTAGGCAATAATTGGAAAAACTTATCTTGTCAACGTTATATTTATTTTGTATTATGTCTAAAAAATAGTTTAAATACGATTCATTTATACTGTAACTTAGTAAAATTTTATCTTTCACGTTAACTATGTATGTTTGTTTTTTCTTTGCATCCTCAAAAACATATGAGTCAGAGTCCTGGTCGCTCACAAAGACATTTTTCTCTTTGTCCGGGATGTGATCGCCACTCCGATTGCATGTGTGTCGTATAGTCCTTTCAACATTCTTATTGAGATAATCTATAATAAAGGATATATCATGCACCTTTTCCAAAATAGACTTTTGCCTCTCCTCATAGAGAAAATTTTCTCCTTCGTTGATGTTCACAGGGGCACTACTACTATTACCATGAATGGTTACAATTCCTCTGTCCTTTCCTATATTCACATAACCATGAATAATTTCAAAATTCATTTGGCTGACATTTATTTCATCTTTAATTCTGTACAATTGTAACCCATTTAAAAAGTGTACAATGTATGTATAACCAAATTTTAACTCGAAAAAACTATGAAATATATTGGATATCAAAAATACTGAAACGATTTCATACCCTTTGTTTTCTACTTTATTTACTTTGTTTAATGCTTTGTAGTTATATATATAAGAGCAAATATGCTTTAGAACATTGTCTAGGATAAAACTAGAATAATTATTAGTTAATTCGAAAAGATTAAAAATTTCTACTCCTCTTTTTTCATCACTCATGGATGTATTGTTATTTCCTAAATTTAATAATATATGTTGAGATTCTGAATTTAATTCATTTTTTTTATTATCAGAGATGCTTTTTTCTGTACTCGTACTTTTGGTCCCTCTGGTTAGTTTTATTTTTCTCTTATTTCTTCCGTATATATTTTTTGGATCCGTGTTAATCTCTAGAAGTTGTATTGATGTTTCATTTTGAGATCCATCATTATTATGTGCATCTTCTTTACATTCATATATTTTGAAAGATTTGTTCCTTTCGATTAATGTTCTAAGTAATAAATGGTTAAAATAAATCTTTTTTTTTAAAGATTTCAAATCTTTTTTTACTCTTACATTATTGTGTATTATATTAGTTATAATTTTGTTCGGATTGATATGATTTAGGGTGTTAATTATTTGGATATTTATGTTGTCTAGATCATCTTGTTTTATCTCTTTGTGTTTGCTAAGCAGTTTTATTATGTCGGGAATTTTCATTCGATGCACTTTTATGTTTCTCTCATTCTGAGATAGAAAATGAAGTACCTTTCCTAATCCGATCATTCAAGGAAAGCAAAATTAAAAGGGGTACAGTGTGGGTGGTGCATAATTAAACTGTTGCCAATGAAAGCATGTTGTAAAAGTAATGAATGAGAAAAGAACAAAATAAAAATCATCAAGGTCCACAAAGGTAGCTTTAAAAAAAAAAAAAAAAAAAAAAAAAGGATAACGTTCAAAAGAGGAAATATAACATGGAAAGCAAATTGGACACCTTTAGGAAAATCCCTATACATGTATACCACATCGATAATGTAAGGTGAGTTCAGTTCTAACCTTACCCATATGAGTTATATAAATCTCTAAAAAAAAAAAAAAAAAAAAAAAAAAACACATTAACAGTGACAAGGGTATGCGAGATGTCTCAAAAATGTGATAAACTCCTCTAAAGCATGGAAAATTTTAAAATTATGTAGAAACTATAATTATATTTCTTATTTGCTTGAATCGAATGGGAATGAGTCGAGATCCTGTAGGGCATATTTCGTTTTTTTCATTTACGAAACATGTCATTGGAATTTTGTCATATAGAAAAAATAGGAAAGGTCTTATAATTAAACAAGCCCTTTGTTTTACTCATTGGAAAAAAAGAAAAAAAAAAAAAGGAGTAACATTATAATACAGTGAACGCATATAATATATTTCATAATAGCGGTTATCTAAATAGCGATTTAAAAAAAAAAAAAAAAATCAATGTAAATTTAAAATTTGTTTACATGAACTAAATAAGATACTGTTCATTATGAACAAGCCACGAAAACCCTACGATGCGTGCAGAACTGATAAGGCACATTAAATGTATAATAATTATATGGATTGTTATGTATGCACACATATTATATATGTATCCCTTTGTGAATAACGAGAGCATATCTATGAATTCATGATTATTTTGGGGACAAAATAATGAATTCTTAACTATTAAAAAGCAACTATGGCTACATGAGGAAAAAAAAAAAAAAACTGTGTTAACAAAGGAAGAAATGAAATATATTTTAAAACAAAATGAACCATAACTTGGAAACTATCATACCGAATGAAAAAGAATATAAGGAAGAATGTGTAATTACATCCATTGATATTTTTAGTGGACCACACAATTATTTAAATTTTTATTACATTTGTGAAGTACTTTTTAATGATTTCAGCTTTATTTCCCCATATCACTGTTATTTTTTTTTAAGAAATCAGTATGAAAATGTAGAAAATGTTGAAACGAATTATAAACAAAACACAAGTTTTAATTTTGATAAAAATATCCATTTTAAAATAATAAATGAGAAGAAGGCCATTGAATTATTTAAAAATCACAATGTAATTTACTATGAAGAGAAAGGGTTAACAGAATCGAAGCGGAAGGTCCTGGAGAATATCGCTGAACTTGTAAATAAGTTGACAGTCTCCGATTTGGAGGCCATTTCTCCCTATTTCGGTGAGGTAAGGCGAAGGAGGGGGGGGAGAGGGATTAATTATGAACCCAAGTTTATACGAATGTTAATGTTTATGCTCATGTGAGAGTTTACACGTATGTGCTAGTTTATATACATGTACGTGCTAGCCTATACATATGTGCCATGAGTATTTGGATCTATTCCCAATTATCATAACCCGTGTGTACCTTTTTTTTTTTTTTTTTTTTTTTTTTTTTTTTGGAAGCACTTTCCACATTTTCTCAACACGTAAAAACTTAATTGGGGTGTTTTCATTATCAACTTTTGTAGAATCCAGAATGGAAACGAAACAAACTGCTGTGGATGGATATGATCCAAAGGGATAAATTTCGGAGGTATGAAAAAATGAGAGAAAATTTGAAAGAAACAGGAAATCGTGAAATTGTATACAAAGTAAATAAGGAGGATGTGACAAAAGTTCAAAATAAGAATATGATAAAAGATTTTTTATTTTTTGGCGTTTTTGAAAAGAAAGGACAAAATAATTTAGGGAGAATTTATATGAGCATAAGAAATGACATAATGAAAAATGCAGAAATTTATGTGTGGCTTTTAACAAATTGTAACATGCAGACAGACAAGAATCTAGTTGCGGACATTTCTATTGAAGAAACATATTTCGAAAAAAAAATAGTTGAAGATGGTGATGTAGAGGAGGAAGAAGAAGATAACAAACGTAATGATATACTAGTCAAAGAAACTAAAAAAAAAATTTCAGGAAATGTTAATTTTTCATCAAGTAGACGCATAACAGTAGAAGAGAAAATACAAAATTACTCTTTTGAAAAAAAAGAATATATATCATTTGGTAAAAATGAACACAATGATATTATCTGTTTGAATCCATCGATTTCAAGATTCCATTGTATACTATTTTTCTCGAAAGATTATTATCTTTACCTCATAGATGTAGGATCTAAATCAAGAACAAGACTAAACAATAATTTGTGTGAGATTCACAAAAAGTACAAAATTGGGAATAACGACATTATCACATTAGGTGTATCAAAGAGAAGATATAAAATTAATATACATATAAACAACGTTTTGTCATACCTGGATAAAAAACAGAGTGAAATAAATCAAAAAATGAAATATATGAATGAAGATATGGAAAATCCACAACGAAAGAAAAATCTACTTAAATTAAAAATTTCAAATATTTATTATAAATGTAATGAAAATGATATAATAGATTTTTTTAAAGACTGTGGCGAAATTAAGAAGATACACATGTATAATGTACCTGCTATAAAATCCTCCGAAAATGTTAAATCGTCAAATAATTTGAAAAACAACAAATCTTTAAAGGAAGCACTAGTAGAAGTTTATGATAGAGAAACATCTGCTAAAATTATGAAAAAAAATGAGTCTTTTTTATATGGAAGAAAAATTTATATCATCTACCAACCATGGTCTCCATACAAACAGCGTGATTCAGCATTTTACAGAAAAAAAGAAAAAGCTTTTGACACACAAAGTACACGCAAAAGTGGAAAGTATCAGGGGAATAAAATCGTTGTTTCGAATGACAAATATACCTACAGGAAAAATAAGAATAAAAAAATTCATGATATTCTGGAGGGTGAAGTCCAGAGAAGGAGTAGCGAGAACAGATCTCCTCAAAGGGGTAAATTTCTAAAGTATGATTCCATTCATAGGAGGGAAAGTGACAGAAGTGATAGAAGTGACAGAAGTGATAGAAGTGACAGAAGTGATAGAAGTGATAGAAGTGACAAAAGTGATAGAAATGACAGAAGTAACAGAAGTGACAGAAGTGATAGAAGTGATAGAAGTGACAGAAGTGACAGAAGTGACAGAAGTGACAGAAGTGACAGAAGTGATAGAATTGATAGAAGTAACAGAAGTGATAGAATTGATAGAAGTAACAGAAGTGATAGAAGTGATAGAAGTAGACCTAGGCATAGGAGAAAAATGGCGAGCACCAGCAGTAGTAAACGAATCGAACGCTCGCATGGATTGCGCAAACACAAAAGACGTAGTGGGCAACGGAAATCCAATGATAGTAGAGTCACCAAAAGGAGGAGTAACAAATATCACCATTCCAGGAGAGACAGCAATGGTGGTTACAAAAGGAATACATAATTTAAAAAAAAATATATAGTTCCTGTCAGAAAAATTGTACAACGGGAGCCAAGAAACCTAATCTAAACACGAACAAAGAATTAATAATAGGAGAATATATGGCCCAATTTTTTCCCAGTCTTTTTTCCTTTTTTTTCCTTATAAACTAGTTTCCGAAGTTGCATAACATACTTATTATAACCTCATGTAGGCTCGAAATGTGCAGCTTCCAAATATAAAAGAATAAAAAAATAATTCATGTATTTCTTTTTCGTTCTTAATGTTTGTGTATTTTGTATAAAAATATATATAAGACGAAATTTATTTATCCATAAAAAACACAAAAAATAGTAAATAAAGCATCCAATAAAATGTATTTTTACTTATTTATATTTTTATATAAATACCACAATTTTATCCTCATTTTGTTCTTATTTTACGCCCATTTTGTCCTTATTTAAGGACCATTTTGTCCTTATTTAAGGCCCATTTTATTCGTATTTCATTTTACTACTACACATTTTTTGCAAGAAAATTTTGAGAGGTAACATACATTGCCTTGAGTCTCGAAATGGAAGTAGACACTATGCATATAATGTCTTCGAATAAACGAAGTGTACTCAGCGTGGCATTCAGGAAAATGTTTTTTTTGTCTACTAAATCCATGTGAAAAGTTGTATAGGTGGAGAGGGGAGTATTTTAATTCGGATCCTTTTCAAAAAATTAACTATTTACTTATTTCTTTAACTTGTCGCAATAATTCCTTCATTGTAAAAGGGAGATCTAACGATAACAACAAATCTTATAATTTTTTTTTTATCGCTATGCATGTAAGCAGAAGTAAATGTTACGACTACTACTGGGAAAGAAACCTGAGGAGTATATTTGACATTAGAAGAATATGTACAAGTTTCGGCTTCCCTTCAAACTTATTTTACAATGATATTAACGTTACATAACAATTTATGGTTCGATATTTTTGCACCTTGCACAAGAACACAGACATACATGTATCCCCAACCATATCGTTCCTTTGATTTAACATAATTAAGGGGGAATGCCAAAATTTTTATAAATTTTTTAATCATACATATTTTTGCCAAACGGTAGGGGAATTTTCCCCTTTGAATTTCCTAAAACACGGAGAATATAAAAGAATTAGTAACATCCTGAGGGCAATATTTGTTTAGTGAACTAATTCGTACATTAAGTATGTGTATTATATACACATGCATAGGGGGATGGTGGGAAGATAACACAGAGCATAGGAAGTAGAGAAAAATCAAACATTAAAAAGAGTATACCCGAGTATGCATAATTTCTCCTCCATTCTTTATTTTATTACTATTGGTGTTACTATTCCTATTACTATTGCTATTCTTATTGTTATTGCTATTGTGTTTCGTTGTATTGTATTGTATTTTTTTTTTTTTTTTTTGTGTGTGCGTCTCATGAAAATATCCTATATTCCAAACGGTTAAAAACTTTGATTTACAATGTCCCATTTGCACATACCTATCAATTATTGTTTGTTAACATTTTATTTGTGCTGTAGGAAAGAATACAAAACATTTTTGTCCTCAGAAAAGTACAAGTATGAAAAATAAAAAAACATATGGACTTATATATACGTATGAATATATATGTGTATAAAGGTATATATACTTTTTTATATGATCTTGTGACTTCATTTCATATTTCATAGCACACATAAGCTAAGCACCAAAAAAATGATTGGGCTAGGGTGAAGGGAAAATTGTGTTATCAAAAATGCATCAAAAAAATGAAATAAAACAAAATCAGTGCAAATGCTTATACAATTTGTCGCGCTTCAACTGTTGGTGCATGAGTGCAAACTTACAACTGCCACGGAAAGGAACTTTATGGCACAGTTTTGTGCATTCCCAAAAAAGGAAAAAAAAAAAAAAGTTAAGCGTAAAGTGTAAAACGACAAAATGTAAAGCGACAAAATATGGAACGACAAAATGTGATGCGACAAAATGTGAAGCGACAAAATGTGAAGCGACAAAATGTGAAGCGACCAAAAGTAAAGCCACAAATTGTAAAGTCCCAAACTGTAAAGCCACAAATTGTTAAGTGACAAAATGAAAGTATGAAATACAAAACAGATCACGGTATACATGCGAAAGAATTATACATTGCATTTACATTTGGCGAATATTTTGAGAGAAAATTTTTTTGTTTATCAAAAAGCTGATTTATATAATATTTTGTGTGTCACAAACTTGCGGTAAAAAAAAATACATGTACAACTATATGTACTCTCATTACATGTATATACTTATTATATTTTCCTTTCCTCACCGCCCATCATACCTCCTCTTCCCTTTTGTTGTTTTTCAATTGTACATATTATTTTTTTGTTCCATTGTGTTTTATTTTACCCTTTTCGCCTTTTTCACTCATTTTGCTGTTCATTATTTTTAAAAATTTCTTCCATTTGCTCTAAATGACTGAATTATTTTTCTTTAAAAACGAGTTTTCATTTAACATCAACTGAATAAAACATTGTTTTGTTATACAATTTCTCCGTATTCACATGTACATTTCCACCAAAGCAACAAATTGGCTTGCTATAAATGGCGTGATTATACACATGAATGTAAAACGTTTTTAATGTATATGCAACGGGGAACATATCTAACGACAGTGCTAATGTGGCATACAAAAATGCTAATAGGTACTTACATGCATACATGTTCAATTGAGTGAATGCCGGAATGCCGCATGTATATACACAGAACGCACAAAGGAAGTTTGAATGCATATACATACGTTTGAGAGAATTATTTGCTAATCCTTGAATGAGAAAACAGCTACTATTTTTAATAGCTTCTTTCTTGTTTTATTACGCAAAAAGAAAAAGTCTTTACTGTCTAGGTATTACAAGAACAGCAAAGACTATTCCTCATTTGTGTACTTGGAAAAAACGGAAAGGAGAAAAGAAGGGCATACATTATAATTACAACATGGAAGATAATAAAGAAGCAATAATTGCAAAAATGGGATCCCAAAATCTCATAAGGAACGGTAATAACAATGTTTATTTGTCATTAAACAATTACACAAGCAACTGTTCAAATTATTTAAAAAATAGTAATACAAAGGATAATAACGCAAACACAAAATTGGTGCGAAGCAATGTTTTAAGTATTTTCAGTTATACACTAAAATATATGAACAAGAAGAGCTTAAATAAATGGCTCAGAAATAATATTAAGGCTACGTTTTATGACACTTTTGTGCCGCGAAACAAACCTTTAGCATATATCCGATTTAAGTGTTATGAAGATTTAAAGGTATTTGAAAAAATGGTAGAAAATAAGCGTATTTATCCAAATGATAGCTTATCAACTATTAAAATTAACAGATTTTCAAAATACGCGAAGAAAAGAAAGTTATTTGAACGTGATAATAACAGAGACGCCATCAAGGACGTTGGAGAAAGTTATAACTGCAATGGGGATAAGAACAGGGACGATATGAACAGGGGTGATCAAGGCATTGATGATGACAACATGGAGGAAGGATACTCTGATGATAATTTCAGAAAGCAAAAAAGAACCAAGAGAGAAAGCGCAGAAAATTCCTTTGAGAATAATATCAAAGGAAAAACAAACGTAGAAAGCGAACTTCCAGATTTACAAACTGTTATCAAATTAAACAAAACTCAAAAGAACAAAAGCATAGAAAATTTTGTAACACCCTTTCATAAATATCCATATACAGATCAAATTAAAATTAAGCAAAAATTTTTAGAAAAATGCAAAGATCAAATTTTATCTAACTTAAGAAATAAATGGGAGAAACAAAGTTTGTTGTTTGGGGATATAGAATCAAATATTGTGGACGAAGATACCAATGTGAGTAGTACGAACGAGGGACATAATTCTGGCCCTTGTGGAAGTATCCAAGGAAATGGAATCAGAAGTGCAGGCTTCACCATGAACAACCACAACGGAAATTGCAACAGTAATAATAGCTTAGAAAAGAAAAACAAAAAAAATGAAACAAGCAAAGACAGTTGTCTGAATAAAGCTATACTAAGTGAGCTAAAGCAAAGTAGTAATAATAATAAAGAATATTCCATTGACAAAAAAATAAAGAAGTATGAATTCGAGGTTGACAATCCCTTGTACCCAGATGAAAGAGGAATAAATGAATACCGTAATAAATGCGAATTTACCATTTCATATGATGAAAATAATAATGTTGAAATTGGGTTTGTGACTGGAAAAGTAAAAACCGATATCAATGACAACAATGAAGATAAAAATTGCACTGATGATAACAACTGTAACTTTAGTGAGCACAATATAAGTAACAATGTATCTCCAGTTAATGAATCACAGAGTACAAAACTTCGAAACAAGAAGCAGAAGCAGTCTTACTATCTAAATCCTATTGTCAAAAACGTTGATACATGTGTTCATATTCATCCTTGCATGAAGCAAGTCGTTCAGGAGATGAAGAGTATAATAAAGGATTCCAATTATCCCGTCTTCGACAGAGTTTATAAAACAGGTATTCTTACATTAGCTCTTCATATGTGCATGCGCATTCATGCCGTCTTGTGAACAATCGAATACATTGTTATGTTCGCAGTTGAAAAATTCCAGTGCACATATCGCTGATGAAGTTCGTTTGTACGAGATACACGCAATAATTCTTTACGATTTCATCTTCCTGGATTCTGCTTTTTCCTTCCCCACCTTTTTCTTCCGCTTATTTTTCCTTTTTTATCTTCTTCTTCACTTTCCCATTGCAGGCGTTTGGAGATTGCTTGTCGTCCGCTTTAACAGCAAAAAGGAACTGATGATAACCGTGCAAACATACGCACTAGATCAGAAAAAAAAGAAAGAAATAAAAAAGCTGCTAATAAACAGGTTGACAAAGAAAAAGGATGAACTATTCATGAGTTTTTCCGATTTTAAAGTGGTTTCTCTATATTTGCAAGAACATGATAATTCTAATGACGCATCAAATCAATCACCGAATGAGCATTTATGGGGTGTTGAATTTTTGGAAGAAATTATTTTAAATAATCGATTTTTATTAACACCATCTTGTTTTTTTCAAGTAAACCATAGTAGCTGTGAAATATTATACAAGAGAGTTATTGAATATATAAATATAAATAATAAGAAGAAAAATTATATATTTGATTTATGTTGTGGTACAGGTACCATTAGCATATGTGCTGCAAATGAGTTAAAAGAGGAAGACACATATATAATTGGTATCGATATATGTGAAGATAGCATCATTAGTGCAAATAAAAATGCAGAAATAAATAAAATTAAAAATTTTAAATTTATCCAAGGTAGAGTAGAAGAACTATTTGCAAATGAAATTAAAAATGTATCTGAAAAAAATTCCAATGTAATAGTTATTGTCGATCCCCCAAGAAGCGGCTTGGCTAATAGTGTCCTTAATATTTTAAGTTCGAACCAACTTATTAGTCAAATAATTTATGTTTCCTGCAACCCAATAACGTTAGTTAACAACGTAACAAATGTTTTGTTCCAAAATGAAAATTTAAAAATCAAAAATCTTGTTTTTGTTGACATGTTCCCCCATACTTTCCACCTAGAGTGCATCACCAATATTGTAAAAGAGTAACATTGGGTACAATATAACTGCCATCACGCCTGTGTTATGCGAATACAAACATGGATTGCGTATACCCAACGCATATGCAATTGGCACGTATGCAGTTGGCACGTATGCAGTTGGCACGTATGCAGTTGGCATGCATGCAGTTGATACCTATACCGGCATCTTATCAACAACACACCCCATATTAGCCTTTTCTAAAAATAACAAAGTGGAGAATAATTACAACAAATTTTAAGTACGTTTACATTTATATACATAAATGTTTCACGCATAAAAAAGTTCCCATTGTTGAAAAATAATTATTTAGCATGTATTAAAAGACTTCTTCATTAATCATTCTTAATGATGCATGCAGTGAAATGAAATTAAGGCCTATACATCATATATGTATATATATATATATTAAATCAGCTTTTTGTATGCAGCATACAACAAACACAATTTTTTTTTTTTTTTTTTTTTTTAAGTACATAACAAATTATATGAAATATTGTAGATCATACAATTTTTTAAAATTTGCTAGCAGTCTGAATAACAAAAAGGGAAATAAATTGATATTCCGGATTATGATTTATGGGATTGTAATTTCTATCAACATTGTGAATTTTGAATGGATGAATGTGAATCCCAAAGTGTACATGCAGTTTTCAGCATTACAATAATATATGTATGTGTAATATGTGTACATGTGATGTATGTACATGGAAAATGTATGTATATGTAATGTATGTTTATGTAATGCATGTATATATAATGTATGTATATGTAATGTATGTATATGTAATGTATGTGTACGTAATATATATATAAGCATAATACTACGCACAATTACTTAAATGTATACACAAGCAGAGGTACATTATGAACATACATAAAAATACAACATTCTCCCTTTCCATTTCCCCCATAAAAGTTTGAATAGAAGAGTAAAATTACGGGCACTTAGCAATCGACACCCTTATTTGTGTTGAAACTAAGTTGCAGAGTTTTATTTAATCCCCGTATTCATTTTACCTAGATTTAAAAATAGTTATTTATTAAGCACTTTTTTGTTGAATATAGCATTATCTTAATATATATATATATATATATATATATATATATATAAGGAGTATAGCTAGAATCCTTGAATGAGTTTTCAACGTGGTTGAGAAATCGTTCTAGAGTTCAGCCTACTCCGAATGGTTTAAATCTTTACTTGAGTTGAAGTTGCTCAAGTTTGTCACAATGCAATTTCGTTAATCATTCCAGACTCCTTTATATCGAACTAAATAACATAAATTTCCTTAAACAAGAGATCTGATCGTTCATGAATTAGCTGACATATTTGTTCAGTTTTTTTTTTTTTTTTTTTTTTTTTTTTTTTTTTCCCATTATCCGCATATATATTAGAACTCGTGTATTACATTTTCATATGCTTTACACGTTTACATATTTATATTTTTCTTTGATTTTTATGAAAACTAAATTGAACTTTAAGAAAGTTTTCGGTTTATAAAGGAAAAACAAAATGAAGATTGCAAAATGAAGGACCTAAATGAGGACTTAAGAGGGTTAAAAAAAAAAAAAAAAAAAAAAAAAACAGGACTTCATGAAAATAATGATTTATTAACATGATTTATATGATCATGTAAATTTGTCTTTGAATATTTTTTTGTTTTTCCTTGTCTCGATAGTATTATTTATACCCCTTATTCATTCCATGAGTATTGCCCTGTCGACAATATATGATAAAATGAGAGTATTTTTATTGCCGATTTGGTATACCCTCTTTCTGTTCTGCAAATCAGAAGATTTGCCATACAAATTACCGGATAGACTTTTAAATAAAAGCTTAATAGATATACTAAACTATAACTTCAATGTTAATGATGTTATGGATATATTTGAAAAAATATTCAAGAACAGCGTTGACGATTTCAAAATCGAAGAAGAAAACAATGAGATGAAGAATTTACAATTCATGAAATACAGTTTTGATAAGGATAATTATAACTTTATGTACACCTCTTTTAAGGACTATTGTAATGCTTCTACATATAAAATTTTTTTTTTTTTTTTTTTAATTATCCATTTGAGGTGTATACATATCGAACCTAACAGTGCATGTCCAACCGAGTAGTGCATGATATTTTTCCATTTCCACGAATATCACATTGTGTATTTGCATCACACTGTGTGTTTACATAACATTGTATGTTCGAAACGTTGCATTTATTTTCCCATTTTTCAATATTTCCAAAGATCCATTATTAATTCCACCCTGCCACTCCCCCCCCCCTCTATTTGTAGGTCTAAATGAAGTTACAAATAATGAAAATTGCAAAAAATACACAGACAAAGATTACATTTCCAACATTTTCAAAGACATTGATAGCAATTTTTATTCTAGATTTTATAAAGAAATAAACAAATTGAAACATTACATTTTCGAAATAGGGAAATTATTAAAAAGAAGAGATGAGTTAAATAATGAAATTAATTGCACCGTTGATAGTATTAAAAATTCGAAAAGTTGGGTTAATAAAACCCTTACGAAAAAATCTAGCAAGGCATTACCTATTATTCGATATTTTGAAGAAATGTCTTATAATCTAAAACATTCAAATAAAGGTTTAAGTTACTATGATATGATGGTACAATATGGAAATGATTTAAATGCTATCATAAAAAATGCACTAGTAGAATATGTATATTTGTATAAACAAACAAAAACTTATCAAAAAAAAATAGAAAGGTATATGGAAAGAAATGCTAGAATCCTTTCAAAAATGCATAAGAAAATTATATTAAGTATTTTTTATATGATTTCAGATATGAATAAAACAAATGAAAAAATTGACAATTTAATAAATAAAAAGGTACACGAATTCAGTGAATGGGTAAATTATGAAAATAATAATTATGCAAAAAGACTAAAAAAATTAAAAACAACTGTTGATTTTAATTTAGATGACATTAATGAATATATAGATATTTCTAAAGAAAAACTTGAACAAAATAAAGTAGCCTTTATAAATATGAGCAAATATTTGACATTTCAAAATCCAACAAAAACTATTACGTCTATCATGAATCTTATTAATAACAAATATTCTAAGGATGTTAATGTCATTTTTATATATAATGAAGAATATATAGATTTTTCTTCTGGAAACGTGATAGAAGAATTAGAACCATGCAAAGTTAATATAAATACAAAATCGACAAACAATGTTAACTTTACTCATTTGGATTTTATGAAAACGTCCAAGTATGAAGAAATGCTTAATACTAACATGTATGAACAAAAGGGTTTTAAACACATAGATAAACAGAAGATAGACAATGTTATGAATGAAATATTTCATGGAGACAAGAAACTTGACACCGAATACTGGATCAAAGAAAAAGAATATGAAGATGTTAAAAGTAATATTTCTTACAATGAACTAAATAACCAAATCAAAGTATATACAGATGAAATGGAAAAAAGCATCACCATGAATAACGATAATTATATTTTCAAACCTACCATAAAAAGATATATTTCCAGTGTTAGAAACCTTTTTAAAAATCCAATTTTTTATTTTAACAAATATATTTATTCTTTTGAGAAAAATTTTGATTCATATTCCAACAACCATGCAGGAGTTGTCACTACTACTTTTAAAACCATTGATAAGGAAGATAAAAATGAATTAGAAAACGAGAAAGCAAGTGAAAATGAAGCCAAGGAAGAGGGTAATAATAAATTAGAAAACGAGATAGAAAGTGAAGAAGTGAAGAACATTAAGGATCATAAAAGAAATGAAGAAATAAAAGTAATCGGGAATGGCTCAAGCAATGTCAAAATTTATGGAGTGAAGAAAGAACTAGAAAAGGAGATATTAAGCGAAATAGAATCCGCTGCAAATTTAGAATTAGATTCTGATCTAGAAAGAGAGTTTGAAAACAGGGAAGGGAAAAATGCTTGGGAAAAATTAGGAAACGAAACTGCTCTTTCCAACGAAGTAACTGTAGTGTCAGAAAACATGAAAGGTGATAAAAATGAGCAAGTGGATGAAAAGATATTTGATGAAATATATTTGGAACATGCAGGAAAGGACAAGGAGGACGTTGAACATATCATCCAAGCATTAAATAAACATGATATTGAAAATGTTGAAAGTGAAAATAAGAATGATAATGAAAATGACAAGGATAATTCACATTATAATTATATGGATGACAACATTATTCTCGATGATGTATTTAATAATGTGGACTATAGAGAGAATGATAAAAAGAGCGATGAATTGAACGAAAAGGAAGAAGGTAACGACGCTTATAAAGAGGACCCAAAAGAGGAGAATAATAATGATCTTATTGATGACAGTGTGATGAAGAATAAGAAAAGAGGAAATTTAAATGATAACAAAGGAGACAAGGTAAACGATGAGGAGCAAGAAAATGAAAAAGAAAAAGATGGAGAAGAAGGAGAAGAAGAAGAAGAAGAAGAGAAAGAAGAAGAAGAAGAAGAAGAAGAAGAAGAAGAAGAAAAAGAAGCAGAAGAAAAGGAACAAGATGATGACGATGATCATGTTGAAGAAAAAGGCGAAAATGTGGACAAAAATGATGATGAAAATGATTATAATTATGGCAGTGACGAATCAGGAAAATATGAAAACACAGTGAACGAAAAAAATAAAAATAATTTATCCATTTTCCATAGTGCAAGTTTAAAGTATCTGTTGCGAATTCCATTCATTAAGCAGCTGTATAACATGTGTTATGAAAATAAAAATGAATGTGTACATAGAAAAGATGTAGAAGTGATTGAGATTTACGAAATAGATGAAAAGGAACTAGAAGAAATATATAACGATTTTATTAACTTAAGCTATGAAGACTCATTAAAAAAAATTAAAGAAAAAATATTTTATGCAGTACCTGACATGGAATATCTTTCGAAAGCTTTGAAATTACAAAAAAAAAATAAGGAAGAAAATAAGATTCGAAATTTTTTTTATGATGCACTTTATGGAAATGATTATTTGTTTGTAAAATCGAAAGGTGTTAATGTTGAAACATTTATTTATCCATATTTTGAGACTTTAAATTTACAGTTAAGTGAAATAAAAACATGCACATCAGAGGATTACTATGGTTGTATGAAGAATTATATTCGAAATGAAATTAAAAAAAAGGAACCAGAGAATAAAAAATTAAATGACAAATTAATGCAAAAAACATTATTTGTATATTTAGGAATTTTTAAAGATGAAGTTTTTAAATTGCCGAAATCGAAAATCACAGATGATTTAAAAAAAGCTCATTTGAAACAGTTTTTAGACAATCCTAATGATTATCATTTTTTTAATAATTTTTTAATTAAAAAATATGAAGAAGAGTACTATTTTTTTCAAAGATTAAAAGTGTTTACTGTATATCATTCTAAATACAAAAATTCCATTATGTATGGTATTGACTTTAACTTTTATGTTTCCTATTTTTCAAAAGAGGACATACAGTATTTGCCCTTATCATACTATCATGATTCTATAATATATTTTAAGGTGGTTCTTGCCACCTCAAAATATGGATTCCATGAAATAGTCCCCATTGATGATGAAATTATAAAGTTTGGGTTAATGCTCTCATTAGATAATAAAAATAAAAATATACATTATTTAATATTATCAGAAGTTATCAATGACACAAATTATGACCTGCTTAAAAGTAAAACCGGGGTTGTTAAAATTTATGAAGTGTCTTATGAAAATCTTAATATGCAAATGGTAAATTCAAAATATAAAGTTCAAGTAACAAAAAATATGAAAATAATTCTACAAAAGAAAGTCACTTTTAATAACAATAAAAAGAGAACACATGATTATATTGATACCTTTTATGATAAGATGAATAAAATAATGAAAAATAACATGAACCTGGAATTGTTCGGGAAAACTTTTTATGTTCATCTACAGAAAACGTGAATACATTTAGGTACTATAAATTTCACTTATTTGTATCTTTGCTTTGTTTTACTTTGCTTTGCTTTTCTTTGCTTCACTTTGCTTTACATTACTTTACATTGCTTTTTTTTTTTTTTTTTTTTTTTTGTTAAAAATGTTAAAATTGTGAAAAATATACAAAAGATTTCCCATTTGGGAAAAACGAGATACTGCTCTTTTAATTATACCTATGTGCACTTTATTAACACTTCCTTAACAGTTCGTCATTCAGTTTTTATATTTTTTGTTCATTTTTTCAGTTTAACTGTATCATAAATGGTTATGTATAAAATGTTCATCCACAATTGATCACATTTCATTTTGACATATTATTAATCTATCTACCCATACTTTGCTATTGTTCTTTTTTTGAAAACCCTTTTTCGCACATTTTCTCATCTTTTTTTTTTTTTTTTTTTTTAATTAGTTTTAACATTACTTAAAATTCAGTGTTGCACTGATTCTTTACACATATGTGTTTACGGCATATTTATGTGTTGTGTGTATCATATTTCATAAAATCATTTACGGAGACTTTTTACCTTATAATTAAGTTTTTAAATTACCCTTTAAAAAATAAACATTATTATTTTTTCTTTTTAAAAACCTCTACTCTGAAACGTCCATTATGTTATATCCGCACTTATCTCGACCCCTATTGAACAAGTATCCATTATACGTAACAAAAGGTAAATCACTTTTATTGAATATACCTTTATTGATATACCATTATTGAATATGCCTTTACTCAAGAGATCTTTTTTATGCACAGAATATGACATATTTTCAATAGTTGCCGGCATAAGTAAATTATGTAGCTATTACCATGTCACTGCGTATGAATTTAGAACACGCCATTTTTTTTATTTATATTGGACATATAGCTAATGCTACATAAAAAAATTTATTCATCGTTTCGGCCTCAATTTTTTTTACCTCGTGAATACAAAAAAAAAAGAAAAAAAAAAAAAAAATATTTGATCTTCTCTTCAATAACAACCTTTGCTTATAATATTACAACATAAAAATAAAAATGTAGGTATTCATGTTCTTTCAAATAAAAAATCTGTAACCCGTCAAACGGAAATGCGTTCCTTCATAAATATAGCACAGGAAAGTGCATTACACAACCATCCAATAATGTTATGAAAGTATTATATAAACATCAAAAAAAAAAGTAGCTAGCTCTATATTATTCTTTACTTAAGCGGAATTGATTATATGTGCAAACTGTTTTATTAAGGAATAGAAAAAGTGGATACAAAGTTCCACACTGAATGAAAAATACACAAACCAGTGGGGAATAAGACAGTCTCTCTATGTATATGAATAAAGCATCTATAATGTTGTTTATTTTTTTTACTAAAGCAGTGAACTTTTTCATTTTTTTTTTCTCCATTTCGTAGTTGTATTGAAAAAAAAGATAAAGCCAAAACAATTAAGGGATAATATTTATGTTTATTGATCTACAATATTATTATTTATTTATTTATTTATTTATTTTTTTTTTTTATTTATTTCTTAAAAAATATGTTTCATAAGAAACTTATAAAATATTATGAGCCTTGTTTAATTTCACATTCAGTTTGTAGTATTTTTTTTTTAAATGAAGAGAAAGTAACTATTTATTATTTTATTTTTTTTTTTTATTATTAGCACACCTTTTTTGAATTTTCTTTTTTCTTTACATCTTTTTCAGTAAATTAAAGGTGCAAAATATGCAAATGCATATTTTTTATACTTGTGCATTCCATTAAGTATATTTTCTCATATTTGTACATGGGCACATGTACATGCATAAAAAATACTTTATGAGGCCTTGATACTACAATTTGCATGTTGCAAAGTATTTTGAGACCATTTCATGAGGGCGAATGGGAGCAACACCTATGTGACAATTTTTATGGAGCCCTATTTTTTCTTCCTTATTGTGCAATTGATTAAAACAAAAAAAAATAAAATAATAAAAGTAAAAATAAAACAAACACATCATGATGTTATTTTATATCGAAGAAAACACCCTTTATATATATATATACATAAACATTTGAATAAGTGCAATGTAATAATACTAAATATTATATGCAAATTTTTTATTGTCAAATAAAATATAACACCCGCTTTGTGTACGTCCCACACAGCATATCATTTTTGAATTTTAGTATAATGTAATATAGCGTGTATGGCAAAAAAAAAAAAAAAAAAAAAAAAAAAAAAACCTCTGGCATACCATGGGCTTTAAAACAAGTGCTTAATTAAGTAAACATTACATATGCAAATGAAAAATGCACATATCATTTATTAACATGCTTTGAAAAGAGAGTGTGGCACATGTGCAGGGAGCAACATCTGTAAATTAAGTGAAAAATTGTTCAAATTAAAAAAACTTCAATATATTTGAATGAATTTATTTTATTTATTCTTAATTTATATGAAAAGGCGAGTGGTTATTTAAATATTTTTATAGGTCACACTTTTACCATTTTTATGGAGCCTTCTTAACGTTTATTTTACAAAATATTATTTTTGCTTCACATCTACAACATTTACAATACCACGCACCGCAACAACAAAAAGCGTTTTTCATTTCATTATTATATATGACAAAGGAACAAATTTAATAAAAAAAAAATTAAGTGCTCATTTTATTATCATTCAAATTACGTAATTTTTTAACCAACATGTTGACAACTAAAATGAACGCATAAATATATATATATATACATATATGCATATATACATATATACATACATGTACATATATGTATAAACATTAATTTACGCATCTCAATGTTTTTACATTTTTCGTTTTTAACAATTCATGAGGACACATGTACACCAACATAATAAATAAATGTATACTTACAAAAATACATTTGCATGACTTTGGAAATAAAACCATCAAAATTGCAAATCGTATATTTGTAGAAGCAGAAAAAAAAAAAAAAAAAAAAAAAAAAAAGATTAAAGATCAAAATTGATAACCATTAAACAGGGGAACCCCACTTTGAGTAAACAAAATAAAGCTATTAAATTGAAGTAATTCCTGTTAAATCACAATAGAACTTTATTTGACTCTCAAACGTAGAGGAATTGAAATGTAAGCTAATGTTCTTTCTTAATATATCTTGAACATATGATTTACAGCCTTTACGGGAGTAAAATGTGTAAATAGCTTAGTATATCATAGATAAACTCTTTTGTGCTTTCTCTCTTGAATCCAAGTGACATAAATTTATTTTTGCCTACATATGTACCAAGTTATGTTGTTCGAATATATCCATATGAGTGTACGTAGAAGTATGCACAAGTATATTTTTTTTCATTTTTATGTAAAACTTTGTAGAAAAATATAAAAAGATAATTCATTCTGTAAACAATTGCTCATGACCTGTTTTTTTTTTTTTTTTTTTTTTTTCACATTGCATTGCTCGTGAATGTTTGAGTATTTATGAACCTCAACTTATGCGACGTGAATGAATGCATTTTTGGTTCTACGTTTTGTTGTAAATATTTGCTCATTCTTTAAAAGCATTGAAGGCTTACTTATTATCTCCAGCATATTGTTTTTCTTAAATTTGCCGTTTTTCGGCTTTATTTTTCCGCTTCTTCATTTGTCTTCTTCATTATTCTTTCTCATCTTCATTTTTTCTCATCTTCATTTTTCTCATCTTCATTTTTTCTCATCTTCATTTTTCTCATCTTCATTTTTTCTCATCTTCATTTTTTCTCATCTTCATTTTTTCTCATCTTCATTTTTTCGCATCTTCATTTTTTCTCATCTTCATTTTTTCTCGTCTACGTTTTTTCTCGTCTACGTTTTTTCGCGCCCTCACATTTATGCTTCATTTTTTTTTTCATTGCCTCCATCAGAAAACCGCAAAAATGGCATCGTTGAATAAAAAAAATATTGTAAAAATTTTTGAAAAATGTGTAAGGAATAACATACTAACAGATAAGAGTCGCCACCTATGCACGAGCAAAACGAATTTCAATCGAGCATCTGGAGATATAATAGGTATCGACTTAGGTACAACAAATAGTTGTGTTGCAATTATGGAAGGGAAACAAGGAAAAGTGATTGAGAATGCAGAAGGATTTAGAACAACTCCATCTGTTGTAGCGTTCACCAATGACAACCAGAGATTGGTTGGCATAGTAGCAAAGAGACAGGCAATAACAAATCCAGAAAATACAGTTTATGCAACGAAAAGATTTATAGGTAGAAAATTTGATGAAGATGCAACAAAAAAGGAACAGAAGAATTTACCATACAAAATTGTTAGGGCACCAAATGGAGATGCATGGATAGAAGCCCAAGGGAAAAAATATTCTCCAAGTCAAATAGGTGCTTGTGTTTTAGAAAAGATGAAAGAAACTGCTGAAAATTATTTAGGAAGAAAAGTACACCAAGCTGTTATTACTGTACCTGCGTATTTCAATGACTCACAAAGGCAAGCAACGAAAGATGCTGGAAAAATTGCTGGTTTGGATGTACTTCGTATTATTAACGAACCAACTGCAGCAGCTTTAGCATTTGGATTAGAAAAGAGCGATGGAAAAGTTATTGCTGTTTATGATTTAGGAGGTGGTACATTTGATATTTCTATTTTGGAAATTCTAGGAGGTGTTTTTGAAGTGAAAGCAACGAATGGTAACACATCCTTAGGAGGGGAAGATTTCGACCAAAGAATATTAGAATATTTCATTTCTGAATTTAAGAAAAAAGAAAATATTGATTTAAAAAATGATAAGTTAGCTTTACAACGATTAAGAGAAGCAGCTGAAACAGCAAAAATAGAATTATCAAGTAAAACTCAGACAGAAATTAATTTACCCTTCATCACTGCAAATCAGACCGGACCAAAGCATTTACAAATTAAATTGACTCGTGCAAAGTTAGAGGAGTTATGTCATGATTTATTAAAAGGAACTATAGATCCATGTGAGAAATGTATTAAAGATGCAAATGTAAAAAAGGACGAAATTAATGAAATTATTTTAGTTGGTGGTATGACAAGAATGCCAAAGGTATCTGAAACAGTAAAGCAAATTTTCCAAAATAATCCATCCAAAAGTGTAAACCCAGATGAAGCAGTTGCATTAGGTGCAGCTATCCAAGGAGGTGTGTTAAAAGGAGAGATAAAAGATTTGTTGCTCTTAGATGTAATTCCATTATCCTTAGGTATAGAAACATTAGGTGGAGTTTTCACCAAATTGATTAATAGAAACACAACTATACCAACAAAGAAATCACAGATCTTTTCCACAGCAGCTGATAATCAAACACAAGTCAGTATTAAAGTTTTTCAAGGAGAAAGAGAAATGGCATGTGACAACAAAATGTTAGGATCTTTTGATTTAGTTGGAATTCCTCCAGCACCTAGAGGAGTTCCACAAATTGAAGTTACATTCGATGTTGATGCTAATGCTATTATTAACATATCTGCTATTGACAAAATGACAAATAAAAAACAACAAATTACCATTCAAAGTAGTGGTGGTTTAAGCAAAGAAGAAATTGAAAAAATGGTTCAAGAAGCTGAATTGAATAGGGAAAAGGATCAACAAAAAAAAAATCTAACAGATTCGAAAAATGAAGCAGAAACGTTAATTTACAGTTCAGAAAAACAGTTAGATGATTTCAAGGACAAAATCTCTGATTCAGACAAAGAAGAATTAAGAAAGAAAATTACTTCTCTAAGAGAAAAATTGTCTACAGAAGATTTAGATGGAATTAAGGAAGCCACAAAACAGCTACAAGAAAAGTCATGGGCCATTTCTCAAGAAATGTACAAAAACAATGCATCCCAGGATTCGCAATCACAGGAACAGAAAAGTGAAAATAAAACAGAGGAGAACAAGGACAATGCTTAAGGCTCTTGGAGAGGAGAAGAAGCGAAAAAATGTAAAAGTGCTATGCACAGATAAGAACCCGCGTTTGTGAAAATGTAAACCGATGTTAAACATAGTATCAAACAGAGTATTCCATCAGAACGTATTTTATTCGTTTTGTGTTTACAATTGAAAGATAAGTGCAGCAATTTGTCTGAATGCAGATAGCTAGCTGGTTTGTATATATATATATATATATATATATATATATATATATATGAACGTGTGCATATTCGCATTTGTAGTTTTACCCCATGTAATCTTAATTCGACGGTCATTGAAAGCACCCTTCCCCGCCAATATAAATTATTCATTTGTCCTGTATATAACCATGTGGCGTGAGGTAACATCTGATGCATCAGATGATTTTAAAAATATTAAGGAATTAAAATCCTTTCATATTTTATTTTACATATAACACTTTTTATGCTTGTTTTTTCCCACGTCCTCCCATTTTGGAATGTGGTATAAAGTAAATTATATGTAAATCTGTGTACAATTTACCGTACCAAAAATGTGGAATATTAACAAGTTTCGACTTTTGAAAAGAAAAAATGTGCAAGAATGTCTACAGGTACGTATATATATATATACATACATATATTATATGCATTTTTAAAATGTTTAAAGTTAATTGAGCCTCATACTCTTTCCCTTGTGCGTGGTAAAAGTGTGCATGCAGATGAATACTTATGTGTATTTTGACAACGATACTGGCAGGTAAATATATATATTATAGGCATGCACGCCTATTAAATATACACAAAAATCTCGCATTGCGGAAAACGTCATTTCATAAGACCGCACTTTATTTTATTCTTTTGCTGCAATATTTTCTTCATTTTTTATTTAAAAAAATTTAATAATCAGAAACAAATAAATTATTACACAAAAATTACAAAGGGTGGTGTTGTTCCAAGACCACTTGGGTGACTTATACAAAAAGGTTTTTTCCGTATCGAAAAAGAAGATGTTTTAGTGCATATGTGAAGTCATTGTATTTCACCCACAAGAACAAGATTTAGGTATATATCTCATTTCTATTTAGTTACACTCGTGTTTAATCGAAAGTTCAGCAAAAATACATGTACTCATTTGAAAACACTTATATATTTCTTAGTCACTTTTTTCTCCCTTCTGCATATTTGTAAGCCACACATTTGCACCTTTAAAAAGGGAAATTTGTCCTATTTGTCGCAATGCCTCTTTATTTGAATTTTTTAATAGGCAATTTGATTTGAGTCTTATCAATTGGCACTGTTAAGATGGTATTATAACTTAACAATGGTAGTTTGTCTCTTTTTTCTTTTTCGAGAAGCTGTCATATTTCTTTTGCATATAAATAAACTGTACATATATGTGTATGTACACATGAATATACCTCCCTACGTAAAACAGCATATTTTATAAAAAAGAAAAAATAATTACGAAAAAAGTTGTGTTTTTTTTGTGGGAAAACAACATCATCATGCTAAAAAAAATATATTTTTTTTTTTCCACTACTAAAGAGGCATAAAGTACAAGTTGATAAAATTACATGAAATTGTATGCAGTTACACACAAATGAATTGATATAGTAGAACATGTTGAAAAAAAAAAAAAAAAAAAAAAAAAAAAGAAAAGTTGTGGCATATTTTTCAATATATGTATGTGTAACATGATCAGTAGTTGCATCGTGTGGAAGTAAAAACAAATTATGAGTGAAGTTAAATACACTTATTTTTGCGTATGTTTGTGCATATATACAACAGGGGGGAAGAATTTAAGTTTATACATTTTTTGGTGACATAATAAACGTCTAAATATTCATATGTATGTACATTTTCAAGAACACCTTGCTTGTGTAAAAATAGGCTATTATTTCCTCCATATTTTTCCAACTTTTTTCCCGTCATTTGCTCCACTATTTTCCCAACCAGATTACAATTCCGAATTGGATTCATTCACATTACTGAAGGAAAACTTTGGGGCATTTTTTACAGTAAAGGGAACCAAGTTGTCAACAGAGGCTTTCCCCATCATCATTTGTGTGATAAAATTTTTTATGGAATTTTCAGAATAATTTCCCTTCAAAATCGAATACACATTTTTTGAAAAACTAATAGCAATAACAGTGGGGAAACCAAATGTTAGATTTAACTTTTGCACAATGTCTAATTGATCCCCTGCTTGTGTCCATAATAAAGAGACAGGTAATCTACTGACGTCTTTAATAACACTGTTTAATATTTGAATATATGATTTAAAATAGCTGAGTTCTGTATCTTCTTTATTTGGTAAAATAGCTAGTAGACATACGTCTTTTTCACAATATTCATCAAAAACTTGTTGAGAAGTTAACTGAATTACTTCCTTTTTTTCTGTATAATATTTTAAAAAAAATTGATAAAGGTCATCTACAGTTCTTGAGTCGTTATAATCTACTGCACTGTGTGATTTTTTATTTCCTGATGGGAATAATCGAAAAGATGGATAATGGTTTATCCCATAAGTTTGTGCTGATCTTTGTTCAACTGTTGCATCAATTTTCGCAATTCTAGCATTTTTCATATTAGCTACTTTTTTAGCTAATTCATCAAACATAGGATGTATTGGTTTACTATGTCCACACCAAGGAGCATAAAAAAAAACAAACCAAACATTTTCATCATTTTGCAACACATTTTTATCAAAGTTACTATCATTCAGTATTATAACTTTTCCATCATTTTTTTTTTTTGATTTTTTTTTATAAGAACTTTTATTTTTTCCACCAATATCAATATTCAATTGTTTCAAACGATAATTTTTTATACTGTCATATATGAAGGAAACTACCTCTTTTATTTTATAATTCCCATCAAAATTTTCAATATCTTTTTTATTATCATTTACGAAAAAAACTTGTACACTTGGGAATGCTTCAATTTTATAATGATTAATTATATCTTCATTTTTTACAGCCAAAATTGTTATGTCATCTTTTAACGTTTTTGCTATGCTTGTAAAGTCATTAGCAAATCCTCTGGAAGCCCTACACCATGTTGCATAAAATTCAACTAGGCAAATTTTTTTCGAATTTAACAAATCCTCGAATTCTTTCAGACTATCTACTGTTGTTATTTCTTTCACATTTGTATATAAGCCTGAAGTGCACCTACTGTATAGGACTGCCAAAACGAGTGAGAAAAATATGAGACCTATGCTTTTCATCTTTTTTTACCTCAGATGAGTGCAAGCGCGAATGAGCTAATATATGGCCAGACTTCACACTGGGGACGAGCCAAAAGGCGATACAAAAGAAGGCTACAAAATGGGAATTAAAAAAAGCGAACAGCAAAATGTTCTTATATTTCCAACTTCCTAACTGTAAATAATATTTAAAAAACGAATGCGCACTTTTTGGGACAGCAGGAAAAAAAAACAGTGTAGAAACTGCTTAAAAAATGTGCATGTACCATAAGCTCGTTTGGTATTTGTTATGTTTGGCTAACTTGAAAAAAAAAAAAAAAAAAAAAAAAAGCTAACATTAATACTAATACTTATAGCAATAGTTATATACATTACAAATATGGGTTGTCAATTGAAAAACGTAAATCCTAAAGTTACTCCTATAATGAACATGAAAATTATTTTGGTGCTATATAATTGTGCTACCTATTGGTACCCCATTTTCAACCTAAAATTTGGCCCCTTTTGATGCATGCGCCTTCAGATTTACTGCCTTAATTTTTGAGAGGGGAGAAGATTGAAAAAAATTAATAAATAAAAAGTAGCACTCTGAAGGGGATGTAAAAACAAAAAAAAAAAAAAAAAAAAAAAAAAAAAACATGAAGAAGTATCACATCCATATGTAAAAGTAAATATATATACACGTAAATAAGTGATTATATGTATATTATTGCTTGATCAACATATGTACGCACACACACATGCTATATGCGGCAAGGACGAAAGTGTGCCCAGAAATGATAGAAGTCAAAGTGATCTTCATGAATATATAAAAATTGTTCTATGGAAGTTTAGTATAATTGCAACCTAAATCCGATAAAAATAAATCATTCAATATGAACGACTAAACCTTATCATAGCAAAAACCTATCAATAAATGTTTGTAAATAATATAAGTCTATTCCTAAAATTGAATATCTGACTTAGGGTCACTACAAAAGAATACATGCATGCGAATATAATCACATGAGATAATTCGCACAAAAGGCTTATTACTGCTTTGCTCATATTGAAGGGAACTATAATATATGTGTCATTACTCGGGTGGAGGATATTAAGTTCTAACGTTTAAAGAGGTTCGATAAGAGTGATATGACAATTAAAGGGTCTTGTACAGGTATGCTATATTTCATTATTCTTTCTTCAATTAAAAAATTGCACATTTATAAATATGGACGTATTTGCGTATTTATTCAAGGTGTACATATTTGTTCGCTTTACTGTCGCTTGTTCAGAGTGTTAAACTGTGACATAAATGCGCCCTTTCATGTGCGAAAATGTATATAGATTTATGGCTTTATTTTCAACGGCACAATTTATTTTCACCTTTCTGCTAATCCAGTTTTGTTACCTCCAAATTGTGAACTGCCAATTTTTTAACAAGAACAGGAATATCATTTTCATTTATCGGCACCCCTTCACTTTCCAAAAAAAAAGGAATGAAGACAAAAAAATGATCTCATAAACATGCAAGGGGAGACGTAAAATTGGAAATACAGTCCATATGTTGTTACAACAAAATTTTGAACAATTTATTCACGCAAACGAGGAGAAGGGGTAAAAAAAATAAAATAAAATAAAAAATAAGTAACGTTAAAATTGAAAAAACATTTCAAATAATGCTCTCTTCTTTTTCGTAAAAACTGAATAAAATATATATATATAAATTGAAATTTCCATTTTTTGTTCATACCACGCTTCCCTTTTACAAGCATGTGATAATTTCCAAATATAGATAATTAACTTTCGTCCTCATATACGAACATCAGCCCATCCACCTACTTTTCCTTTTGAATATTTTGAACTTGTTGCTTTGAATATTTATTCAAAAGGTTCTCTGGTTCAACATTATTTTTATTGTTTGGATAAAAGAGTATCCTATACGAAATACACCCAACGACCTTTACTGTTTAACATCATGCTATTTATAGGTTCTTGTCGCTATAATATTTTTTTATGTGAAATATTTTCCATTACCTTACGATGATGATATAATATGAAGCTACTTTAGGAAGCTTTTAAAAAAATATAACCTAGCAGTTAACCATTATAAAAAATTATCCACCTATAAATAAGGGGTAAAAAACCCAAGCGTCCTCACAAATTATGAGAAGCGATCTGGTGAGGGAAAAAAAAAGTTAAAAAATTGCCTTGGAAAAGAAATACAAAGAGGGGCGACATATATATATAATGAAACCCCAAACAGCTTTAAAAAAAAAAAATAAAATAAAATAAAATTCAGTGGTTTTTAAATTTAAACGAATAATTTAAAAGAAAATTATTATCACAAAATTTGAAGGTCAATTTAATCAGGTCACTATATACATTTTTGTTACATGTTCTTGTATTTTTTATTTTCTGTTCCGAGCAAAAATATGCTTTTGAATTCAGAGGGGCAAGGTTACATATTGCAAAATTGTTCCTTACTAATTTTGCATATATATGATTACTTGGTTATGTCAATTTTTCACATGATTTAATTAGCGTATTTAATTTTTTTTTTTTTCAAAATCCCTAAATTTACCTACACGAGGAGCATATTGCTTCTGCATAGCAAATATTATTTTTTGTAATTTTAAAGGATCATTTCTTCTACATTTTTACTTATCTGTTTAAGTGATATTACATATATATGCTACAGTGTGTTTCTTTTTTCTTTTTTTCGAGCTTATATATATGTATAACATTTATGCATAAGGAGGAACATAAAATTTTTTTTTGGTAACGTCTCTAATGCAAACACTAGAAGTGTTGAATTTTCATTAGGAATAAAATTATTACTTAAACATAACACGAATACAGTTTAATAAAAAAAGGAAGTGACTAATAAACAGGCGTTGTTGTTTTCCTTACATGTTCATAAACGGAGTGACACAAAAAAAAAAAAAATATAAAATAAAATAAGGCATATGTCTTTATATCAAATAAACATACCGATCTAGTAAAGAAAAAACAAATAACATTTAACTCAGGGCACCAACACATGATAACACACGAGATAAATGGATAAATTCAAAAAATGCAAAAAAAGAAATTTGGGTCAACTGAAAAAGACCAAGACTTTTATTAAAAAAAAAAAAAAATTGCCATATGTGAACAGTAGTAACAGCAGCTCACCGAATGATTTTATCACAAATGTAATTATAAAATATATAAACCAGAGGAAATATGAAAAGAGGAAGAATGGAGGAAATTTTGAAAATGACAAATTTAACGAATTTATAGGAAACAAGAACGCAACTGAATTATTGAAGGAAAGATTATTCGGAAAGAACGAAATTAGAGAGACGGATATCGTTAAAAATTGTCTCCTTTTTAATGATAAAAATGAGATTCTTGAAAAAGTGAGCTATAAAATTCTTTATGATGTTATAAAAAAATGCATAGATCATGAACATGTATTAATGAAAGTAGAAGAATTAGGTTTTACAGCTGAAAATATAAGAGATAAAAATAACGAAAATGTAAATATATGTTCGAAATACAAAGCTGAAGTTTTTTTCAATTACATATATAAGAATTTAAAAGTTATAAAAATTACTAAAAATTTTCAGATGCTATATAAATTTATGAATGTTATCATATCCGTTACACACATAATACCATATATGTATAAAGTAAGATTTATATTTTCTTTTTGCTCCATTTTTAACATCTACCAAAAAGAATGTGAAAATGGTGTGAATAGTCCATCACTGATAGGAAAAGCCAAAATAAGAAATGACAAAGAGGATAATAACAATCATGGTAGTGGGAATTTTTTCAATTCAGACGTAGAAGAATTTTTAAATTTATTTTTTGAATTAATGAATGAATTAATAAATCTACATGAAAATTATAATACATACGATGATAATTACAAAATATTTAACTTTTTTGTTTTGAGGTGGATATTGGTTTATTTCCAAAATAAGCAAAGTTTTTTTGCAAAAGGGAAATTCATGAACTCTTTGATAAAATTGAAATACGTCATGTTGTTATTCACCTTGTTGAAGTTTCTACATGAAAGTGCAAATAATGTGACATCTAAGAAGTTTAAGGATAGTGAAGGAAAAGTATGTGTATTAAATAACATCACGATAGGAGTATGCAAAGAAGGTACAAACGTAGTTCATGTAAACAATCAAGAGGAGGAAGAAAGAAATATTTCCCAATTTTTAAATGAACATTCATCTTTTTTTGTGGAAGAAAAGCTTGATTCAAATAAAACAAATTTTTTGGATCATTTATGCAATAGTGAACAATTAAAAAATGAAAAGATAAAAAATAATAGGGACGAAATTAAGATGTTGATGGAAAATTTTTATGATAAAGTCGATTTGCGCTTGGAAAAAAGCTTGAAAGATGTGAAAGAGACCATGAACACATTGACACAGAACATATTTATGACAGTGTACAATCTATTTAACACAATGCACCTTATACATAGACATGTAGTATTGTTGCATTTTTCTTTTCATTTTTTAAAAACGAAAGCATTTGAATACTCGTACTTTATCATTTTTAATGCATTTCAATGGATTGAAAAATTATTAACAGTTAACAATTTTGTAATTCATCCGATGATATTTTTGACAGCTCAGGAAGTTTTTACCTTTTACGAAAATATTGTTATTCATTTATATAAAGAAAAAAATTATACAGAGGAGGAGGAGTTTTACCAATTTTATGACAAGTTTAATAGTAAACATAGCAACGTTTATTCAACAGTTTTGAAAAAGATATGGAGTTTATATATGCTGATTATTTCTGATGAATACATGAAAAGGGAAGAAGTTGGTAAATTGAGTGAAAATCCTTATTTTATAATAAACAAAATGGATGAAGAAACAGATTTAATGAACAGTTTGAACAAATTAACGACTGTGCTAAGAGTTAACAACTTAGAATTTCCAGAAGAATATAAAAATTTGATACTAAAAGGTGTAGATGAGACGTACAAAAATTGCTTAACAAATTGTTTATCAAAACTGTTTCGTGTATTAGGGTTGAACACCTTTTTTGAAGAATACTTTTTTTTTTCAAGCAAAGAATTATTATCAAAGGATGTGTATATAATAAATAGAATTCTCAAAGACACAAACAGAACATACCATGGTGGAAACTTTAAATTTTTAATGAATTTTTTTTATCCTTTGCTAATGTATTACATTGATTTATATGAGAAAGAAGAAGAACACAGTATAAAAAAAAAGTTATTCTTAACACATATAAAAAATGTATTGATTCATTTCTCACGTGTATTAAATGATTGTATCAACTTGTATTATTTCCTATCTACAAATATGGAAGATTTGTATATATTAGTAACAAAGTTTATCAATTGTAATGATTTTAAATTGCTACCTCTGTTTATCAACTTTTTTGAAAATTTTTACTTATCAACGTTGAAGATAAATAATAATCAAGGTTCAGAATGTATTTCCCAAATATTCGATAACAACAAGATTGTTAGAGATATAAAATGTAAATACACCATTTTAAATTTAAAGAAAAATAATTTCTTTTTAAGCCAAGTTTCAGATAATCTGTTGAAAATTTTTTTACCGCGATTCATATCCATTGTAACATCTAATTATGAAAACAAATTTTCTCAAGTTAATGTAAAAACAGATGAAAGTAGTTTAAATATGTCTATGGTAATTGAAGGATTTTCAAAACTGATACATGTGGCTTTATATTTTTCATCAGATGCAAATTTAAGTGAAATTTCAAGCCTCCTCGAGCAGCTTATACAAAGAAACGAAATTGAAAAAGAAATTTATTCCTTAATTAGTATATTAATTGTTCTCAAAATTTTAATACCATTTTTTACCTATGATGAACTTATCGCATGTTCATCTCATTATAAGAAATTAATTTATTTAGTGAATGAAATGGTTAGTAATAAGCTGTTACTAATTGGGAGAATAAAAAATGCAAGGGGAAATAGGTGGAATGTTAATAGTACACAAATAGAAAAAGGTAAAGATGCATATTCGAGAATGTCATCTGGAGGAAACAATTTCTGCGTCAATCAGATGGAGCAATCGACGAAGCTCTTTGATCAAAACCTGCAAGAAAATAATAATAGTGCCCAGTATTATTTGCCTAAGCAGGTGAGTGAAACTATGTACACTGATGGGATATACCATCCAATTGGCAATGAAAATGGTAATCCAATGCTGAATAACAACTACTGGAACAGGAACATAACAACGAACACATGTGATATAGATCCATGTGGTGATACAAATCAGATGCATGAAAATAGTAAAGAGGAGGAGGAGGAAGAAGAAGACTGCATGTTACATAGAAAAAACCAACGTAGCTACAAAAAAAACTTAAGAAGAGGGAAAAAAGACCAAAGTAGTAGTAATATTGGAAAAAGAAGCAAAATTAAAAATTTTATTAAAAAGAAAAAAAAAAACAATAATTGTTCACAGATGGAAAGGTTGAGAAGAACAAAAATTACAAAAGAGATCAAAATGGATGTAGAAAAGTACAAATTTATAAAGATGTTAATATATGATAACGTTGCATCCATGTTTAAATATTTCGGCAATATATTTTTAAAAAAAAATCACACCACTGGCTTTGGCAGTGGAGATGATGGGATTAAGAACCCAAGAGGCAGCTTATGTTTGAACAAAAACGAGATGCATATCCTTAACAGCATATATAGCAACAGTAAAGTGACAGAAAGTAAACTCCCTGTAATGTTGACCAAGGAAAATATTTTTTTATTTTTTGAAAATCTTGATAATTACAACATTAATAAGTATATTAAAAAATTTTACGTGTATTTAAACAGCTTACTATTTTACTTGAATGAGTGTAAACATGTGGATAGAGATTATTGTTACGATTTATTTTTTAAAATTTTGCCAATCACTATGAAATCTTTATTTTATATCAATAAAAAATTTACAGCTAAGTTAGGGAAAAATAGTTTCTTCGAACACATAATAAAGTTGGGATCCTCAAATTTAAAAAAATTATTTTTACATGTGACACCCGGTTTGTTAATGGAAGAAGCTAGCTGCAAAAAGACAGCTATTCATCTATTACACTTATTAATAAAAAGGTATAAAATTGAGTATGATGACCAGGTGCAGTTATTTAGTGTATGTTTAGCCTTATCAAATGCTAGTGAGAAGAATTTATTAAAAGTATTTTTAAAATTTCTCCTCTCATGCGTGTATCGGTTTAACAAAGATGTTATACTAGATAACATAACACAGTTAACGAAACTTCTAAATGACATTTCAGAAATTAGGAAGGGGGTTAAAAAATACACCATTGAAAATTTTTTATTAAGATTACACTACTTGGTAAGCAAATCGGAACAAGTAGTTGAACAAAAACAGAATCCATATGACATTATCGTGGCGTATCTGTCAAAACATAATAGAAAAATATTCAACAAATTAGTTCATAAAAAAAATTTCAAAAGTGGCAATAGTAGTGATGATGGCAATGATATGAATGATTATTTGAATGGGAAGGAAATGGAACATGATAAGAAAAGAAAGAAGATAAAAAGGAAAGGTACACACGTATCTCTTTCCTCATCAGATGAAGGATCATCTGTCATATCCTATGCAATATCTGAAGATGATGATGTGTCATCCGATTCAAGTGGAAAAAGTTCATATAACGATGGCTTACTTGAAAATGGTAAAATGGCTAAAAAGGCAAACGAGGATCCAGAAAAGTGGGAAGAACATAAAATAATGGAAAATGATAAAAGGAAAAACAAATTAAATAGAAAAAAATCGAACAAGGCAACCAATCATGATGTGAAGATAAAAAGTCAGAACCGAAATTTAACGAAATTTTTTGAAAATTTAAAAAATACAAGAGGTTCTAAAGAAACTACTTACATTAAAAGTACTCTGGATAATATCCTGCAAAGAACTCCAAAAAAAAATAGAAATAATAAAAATAATAAACATACAAATATTAAAGTTAATAAAAAAGTCAGTGATGTTCTTAACAATTTAGGAATATCCCTATTTAAAAAGAAACCAAATATCGCATTTACGAATCAAAAGGAAATAAATGATTTATTTGGTAAACAGTATTTTACTATGCAGAGTTTAAGAAAGGAAAAAACAAATCCAAAAGGAAAACATTCAGTTGATTTTAATTTTGATGATGAAGAGGAGGAGGAGGAAGCAGAAAATGTAGAAATAGGCTTGGATGGAAAAATAATTGTTCATCCAGCAAATTCAATATCGCAAACTTCTAGAAACAAAAAAAAAGATGAAATGATTAATAGAAAATATAACCACGTGAATGAAAAACAAAATATTCACTCCAAATTTAGGTTACATAACAAATCGAAATATAATAAAAAAAAGGCGAACAACTTCGTCACAGCAGATAAAAAGTTATATACATCAAAGAAGGGAAAAGGGGATATAATCAAAAAGGATAAATTGTTACCATATTCTTATGTTGAATTGAAGCCACTTATGACAAAAGAAAAGTTTAGGACAAAAACACTTCATGCTTTTAGATCAATTAAAAATAATTCCAAAAGACGGGGAAGAAAAAGAAAAAATTAAAAATACTGTAAATTATGCAGTGCCTTCCAAAAACTATATTGGACCACGTTTACATTTATAACCGCTATATAAATTGGTGGGGAAAAACTGAAAAATGGATATGTTTGAATTACTTTTGTCATCAAAAATGGGGATGTAGGTAATTGCTAAGACGTTTTTCTATACATGTTTGTTACCCTACATACAAACATCCCCCCTCGTCGCTAAGATATTCACTGAGTCAGAATCTATCGTAATGCACTACTTCCCTTGCCCGCCCCTTTTTTTTTTTTTTTTTTTTAACGCGTTTGTATTTTACATCCATTAGCAACATAAATATATATATATTTTCCAACACATTGTTGTAACATATACCACTTCTCATGTTGTATTTTACGCAACCTTTATTTATTTTCCTATTTTCCTGCTTTTAAAAATGGTGGAGAATGTATATAATCAAAAGTGAATTTTGTTTTGAGAAGAAAGGGGATGAATACAATTTTATTTTTTTTTTTTTTTTCATTACAGAACAATTTGAAAATAAACATTGAAATTAAATATTCTCTTTATTTTTTTAACACATATTTATGTTCAAATATATGAATTTGTATTCCCATTTTAAGGATTAAAAAAATAAAATTAACACAAGAAAAAGAAAAAAAAAATGGTATGAAATGTTTCTATGAAGTTATAATGGGGGGGCAGCATTATGTTACATTTAGACTTTTTATAATTGAAAAAAAAGTTTTACCAGGTTTGTTACATATGAAAAATTCAAACATGTATAAAGACATATGTGTATCCACATGCGCGTTTCTTTTTTTTATCGCATATACACATGTACATTTGTACAAATATAAAGGGATGTAATTTTTTTCATACTGTAAGGAGTCCATATCGAACATATAATTAGCACAGGAATTTTTTCTCATGTTAATTTAGCGTCATTATAAATTTACATTTTTTTTTTTTTTTTTTTTGTCCTGACTGCTTCATTTTGCTTGTCCACATTCCTGTATTTACCGCTTCCTCCCCCCCCCTTTTTTTTTTTTTTTTTTTTTTTTTTTTTTTCCCCTTTTTCTTTCCCTTTTTTTTTTTTTTTTTTTTTTTCCCTTCCTCCCCCCCCTTTTTTTTTTTTTTTTTTTTTTTTTTTTTTCCCCTCATTACTTGCACATTTTTTTTTTTATATAAAATTTGTTCATTTTAAAAGCAAAAGTAAAAGGGGGAAAAAAAAAATTATAACGAAAATATTAAACTCTTAATTAGAATGTCAAAAAGGTGAAAGTAGGTTAAAGTTGTGTTCACCTGTAGTTATACGTGAAAAGTAAAACGAGACAAAAACAGAAGAATGCAACACATCAGACCATAATAGCAGGGACACACAATTCTCCAATTGTTACGAGTTGACTAAACATGATATTTATATGAGAGTGTTAAAAAAAAGGGGAAGTTCACATATTTGCACTTACAACTTAAATGTAATTTGCATTAAATAGAGCAAACATCACTTATTAATGTAGATATAGTGAATGCACTTATGCAGTTATATATACAGACGCACACGCAAAAATTGGCATCTTTCCCTGAACGTGCATATGTGTGAAAGTATTTCTTTATAATCCATATGTTTGCATTTATTTTTTTATGAATAATCGGTTTTGGATTTTCCACAAACAAATGTTGCGCATGCTTGAAGACCCGTTTTTTTTATTTTCCAGTGCATAATTTTTTTCACAATGGTTAAGCCACAACCTCGTGTATGCAACACATTTCTGTAAATGTCTACACATATATATGTAAATATGTAAATATTATCAAATGAAAAGATGCTAAAAAGTACATTTCATGATAATATGGGGGAATACACTGAACCACAGAGAGCAAGGTCAAAATCTGCTTCAATCTTCTCGTTTTTTAAAAAAAAGAAAAAAAAAAATAACACTAACGATAGTGTCATTTCTACTAGTAATAACTCCTTTCATCGCACATCCGAAGAAACCAATGAAAAGAAACAGAACGGTGAAGGAGAAGAATGCAAACAAAATTGGACACGCGAAGAAGCAATCTCAGAGAAAAGGGGTGTAAAAAAATGTAAGGACAGTTCTGCAAAAACAGTTGACAACGAATACACGCAAAATTACCAGGAATGTCAAGGAAAAAATTATGATTTAAAAAAAAAGAGAGAAAGTTTTTTTCAAAAAATAAATATATTGCAAAAATTTAAAAATTATAAAAAAAAAAACGCATCCAGCACATTTCACACAGGTCATAACAGAAGTTCTATATCAGCTAGCGATGATGAAATGTTAGGAAATATAAGCAGATTACATAAAAATGAAAACAATGACTATACAAAGAAATCAAAAAAATACACGACTTTGAAGAACAACAGTTATAGCATAAAAGAAGAAGTAAAGAGCTTAAAAAACAAAACACAAAATTTAAAGGGTAGTGTATATTTTAATGGGGAAAAAAGAGCGAATAAAGGAAAATTAGCCAATAAACATTATACCTGCACTAGTGAAATCATCAGAAATGCTTACGACACAAATTCATCTTCTGATTCTTTGGAAACGTTAATAACAAGCATTAAAATAAAAAGTAACAAATTGAAACACGATAAAAGAGAAAATTCCTATAGTGATGATGATCGTGGTGAAAGTAATTTATTGAAAAAAATGAACATATTGGATGGAACTCAAAAGGTTGGAAGAAAGTACGTATTTGATAGAAATTCAGACATTGAAATATGGGACCATGACAATTTAAGCACCGATGTGAAAATTGTGGAAGAAAATGATATAGATAATCAGCAATTAATGAACTCGAACAGCAATGTGATAGATTTAAATGAATATGCGTATGGAGAGACGAGTGAAAAAGATGTAGGAGAAGGAGAAGATTATTTTGCAAAGCTTAATGGCCTAGAAAATGATCATGTTTGCACAGATGTGGAAAATTCCCAGCGTGGCGTCAGAAATAGCAACGAATATCATCTCAGCAGAAATCAGGAAAATTGTGCCAATTTTTATCACAAACATGAAAATAAACATGAAAACAAGCATGAAAATAAACATGAAAACCAAAATGATCAAAATTTATATCCAAAGCATACGAAAAAAAATGACAAAATCGAGGGGGAGAAAAAACGAATAAGCGAATTTTCTTTTTCTAAAAAAAAAGACGAAGTAATTCGAAATGTACGTTCAAGCATTAACAATAGCGCGAATAAAGTCAATAATCATGTGGTATATAAAAATATGGAATTTTCCAATTTAAATAGCCCTAATGTAATAAAAACAACTATTCAGGAGGAAGACAAATTAGCTAGTAAAGAAATATTAAAAAAATCAGAGTATGAGAAAAAGAAGACAAATGATGAAATACATAATGAGTCTGATTTATCAAATGCACACAATGATGCTAATTATTCACAAGAGAAAAACTCATTAAAATACTTTACCAACAAGGAAGAAGAAAGTATAGCACAGAGAGAAATTATACTAAAGCTAATGTATAACAATAATGGAATCTACTTTAATCAAGATGAAAAAGGAACAGGAATTTCCATAAAAAGTGAAAACACTGCTAAATCAAGGGGGCATTATGAAGTGAATAAGGACATGAACAAATGTGAAGTATTAAAGAAAATCATAAATGGAAGAAGTACAAATTTCCACACTAGTCAACAACAGTGCGTGTATGAGAATGTAACGAATTCGTCACATAGTCATAATAAACTTTCTAACTCTCCGAATGAAGTTACACATAGATATTTTAGCAGTCCAAAGGATGAAAGTAGAGAAAGTAGAACCCATCAGGGTAATGATACACATTGCAATAAATCACTTGGAGCCTTGTCTGTTAAGAAAACAATTTCTTCGATTTCCACGCATGAGAAACGGAACAATTTGCACGTTAATGAAGAAAAACAGAAGAAGCAAAATGATGATCCAGTGGATGACAAAAATGTAGGGGGTGAAAAAAACGTAGAGGATGAAAAAAGTAATATAATCAACAAGTACCTCATTAACCCTTTGTATAACTTATTTGTTCAATCCAAAGAAGAAATAGATAATTCATGCATTTCGAATAATAATATAAATATGCTACAACCAAAGGAGGGAAGAAATTGCACAAACGAATTGCAAAAAACTTACAAAACGTTGTATGACATTTATGATGTTTCACATGCTGTTGGTGTAGGGATTAATGCATGTGGAAATGTACGAAGCAAACTTAATTCGATGCACGGTTCGCTCGTTAGAAATATGCATAATAACACAGGAACCGGTAGTAAGTGTTCACAAAATAGAGGAATTCTCACAAATAATAAAATTGATGGAAGGAGCATATATTTGCCTCAACAAAATTGGAACAGTTCTATGGGCAAGATAAATGTACAACTGCCATCTGAGCCTATCCAAAAAGGGGAACCCAATGATTCCTCATCCAAGGGTTATCAAGCGAAGGATTCCTCATCCAAGGGTTATCAAGCGAAGGATTCCTCATCCAAGGGTTATCAAGCGAAGGATTCCTCATCCAAGGGTTATCAAGCGAAGGATTCCTCATCCAAGGGTTATCAAGCGAAGGATTCCTCATCCAAGGGTTATCAAGCCAATGATTATTCAACCAATGTGAGCGCTAAAAATGTTCACCATGATTATACAAAGAATACCAATTTTCATGATAACTATTTTAATACAAGAAACATAAAGGATAAAACAGGAGAAAGAAAATATTTGGGTACAGGGACTAGGAGCTTCATAGGCGAAGATTATTTAAAGTCTTATGGAGCCCCTATAAAAAATATACGAACCCTTTTGGATAAAACCATTTTAAGGTGTAACTACAACATCAATGAACCCAACACTAATAAGTTTAATGGAAGAAGCTACATATTTTGTAAGGAAAATGAAGGCAGTTTTATTAATGCCACCGGTACCAGAAAAATGTGGGAAAATGGTAGCATAAGAAAATCTTGTACATATTTTAGATATCAACACGATGGATATCAAAATGGATTTGGGGGCATTTACTCCCAAATGAACCCTGCAGCAATTTCTAAAGTGAACATGATTCACAGAAACAAAACATATTGCTCCAACGTTGGAGGAAATGTATATGCACATATGAATAGAAATTACACGACAAATAATGCCACAATTAGTGCCACAAATAATTTAGCAAAAAATGGAAATTCTTTTAATTACACAAAAGGGAATGTAATTAACACAAATGCTTTGCTATTAAACAATGGAGTGTTGAAAAACTTCACACAATACAGTTCGAATATCAGAAACGATCACCAAACCGAGAGTAGAATTTCACATGCACAGAATAATAAAACATTGTTAAATAAAAATGTGAGGAATTGCACCCCTTTTCCATGTATGGTGTATGAAAAGTGGACACAAAGTGGAAGCAGTTTCAGGAATAATGGCAAAAATAATTACACAAAAAATAATAATTTCTACACTCCTGTAGATATATTAAAAAATGAAAATTTAAGAAAATTGCAGAGTTATTCAGCGAATCCCAAAGGTTTTACCTGTCTCTCGAAAAGCCAAGGACATGGGTATAGTCAAGCAAATATACGACACTATGATATCAATGTTAGCACTTTGAAAAAGGCAAAAAGTGTAAACCTTATGGGATCAATTTCTGCCCCTCAGGATCCATTGGATATATACCAACAGTGTTATATACAAAATTGGGGCGAAAATAAAGATCAACAGTACAGATATCATAACTATATTCACAATGATGTTATGTTAAATAATCAGAGTATTGGAGGAAATTATGCCAACCAGAATGATCCTAGTAGTAGTGCTAATATTTACAATTTGAGGGATGATAATTTAATGCATAATTCCAAGGGCCCCCCTTTAGTTAGTAGTATTAACAGTGTTAAAGATGTTAATAATGTTAATCGTGAAAGTAGTTCTAATTTTATGAATAATGATAATCATCTTTACAATCAGTTAAGAGAAAATAAGCAAACATTTTTTAGAATCAGTTCCTCGAATGATACCACTAAGGGAGGTTCCATAATGGATGACATGGAGCTAGTGAATAAGGAGAAGTTTGACAACTTGTCATGTAGCCATTCAAATAGTGATGACAATATTGAAATTTATGCTGTCAGCATGGAGCAAGACGCAGTAAATAGTGTGCAGGTAGAGGACCCTGAAAATGGGTCTGTTGCCGTCGCTAAAAGTGCATCTACTGCCATCGCTAAAATTGAATCTGCTGCTATAGCTAAAAATGAATCTGCTGCTATAGCTAAAAATGAACCTGCTGTCATCTCTAAAAATAGCCCAGATTCCAACTTTCCTAATGAGCAGGATCAAAGAAAGGATGGAACTGCTCTTGGAGAAAGCATTGGAGAAGTGATGAATAGCAACGTAGATAAAGACATCCCATCTGAGTATCATACGTATGAGGGAGAAGAATCCTTATGGACAGTTCATAACCCTAGTATGGAAAATACACCATATAGATGCATAAGTGACGTGCTCGAAAATGATTCCCTTGATGATGGGCACAATTATTGCAACGTTTCCAACGTTTCAGATGTGATAACAGAAAAAAAGACACATAATAATAAAGAACATTCCGTTAGTACTACTATACATAACAATTTGACGATAGAAAAAGAAAGTAATGCAGAATTATTAAAAGATCCAATTCCTGATAGTTTCCCTAATTATACTAACTGTGATAAGGAAAACGAATTGCATAACGGTATGATGATGGCAGAGGTGAAATTTTCTTATCACAATGATGATAATAAAAATGTTAATACTTCACGTTATGATTGTATCGAAAGTGATGATAAATTTAAAAAAGAAACAACAAATAATATCAGTTCTGATGTTAAGCGTAGATGTACAAAGCTAAAAAAATTAACATATGAGCATAAGCATGGAGACAAAAGGGGAAAAGACATTACAAACAGAGAGAAAATGAATAATAGTTATAGTAAAAATAAAACATTCTCAAATGAAATGAATAAATATGAAAAAGAAAAAAAAAAAAAAAAAATTGTAATGAAAAAGGGAGGTAGTACACTAACTAAAAATTTGAAAAAAAAGAAAAAAAAAAAAAATTCAACAATTGGTGTAGGAGATAATAAGAAAATTTTGAAACATACGAAAAAGACTTGCGTATTACCAATTTGCTCTTTTTCACAAGAGAATAAAATTAAATCCATTTGTGAAAACTTAAAAAAGCGTTATAAAAATAAAAATATGGAACATTTTAATATAGTAAATACAGTGGAAGAATCTGTAAAGTTTAATTATAACGAGGAGGAAAATAAAATTAATTATAAAAAAGAAAGCATCATAAGTTCTAGCAATTCTGTATACATTCTAAACAAATTACAAAGTAATGAGGTGAAAATAAAGACAAAGAAAAGGATTGGACAGAGTGTAAGTAAAAAATACGACTTTAAAATGGAGGAAAGTTATTCTAGTACCTCTATTCAAAGGGAAGACTGTAACTTTGTTGAGTCTTTTTCTAGTATGTCTATTAAAAGGGAGAAATGTAATACTGAAAAGAGTTATCCACAAGTACATGATGATCCTCCCTTAGATGGAAATGGAAGAGAGTCGATGGGCAGCAAAATAAAGCGGGATAATGCAAAAAAATTGAAAAGAAAAAAAAAAAGTGAAAAAAATTTGGAAAATAAGCACGAAAGAAAAAAATCTACAGTTAATTTGTCTACACACAAGTGTATAAAAAAGAAAGAAAATGTAGATGAAAAAAAACAGAAAGAGGAAAATAAATTGAAAAACAAGATATGTACAAATCAAACAAATAAAATAACCATCAATTCAGTTTCTACGACAGAAACAGTGTATTTTCACAAGAAAAAGGAAGACAAATCCAGTATAAGGGAAGAATTCCTTTGGGATACAAAAAAGGAAAGTCAATCGAATGAAAATAATAGCAGTGATGCACTGATACTACCAATGAAAAGTGGAGACAATAAAATAGTGTCCAATAAAAAACTATATAACGAAAAAATGGGATTAACAAATGCCATAAAATCAATAGACATTTTGCATAAAACCGATTTGAGAAATGCTGCACCACTTGATAATTTCTACGAAGAAGTTAAAGTGCTGAATTACATATTATGTAATAAGAACAATAGCCATTTCTTAAACTTAATAAATTTAATTAACTTAATAGAAATTGAAAGAAATTTCATAAACAATAACATATATATTAACAAACAGATAATTACATCTAGAACTAATGGGAGCAAGGTGAAAAGACAGAGTAGTCAAGATGATAGTATTCTATATGACAACAATTTCAGTATCGTTCATTTAGAACAAGACATAATTTACTTAAAGAAAAATTTCTTAAAAAAAATTCTTTATATATTATTAAATGACGCTTCCTCATTTACTGAAATCAAAATAACAATTCTTCTCTTAAAATTTTTTGTTTCCATAGAACAAAATAAAGTAATATCTCCTAGTGTATTCCCCCTCTCTTTAATTAATACATTAATACAAAAGTTCAGTTTAAAAGTTCATAAAAAAATTAAAAGGACGCGTGAAAATGAACGTGTCATGACACCTAGCACTTCTCCGTGCAATTCTTATACAAATAATTATATCCACAACACGAATTCGAAGAGAGGAGAGACATTGAGAAAAAGTTCCTTTAATTATCTATTTATTTGCGACGGAAAAAATTACCTATGTATAAACGACAATTCCATGAGTGGAAAAACGTACAAAGCAAAAATTAAAATGAACAACTTAATTGGCTATTATCATTACATCAATTTAAACAGATTAGCTTACTACCTAGAACGGGTTACAGGAAGAACTACAATTTTAGACAATTAACAGAAGCCACAAAGTTGTGATTTCAAGAAAGCACTTTATTTTTCCACCAGTCTACTTTGCTACCAATCCAGTTTTCTACGAATATAATTTTCCATTTCGGCCACTGTTATTTCACCATTCATATAATTTTTTTTGAACCCACATTTTTATGTTTTTCTTAAAATGTAATTATGTTCATATTGTCATATATATTTCGTGAGCAGAGTTTCAGTCAAAAAAAAAAAAAAAAAAAAAAAAAAACAGCTTATAATTCGTTTGACTTGTTCATTTTTTTTTTTTTTTTTTTTTTTTTACTTTTTATATTTATGAAATGATGCTAAGGCAGGGTATACCCTATTTTGTTTTTTCACGTTTTTGTGTTTTCCTTTGGCTCCATCCACCTTGTCACTTGCACAATTTTACTCCCTATTTTATTCTATATCAAAAGGAACACATATAAATCTTGCCTAGATAAAACTAATTTTTATGTTTTCTTGTTTCGAAACACACCTTTTTTCATTCCCCAAGAATTGTGTTCCCCTTTTTTAACTCTCTGCATACCATAGGACTTGTTTAAATTGTATTTTAGCATCAATGAAAATTTTGTATCTAAGTAATCATTCTGTAAAAGTAGAAAATGAATGTATTGCATTGTTCTGTGTAATTACCTATTCAAAACAAGGTTCAATATATCGAGAAATGTACAGTTAGTATATGCCATACTGTGTATTACATGTATGCGTAGAAAGTAATAAGCAAAAAAAAAAAAAAAGGAAAACCTTGTCTAATTTTTCTTCAATTTTCTTAAATCCATCCTTAATTTTATCCATATTAGCTTCCTGTAATGGAGCGAAAAAATGTAGTCATATATTATTGCATACATTTTTGTATATTCATGTGTTACGTTGTGCATTACATGATAGTTGTCTGTTAGTTATATCATCCAGCGGGTTTGATACATGTATGTGTGTAAATATGCATGTATGTATATATGTATGTATTTTTTTTTTTTTTTTTTTTTTTTTTTTGCATTTACCAATATCTTGAAGTCTAAATAATTTAAGAACATTAATGGCCTCTTGGCAAAATCACAGACACAGAGAACAGTCTCTGAAGGAATTTTTTCATTATTTGGATTTAGCTAAAAACAGAGAGATGTGTTAGGACGAGAGGGATAAAATTAGTAATCATGTTAATTTGATAGGGAAAAAAAAAAAAAAAAAAAAAAAAACTGGGAGCTGATTAAAAGATGAAAAAAGAAGTATAGGTGCAGTGTGCTAAAATGATAGACAAATTAACCAGTGGCTTGATAGTGTTTGAAATTTCATTGTCAAATTTTGTGTCCCTCTTGTATGCATTAAAGACGAAGAATTGTTTTCCATAAGGCTCAATCTATGAATCCATCCAAGAAAAAAATAAAAATAGTGATAGTAATAATGATAGTGATAGTAATAGTGATAGTAATAGTGATAGTTATAGTGATAGTAATAGTTATAGTGATAGTAATAGTAACTGTGATATCTATAAGTAGGGAAACTAAATGTGGTAACACAAAAATAATACTCTCAGCATTTTGGACAAGGAATGCGAAGAATACATCAAATAGGAACATCATTTAGATGGATAAAAAAAATAAAAGGGAGGCGGAGAGAAAGGAGAGGCAAAAGATACTAACGACGATGAATGCAGGTTATTTTTATCTTACCGGATGTATAGCTGAACATTCTTGAGGAGGCCAATTGAATCTTCTCATTCGATTATAAATCAGCTCTGTCCAAATGTGGTAAGAGACATGTATACAAAAATTGATGTGTAAAAATGTACATATGGATACTCAAAAATGTACATATGGATACTCAAAAATGTACATATGGATACTCAAAAATGTACATATGGATACTCAAAAATGTACATATGGATACTCAAACGTGCACATATGGTTGCTCAAACATGCACATATGGGTGCTCAAACATACACATATGGATGATCAAATATATGTGTATACATGAGCCTATTTTTATACTTAATCACTTTTGAATATCTATATTCACAATGGAGAGAAAAAGATTTTCCTCCATATGATCATAAATAAAAAAATTTTTTTTTCGAATTTTCAAAAATTTTACTAATTTTTGTACACTCATTTTTTCTCACTTTTATGTGCATTTAAGCGAAAAGCATTGTGTCTGACTCCCGTTGCATTTTTAATAGACGACATTTTTTTTTTTTTTTTTTATTTATTCAGTTTATGATTATATTGTCGAAGAGTGCCTCTAACAAAAGGGTTCCAGTTCATTTCCGTGATGGTTCATATGAAACCCGAAAAGATATTTTTTCTCTTTTGTTCTAGTACGCATACATATTATGCATATGGCGTACGATAAAATATTCGTCTGTTAATTAAATAAACTTCTATGGGGAATAATTATCACATTATTCTAACTCTGTCCATATATATATGAAAAAGACAGTGAAATTAAAGAACATTAACTCAGTTTAACTCATATAATGAAATGGATGTTAAAATGCCTATGTGTACATGGAGACTTAACAAAATACAAAAAAAAAAAAAAAAATACCCCAGCTAACACTTCACATATATTGTATTAAAGAAATACTGCTTGCTCATGTTACATCGTTGTAGCATCGGAAATTTTGAATTTACGTATTTGTTAATCATTTACAACATTGGATGGATGATATATATATATATATATATAAAGTAACTACTTCTCTTTGACTAGGCTTATAAGCATAATTGATATTTTTAGGAGGTACTTCAACGTCTCCAACATTACTGCATTTTGGCAAAATGTTAAATTAATTAAAATTTTTGGAACAAATTTTATTACTATCCTTGTGTGTTCGTTAAATCACTTACGACAGTAATTTATGGATTTTTCACTTAATTATGGATCCTATATATGTACAATAAAATTATAATTTTTTTTTTTTTTTTTTTTTTTTTTTTTTTTTTTTTTTTTTTTTTTGATACGATTACGTTCCCTTTCAGCGAATCTTAAACTAGCCTTCTCCGTTGTAAAATGTGTTATCCACTATATCTTATGTCAGTTTGAAAACTATACAGTGTGCAGAATTATGCATATACACACTTATTTATGTATATTAAGCTACAACCCTTTTTACCATCATTTATGTATACCTAGTCAACCATTTGTTCCCTCGTATCATTTAGCAACATTATTTAAGAACACTGAAAGAAAATTTCGAATTAACGTGGACTTTCGTACAATTTCGGGTGTGTTAGCGTGATTCACGTAGTGTTCTTTTGAGTGATTTTATTTAAACATGCTTACTAAAAAAAATAAAAAAACTTTAAATAAGTTCTTTACATTTGTTTAACCACTTCACATTACAGCATTTCTCATGCATTAGAAATTCCGTAGCACCGTGGATCAGTGCAATTACAAGTTTTTTTCTCTTTTCTTATTACTTTTTTCCTTTTTCTTTTTTTGTAAAATTTTTTTCGTAGGCTGCTTGATGACTCAGAAAAAACTATGTAAACTAACTTTTTTTTTTTTTTGTAAGCTATTTTTATGCATTTTACTCCCTTATTTGTTTCTTCCACTCGAGTATTTTTTTTCTTTTTTTCGTCCATTCTTTCCTTTGCTTATAATATCAGGGCGTGTATGCATACACATCTCTATGAACGCACCCGAACTATTAAGATTACATGTTTAAATGACATGACCAGATGTGCCCTTTGGTATTTACATGATTCATCAAACGAAACCAGAGTCTTTAAAAAATGAAAGGTAGATATGAAGGAGAATATGCTTACTGAAGATATAAAAGATACAAAGGGGGGATTCATTTAAATTTAGTGCGCATGCATATATATATATATATATATATATATATATATATATATATAAATACATAAGCATATATACATAGGTATATAAATAAATGAGGAGTGGAGAATAAAGGAAGAAAAGAGACTAAATAAAAACATGTATGACAAGTTTTTAGAGAAAATAAGTTTTGCTTCAGCTAATTTACTTTCGAAGCTAAACTTTGGAGACAGGAAAAAGAACAAAAAATTAAAAAATACAATAAAGCATAGGAAAAACATTACGACATATCCCCTGTTGTTAAGGATAGAAGATGATCTAAATAAAAAAAGAAAAAAAACAGGTCATTATAATTACAAAAAAGAACAATCATTCTTGTACCTATTCAAAAAAAAAAAATACCCATCAATAAAATTTCTTTTTAATGACATTACTGAGACTTATAAGGATAGACAATTCTTAAGTGATTATTCTTTGAATTTTTTGTATGAATTAATTAGGAGAAACAAATTTGCAAACACTTTGGATGCCCGTGATGTCTACTCCGTGTTGTTAATTTTGAGTCAGGAATTTCTAATTACGCATGACAGAAACTTAAATTCCCAAGCGATATTTGAGAATATTGAAGAGATCAAGAGTGAAGAGAAAAATGTCGTTATAAACAATACGAAGGATTTAGAAAAGAGTACCTCCAACTATGCAGCAAACGATGGTTCTACAGGGAACCCAGAGGAGGGGAAAATCTTACCCATGGAGAATGAACGAAATCATAAAATTTTAAAAATTAGTTGCTATTTCTTGAGACATATATTATTGAACAAATCGAAAAGTAAAATACTAGATGACTCTTTTGTGATATATTTTTTAATGAAATTGAGTTACGTGATGAATAAAAAAGCAGACATTCAGAATAAAGACCTCAAGCACAACTACAGTTTCTATTTCTACACCTTTTTGCTTTATTATTACCTCTATATTTACAACAACACAAAAAAGATTTTCTTATTACCCGGGCAGAGAATATTTAAATACTCATTTAGGAATATCAATGAAATGTCATTAGTTCATAAAAATTATGACCACGTTAAGGATAATTCCATTTATAACATAGAGAGGTATGGAACACATATATATAAGAATTCTGAAAAAGATGAAAATGAAAAAAGATATAGTTATATGAAGAAACAGAAATATACCAATTTTTTAAAAAACAATTATTTGATCAATTTCGATTGTTTAAAAGAAAAATTTCATATTTTTTTCAAATTTAATGATATTTCGAATATACATTTTGTTATATACTTGGACAAATTTAACGTTTTACAAATGACTTCTCATCAATATGTCATAAAAAATAAATTGGATTTAATGAACGAATCGACAAATAACTATTTGCTACTAGCCATACGCCTTCTTTTTAAGTTAAATAATAAAAAAGAAAGAGAAAATTACAGCGAAGACAACCATTTTAATTGTATCCCTAACACCAGTAACGAATGTGTAAGAAGTATAAAGAAGAACAGAATGCAAGATTTCTCATTACAAAGGGAAAAAAATAAACGTAGAAATTTGTCATCCACTTTGTTATTAAAAAATATTAATAACCAAAAAAAGAGATCCCAAAACAAAGTAATTTTAACAGAATTGTTATATCAGATAATTGATTATGTTACATTAAATGAAAAGATGCCCACGTATACTAGCAAAGGGAATAACAACAACAGCAGCAGTAGCAACAGAATCAGCAGCGACAAGAACATTTTCGAAAATTGCTTGAGTGAAATAATAAAATGTTTAGAGAAAAAATATAAATTAAAGTACGTAGGTAATGTAAAGGACATGGAATATATATCACAGAATGAAAATAAAAAAAAAGCAAAAAATGATAAAAATGTGGATAATGAAGAAAACATCTTATTTAACCTAATTCATATAGACAGAAAATTAAAAAATAAAAATAACTTAAACATTGAAACGTTGCTAAAAAAGATAAACGATTTGTTGAACATAGGGAACGATCCATCTGTGTATGTAAACTCCGGGATTCATGTAATTCTCAGGAACATGTGCTTGAACAGGTTGAATTCGCTAAACCTAGATTTCCTCTTCCTCGTTAACTTGTATTCAAATAATAATTTTAAGAATAAATTTTTTCATTACGATAAGAAGTTTTCATCACCCCTCCCATGGGTTAACGGCAGTGAAAACATAAGCAAAGAAGTGAGTGGAAATGCAAACCAAGAAAAGAGAGAAAATGTAAGCAATGAAAAGGGCCAAAATGTAAGCAATGAAAAGGGCCAAAATGTAAGCAATGAAAAAAACGAAAATGTAAGCAATGAAAAGGACGAAAATGTAAGCAAAGAAGTAAGCAGAAATAGTGACATAACCAAGCATAGTGCAAATGAGAACGGAAACGCATATCAAGTATCACCTAAGAAGATTTTTATGGGAACTGGGTCGCATGAACAGCAAGAGATAAAAGAAAATGAAAAATCTTATAATACATCAATGCTAAATTTGCCAACGATGAGCTTTCCAAGGCTGAGTCTACCAACGATGAGTCTACCAATGATGAACTTGTCAACCCTAAACGTGACCTCCCCATATGGCACAAGTGCGAATAAAGGCGCAGATGATCGTTTCAATATAGAAATGAAAAAGAAATCTCATAATATTATGAAAAGACAAAATAGAAATATACATAACGAGTTAATTCTCTTTATGAAAATTATTGCAAACAGTTTTTCATCCAAGGATTTATGTTTTAACTCTTTTTCTGTTTTGTATTTTATGTATAAAAATATATTAGAAAATGTGATGAGGATATCATTTAATTTTACATATTTTATTAGTGCCGAATTTTTTTTTTTCAATGATAATATGAATTTTTTATCCCTCATAAATTTAAAAAAGGGACTAGTACCAAGCTCAGTATATTTTGATAGTATAAGAGCATTTACGAATATCAAGTCACATTATAAATATTTTATTGGTATGACAAACATACAACACGAGAAGAAAAATATAACAAGTACGAAAAAACACCCAATTCTATTAGCTACCTTACAAGGAGATGCAGAAGAATATGCGTACACATGTGAACGTCCTTACCAGGAAGAAGGAACTTCTCAAAAAAAGCAAAAGAAACAACAAGCTGTGAATGAACAGAAGGAAGAGATTCATGAATCACATCGAAGCCCGTTCGATTTATTTTTAGACAATGTAGATAATATGCTAAAAGATGAAACAATGCAACATAAGATAAATTTGAAGGAATTGTTATGTGATTCTCCCGCTCATCAGACATCCTTATTGCAGAAGAAAAAAAAAAAAAAAAAAAAAAAAAAAAAAAAAATATTGCTAGATGAGCACATGTACATGATAAGCAATTACAATCACCATTTTTATAACATGAATTTACGTTTTTTGCCTGTTTATACTTACTCTAAAATGTTTCACATAGACAGAAATAAAAAGATAGCATCAGAGGAGGGCAATCTTGATGGAAAAGGGCAACTAGGATATGGTAATTCACGGGAAGCACAAAAGAGAAAAGAAAAGAAAATGGAGAAAAATGAGAGAGATGGAAAAGTGATTATAACAAATACGGAGACTTTAAAGAAAAACAGAAAAAAGGAAAAGAAGAAAGAGGAAAAAAAAAAAAAAAAAAAGGTAGACATAGTGCTCGTACACGGCCTGAGGGGAAACGCCCTTCGTACGTGGAGATTCTCCAATTTATATAATAACAGTCCAAGCCATCGTTTTTATTATCGAAATAATAGATTGAAAAAGTACAAAAAAGGTATTATTAACACAGAGATGGAAAATAGTGGCTATGCAAGCAAGACGGTTGATAGTAGTACTGACAAAAAACATTACATGTGGAACTTTCTCGATATAAGCAACCAAAATGAAAGCAAAAAAACATCAGATGAATCAGAAAGTGAACCATCATCAAAATTGAAGAAAAATGGGCTGAAAGAAAAAGGTAATGATCTTTTTAATGCTATAAATGATAATACAGAAAATTTTAAGGATAATAAAAATGTGTTTTTGTTTGATGAGTCAAGTAAAAAAATAATGAAATGCACAAAAATACGAAATAACTTTCATTTTATTGCGCACGAATATTTATTTAGCATGCTAGTATTAAATTACAAGCACAATCAAAATATTTTGCCTATTTATGCTAATACGAAAATTATTAACAAAAACATTTTCAAGTTCATATTTTTGCATAATAAAAAATTAAAAAGTGATTTGGATCTTTATAGCGATTTATTATCCTATTTATTATGGCCTATTTATTTATTATACCCCAGTAATAAATATTCCAATATTTTCATTTTTAATTATCACGCCCCACTATATCCTGATGGAAACTACTACACCAAGGACTGTCGTCAAAACGAGAAAAAGAATGCAAAGAAGAAGGAGAAGAAGAAGAAGAAAGAAAAAAATGAAGAAAACAATAGAGAGAAAAAAGAAGTAGGAATTATAAACAGCACAATTAACGGAAATGAAAAAAAGGAACAAGATAGCAACTATAATTATATGTTTTCTTATCTGAACGTGCTTAATTCACTATTTAACAAAAAAGAAGAAAAGTATGAACACTATTTTAATAAGGAAAAATATTTTTATACAGATAGAATGAATTTGGATGAATTATCCAATTTCCTTTTGAAAAAATTAAAAGACATAAATTTAGGAAAGCATAATGATATTATATTTGTAGCCCATTCCATGGGAGGTTTATTAACTCAACACGTATTATTAAAAAATAATAACATTTTAAGCAAAACAAAATTTGTCTTTTTTTATGCTACGCCTCATTTCGGCTCTCCCTTATCATCCACTGCATATTTATTCAAGACTTTTTTATCGCCCTACGTTTATCAGCTAAATAATTATGATTCGTCCTTGAGCAATTTACAGTATTCCTTCAAGGAAAGAATTAAACATACTAATATTAAGGTTTATTCCTTCTCAGAATCGGAAAAAACACCTCTTCCCATTATAGGTTTGACAAATGAAAAGCAAAGCAGCAGCTGTTTGTGAAGCTGCTTGTGAACCTGGTTATCCAGCTTGATATGAAGTTAGGTTGGCAATTTTGCCCCATGTGTGATTCTTCTAACACGTATAAGAATTTTTTTTCCAATCCCCACCCCAAACACACACATACATACACTCTTCCGTTTTCCCCATTTAGGAATGCATACAATGATAGTACCAAGCATTAGCTCATATTTGAACTACGCAAAGATGTTTGCAATCATCAAGGACTGCGACCATTTGGAAATAAGCAAGTTAAATAGTAAAGAGGATATAAAATACCATTACTTGTATAAGGCAATAAAGGAAGTGTTACAAATGAAATAGAGAGAAGAGAACCTATTCAACAATCATGGTCGTTCATATTTGTATAGGATTTTATGCACGTCTTTTTTTTTTTTTCCTTTTTGTTTTTTTAGTTCTCTATAGAATGGTCAACCCATTGTACGTTTATAAATCTCCTATGCATGTTCCGCACGAAACTACCCCTTTTTAAACGCCTTCTCATTTATCTTATCGTATCCTGTCTTGTCCTGTCCTGTCTTGTTTTGTTTTGTTTTATTTTATTTTATTTTATTTTATTTTATTTAATTTAATTTAATTTAATTTAATTTTTTTTTTTTTTTTTTTTTTTTTTTGTGTAAACATTTAAATGATTTATTAAATGATTTGCCTTAAAATTGTCCCTATTTTTTTTTTTTTTTTTTTTGATGGCGTCCATTACAATTATTAACAACATTTGGTAACGTTTCCTTATCTTAAAAAAAATTATATTTAATAGGTGAAAAAGCTAAAGTATCATTGTTTCATTTTTTTTTTCTTTCTTTTGTTTTAAATAAATTGTATGTAAATATACTTTGAAGGGCATGGGAGGGTCCTGTTCTCATACATTCAACATACCGCTTGATGGTACCCATATGAGAGAAGTATAGATGGTACATCTGTATAGCGTTCTCATAGAGGTAGGAAACAGGATTGCGTAATATACTTGTTTAAATATATAAACACGGAGTGACGAGAAAGAAAAAAGAAGAAAGCAATATTTGTTCATATGTTCATCATTTGGAAACCGTTTTGTTTTGAACAAGCTTCCCAATTTGATATGTGTGTGTGTAGTGGACGTGGCGTTCTTGTTTTTGTGCATGGGTTCAATTTGCTTGTTTTGTTAAGGTTTAGTGTTCAGAATTTTTTTTAACAGAAATTACCTTTATAGAAATAACTGAATCGTTGTTTCTTCATACATTATGTTTTCAAAATGTATAGTGAATATATATAATGCTTAACAGCGTTATGACCGAAGGGAATAACTATGCCAGTTATTTTTACAGGTATATATTATGTTAGCATAAATACTGCTTTTTGTTTTTATGGATACACGGAGAGTGGTGAGGAGAAAATAAACTGCCCTCTTGATTATAGGATGTATCAGGAATACATCATTCTTATGAATTATGAAAAGGCAGGAACAAAATAAACGTTGCAAAATGATGATGGTAATTATGACAATTGTGACAATTATAAAACAAATAAACACACAACATGATGGGTATCTCTCCCTATTCATGTGATGGAAAATTCATTTGCAAAAATTGTGAATATAACTTACAAATGTGTCTTTTCAAAAAAAGTTCACAAAACGGAAAGGACAAAAACGAACATAAAAAGGAAGTGATGTAAAATGGTGTGCATGATAAGGGGAGTAAGAAGGGTAAATTCTTCTTTTATTATTATTATATTATTATTATTGCTGTATTATTTTATATATATATATGTTTTCATTAATAGCGGTAATTTACGGACAAAATAGGATCAAAAGAATTCCCCCATTTTCCCCCTTTTTTGCACATTACACATAAGACAACTTTCTGAGTTCAATTTCCTATGTTCCTTAGGGAAAACTAGTACAAGCCAAAAAGGTGTACACTTGTCTTTTATGCATTCATATGTATGTACATTTATATATGGGCCATTTGTACACATACGTGTAACCTTACTATACGCACGAGAATAATTAAAAAAAAAAATGTCTAATTTAAGCGCAAAAAAAAAATTTTTAATTCACCATTCTTCATTTTTTGGGATTTTGGAAAATGATGACTTGGGCACCTTGTGCTACTTCCTCTCCCTCTGATGCATTTTTCATAGGATCATTAAGTTCAGTTTTTTCCGTAGTTATGATATTTACAGTGTTTTCATCTTTGTTTGCCCTATTTTCATATGGTTCGTAGTTCGGGTGATTATTATTGGCAAATAAAAGGTTGCTATTCTGATCATAATTATGGTCGTTGCTGTTATACACGTGATTATTGTTAATACCACAATTGTTGTAGCTCTGGTTATAGTTATAGCTTTGATTGTGGACGTGGATGTGGTTATCATTATAGTTGTAATCATTGCTGTACTTCTGGGCACTTCCATATGGATGGATTCCACCATAATAGTGGTTGTTCCGATGATGGGGAGATGAGCTGTAGTGATGAAAGTTATCACCTTGCAGGATGCTGCTTTCATAGGGATGTATGCTGTTATAAGGTTGCAAACTGTCATAAGACTGAATGCAGTTATAGGATGGCAAGCTGTCATAAAGGTATGCACTATCAAATGGGTATATACCATCGTAGGGGGGCGGTATATTTCCATATGTATATTTGCCGTTATAATCATAGTTGTTATAGGAGTTATTGTTGTAAGGGTTGCCATTATATTGGTTGCTGTTATAGGGATTGCCATTATATTGGTTGCTGTTATAGGGATTGCCATTATAAAAGTTCATGTCATAGGGGGTGTTGTTATGAGTGTAGCTACTGTATTTGTCATGGTTATACGGGCGCTGGTAAGTATACAAGTGGTTGTTGTAGTAAGATTGATTAGTACGATAAAGAGGATGGTTAGCATAGATTTGGTTACTATAGACCTGGTTAGTATATATCTGATTGGTGTAAACATTATTGTTATTATAATTCCTGTAGTTTTTAAAATATCCATTGTTCATTCTTCTATCATAATTTTTGTATGTATTATATGGCATGTATGTATTTCTTTTTCTTCTCTCTCTCGAGGTGTTTTGCGTAATTTGCATTTCGCACGGATTGGCTTTTCCAGTATGAATGTTCGTGTTCAGTGCTTCTCTTGTATTTCCACCGTTTCTTCCACATATTATAATTTCTCCATTACTCATATTATCATCACCATTAATGCCATTGTTCTGGACATTTACTCCATTTCCATTATTTGAATTGAGGCTTAACGAACCTTTTGATGAACCCGATCTATCATTATGTGATATATTCAATGAAGATGATACCTCATATTTTTCCTTATGTATATGGGGGCTACTAATATCCGTACCTAAGCATGTAAAGGAACTTCTATTGTGACTACTATTACCTATTGCAACATTGGACAAAGCACAGTTTTTCTCATATCCGTTATTGTTGATTTGAACATTTACACCTCGATTTCCAATATTGTACATATTACCAGTGTCATTTAAAACATTTGAATTACTCGAAAACATCTTTGTATGATCATTTGAGTATGGCTGCAATTGGGGCCAATTATTTGGTGTACCATTGCTAGATGGAAAAATTCTGGGTTGCTCAGTTATGAGAATTGGTTGGTAGTTTGCATAAGCTCTGTTTAATGAGTATGGTGTTCTTCTGTTAAAGGTGTTCGCCTTGTCCATCATGTATACAGCTTCGTTTGCGATTCTGTTTGTGATTCTGTTTGTGATCCCGTTTGTGATCCCGTTTGTGATCCCGTTTGTGAACCCGTTTGTGAACCCGTTTGTGGCCCCATTTGTGGCCCCATTTGTGGCCCCCCTTGGATATACCATCGAATTCGTCCTGTCCGCCGTAAGAATGGGTATCTGGGTAGCCATATTCATTTCCACATTCAAATATCTTAAGCAGTTGTTTCGATTCGAGTTCAGATTGCTTACATTATAGTTGTAATAGCTAAAGTTGTTGACCAATTTGTTCAGGGGAGATGTGGGAGAGACATGTAGCATGCCGTTATTCTCATTATCCATGTTTTTATCATAATGTGAATTTGTTCTATAATTACCAGTGTCATAAATGATATTGTAATTTTCATTATGTTTAGGTATGGTATCCTGCATGTAAAGTGAATAATTCGTTTTGTCATAGTTTGTGTGTAAGCATTTGTGTGAATCTTCAATGTTATATTTTGAAGAATTATGAGATGGTGTAATATATGTCTTGTTAAACGATCTGAGAAAATTTTTGTATAATAAATTGCCATGTTTTAAGTCATAACAATTCTTTGTTTCTCCTCTTGTATTTTCTCTATCGCTCCTGTTTTTTTCCTTTTGCCGCTGCTCATGTATTTCCCTTACCTTTAGGAAGTTTCCACTGCAGTTATTTCCTTCGATGTGTGTTCCAATATGTCCGATGCCATTACAACCACTATTCCCACCCATATGGTTGACGTTGATTCCAGAAATGATGGTTCTGTTATGCGTGATGAACTTGTTGTTTAGCTTCATTAGGTTATTAAAATCGTTTTTGTCAAAATTTCCGTAGTTCCCAAAACTTCCACAGTTATTTACGTACTTATTTTCCATATTATACTTCTTATACTTATAATTAAAATTCTTTTGGCCATAATTCCCAGAAGTATTCGTTGTAGGGCAGCTAGCCAATTTGCTCAGGGATACATTTGTCTTTCCAACGTTTTCCTTTCTGTATTGATTCTTCAATATAAAATTTGTATCCTTTGAGAAATCATTTTCTGTTTCCTTGAACTTTTTAAATGTGTTATACTTGTCACTTTCCCTTGGATCATTGTTTATGCAACTCCCATGAATGTGGTTCTTCAATTCATATGGTTTATTTAAATAGCGTTCATCATTTTCTTTCATTCGTTCTGTGTACTTGTATTTGTTTTCAATTATGCGTTCTGATTCCTTATCATGACAATTCTCCTCTTTCTTATCATCCTTCTCATAATAATTCACTTCGTAACTGTTGTCATAATTCTCGTCTTGGTTCACAAGGTCATGCAAATAGCCATTCACATCGTCACCCATATCGTCACCCATATCGTCACCCATATCGTCACCCATATCGTCATCCATATCGTCACACATATCGCCATTCTCATAGCCATCCATATCTCCATTTTCATGTTTATTATTTTCAAAGTCGTAATTTCCCTTCATTCTCATTTCTGATGAACCATCTTCTAGTAATGGATTATTTTCTCTAAAATCTGCATAATTTCTATGTCCTTCTCCTCCAATTCCCATTTCAAATACGTCATTCATTTGAATTTCTTCCTCTACTGATCCATGGGTTTCATTATGATCGCTTTGGTTGCTATTTCTATAAGAATCATTATGGCTACACTTCTTAATGGATTCATACACAACGCTGCTTTTACCAATAGAAACGTACTGGCTACTATTTCGTCCATTAGACATATTCTCACTGCTTGGATCCTCGATATGGTCGAAATTTTCTTCTTTATATCCCTCTCTATTTTTTTTTTTTCTGAACAGTTTATATTCTCCATCATTCATATGATCACTCTGAGATTTTTCTTCAACTGAGTTCTGCTCCTCATTTGTACTCAACTCCCTTTCATCATTCTCCATCTCTAATGATCCTTTTTTGGGTGTCGAATTTTCGTCTTTCGCATGAACAATTTCAGCATTCAACATCTTATTTTTTCTTTCCATCTGATTTTCTCCATTCTCTTCTGATTTTTCCATTTCGTGTCCCTCATCGTCTGTTGAATTGAACTCTTTTTTGTCTTCCTCCATTTTTTCGTTCATTTCTTCGCCAATTCCTTCGTCTATTTCTTCGCCAATTTCTTTGCCCATTTCTTCGTCCATTTCTTCGCCAATTTCTTTGCCCATTTCTTCTTCCATTTCTTCGCCAATTTCTTTGCCCATTTGTTCGTCCATTTCTTCTTTTTCTCCATTAACGTTAATTGCTACTTCCGTGCTGTTAGTCGTGTTAGAAATCCAGTGACACAAATCATTCCTGTTTTCTTCCCCTAATTTCTCCTTATCAATCTGTTCTTCCGCTTGCTCACTATAAACATGTCTGCCCTTGAAATTTCCATATTTATCAAAATAATTGGCATCATATGTAATGGCACAACAATTAGCAGCATTCTTTGTTCTGTCGAACTGTCCATCCTTCTGTTGAGTATATAAATCATTATTCGTGGACATATTATGAGTAGAATATATTTCTTTCTCCTTGATAAGACAATCAGATACATTAGTCTTGATAAGTTGTTTTATATTTTTCCTTTTTTTCGGTTTATATATTTGGTTTAAACACATTTTTCTTTTTTCGCCAAAGTTTTCTGATACATTTTCTACATTTTCAACATTTGAATTGGATACACGATTCTCCATACAACAGCTAGTGAAATTGCTAAAGTCATTGTTACGGTTAAATTCGCTCCAATTATTAAATTCATATTTGTCTATATTTTCCTTTCTACTTCCACTGTTTATTGTGTTCAGAAGATGTTCTGAGTATTGCCTCTTCATGTTAATGTCATTATGTAAAAATTTTATATTGGTCTTATTTTTTGGAAAATATTTTTCTAGTTCGTTTTTTCTATAATTCCTTTGTCTTAATTCTTCCTGACCATGTGCATGTCTACATTTATCTCCTGATGGGCATGCTCCTTCTTTACCAAAATATTTACACAACTTTGTTTTGTAGTAATCAGGTGTTGCTCTTAATTCCAATTCTCCATGTGCATATACACAATTTTGATTCTCGCATTCATTTTTCACCCACAGTTTACAAATTTTAGTCTTCATTAAATTCATACAACTTCTTAAAGTTTCCACTGAATGTGCATAAGAACAATTATCTCCTCTCTGACATAATCCTTTTTTTAAAAATGGGCATAGCTTTATTCTATAATATTGATCATGTATTTTTTTTTCTTTCGAGATCGTACAATAACGACCATCTGGATATGCACCAACTCTTGCTGATTCTTCCTTATTTACGAATGGATCTATATAAGATGGAATTACATGTTGTTGTGGATTTCCAACGTTTACATATGTGTCATTATTTTCTCCATCATTTTGGGAATTGTACGAAATTGTTTCATGAATTTTCTTCGAACTATCAACTAACTGTTTTTCGAAATATTCAATTTTCTGTTGATTGTTGCTTTTTGTACTTGTGGGGGGTGCTATACTTGCATACCCAAAATTGTTACAACTTATACTATTGTTCTTATCGCTTTTTTCGCCATTTTCTGGACTAATCGTCACAGCTTTTGTGTTATGCATATTCCTTAATGGATTATTATTATTATTATTATCAGCACAAATTTCTTCATACGGACAGTAGTACTTGTTAAATCCTTGAATATTGCTATTTTTTATAATTCTCTGATTGAAGAGGTTTGGCTCAATGTACGGCCTTTTAACATGCGAAAAGTTATTTACACCATTGTTAAAATTTCCTATTTTATTCTTATCAACATTATAAGGTGAACGATCTACACATCTTTCATTATAATATCCATTTTTGTTACTCTCTAAGCCATAATTACTTTCTCTACTAGAATATTTTAAATTTTTATCATTCTCAAAGATGTTTTTTTCTTTCCTTTTATCATTATGGTAATTTACCTCACTATCATTTTTCTCTGTTTGTGAAACACGTTCAGTTGGATAAGTGCCCCTGTTAATCGATTCTCGCTCAAAGTACGATCTGTTATTCATTTTTTTCATATTGTCAATACTACTGCAATTTGTGAAATTTTTATTCATACAGTCCACTTTTCTTTTTTCGTTATTATCTCCACTTGTGCTGTTCTCAGCAAGTTTTGAATTCTTAAATTCCAGATTTTCTTCCTGATGGTTGTTCTGGCTAGCGATATGTTGGTTCGTTTGTCGATCCGCTTGCTGGTTAGTTGGTTGATCAGTTTGCTTCTCTGTCTGTTTTTCTGTCTTCTTCCCGGTCTGCTCAGATTGGTTTTCATTCTTGAAATCCTTATTATGTGTATTTCTCTTTCCTTTGTGTGCCTCTCGTTCTGGAAACTGGCTGCTGTTCATTCTTTCTACTTCGTCCTTGCTGATCTGTACTAAATCATCCTGAACTTCATTTAAATTTTCATTAATTTTTTTCAAATTCTTCTTTTTTTTATTCTGTTCATGAACATTGTAATTCTTATTTTTGCTACTACATGGTTTATTTTCATCCAACACACGCACTTCTTTATTTACATTTATATCTTCTCTGTTCATCATTTTACTGTTTTTTACTGGGGGACATATTTTATCTTTCTCCATTATATTAAGCTTGTTATTTCTGTTCATATTCGTAATCGAGTTCGAATTTTCTTCATTCATTTTTATTTTTTTTTAAAAAAAAAAAAAAAAAAAACAATTCGTCTTCGTTTATATGTAAAATGGTGTAACGGGGTATAATCCCGTGTACATATATGTATATGTTCTTATATATGTAATATAGCCCTTTGGTGTACACTACCTTATTGTATTTTTATGTATTTTCTTCCTATTTCGTATGAGTGGGAATTTGCTTTTCTTTTGTTGTGGTTATGTGTGGAAATATTCAAGTGGAGTTGAAAGTTGTAAAACAAAATGGACGAATACGTACCTACAAGTGAAAATATACTGAACGTATATATACACACATACATAGATGATAAATCAAGAGGAACAAAAATGCATATACAAAGGAAACCTCAAAAGAGCTTACACTTAACGTTGTACACAAATCTGGAGATATATGATTAGAAAAAAAAAAAAAAAAAAAAAACATAAATGTACACTAGACAATTTATGTAAAGACCTAATACCTTTAATAAATTATTGTATTAATTCTTTATTTTTCTGATAATATAATAACAAGCAAAAGACTTAAAATGACATTAAAAAAAAAAAACAGAACAAACAAACGAGCAAACAAACAGAACAAACAAACAGAACAAACAAACAGAACAAACAAACAGAACAAACAAACAAACGAACAAACAAAACAAATGAACAAACAAAACAAAACGAACAAACAAAACAAAACGAAACGAAAGAAGGAAAACGCATGCATGTAATATACATGCTAAGTATCTACTGTTACGCTAATATATACATACACACACATACAATGCATGTAATGCATACACATGGATATTCCTTGTTGCCTGTTTTTTTTTTTTTTTTTTTTTTTTTTTTTTTTTTTTTTTTTTGTCTTCTTGGTTATTGTGCATTATATAGAATAAAATTACAACATGCGTCTATAATACATAAATACAAAAAACAATCAACAGAATTAATCTAGGGGTGAGTATTTCTTAAATTATTGAACAAGGTAAAAAAAAAAAAAAAAAATGTACATGCATACAAATATGAAAATATACAAAGGTAAAAATATATCACACTTTACTACCAAAATTCCCTTTTTTTTCAAGTGAAGCAGAATGTAAATATCTTTACTAGCTGATCAAAATGTGAGATCTACAATATGCACACGCATATATCAATATTCATGAAAAGTATTATAATATAATTTATCTCAGAGTCACAAAAAATGAACGTATTTATTGGGGATATCTTCAATTAAGTGATATGGTATTATTCATATATGAAATGGGAATGAACAGAATGAAGAAGTGCATATGTAATGATGCGCCTACACGGGGAGAAATCACAAAATTGGATACTCAAAAGTTTAAAAGTGCACAAAATTGGATACTCATGGGGTGCTTCTTCCCTTTCATGTACAACAAATGTATGTGACTCCCTCCTAATAGTGTTGTAAAAGTATTTAAGTGTATATATATATATATGTACACAGTTCCCTACGGTGTAAGCACATATGTGTATACGCGAAGTGACTAGTGTTTATTTCTCATGTCATTAAATATAGAAAATGGATGAGGTAGATGCCTACTGTTATACTTATACATATAAACATGTAGGAGAAAAAAAATAAAATAAAATAATTTTTGTTCACTCTTACACTTCCTGTTTCTCTTGAAACGGCACAATAAATGCTAATGTTCCTATAAATGTGTATATATATATATACACATATACATATATATAAACGGTGCCTGAAGAAATAAAAAAATGACATGTACATACAAACTGAATGATCAAACGGATTTATATTAACTTATCCTGGAAAGATACATCTTATAAAACTTTTAGGATAACAAAAATTGTGTATAACTTATATGCAAAAAACTTGAGGATGACGTCTCCCTATGTATTTTTTTTTTTTTTTTTTTTTTTTTTTTTTTCATATATATAGTAGAAAAATATGTATTACACACTTTAATTTTAATGTGTTGTAAATCGGTTTCAGTTAATACATTCTTGGATGTTCATTAAATGTATGAACACACGAATGAATGGACATATATAGATATAAATATCCATAAGTATGCACACATGCAAATTCGGTTATTCCTTTACAGGCATAATGCTGTGCTATCAAAATTTTGTCTTTCTCTTTTGTACACTCTAGAATTACGTAAGTATGTAAATTCATGCACAATGGAAAATTTTCTTTTCAACTGGCAATGATACAAGCGGTCCAAAATGCGTGATATAAATAAATGGTTCAAAATGAACGGTTCGAAATAAGAAATGAAAAATCAACACTTTAAATATAGAATAAATTTGTACTTATGTATGCAAATAAAACGTTTCAAAATCACCAAGATGTGTATACATTCAAGATATACTGGTTCCCGTTTAATTAGTTATATTTTCAAGCATTCCTTTATAACGAGGTATTCATACATAAATTATGTGAATAAGTATGCAGGGTGGTTCTAGTTTAAACATATATATATATACATACACATGAGTTGTGCAGGTTACATGTGTAACAAGCATTTTTTATTATAAAAAAAAAAAAAAAAAAAAACTATTTCATACGCATGCATAATATGTATATAGTAATCTCCTGCACTTTTAGATGTACATTTGCCAATATCATTTAATTTTTAGTAGGTTTTTTTTTTTTTTTTTTTCTACTGGTTCTTGTAGCACCTATTTCCCTCCAGAAGTATTAATACACTCATTTCACGATATTAATAAAAAAAAAAAAATGATAAAATAAAAAAATTTCGAAATGTTAATTTTATGGTAGATAAACAAATCATGCAATTCTGTAACAAAATTGTTGTTGGGTGTGTTCTGGTTGTAGAAAAAGTTCCAAGCTCTTAATGGTAAGGTAAAATGTGAATATGAATTATGAAGTAGTGTGCATATGTGCATATATATATATATATATATACATACATGTGCTACATATACCTACACTATTGTAAATTTTAATAAAAAAGTATTAATCAAAAAAGGAATTAATTTCACGGGCACAAAAAGTATTTTTTATTTTATTTACATATACCTCAAAAAAAAAAAAAAAAAAAAAATCGAAACGTATACCCCTTTTATGATTCCAATAGTGTGCTATGTTTTGTGGAAATAACGGAACATTTGCGTATGCACTATATTCCAATTTTTCTGTGCATATACAAATAGGCGCATATAAATAGGGTATATACATACACTCATACATGTATAGGGTGTGGGGGGGTATATAAACGTATTTAATATCTATTTTCCGATGCATATGTATATATATATATATATATATACAGAACAGTTATACGTTACACGGGATCCTACGGGTGGCAACACAACCGATTCACTCTAAAAATATCATTTGTTCAGTACACAAAAAAGGCAGAATCATAAAAAAATGTATTTGTTTCAACAAAAGGAATAATGCTAATAGCCTGACACAATGATTCATGAAAACGAAGGTTCACATAAATGTATGTTTATACATATGTGCGTTTATTTATACATATATCCAATGACACATACGTATATATATAATTAAAAACATTTCTATGTGCACATGTGCTGTCGAAATTAAAGGTCTCATTTGTTGTAAGTTTTTTTTACAATTTCATTTCATAAGAAGAGTTAACTCTAATGTGAAAAAATTCCTAATTTATTAATAATATTTTTAATTATGGTTAAATTTTCATTTGTGAAAAAGAAAAAAAAAAAAAGGGAAAATAAGTTATAAAAAAAAAAAAAAAAATTAATTTACTGCAGCCTGTACATAGCAGAATATAACATTTTAAATTATATCCATGTGAAATTTATTTCACCTACAAATAAGAAAATGAATAAATGATCAAACAAACGAACAAACAAATGAGCAAATAAATGAGGAAGCAAATAAGCAAACAAAGAAACCAACAAAGAAGCAAATAAATGAGGAAAAAAATAAGGAAGCAAGTAAAGAGTATTGAGGCGAATGTAAGGGAAAATATGCGAAATAACCAAAACAAGACCACATACAAAATTGATCCAGACCACATAAAATTTTAAGGATAGTCATTTGTGGACTACTACAATTTTTTGAAAAGGAATGTAGTGCAATGTGACATGTGATCAGATAAAAATAGAGTTGGATGCTCTGCACCATTTTTATTGCCCTAGATGAGAAGAAATAGAAAAGATATCTTTACAAAAATATTGCCTATTTTTGATTTATTTTGATTCGTATTTTTTTGTGCCTTCACTTTGGTGGAGATTATATTTATAGTTTACTTGGCACATATATTTTTTTTTTTTTTTTTTTTTTTTCCGTTGCTTATGACCCATTTAAGTGCACGCTATTTTTTGTTCATGTATATGTATAATTATTTGTTACTTTTATAACTTCTTTTTATTTTATATTTTCTTATGTTTTATTTCCCCTTTTGTGAGACTTTGTAGAACAAATCTTTGAAAACGTGTAAAAGGGTGGAAGGCGTTTTCCTTCAAATTAAATAGATTGCCTTTTCGAGGGAATTTCATTGAACACTTATATCATTCGATAAAAATTTGTAAAAATTTGCAAAAGATTGCGAAAGATTGTAAAATTTTGATGAGCAAATAGAATAAATGTTAATAAACCTTTTTAATTTTAAGAACGCTTGGTCTTAAGTACCGGTTCACATGCATGTAAGGATAAGTAAATATATATAAATAAGCTCACATACGTATGCACATATATACACGCGTGACGATGTACTATTCTATTTTAACGCCGTTCCTACAAAAAAATAAAAAATAAACAATAAAATAAAAGAGTAAATAAATAAGTAAAATAATAAAAATAAAAAATAAAAAACACAATGTGTGAATTAATTGAATTCCATGCCTGTAGAAATCGGGATGTAATAAGTTTTCATATTTTTGTGTACAACATGTATACAACATTTTTTTTTTTTTTTTTTGCGTCATAATAATATTAAGCAGTTATTCACAATATACTGCGCTTAAATGGCATGAATATAAAAAAAAAAAAAATAGAATATAATATTTTTTTTCTTAATATTAAAATTGTATTTTTAGAATAATCTAACAAACAATAAATGAAACGAACGAATGGTACTGCTTAGTAATATGTTTTTTTTTTTTTTTTTTTTTGTTATGAGTCAAACCAGGCCTTGTGAGGTTCCCCTCACACTTGAGACAAAATTTTTACACATATGTATATATATATATATATATATATATATATTTCATGTAGAAAATATGCATTATTGCGCTTGTTTGTGGAGACACCTATATTTACAATGTGCATACGAATACATTCCCTTGGACAAATATCATTGAAATATTTTGTGGGTAATCAACGATGGAAAATACCATGTCCCTATGCAATATGCAGTATAAAGAGTCAATATTATTTTGCACGAACTTTTTTTTTTTTTTTTTTAAATAACCTCCTTTTTAAAAGCATTATCCTTTTTAATCATTAGCTAGTGGGCGAGGGAAAAAAAAAAAAATAAAATAAAATAATAAAACAAATTTGAACACATTGGAGAAGCATCATTCTTTTATCTTAATGGTGTATCATTTAAATAAAAAATTAGTTGCAATCTTATAGTGAACCACAAAAAAAAAAAAAAAGAGTACTCCTGCTTTGATTTCAAATATATATAATATAGTGCTCGTTTAGGGTTAATTTTCAAAATGAAATTTCTTTTGCAAAAAAGCAAGTGCTTAAATAATTTACAGTTTTTTTGAAAAAAACAAAACAAAAAACAGTTGACTGTTTTTGCGTAAAAGAACTGTTAAAAAAAAAAAAAAAAAAGAAAAGGTTAATTAAAAAGGGTTGTATAGGTTGTAAATTGTAAAAGGCGCATTCACTTGTGTTTTTTGCTTGCCTTTATCTTACACAAATTCATGTGCTTATTTTCTTTCAGGCACATATGAATCCACACATGAAGGTGCGTCTGTGCACAAATACAGTGACAACATTCAGAAAAGAATTTTTTGCATATCAGAATTATTACCCTTATTTTCTCTTCAAATTTGGGTAAAAAGGAAAACAGAACATACATACCATGTGTATAATGTATGCACCGTAGTATGAAATAAAATTTCCTCACTTTTTCATTTTTCTTTTTCAAGCCAAAACAGCCATTAACATATATAAAACTAAAACAAACAAAGCTGATGACACATATTTGCGTCCACTTTTGTAAATAAATAAAAAAAAAAATAAAATTAAATAAACATGCAATCTAATAATTAACGAATAGATAAACATGCAATCTAATAAATTAACGAATACACACGTAGGCGTACAAAGAAATAGGGAATTCCCCACATACCTTTGGGGACAGAGACATGCTTATAGGGGACAATCTTTCATTTGTCCCTACTTTTCATGTCAAACATACTTTCCACCGATTTTATATTTATCCGTATAGTGACATTTAAACAAATTAACTCATTTAACAAATATCGCAAAACATAGGGAACATATACAATTTTACACGACACTTTGCAGGATTTGCAAACAGCTAATTTACTTTTTCCTCCAATACTTCTACCTTTTATCATTTGACCACTACAGTTAAATTGCATAATTGGGGAAAGAATTAGTCCACATTGGGGACAAACAAAACATTCATGTCCATCTGAATTCATCAAGAATCTTTCATTAATTATAAAACTGCAACCATGTGATATTAAACCATCTCGTTCCATTTCACCTAATCTTATTCCACCATGTTTTTTTTTTCCTTTCAATGGCTGATGCGTTAAATTACATATTGGTCCTGTTCTCCTGACTTGCGCTTTGTCATATGCCATATGTCGTAATCTTTGGTAATAAATAACACCAAAAAATATGTGTGCTTGCAAGGGTACTCCATATATACCACTGTAAAGTAATTCTGTTCCATAATAATCATAGCCTTTGTTTAGAAGTAGTTTTGCAAAATAGTCAATTTTTTCATCATATGTGATATCTGGTTTTAAAGTTTCTTTTCCTTCCTTTTTCGGTTTCTCATCGTTTGGTTCGCGTGGTTCGCGTGATTCACTTGGTTTACCTGGTTCACCTGGTTCACGTATTTTTATTTTTTTTTTTTTTTTTTCATCAATGGGCGCATTTTTTTCAAAAAGTTCACTCTCCTCCTGTGCTGTTCCTGTAGATCGAGAGCTATTTTCTTCCATTTTTTTTTCGAGAAATCCTTTAACACCACAATTATCAATCCATTCGTTGTTAAAGCTTTTTTGCCGTGTGTATTTTCTAAAAGGAGTAGCATCAATTCTTTTGCCATAAATACATGCAGCTTTTCCACAAATACTTTCGATAAGCATACCAATTGTCATACGTGAGGGGATACCGTGAGGATTAAAAATGACATCTGGAACAATTCCACTTTCTGAAAAAGGCATATCTTCATGTGGAAATAACCTAGAAACAACTCCCTTTTGACCATGTCTAGATGCAAATTTATCTCCCACTAGAGGTGGTCTTGTCGTGCGTAACCTAACTATAGCAACTTGGTTTTTCTGGTTTTTGTAATTAGTTACGCAATCCACATAGTATTCACCTGCCCCTTTGAATTTCTCATATATGGTTAATTCGTTCACTTTGTTAATATATGAATAAAGTGGATTTAATTCTACAATTTTTTGCTGAACACGAGGCAAACCATCCTTATTTAGCATTTTCCCCATATGTTCATAATGATATTTCAAATTTCTTTTTCCTATAGAAGTACTGTTACTACTATTCGAATTCGTATTGGCATTTGTACCTTCTTTGGAATTGCCTCCTGTATCACTGCTCTTGGTATATCTAATGTTATTTCCAAGAATAAAATCCCCACGTCCATGATTTTTTTCTAAATCTATAATTTCCGTTTTGTATATATGAGTTCTAAAGATTCCTCTTTCGGAACTGGATTTATTTATGATTAGTGCATCTTCCATGTCGTATCCAGTGTAAGCTAAAATAGCTACTATTGCATTGGTACCACTTGGAAAGTTATCCACACCATATAATTCATAATCTCTGGTAACAACTAAAGGTAGTTGTGGCGTTATGATTCGATATATTTTATTTGTAAATGTATATAACATATTTAAGCTTTGTATTCCCATTGTCTGTTTTAACATTTGACACTGGTAAATATTACGAGGGCTTTGGTTGTGATCAGAAAAAGGGGTAAGTGATGCTAAAAAGGATAAGAAAGATGTTTCTTTTAATTCCATATATTCAAATTTCTGTGGCATTTGTTCGTAAAGGTCTAGTTTCACATTTTCATCGCTGTCTATGTAGGCAGTTGAAGATATGCTATCACTTTCTGAGTCCCTCCTCGAATCGCTATTCGAATCGCTGCTTGAATCATAATTTGAGCTGCTAACATAGTTCCCTTCGCTGTCCGTGTTTCTAACAGCACTGTGATTATGTTTGATATATTTCAACACCTTTTTGTTAATTGCTGATTGGTGGGTCAAGTTGCTCCTTGTGGGATTTCCATTTTCCATATCACCTCCTACTGAGGGAGAAAGTAGGTTCTTTCTTTTAGTATAAAATAAATATTGCTCTTTTATTGTCATTTTTTGTTCATCTCCTTTTTTTGAACAAATGAAGTATTCTTTTTTTTTTAATATTTTTCTAGCTAAATTGTTCTTTTTAATATCTTCATAATTTATTGCAATAGCTACATAAGGTTGATATGATGGAGAAATATATTCAATGCATTTCATTTTTAAGTTAAATATAGGTCTAATAAGTCTTCCCGGGAATGTATTAATTATTATGGAATTCATTAGTAATGGCTCGTTCAAGTATGCATTAATTTCAAAATACGCCTTTAGATTATACAGATTAAAATTCTTTGCATATTTTAATTTGTATACAACTCTGTTAAAATCTTGTTCACTTATGTATGTAATTGGTACAGAATCAACAATGATAGGAATGCTTTGATCTTCATAAATTGTAGGTATCCCACTACTTTCATCCAAATTTACATTAACACCAATTTTTTTTAAATACAATTTTATGTTAAGTTTGTGAGATTCATTACTAGCTAAATTGTGAACATAACAGAATTGCGATAAATGATTCAACAAACCACAAGGAGAACCGTCAGGAGTATGTACCGGACATATGAATCCCCATGATTCTCCTAATAATTTTCTTGGACTTAATACTTTCACATCTTGAAAAAAACATCCTCTATGAATTGCTCTAAAATTTGTTATAAATCTTAAGCTGTTAATTTCGTCTGCACCTATAACCCAACCACTTTTCTGTTGATATCCTATATTTTCTGATGAAATATTTCCTGTTTTGAAAAAAAATATTATTGGCATACTCAATGTTAAAAACAACTTTGAAGCTTCTATGAACATGTGGTTATCGTTATATAACTCTCTTACGTAGCTGTCAACAGTGCTGAACAATTTTTCCTTTTCTCCAATGAAGATAGATTTCAGTTTTTTTTCCGATTCGGTTTTATTGTTATAAATATATTTATTGCCTGTGGAGGGAGGGGTGGGTGGGGTACGTAGTTACAATGTGTTGTTGCATTTTTAAGAAGCTGTGTCACGCTCTTGCTCGTTTATGAAGCTGTGTCACGCTCTTGCCCGTTTATGAAGCTGTGTCACACTCTTGCCCGTTTATGAAGCTGTGTCACACTCTTGCCCGTTTATGAAGCTGTGTCACACTCTTGCCCGTTTATGAAGCTACTCCTTTGCTTGGATATGCACATGTTTCGCTTTCCTACCCCATGTAAATGTACCTGTGTCTGTGAGCTTGGAGGGGTCAGATTCGTCAGCTTCGACTGGAACTGAATTCAGATGTTGCTCGTTAAGCTCATTCATCACCATTTCCTTGTACCTGAGGTAAATTTGCTTCACATTTATCTTAAAGGAATCATATTTTTTTTCATAAAATTTGTAAAAGGTTCTGGAATATCTATAGGCAAAACGGTTAAGACAAGTTAATATTTGCTCTTTTAGTAAAGTTGATAATAAATGGCTACATGTAGTAACAGCATGATTTTCTAGAGAATCTTTATTTATACGAGAAATTAATTTAAATTTACTAAGAATTAAAGTTTTAAACATAAGACATATTGTTTCGAATTTTTCAGTATAGCTTTTTATATGTGGTAATATAACATACTTGAGAATATTTTTTCCTTTTTTCTCATCCGATACATAGGAATATTTGAATATACCTCTTCTAAAATATGAAAATCTACCTATATATTTTAAATTATATTTTTCAAAAATTTCTTTTTCATTCAAAACATTTTTTAAAAATATGGAATCTATATACTGTTCTATATACTTAACTGCATTTTCATTTTTAATTCCCATTTTCATTTTATTAAATAAGTACCCTTTCTTTTTAATAGGACTTAAAAGTATCAGAATAACATAAAATGGAACAGCCATAACAGAATTTTGATATCTAGCACCGTATAAAAAGAAATCGAATTTTGCACATGATAAAAAGTTTACACAAACAGTATTATCATTTAGTAAGCAATTCATATGAACTTTATTTTCTTCATTAAGTAGAACTGTGTTGTATTTGGGATGAATTACATATCTAATTACTTTTAAATGCCCTGAAATTATAAAGAAACCTCCCAATAAGCTTTCATCTTCTCCTTTTTGTGGCAACATCTTCTTATTTAAGCTACTTAAATTACATAAATTTGATAAAACCATGACGGGGATGTAACCAGCACTAACAGTTGTACTGATTATTTCATCATTTATTTTTTTATTTATTTTTAGAGTAATTTCTCCTTCATATGTTCTAGCTGATAATTTACATAAATATGGATAATCATTTCTTGTTTCCCCTTTCTCATTTTTTAAAACAGGATTTCTTATTTTTATATCACTTACATAAAATTTTATAGAATGTCCAGATTTTGTGTTAAAATTTTGCGTTGCATATGTGTGTAAGTTTGGAGAAAATTCAATAATGGGAATTAATTCGGGCATATTCTTTATATAAACATTGATGAAAGAATTATAATCATCTATATGTGATTGTACTAAAAATTTTGTAAAAATATTGTACGTTCCGTTAATTAACTTATCAGCTTTTAATTTCATATTTGGATATAGGGATTCTATTATTTTTAGGTGTAGTTTTATTTCTTCATCGGTTATTGTCAAGTTTATTTTTTTTAATCTCTCCTTCTCTCCATCCTCCTTGCTGTTTCCGCTCACGTTGCCGTTATTCATGTTTTCTCTTCTTACTGTTTCATTGTTCCTTTCACTTATCTCGTCTTTACTCAGCATCATTCTGTTTCAGTGTTGCATGCTTTTGTTATTATTATTTTGCTTTACTTTAATTAATTAATTAATTAATTATTTATTTATTTATTTATTCATTTATTTATTTTTTTATTTATTTATTTTACTATTTCTCCCTCTCTCTTTTGTGGACGCTTGCTACGTGTTTGCTTCCTTTCTTGAGCGAAGCATTTGTTAATTGTTTTGTCGATGGGAACTCACACCACCACTGGGGATTGGCATATCCAAGCATGTGCAAGGGTACTCAAGGGTAAAAGTTTAAGTAATCACGCGTTCATACGTAGGTGGGAAAAACTTACTCTCTCCAGTTCTCCCACTCTGCAAATTGTAATAACCCATGCGATGATATCAGTCAATGTAATGTCATAATATTGAGAGATCTTAATAAAATGACACAAAAAAGTTATGCAGTTGGATTGAAATATTAAAATGTTCTTAAAAATCATAAAATAAATATAAAAATATATTTTATAAAGACAACCAAGTCTTGTGAGAATATATTCTGGTTCTCACTTCTGTTAATGTAGTCACGCTGGACTTGTACAGAATTCCTTAGTTGCAATGCTAAATTGGGTCAAGGGGATGGGGGAAAAAATGGCAAAAAGGAAAAAAGGCAATATAGAAAAATGGCAAAAAGGCAATATAGAAAAATGGCAAAAAAGCAATATGGAAAAATTGCAAAATGGTAATATAGAAAAATTGCAAAATGGTTTTAATTATACATATGCCAATTTAGGAAACCATTGTTAAAAAATGTATTTCCTTCTCGTTGGGCTCATGTTCGTTTTGTCAATATTCTGCAGCCTCTGGGACACGCATGAGATGTATATAGGGATGCCGAATGAATTAGGAAAAATGATAAAGCATAAATTGGCTATATTTCATAAAGCCACCTGCAATAGGATGTCGAAGATTGTAGATCTGTCAATTAAAAAAAAAAAAAAAAATTAGTTCAACGCGCACTTGAAATGGCATAAATCGTACAGGTATATATCTACATATTGAACCATATGTTTATTTTAACACGTTACAATTCATTGTATTCCATTATATACTTCATAATAATCCATTATATTTCATCATATTTCAGTTTATTTTTTCAGCTTGGAAGTTTTCTTAATATTGCCCAAGGGAACACGGAAAGTAGGAAAAAAAAAAAAAAAAAAAAAAAAAAAAAAATCTACAAAACATAAACAAATGAGAGCAAAAATTGTGGCCTAAACCGTAATTGGGCATGGGGTCGTTTTCTTATTTTTTTTTTTTTTCAATTTATACATTCACTTGTTGCATTTATATATATATATATATATGTAAATGTATACATTTATAAGTACTTTTTTTTTTTTTTTTTTTTTTTTTTATTTTCTTTGCTCTTACTACAATTATATTAAATATATGGACACATCATACACTGACACAGTGGAAAAAGTATGTCATGCATAATACTCCCCATTTATGCATGTATACTATATATAAATATTATATTTTTGACAAATGTGATTATTTTGAGCTCTGAATTCTTAGGACTAGGATCTTCTTCATCAAAATTTCGGTTTTACACATATATCCCATTCGTCTCAGGGAGTATGTATTTCATTTTTTAATAATATTTATATATGCAACTTTCAAGTGTCAGTTTGGGGCAAATTTTGCTTCCCCAATTAGGTTTCTTTATATATATGTATATATAATGTATCTGTTTATGTAAACCCCTTTTTACACAAATAAAGCCGTTTTTTTTTTTTTTTTTTTTTCTTTTTTTTTTTCTGTTCCCTTACCTCGTGGACGAGAAAAATCAGTGTGTTACATGGAAATGCTTTTTCTTTCATTTGTAACTCTTTTGTATTCTGTTTTCATACATATTGGCGCCTTTTATGAGTACATTTTTTTTTTTCCCCCCAACAATATTAAATTTGTTTTCATATTTTTTACTGCAGTTTTACATAAAAAATAAATGAGCTTATGCTTATGGAATGTCATATCCTTCTCCTCCTCTTGTTTTTTTTTTTTTTATGAAACTCTTACCCTCGCTTGAGTAAGTAGTACCCTCTCCAAAGATCTTCACTTTTGTGGAAACTTCTTAGCAGCAATCAAATCGGAGGAAATTTTTCCAAGGCGTACGAAAGACTGTGTTAAGAATGACCGTACTAAGTGCAGCGATAAGCACAAAGAGCAAAGTTTTGGTTTCTCGTCAGTTTCAGAACATTAGCAAATGTGACTTGGACTCGTTAACGATCCCGTTTCACAATTTAATCGAGAGGGAAAGGAGTGACCATACGTACATAGAAACGGACAAAGTACGATATGTGTATCAGCCGCTTGATAGTATTTACATTTTTTTAATAACAAATATCAATTCTAACATTATAGAAGATTTAGAAATAATAAAAGTGTTAAGTCAGATTATACAAGACATATGTCAGGGTAACATAAATGAAAACACCATTTTAAAGAAATGCTTTACCATTATATTTTATATAGATGAATTAATAAAAAATGGGGTTAGAGAAATAGTGAATAGCAATCAGATAAAAACGTATATAGACATGGAATCACATGAAGAAAAATTACAAACCATAATAAGAGAGAATAAAGAAAAAGAAGAAAAGGAAAGAAGGAAATTTATTGCATCGAAATTAGAAAAAAATAGACAAAAACAACAAAATAAAGCTAACAGTAATAGTTTTCTTTCCAATGATATTATTACAAATATCGATTATAACACAAATGTGATTGACAATTTCTTATACAAAACAGAAGAAACAAATGATATCACGATTGAAGAAAATTTTAATTCTTATGGAGGTATGAAACTCGTGGGTAAAAAGGAACAAGTCAAAATATTGGACGTAGTGGATAGTAATAAAATATTAAATAAACCAACTATAAATGTAAATTCGCTCTTTGATAAGCCCATTAATATAGTAATAAATGAAAATGTTATTTGTACACTAAGTTCAGAAGGAACTATATGTGACCTAGATATTCAAGGAACTTTCAACATGCAAATAAATAACCACAAATATTCCAAAGTTATAGTAGAATTAGATAATGAATATTCAGATAAGGCAAAAATTCATCCCATATTGGATAAAAATAAATATAATTCAAATACATTAGAATTAAAAGATAAGAGCAAAAATTTTAGGGTAAACACTATTTATCCTTTACTCAAGTGGAAAATAAATCACCTAAATGATTCTTACATACCTCTAAATATTAGTTGTTGGCCATGTGAAGACAATGAAAGTACCCTATTAAATTTAGAAATTGAAAACAAAAGGAAAAACATAGATGAAGTTATATACGATTTGAATGTTAATTTAATGTGTCCTTCATCTAGTAAACCACAAATTATGAGTAAAGACAAAGGAATTATTGAACATGATGGAATTCTATTAGCATGGAAAGTAGATGCATTGAAAAGTAATCAAAATTGTCAAATAGAAATATCCATTCAGTCTAAACCAGAAAGTGTTTTCCCCTTTTCTGTTGAGGCAAAGTCGAATATATTGGCACATAAATTAAGCGTTTTAAAGGTCTATGATGAGGATACAAATGAGGATATTGAATACGAAATTAAGAAGAACATTACTTATCTTTTCACAATTAACAAATAGTGTTTATTCATGTATAAACATGTTTAGTAGTAAATGCATTCCGTTTTTAACCTCCCTTTTTTTTCTTTTTTTTCTTTTTTTTCTTTTTTTTATCACTATATGTGCCTATTTTAGCTTGTAGAGTTATAGATCATTTTCCCTTCCCATTTTTTGTTTCCCCTTTATACCACCATTTTGCATTTTGTTTATCTACTGCTTCCTCTCATTGATTCCACGAAATCCAATCAGAACAAGCCAATCAAACCAATCCAACCAAATTGAGCTAATCCTATTTTTTTTTTTATTTTTTGTCATATCGATTAACATCAAATTGCTGAGAATAATTATCACACCTTAACTACACATATTAATAATCTCTTCTAATAAGAAATCAATTTATAACTTATCATTTTTATGCAATGCAGAAGCGAGGATGATAAGGCTTTTTGATGTCGTTAGTGAGAATTTATTATTTTTATCCATTCTCCAAGTGTATACACATGTGGAATTAGATTACTACTCTTGAAATTTGAAAATGTATAGATTAAATATATGTAAAAAAAAAAAGAAATATTTACATACAAATATGTATTGCAATGGAATAGTAAAAAAAATATAGTGTATATTTATAGGAATAGCTGCCAATGAGGTAATTTTTCATGTTACCTTTTTTTACACAGTTGTGTCCCTTTGCATATGATACCTTATTTTGGGAATATTGTATTTTATAGAAAATAAGGGGAGTGGTAAAAGAAAATTATCATTTTTAGCTGCAAAAATGACCGTGTGTGCAAAGAGATATAGTACAAATAATTTTTTGTATTAAAATTTTTTTTTTTTTTTTTTTTTTTCCTGGTTCTCTATTCGATGGAAAAGAATTATAATAATGAAATATTCCATTTCAGTTCACACGTAAAACATCATATTGAACAGAGACATCCTTGTGTGTACCAACGTTTCTTCTATTCCGTTTTTATATTTGTCAATAACATTTTTTTTTTTTTTTTTTTTGCCTTCATTATCCAATGAAAAAGGTAACTTCCTCATCATTTTATAGTTCATTCACAACATCAGACATGCCATTTTACTTCAGAAAAGTAAAAAAAAAAAAAAAAAAGGTTATTTTGATATTTCCATTAGTGGTGCATAAGGCTTTTTTATATTTTATACATCCTGAATATCTCTTTCTCTTTGCGTGATAAAACTATTCTTGTCTTTCCTCTCCGTGGTGAGTGATGCGTTTTGAAAGGGAAAAATAAAAGCGTAAAAGTGGAAGGATAGAAATTGAAACGTTTTGTGAAAAATATTCAATCATAAATGGAAAAAAAGTATAAATAGTTCAAGCATATGCCAAGAAGAAAAGAAAAGAAATGACAAAAAAAAAAAAAAAAAAAAAAAAAAAAAAAAAAAAAAAAAAAAAAAAAAAAAACTCAATCATCACACACGTGTGCACTTAACAAGAAAATTCCAAATGTCGTAAGGCATCACTCTCCCCCCCCCCCCCCTTATCTCCCACTTGAGCTTAAACACCAAATCATTCACAAAATTTGCATAAAATTAATGTGTGATAAGGCTTTGAAAGGATGTTTCTACAAAAACTGTACGTTGTATGTTGGAGAATACATCCTTTCAGAGGAGCTGAGAAATGATGAAATATTAGACGGAAATGTAATCGATTTGGATGTGAAAAAAAATGATTTATTGCAAGGTGGTGAGAAGAAGGTAACGAATAAATTATCAAAGAAGGATGAAGTGTATAGAGAAATATTGGGTATGGGTAAAAATGAAGAATCAAATGATTATATAAGAAAAGACAACTCAGGATATGACCATGGGGCGAATGACAAAATTGAAGAAAAGGAAAAATACAAAGGAGGAAGAGGCTTAATTTTTCATGGGAAAGGAAAGTATATTAAGGCAAATGAAATGTTCGTTGGAGATTTCGAAAATAATAAATATAGAAAAGGCATATGGGTAAAATATAAAAATATACACAACTTGTTTTACTACATGAATATACATCATATGATGTGTAAAGAAAATAATGAAATAAAACAAAAGTATACCAAAAATTTCAGAAATTTTTTATATGTACCTTTAAGAGAAGTTAACATATACATAGGAGAATTTCATAACAATATGTTCAATGGATTTTCCTTATACTACTTTTATCCCTTTTTATATGTGGGGTACTTTATAAACAATTTAATGAATGGTTATGGATACATGTTTTACATTAATTCCGTTCACGAAACAGTGGGAAGTGAAAGGAAAAAAGAGAATATAGTTATATCTAATAATTTATTCGATTTTTCATTTCTACCGGATGGGAAAAAAAAAGAAAAAAAAAAAAATATTAATAATTCTGAACAGGTACGAAAAGGCGGAAAAGAAGGAAAACTACATGTCCCAAATGAAAAAAATGTAGATGGTGTTAAAAACTGTCTAGGAAAAGAGGACATATGTAAAGGTCTACTATTCAATGTGTACAAAAAATTGGAGTCTATGATTAAGAACGAGAATAGGTTTTGCAAGGGGGAAGAAGATGATCATCAGGGGGGAGAAAATATACTTGGTGATAATATAAAACAAGGCAATAGAGATATGAAGATAGATCACCCTTCCCGTGAACCAAATATCATAGAGGAACTGAAAAAAGACGTTTTTAAAAATTTCAAATTACAAATTAGTAGAAAAAACAAAATAAATAGAATAAAAAAATTTCTCAACGAAAATGAGAAACAAAACTTTTTTGATATTTTCAAATATATATCTTATGAACATTTAATTTTCCAGGGTTACTTTTATAATAATCACTTTTCATCTACTACGGGTAAACAGGAATTATATAAGAATTTATTCATACAAATGTATGAACAAATTATCATCAAAAAAATAAATTCTTTTAGGAATAACATAGTTAAAGGAATGATACCTCAAGACTTGTGCATAAATGAAGATACTATTTTGTACGTATTGGAAAAAGAAGAAGAAAAAAAAAAAAAGTTTCCTGATGTGGTGAAAGAACATTCGGACTCGCAGATGGGAACAACAAATGATACTCCAAATAATGAACAAATTCATCTAGTGGATGAGAAAACTGATCGTGAACAATATCATAAAGTACGGGATAAGAGCTTATGCAATGTTAATGTGCGATATGGAAGGACGCAAGATGGAAAGACACAAGATGGAAAGATACAAGATGGAAAGATACAAGATGGAAAGATACAAGATGGAAAGACACAAGATGGAAAGACACAAGATGGAAAGATACAAGATGGAAAGATACAAGATGGAAAGACACAAGATGGAAAGACACAAGATGGAAAGACACAAGATGGAAAGACACAAGATGGAAAGACACAAGATGGAAAGATACAAGATGGAAAGATACAAGATGGAAAGATACAAGATGGAAAGATACAAGATGGAAAGACACTTAGCAGAAATATGACAAATGAACGTTACAGAGACATTGTAGATCTGAACCTTCTTAGACATATGTTCGAGGCCACTGAAGACAACAATGTAGAATATGGAATAGAAGTAGTTAAAGACAATAAAATTCTAAAATATATGAGCAGGTGTGATGAATTAAAAATGGATGGAGAGAAAAATTACTTAGATAAGGCTACGCTAAATTTAAATGGGCATTATCAATTGGTAGTTATCAATATTAAATGTAAAGAAGATAAATCATTAAACTTAAATACTAACAAGTGTAACATCCAAAATATTTATAAAATAAAAATGTTTTTAATCTCTTCTGATAAATCGTCTATAATAACCCATAACATGTTTTTCTTGTATTACATTCATGTATATATTAGAAATCCGGTTAAAAAGGAGAAAACTAAAATAAGGAAAAAGAAAAATTAACGCTCCTTAAACCATATTCACCTTTTTTTTTTTTTATTTTTATTTTTTTTTTTCTTCCCATGAAGTTATGTCCAGTGTGAACGTTTGGCACATCACAGGGGGACAAAACGTTTATAAAAAAAGGGATATTTAATGTGAATGGAACATAATGGGAGAAACGAGAAAATCGGCTAAACATTACTTTTCAGTGATGACCCCTTCACTCAGCTAAAAAAATAAATAAATAAAATATATATATATATATATATATATATATATATATATATATATATATTTATATGCTCTATTTCATATTCTAAGTTTTACAAAATTATTGAACTCAAAATAAATAATATGTGCAAAATGCATTATATATAACTAATTGCAATTGGCCTATCCGGCATTAAGAAAAAGGGTGAGATAAGTGCACTATTGAGTCTACACACATGTTCAAGGAAAAAAAAAAAACAAAAATGCCAAGTTTCTTCATGTAGTTTTCGCACTTTTATTGTAATGTTCATTTTGTTTGAAATTTAGTGAACAGACTTCTTTGTTTTATTTTATCTTTTTCCAAATATAACTGAACGTGAATAAACGCATATGTGAACGCGAATAAATGGATATGTGAACGTGAATAAATGGATATGTGAACGTTCTTAAGATGTGTAAATTACCTTGGTGTAGCCAAATGCGCAATGAATCATATACCCAATAAAGTATAGATTAAGTCACACACACATACTCAAAATATTATTTTTTTCAGACGGGGGTGCATAATTCACTTATTGGCTTGTAGATCTCATTCCCCTCGTTTACAAACCTCGCCACACCCCTTGTGAATTCATGAGAACAAGAGCTCTTTAAAATGAAAGGAATGCACTTTAAAGTTTTGTCAGAAAGTTTTTTCGACAAACAAAATATAAGATCAGTTAATAAAAGAAAAGATTGAAAAATAAAAAGAACAAAAAAATAGAATAATGAAATAGAATAAAACAACTCATACGTTATGAACATGTTTATAAATGTATACACTTACATAAAGACAATATCTCGTCAGATGGAAACATTTCCCCTCATACCATCCGTAAATACATTCTCCTTACTAACTCTGCGGAACTTTTTTTCTTTTTTTTTTTTTTTTTTTTTTTTTTAAGGTGTTAAATAACATATTCATATATTCTATCATTATTGGATCTTGCTTCATAAAAATCCCACAATTATCTAAAATTGTTTCGAAGAAAAATGTATCTGGTCTCTCATTTGTGTCTGTATATTTAGAGGTAACAATTTTAATTTTTCCATATGACCCGATGTGTTTATGAAACTTATGAGAATTTGTGATGCGATCATATATTTTTCTTTTACTCCATGTACAATTATATGTATACAGCATTATTTTCCTCACTTTGAGGGGATAACTAAAAGTAGACGAATAAGGAGAAAAGGAACGGAAAAGAAAAGACCCCCTCATTACACCTCCAAAATTAATTGCCCATATTGAAATGGTTTAGTAAGAATAATATATGGGGTTAACCATTATCAATTTTTGTTACTTGTCTCATTTTTTTTTTTTTTTTTTTTTTTTCCAGACCCTGGTAGCCACTTCTTTAATAGTATTTTCAATAAAAGAAAAGCTGAACATTAAACTCTTCATCGATGTTATTTTGATAAGTTAAAAAGAAAAAAATGGAAATACAAAAATAAATATATAAATAAAACATGCAGAAAATAAAAGACGTGATTTTTTTCTTCCCCCTATTTTTCTCTCCCAATTTTTTCCCATCCTCCCCACATGCTGCATTTTCGCAGATACCCAAAACATTTTAATTATCCTATTAATGTGGAAATACAGCTATAAATACTCCAAACGTATTAAATTTTTAAAAGCTGTCCTTTATGTGTTTTTCTTTTTGTTTTTGCTTTTTGTGCTTCCCGATGCCTTAGCTCACCTTCTTGGATTTGTTTCTGCACCATTAAGTTATTTAACGAAAAAAAAAAAAAAAAAAAAAAAAAAAAATGAGACGTGAGAAATAATATGTGGGGAATACATGGAAGTGTAATTCATGCAATTCTGAAATTTGCCCCGAGTGAGTTTGTAGATAGTTCGTTTTCCATCAGTTCACATAATACATTTCCTGGGTTCCATCATTTTCAGGTTGTTTCTCAAAAATACCACAAATTTATATAAATTACAAAAATCAGAATACAGGCACTTTGTCTTTTGTCACTTGTTTTTTAATTTTCTGCGGAAATTTAGCAAGAATATATGTTATACTATACAATCTTAACAATCGGATTTATTTAGTAAGACTATTTGGTAAAAGATGACAAATCTTATATAGATATATGTACAATGCGCGTATTTCCTCATGCTTTAAGTCCACATGAAAGGAACGGAAAAAACACCACACACACACACACACATACACACATACAACTTGCATATACATTTTATTTTTTTTTTTTGATAACCTTCAACATAAAAAAAAAAATAATAGAATATTTATTAACAACACAATACTTTTGGAATATTTCATTTTGCACTGATCAATTTGTTTGTATAATGCTTTTTTTTTTTCTTTTTTTTTCGAAGATCAATTGTGCATTTATATCCACCTTAAATTTAACAATTTTGTGTCAAGTAAGTCTTCAAGAGGGAAGAAGTAAAACTGTATGGTGTGATGTTTTCTTTTGCTGATATATTTTATATGATAATTTTGCTGTTGTTTCTTTCTACTTGTAGATACTATATTACTGGAAGAACACAAAGAAAATCTCAGCAAAAAATGACAAGAAAAAACAATTATGAATAATGGAGGTAATGTGTCCATTTTTTTATATTTATTTATATATATTTTTTTTTATGTTTCATATTTTTTACCTTTTATATTTAAAATTTTTTTTTTTTTTTTTTAGCCTTCCTACATGTATATAAAGTATCCTATATACCTACTAAATAACCAGCATAGCTTTTTTCCCCTTTTTACTTGTTTCAATATAGGATAACTGAAAAAGTTTATCAATATATTTTAATAATAAGAAGAAGAATAATAAAAACGAGTTTGTAATGGTATACTAATATGTATATGCTGACCCCGGTTACACGCCTGCTGTGATTGCATCATTGCATCGTTACATGTGTGTGCATAAGTTTATCTTTGAATGCACTCATAAGACAATGATTAATACTTTCATTTACTTTATGTACAAGTATCCACTCGTTTTGGTTTCCCCCCTTCCTAATTAACTACCATACATACGTTTTTAGCTCATTCTTTAATTACGTTTGACATACTTAAAATTTACAAATCAACATATATATACTGAATAAAAAGCTAAAGAAATGAACTATAATATACTTATTTCTAGAAACGGACTTTATAAATAGTGGTAATCGCTTCTTTATGCCCTAATTCGAATGTATAACAAAAATGGGTAAAAAGAGACAAATAGAAATATAGACAAATGGTACAATAGTTTAAATCATTAATGAAAGGTAGAATAGTAAATGGTGTAAAAGTAAAGGGTGTAAGGTTTTTTTGTGCGTGGCGTAATTATTGTGTATATATATATATATATATATTTGCTCTGATTCACACATAAATAGGAAAAGATAAAAAGAAGAAATAAAAAGTATATAAAAATAAAGGCATCCTCGAAAAATGTTTGTTTTAATTTTGATAATAAAAATTTAATAATTGTGTATACTTCCAAATTTATATAATAAGTTTTTGTGAAAAAGTGGGACAAACAAAAAAAAAAAAAAAAAAAAAAAAAAATTTCGCAATTGGCTATTTTTTTTTTTTTTTTTTTTTCTTTTTTTTAATGTGAATATTAAAATTTAAAAATTGTAGATTCTTACAAGTTTGCATCATAAATTAGAATAAAAAAATAGAACAAACAAAAAAAATAAAAATATTAAAAAAACCTTAAAATTTATTGAAAACCCTATAAAATCATATTAACAATAGCAAGATATTTGGGTGTGCGTAAAGGTCGGCTAATATATGTAACACACATACATGCATTACATTCATAAATTTCTGCGAATGTGAGATGTCTAATAAATGAACCTTGAGAGTATTAACAAAATTTTAATGTACATTAAATGTACATGTTTTAATCACAAAAATTCTATAATATGCAAAGATATGTGACACAAAAACTAGGGGAGAAAAAAGTGCCGATTTCCTTCACTGTTCGGGTCTTCTGTAAAGTCATAAATATATATGCGTAAAATTCATAGGATTTAACGTTTATCCCACTTGCTTCCTTGTTCATATATTATTTGTTTCACTAAAGGACGGTTAGGTTTTCCTCCTTTTTGTTTTTTTTTTTTTTTTATCTGATCCACACACACTACTACATATATATATGCATGCGTGTGAATTACCCATGGATTTTCCATTATGGACCAGATTTATTTATTGCTTCCTTGTTTCGGTCATTTGTGCCTGTTAGTGTCTCCTTTGTTATCAGGTGTATTATATGGGTCACCTTGTGAAACCTAGTTTTTCTTCTTCTTCTTCTTCTCACTTTAACTTAATAACAACAACTGACATGTCATCATAAAACTTCCTTCTCCTGTCAGTTGGAATACGAGAGATAAAATCTGATGCAGGTACTCTGGCGTGCATTGCTGCTTTCATTATAACTGTCTCAATCAACATCTTTGTGATTTTCGAAACGGAATAATTGTTATGTTTTACTATTTCGAATATTTCTTTATCACTTAGATGATCTGAAATACCGTCTGAAACCAAAACAATAAATTCATCATCACCACTTCTCTTTAATTTAATTACTTCAGGATTGGCAGTAATATAGGGAAAGGAATGTGGCTCTTTGACGATAAATCTATTTTTTTTATAATCAAATGCAAATATTTTATGTTTTAAATAAAAGTCTCCGAAATTTCTTGTACATTGTAATCGACCTTTGACATAACATCTTCCTACATCACTTACTTGAAATTCAGAATGCTGATCAGTTAAGTTAATAATTTCAGCTGTTCTTGTATTTCCATTTTTTACAGGTCTCTTGCACATAACAACATCCATTTCATTTGGATGTTCTTGGATTAACCTCCTTCTTTCGCTTAGTTCGCTAGCATTATGAATATTATTTAATCTAACATATGTTTTGTTTTTTATTAATAAACCCTTTGAATCTCCTATATTACTTATATAATAATCGCTCTTATCCATTAAAACACTTAATGAACATGCACCACATCTCGTAAATTTTAAACTTCCTTTAAAAAAATATTCTTTTGCTTTTTTTAAAATATCATCATCCAACTGAAGATGTGCTGCTTCCAGACTTTTTATTATATCATTTGGTGTTAAAACTTTTTGTTCTGATTTTCTTAACTTTTCTAACAATTGTCTTTTAACATAAAATCCAAGCCACTTTTTCACTACATCTGCAATTACTTCTCCTCCATGGCCATCTATCACTGCGGCAAAAAGGAATGTGTTGTTTACTGATTTTTCGTGATCATAAAATGGATTATATCTTGCGAAGAAACTTTTCGACACATCCTCTATTGTTGGGTACTCATTTGCTTGTCCCCTTGATGGACCTGCAATTGCTCCTTTTGAATTCAGCCATGTGTTGAATTCGAATGGTTTGGAAGTTATATTTTCGGGGGGATGTATACCCATATTTTCGGCAATTTGGACTGCTAAATTTTTAACACTTTGGAAGCTTATATGTTTAGTTGGTTGGAAATTTATATTTTCAATAGGATTCGTTTTTACATTTTCAGAAGCTAGATTTTCTACATTTTCAGATTCTTTATTTTCTACACTTTCAGATTCTAGGTTTTCAACATTTTCAGATTCTTGATTTTCAACATTTTCAGATTCTTGATTTTCTACATTTTCAGATTCTTGGTTTTCAACATTTTCAGATTCTTGGTTTTCTACATTTTCAGATTCTTGATTTTCAACATTTTCAGATTCTTGATTTTCTACATTTTCAGATTCTTGATTTTCTACATTTTCAGATTCTTGATTTTCTACACTTTCAGATTCTTGATTTTCAACATTTTCAGATTCTTGATTTACTACATTTTCAGAAGCTTGATTCTCTACATTTTCAGAAG